CAGCCTGGTGGAACACAGCTGTGAAGCGCCCGCGAACGCTCTCCCATTTGCACACCTGCACTCACACCACCTTTCGTGCAGGACATGGACAGCGAGATTATGGCCATGGGCTGCAGCGAGCACCCAACGATTGAGATCCAACTCACGAGAGGCCTGCAATACCCAGCGGAGATGGGCCCAGATTCGCGGCATTCGACATCAACAGACACCCTTCTTTTCCGCCATGTCTGTACGAATTTCGACTGGAACGCTGCGGCCTTTCTGGACCTGATCCGAGAACGCCTCATGCTGGACCACACAAATGGCCAAGCTGTATGGGCATTTACAACGATGGCAGAGATCTGCGAAGCCGCCGCTGAGGGCTGTGGATCTTGCAGGCTCATCCAAGCTTGCGTGACGGATTTCACGAGAGGCGAAGTCGGTCCTGATGTGGAGATGAACATCACTTACGGGGGGCAGAAAACGCTTTCTGTCGATATTCTTCTGGAAGATTCATGCGGACAGATCGCTCAGACGCAGCTGGAGCTCTTCACGTTGCCGGGAGAGTCATGTCCATGGCCCAACATTGGATCCGAAATCAGTCTCCTCCGTACTCCTGCCGGATTATATGACGTACCAGGAGGTTGTACGGCTATTGTCTGCGACGACTCGCTTTCGGAGAATGCCATGGCCAAGATTAAACAATGGATTGCGGAGTGCGAACGCGATCATCCGTACTGTGATGTCGGTTCCGCTTATAGTAGCCTGAATGCTCACAGCAATGTGTTACCGAGTCGACTAATTTCTGTCGGCGCTGAGAACGGGGACGTACGTTTGTGCTGCGGCGTTGGCACATCGACAAAATATCTTGCATTGAGCTACTGCTGGGGCCGGTCGGGAGGCTTGACCTTAACACAGGAGAACCAGGCAGCGTGGACTTCTCGAATACCGTTCGAAAGGTCAAATTTCACAACGACTCAAGCGATATCCCATTTTCAAACGAGGATGGACCTTCCAAGAACGAATGCTCGGCCCCAGAGTCCTGCATTTCACGGCAGACGAGATGGTCTGGGAATGCCTGGGCCATACGAGCTGTGAATGTGGGACTCTATGGCGCTTTGCCGCAAGCCGCGCGTTGAGGCAGCGCCGTTTTGCTGCTGGTTTACCACCTGATGTCGAAGTACGGTGTGGTAAGCTGGGAAGAGCGCGTTGGCTCATCGATAGGATGAAGCTTGGCAAGATGGGCGATATAAATGTGATGAAGGACTCGCGATGGTTGCCCAATTTCATTGCCAATGATTATGCCGTTATGGCTGTGCTCGACTCTTACCGCGGGGAAAAAACCGCTGTTCGACGGATGGAGCTGGGAAGATCACTGGTGCGGAATCGTCATTCAGTACTCTTCACGACAGCTTACGTTCGAATCCGACGCTATGCTGGCAATTCCAGGACTCGCGACTGTCTGCGGCCACCAAAACGGCTCCAGATATCTGGCTGGTCTCTGGGAGAGGGACATTCTCCATGGCATGCTTTGGGATTGCGGCGATGAACTTGAGGTTATGAGACCCAGGGCCCATCTGGCGCCGACTTGGAGCTGGGCATGTATGAGGCGAGAGGTGGCATGGATTCGCGACCAGCGCAGTCTCACGAGATATCACGTAGAGTTGGTCGATGCCTCTGTGGAGCCGCTGGTGGACGTGCAGCCTCTGGGGGCGGTCAAGCCCGGGGCATACTTGGACATACGGGGGCCTTGCTTGGTAGGGCTATTGGCATCTCGGTACACTGCTCAAGACACGACCCGTTTCCCGGTCTTCCTGGGAGAGCACGAGTATCGCTTTAACGTGGATTGTGTGCCAGAGCTCAAAGAAATCGCTGGGTCCGAGGTTGTGCGTCTTTGGTGGTGCACGGAAGAGATCAATGCGACGATTGGATCTGGTCGTGATCGACTGCTGGTGCTCAGAGCCATTGATAAGACCTTGGGATCGTTCACCCGAGTCGGCATCATTGACTCTGCTGGACCTGAAAAGAACTGGCGCGACTTGGTTGCGGAGAGGACTGTTCGGATTCTTTGAATGCGCGAAAATACCCGCTATTGAGAGGTCAGTCTGTTGGATCACATCCCACACACCCCAAGCGGAGTGTATCTACGTCAATGCAGCTTCTTCGCAACAGACTTCTGGTCCATGAACTTCATGATCGCTTTCTATGCAATTCAAACCAGCACACATCCCAGCACCCTAATCAACAACTTCGTGCGGCACGAGAGAAGAGACCAGATCTGGACTCATCCTGTCTTTACACTTCTGCTCCACGCCCCAATCATCAACCGCGAATTCCCTCCCATCATAGTTTCGTCCTCAGGCCCTAAAAGGTCAAATCACCAGCGCACATCATACTCTCTCTGTCTCAAGTTATCAAAATCCCAAGCAGATATTGGAAAGTGAAGATCGCACGGACTGCCCAGTCACATGCGTTCAGTTGCGCTAATTGTCGCTTCCTTAAAAACCATCGATAATGCTTCGTGAGTCAAGATTTTCCAGCTCTCCGATATGAAATCTTGACCATTCATCATCCATTAGAGTTGCCTGTAGTGTGCGGTTCTTAGCGTGCAGCCTTGCAGAACGACAGGTCTGAGTAACACGGGCGAGGGGTACACAACAGCCTGACTGCTGCTACTCCAATGTACATACAACTTCAGCACCGGAGACATTGCAATGGAAGCAAATAAACTCTAGAGATTCTCGCAATGGAGGACGCATCATCTATGCCCGTTTTACCTTGGCGAGATGAGACATGATCACTCCGACGATGAGGTCGTCCGAGACGCTGCGAATGGACCCGAGGTAGTGTATAAATTTGAGGTGAAAACACCCGTCACCGATGACTTTGGCGACAAGAAAGACTACTGCACGGAGCGTATAGATGCACGGCAGAGGACAGAGCGCTGTGACTCGGAGATCAACGCACAAGAAGATCCGGTTCCAAGATTTCGTGGCTTCTTGCAACGAAATCGACGAACCAGAACCTGATTCTTCGCCATCGTCTTGCTTGTAATCATCGTCGCGGGCGGAAGAAGTGTCGGGTCGCGACATGGCGACTCCAGCGCTAGTTCAACAAGACCAGCAAGACTCACGACATCGAATTCGACACTTGCCTCTACTACGCCGACCACCTCGCCCTCACCCATGACACACCCAGCACAGTCAGATTCCCATCATCCCCGACCACGCTGCTCCTCCGCGACGGCCCCTCCTCAAGCAGAACCCTCTACAAGATCCAACAAGGCGACTCCCCCGCCCATCCTCTCTGGCAAATCCTGCGGCCTCAGCCTCCTCCAATCAAACAAGCGGATTCCGTCGGTCGACGGAGAGAGCGTCCATGCGCGCAGCGGATCCCTTCAACGATTGCACGAATCTCTGCGCGCCAATGCCATTCCGGCCCGGCCACACAGGACGCAAATCGCCACGGGACAGGGGCTTCCATGCAATACGGTATGTTGGCGCAATGGATCGCCAGGCACCGACTGGCTAGCAGGCCATTGGAATGGGGTGGTGGTGGTGATGTTGGGAAGAGGGTGTTGTTGCTGCCAGAGGCGAGGCTGCTATCCTGGAGCCGTAGCCATCTATCTTATTGTCTTGCGATTCTTGCGTATGAAGCCATGTCCAATCGTGCTCGTGCTCGTGCTCGTCCCGTGCCGTCGAATCTCCTCTCTCGTATCGTCGGATGGCACACACACCCCCGTGTGCGATCAGAGACCAGTCGGCGTGTGCCATCAGAGACCAGTCGGGACGGAAACCAGTCAGGCGAGGTGGATGGCGCGCTTCCCCGAAAGCGAGTGCATCGTCTGCAGAACCATCGCGTCTGTCCTTCTGGCTCACTGTCCCCGATGCAGCACCTCCGCTGGTCCCCGCTCTTCCCCGTCCAATCACCTTGCCTCACAAAAACTCGCCCTCAATTATCCAGAATCCTCCACTCTGCCTACAACCACCCATCTCCATTCTCCTTCACAACACTATAAACGACGACTAATAATAATCAACATGACGACCCTGGGCGGCCCAGGCGGCGGGACAAAGTTCTCCAAACCCTCTCCGCCCGAGCGAGGGAGCTTCCCGCTGGACCACGAGGCGGAATGTCAACCCATCATGAAGGAATACCTGAAATGCCTGAGGCGCCATCGCGGTGTCAACGATGACTTGTGCCGACAATTGAGCAAGAGCTATCTGCAATGTAGAATGGAGAGGTAAGACCCCCATACACACACACAATGACCCTATAGGAAGGAAGGAGGGGGGTTTTGGAAGCGCTAATGGGAGGTCCTGGCAGGAATCTGATGGCACCCGACTCGATGAGGAATCTCGGCTTTCACGATCCGGAATCCGAGGCACAAGCTGCTGCGGCTGCGGCGAAGACGGGCGATGGAGATGGGAGTCGAAATCTTCCGGTGGCGGGGAGGAATGAACAGTCGGAGAGATGATACCGGGCACACCGTCCAGAAGACGAATCACTTGACATGCCGCCCGAGAACCGTCAGCAATTGCGCCCTCGACTCGCTTCTACCTTTCCACCTACGCGGACATGAGCAACGACAGTGGCAGCACACTCACATCGTTCGCGACAAATGCGCACCGCCTAGCTCCATGCCACAGGGCAGAACGGCCCTCGGACGACCGATTCCAAATTCCATGCGAGCTTCACAAACCACCATCTACGATGCTGCGTGCTGTCTCAGTGTGGTAACGATGCGCGTGCGCGAGCCCGAGACAGGCCTCAAAGATAAGGTTCGAGACAAAACTTCCAAGGCGGATCTTGGGAGACGAAGCAGGCAGACTCGAGGAATGTATCCGCAAGAACAGTCCCAGCCTTGGGAATAACGCTCAGGTTCCAAGCCGGCCACGGAGGGGAGAAAGCGGTGTGTAATGGCCGGCCTACGGAACCCTCAGGACTGAAGAGGAGTGTCTGAGGCGGGTGATGGCGTTGGGCAAGCGCTTGACACCTGTCACATGCTCTGCCCTCCGAGATGGTGGTATGGGTATGTGGGCCCTTGTGGAGGAAGAACGGGAGCCGGATCAGGCTCTTGTCGATGGCCGTTTTGCTCCGCAGTGGCTGTCAGCAGTGCCTGGGCAGCGATGGAACGTTAGCACCTCCGAGACTCACAGACGTCGACCCATAACAGGCACCAGCATCAGCACCATCCTACACTACACTACACTACACTACACAACCTAAGATACCGTCGTTCTTGGATCCGAAGCACTTGCGGGTCTAGCGTCATGGTGGTGGTGGTGGTGGTGGTGGTGACAGGGCGCAAAGCAACAAGAGCAAAACATCAAACAACATGCATCCACAGCTGCCTCAGCCACAAACCCGCCGGCATCCTCGATCCTTCGCCGCGAGCCAGCCAGCAAGCAACGACGAGCGCAGGACACCCCCCAAAGAATCCAAAGACGTCTCGTTTCGTTTCGTCTCGTCTCGTCTCGTCTCAGTCCTCTTCGCTGGGTAGGTAGCAAAGGGATGTTAAGTTCCCTCGTCCTCTTTCCTCCTCGTCCTCGTCCTCGTCCTCGTCACGTCACGTCACCTAGATAAGGCAAATACACTCTCTCTCACTCGTACACCGCTTCGAAAGAGGGCAAAGCTCTTGCGATGCCCGTCAACACCGTCACATGGTTGTTTTTCGTCCATCGGTGTCCAAGGCTACTACTGACACAGTCCAGCCGCCTTGGGATGTCTTTGCTGGAAGTTTGGCTCCACACAGGAATCGCCCCCTTACTGTGCAATGGGGCCAGTATCATCCGTGAGCACACAGGAGCAAGAATCGTAATGATTCCAGATCGCTTCGCTTTACCAAAACGAGTGTGACCGGGACGATTCCAAGCGCCGAAAGCACATGTAGTCAGTTTGGGAACGCACCCGTGACTTTTCAAGAGACTCTCGTAGGGTAAATGTTGATTCATGCTGCTGCTGCTGCATACATGCACGCAATGATTACCAAATCTCCGTGGAGGGAGCCAATCCTTAAATTCTCTGTCTCAATACATGCAAGTCTCGTTCATCCGTCGTGTGAGGTTAAGCAACAGTCTCGTATGAAGAAACCTGCCACCAGTGATTTGTAGATTCTTGCATCCTCCGAAAAAAAAAAAGGTAATCACAAAGAGCATCATCAACATCGTCATGACAAATGATGGCCGAAAGCAAGTCTCAAGAACTCCCCTTCGCCTCGAGTAATGCATGTATGCATTCATGCCTCGCCCTGCTCCGGTGCAAATGCAACGAGTGGCCGAGAATGTTTGTAAGTGATAGCAGAGAGCAAATCAAACAAAACATGTGGTGGTATCATAGAATGGTGAAACAAGGCAAGCTCCGTCCATCAAGCAATCCCGAAATGTCTCAACCAAGAACAAGGAATGAATCAATCAACGCCGTGCCGATACTGCTGGTGTCGGTGTCGTAAATGGTTAGAGGTGGCAGATCGATCCAGAAAGAGAGGAGTCGTAGTAGTAGTAGTCATGTTGCTTGTGTGATGATGCGGTCGGAGAATTTGTCTTTGTTGATGATGAGGTGGTGTCGTGTAGCCGGCTTGTGTAGCCATAATGTCAAAGCAGGTAGCAGTTTGACACTCGCAACGTCAGAGACTGAATCAAACAATGCCCGAGTCCTTGGGTATCTTCAGGTGCTGCAAGGGATACTGAGTCCAGACAAAGCTCTATTTTGGGAGTAGACAGGTGGTGCAAGGCTCTGCGGAGGTGTGGTCGAGCGAGGGCTCGGTGTAACCTGGGCCTGGCCTTCTCGGAGATCGGATCATGCCAGAGTGATCAAGCTGTAAAGTCGCTCGACATGTCGAACAGATGGTGCTGCTCGGAGGTGACGGGCTGTGGCTGCGTGGTGACACAGTCCTACTGCATCGTCAGGTCGCCAAATTCGTCTTCCTCCTTCAGGTCGTTCGACCAGAATTGATTGGAAGGGTGTGACATGCCACTGCTCATACCGCTACCGCCAGACTGGAATCCGGGGCTCACGGGTGGTATCGAGTGTCCGTTCGTCGCCTGACCATCCCCGCTGACGCTGTCACCCGCAATGTTGGTGTATCCAGGGACTCGCAATCCAGAACCGGGTGCTCGGGAGTAGCCAGTGAAGCCGCCGTGAGGCGCATGCTTGTTCAGGATCTCCAGGATCTCAGACCGCATGCGGTTCTCCTCTTCGGTGGGCTGGAATGGCCAGGAACCGCCGAGCTGCTGCACGAGTTCCTTGAGCTGTTCCTCCTCACGGAACTTCTGGTGCAGGTACCACATGATGTCGCGAGTCCAGGCCACCGAGCCGTTGAGGATATCACCCTTGTTCGGGCCCTTATCTTTCTCCTCCATCGGAAGGCCCTGCGTGATGTTGCCGGCTCCCGAACGCCGCTGAGCGCCACCAAGCAAGGAGGTGTTCGGCGGAGACATGCCGGCATTTGCAATCGAGGGCGATAATGGTGCATTAGTCTGCAGATGCTTGCGCACCTTCTCGTCCTCCAGTCTGTGCTGTGGAACAAGTGTGCCGAGATCCTGGATGCGCTCGTTGATGTTGTCACGGCGTCGACGCTCGACCAAGTTGTGGGATTCGCGGCGCCGACGTCGCTTTGCCTCCTGAGTGGAGAAGGGCGCAGGCCCAGTGCCAGGCTCCATCTTCGTCGGCAGTGATGACGCAACCTTGTGGTGATGGCCGTTGTTGCCCTTGAGCACTTCGGAGATCTGGGCGTGTACGCCTTGCTGGCCGTTCATGGGTGATGGGAAAGGTGACGAGGCGTCCCAGCTGTGTCCGCTTGGTGTGCTATCCCAACCGTTGCCGATGGAACTCTGATGTCGGTGTTGAATGGGTTGCATTCCTGGATGTGAGTACTCGTCGTTGACTTGCAAGTGGTTCATACCAGGCGTGTTGGGTGTGGCAGGTGACCGCGAGTCGGACACCTTCCTATCCAGGTGCTGCATCTGAGGTCGAGCTTGTGACGGCACGCTGTGACCGCCGAACTGCTGCTGTCCAGACATTGGCCGGAATTGGAGGTAGTTGAAGTCTCCTTGGAATGGGGACTGAATGGGGCCTCCGTCGGGGGTGTGCGAGAAGAGGCTGCCGCTCTGGGCGCCCTGTTGCTGGTTCATGAAGTTCTGCATGCCCGAGTTGTTGAAGTCGAAGTTGCCGCCGCCTTGCTGGTTTTGGTCGATGTGCAGATCGAGCAATTCGTCGTCGGCGATGCCGGAGTTGCCCAGGTGGAAGCTGGAAGACATGTTGAAACCGTTGCTGCCGTTGGAAAGGTTTGCGGGGTTGACGTTCATGCCACCTGAGTGGGTCATATGATTTGACGACTGTTGTTGTTGCTGGTTGTATTGCATGTAGTGGTTGGGGTCAAAGTTGAAGTCGTGGGGTTCCGACTTTATGTAAGGCGACGAGGCGGCCATGTCGTCGCCGCCACCAAAGCCGTCGTCAAAGCCGAGCTCCAGGGGTGAGTCGCGCTTGTCGAAGGCTCCTTCTTTGCTCGTGCTGTCTTCAAAGGGTGGAAAGATGGTTAGGTTATCTTCAGCGTCTGGTATTGCACATGTTAGCCCGGGAAGGCGCATTGTCGGGCGGTGCCGGAAGGAGATGGGAGTCATAAAATTGCTGTATAACAGAGAGGATCCATAATTGCACATGTTTGCCCGAAAGAGTTGGGGGGCTGGACGAGGTAGGAAGGAGGGAGGAGGCAAGAGTATATGTAGTGAACGGGTACTCACAGGATGTAGGCATTCCTTGGACCTCAGCTCAAGCAATTATGACAGTGTTTGCCGGAGCCCAGGATGCTTCTCCTCTTGGTCCTACCAGGGCAACGTGAAGCTGTCGTGGCGGGCGTGCGTATCTCCAAGGCGAGGAGCAGTGACTTGTCCGCAGTAACAATGTCGACCTTATTCAGCGACACTGATTCGACAACGTGCCGCGCTTGTAGTTTTGAGAGGAGGGCTGGGTGTTTGCCTGGCGCCGTAATAGGACCGGGCGAGAGATGTGCCGCGGTCTGGCGGTGTGTGAGATCCAATGGGCGAGCTGCAATGGCGTACAGCGGTGGGGAGGATCTCGTGTCAGGGAATGACGTCCAGCTCTCGTGTGGGAGGAGGTGGAAGTCGAGGAGAGGTGGGAGAGGAGAGTGTGTCTGTCAAGAATTGGCAGTCAGCGCAAAGCCCAGAGGAGAGATCTCAAATCATGAGCGGCTGGGTGCATGAGCATGAAATTTCCAGCGGTGCGCACCCGAAACGGGCGACGTCTATGCCATCCCGGAGCAGTGCCAGGGCCGAGCGAGGCGCGACCTGCTCATCAGGCGCGGTGCAGAGTGGTGCCGTGAGGTGCAGGACGAGACAAGTGCAATGCCTGTCGCAGCAAGCATGGAGGTATAGCAGAGCTGTTCCCGCGGTTGACGCCGATGCCGGGATAGGAAAGGCCAAACGGAGGGGGACGAGGGGATTACTCACGCGGTATCCGTGCAATCGAGGCAGCGGGCTGGCTGGCTGCAGGGCAGTGTGTTGAGGGGAATAATGGTTGGTGTATCTCGCACGTCGGAGCGGGTGTGCACAGCGGGGGGAGGAATTGGTGTTGTACGCTGTGGTCGGTGGTAGGTGGGATGTCGCAGGCGTGCTGCTGGGGCGACCGGTCTTTTTGGAGGCGGCGCCGACGACGACGAGGGGGAGGGGGAGGAGGAGGAGGAGGGTTGGTGATGAGGGATATGTGTGTGAGGTGAGGTGAGGTGAGGAGCGCTTACTCCCGGCTCTGGAGGTGAGGAACAAAGCAAATGGGAAGGTGGGCGTGTGGGCGTGGAGCGGTGGGAGGAGGAGCGCAGTGCGCAGTGCGCAGTGGTGAGGTGGGGTGCGACTGGCGAGGTGTGTGGTGTGTGGTGTGTGGTGCTCCTGCTGGGCGGAACGTGGAGAGGGTCGCAACTGCCTGTAGATGCAGCAGCAGCGTCGTCGCGCAGGGCAGGAGCAGCGGCGGCGGCGGCGCAGGGTCGATTATTTGGCGGGGAGCAGCGAACAGGCAGGGCAAGCTCGGGCCCGGTCTTGGCTCGGCGGTCGGCGACGGACGGTTTCGCTTCGCCCTCTCGCAGAATAATGCAGAGACACTCTTCTTTCCAGCGCCGTGGCTGTCGGTACGACCGCCCTGTCACGCTGTCAAGGGACGCGACAATGGCTGCCGCTCTCGTTCCTGGCGTGCTGGTGCTGGTGCCGGTGCCGGTGCTGGTGCTGGTGCTGAGGCTGGTGCTTGTGCTTGTGCGCTCGTCGGCACGTCGGAGCGGACGGACTGGCTGGATTGGATTCGGGCGCTTTGGTCTGGGATCGGGACTTCCAGCTCGCCGGAAATCACTCCTCCGTGTAGAGAGATGTGTGGATGCAATCCAATGGACAATGTCTGGACAGGGTCTGGACAACGGCTGGGTCCAGAGAGTGGGATGCCAGAGAAGTCGGTGTGCTGCCGCCTTCCAATTCTCTCAACCTTCGCTTCGGTCCTTCCGTCTGCTCGCAGCTGCGCCTGGCTGCTGGCTGGTTTGAGCCGGCGGTGAAAGGCGGAATTACTTCGATAAGGGGAACGGGCGTGCTTGCAAGTAACAACCCTGAGCACACCGGCACGATGACGCGACGTCTTGCAAATGGCAGGACGGTTGCCTCCCGTCTCGATCCGCCGGGATGATTGACGTGAGCTTGGCGGGCGGCTGGCTGCGCTTGCTCAGCAAATGGGTGAGGCAGCGCGGTTGCGGCGGACCTGCGATCACCAAAAGGCGCGCACAGACGCCTGATATTTGGCTTCGCGAACCAGCAGCAACGCAGGCGGGCAGGGCAGTCTCGTCGACGGAAGACGCGGCAGCCCCTCGTGCTGGATGACGAAGATGTTGCGAGGGTGTGGTAAGCGCGTACTTTCGAAAGCCCGGGACGGAGGCCAAAGTAGACAGGACAAGGTACAACTCGTACTGATACCTCCTCAAGAATGAACAAGGTGAGCGAGACGAGACGGAATCGGATCAAGCAAGACGTAGGGCAGGGAGCGAGCAGAGCATGGTCCCTTTGTATCTATCACCTCGACCGCGCCAAGTCTAGCACCATCCGGGCAGCTGTACGATGGCCGCGCTGGGAGGATGGAGGACGGGAGGCGATGATGCGAATGTGCCTCTTGGTCTCACACATCCACCCGTCATGATATGGTGACTCAAACGTCGCCCACACCCTCAAGGCAGGCACTTTTGTCTTTCTGCCAGGCCGTTGGAGACTGCGTGCCCTGCCCTGGCCTACCTTACCATATCCGGCCCCATCCAGACAGACGTCTTAGACTAAGGGTAGCAGGAGCTGCTATGGAGGATGTGGATCCGCCGTGGACGGTGGATATCACGTCCATAGCTCTCAGCCACACCCCGAACCTCCATCCATTCACCTTTGCACCCACCTCTCTCGGTTAGCTGCTGTCTTGACAGCTCGCCGTGCGCGGCGCCTCTCCCCATACCACACATTCCTGCCGGTGAAGCGGTCTCGTCTCGTCTCGTCTCAGACAGCATCACCACTCCGGGCCATTGCACTCGCTCTCGCTGGCGCACCTTGACCCGGCGTCCGGCAGCGCGTCCTCCAGTGAGCGGCGATGGCCTTTGACACGGCGAGGGCATCACACGCCACGCCTGTCTGAGACGGTCATCATTGGACAGCTTGGACGAGGTGTTGCTGCGCGTGGGCCTGCCTACCAGCCCCTTAGTCGACTTTTAGCCTAGAGATCGAGTTTTGCATCGGCGTCGATCTGCCTAGCATGGAGCTGCTGCACGCAATTCTTCCTCCCGCCGCGCGCAGCAAACTCTCTTGGGCAAGGGTGGGAGGGAAATGCACACTTCTGCGGTTCACACGCTGGAAGAAGTCAGAGCTGCTGACCTGCTGATTGGTGCTTTCTTTGGTCCGGCGGGAATGCGGCCCTTTTCCGCGGCTTGGCCGGGGCCCGCTCGCCTCACGCCTGGTTGGCCTGCTGCACACTGGCCGACTGGCCTCTCCTCTGCTGCACCCTGAGCACACGGAGCGTCGGAGCGTCGGAGCATGAGCATGAGCATGAGCATGAGCAACAGCGGCGCCGCTGCTCTCTGCACGCTGCACTCCCCCCCTCTGCCACCCTGCCAATTCGAGCACACGAGGCACTGAGACGACCACGGACGCATCGCGATACCATCACACCTCCCAATCGGTACCCGCCGCCGCCGCAGCGCCAGCAGGCAGCACAATTCGCGTCGTCACCATCCAGAAACCCGCTTCATCATTACGAGACGATACCACACGATACCACCCTCGCACACACCCTCGAGCTCTCAAGCAAGCGCCAGTGCCGCCGGCAGCAGCAGCAGCAGCAGCACCACCACCACCAAAGGAAAAAAAAACACTCCCAGCGCCTGCTCCACCAGAGCTCAGCTCGCGCAGGCTATCTCGTCCTCAAACGCGCTACAGGAGCTACCACGACACTGCACAAAGAAACCTGCCATGGCCTCGTCCTCCTTTCGCGACAGCATGAACAGCCTGGGCTGGGCACGCCGCGACCAAGCTACCACCGCCAACACCAACAAGCAGACTCCGCTGCTCGGCTCTCTTCAAAAGTTTAATCCTTTCAGCAGCGAGGGCAATGTCAGGCTCCCGACCATAGAAGGCGAGGCACCCGGCGCTCCACTGCCTGCCCGGACCAGGAGGGAAGAGGAAGAAGGGTGGTTTGCGCGTAAGTAGCCCGTCGGCCTCCGCGACTCTCTTGCCTTGCCTGCACAGACACGCCCACACACACACAACACCACACGGCACCATCTATTCCTGCTCATCCTGCTCGTGCACGACGTCTGAATCCGAAGCATTATGTGCGCCGCTTCGTGTCGCGGTACAGGGTCTGCTACCCTGTTTCCGGACCATGTTCGCATCATGCATATCCCAAAGGCAGAGGGCGTGGGGGCGCATGAGCATTGTCTCTGCCACAAAGAGAGCCGCAGCCTGCAGCCTGAATCGGAACGTTCAGGTCTCGGCCTACGCTCGGCTCGCGGCCGACCTACCTTGCGACCTACGCCTCTGCCGGGCCATGCAAGCGCCGAGCGCTGCAAAGCATTGCATTTTGCATCGAGCCGGCACCGCACCTGTCACCGTGACTATGTGGAGTTCCTGCGTATTGCTCCGGCGTGCATGAGACTCGCAGCTCTCGACCTTAGCTCTCCCTCCTCCCAGTCATCCTTCCACGCCTCGTACAGCCCTCCCGGATCATCCAAGCCGAGACATTGCTAACGCGGGCTTCGCAGTAAGTCGATGGGACCGTTTGCTCGTCTTTGGTGGCCTTCAGCTGGCCGCCATCGCCTTGTTCATCGTTTGCTTCACCCTTCTGCCTATTCTCAGCCTGCGGCCGCGCAAGTTCGCAATACTGTACGTATCCTTTCCGCTTTGGTCTCTGATTCCTTGATTTCAAATACACTTCCCTGTCCACCTGAGAAAGAGTCGAGCTAGGCAGCATTCGCTGCTGCGAGAGGGTGTGCTGCTCGTTCGCATTGCGCGCTACACCCAAGCATTCACTCGCACTCATATCGTCTCTCTGACGCGTCGAATCACCACTTCGCATCGCAGCCACGCGACGACCAGTGCAGTGCTCTGGATGCTAGGGCCACTTATGCAGTGGAAGCGCCCGTATGACCACAAGCTTAGTGCGTTCCGGGGTACTTGCAGCACTCGCGTAGTGCGACGATGCGGCCTGCAGGCGCCCGCTGCAACGAGCAAAGACCTCGTGTCGATCTCATGCACTTCTTTCATCCACCCACACACATTCACCGTCCTACCCTGGCTCTCCCTTCACTGTCTCGCTGCTCGAGCGCTCAACAATCCACTCTGCGGGAAGACTTGCGCCGCCAACATGAGCGCTCTCACTGCGACTTGCACCGCTCAACCAAAGAGAAATTGCGCTAATCCCTGGTCAGATGGTCGATGGCTTCCGCGCTCTTCTTGGGCTCGTGGGCAGTCATGATGGGTCCACTGACATACGGTAAGCAGCCTCGAGCTTGTTGCTCCTTTACCACACATCTGCTGGCCTGCACCCGGTTGCGTCCGTCAATCAGAGCGCTTCCTCCGAGCATGCCAGCTTCAAACCTGCTCTGCCCTCGCGAAGCTGCAGCCGAGTCTACACGGGTCTTTCCAAGTGTGGACACCATGCTGATCTTACGCAACAGTGCGCCATCTGATCTCTCAAGAGCGGCTGCCCTTCACAGCCACATACTTCGGAAGTATTGCGCTGACGCTGTACTTTGCGGTCGGGGTAAGTCCCACGTTCAATACCTCCACCACGACACAAGAACTCCACCACCAATAGCGATGGCTTCCTCCTTGGTCGCTTGCCTGTGTGTTGACGGAGCCGCCGCCACACCACCACACCACCACAATATCCTCCACAATATCTTTCTTTAGACGCGATGTCGATCATGCGGGTGCAGCAAGGTCGCACTCTTGTCCTAAATGCCCTTCTCACACACTCTCCTGCACCCACACCTCCTGGCCAAACGCTCAGCCAAACACCTGCCACCGCCCGCCCTGCTCTCCTCAGTCAAGCAGCACTTGCCTTGCCCTATCTCCCTTTACCCCCTCATGACCTCTACATTATCAGTTATTTGTATCCGCACTTAGCGCCCTGACGTCGTCCTGCACTTGGAGGACCGAAGAATGAGAGGCAGCGCGATCTTTACCACTTGCTCGCGCACATGTTTCAGGCTTGCTGACGATGTTGATCTCCGCAGTTACGAAGCACCATTCTCACTCTGCTCTCCTCGATAGTGCAGATTGTGGCGCTGGTGTGGTACCTGGTCAGTTACTTCCCGATGGGACCACAGGGCTTGAGGTTTGCGGCGAATTTTGGAGGAAACAGGATTGCGGCTTGGATGAGGGACTAGCTAATCAGCACTACTCTCATTCCCTTCCCATCGACATTATTCTGACGACGAAAGAAAGCACCCAGCGACTACGACAGCATTGCAGTTTTTGGTTTGCACATTGCGCGGGCGTTTTGGGGGTTACTACTTGTACAGATGACATACAAATCTGACCACTTTTCCCGACACAACTTGTCGTCGAATTAGACTGCTAACCTGGTCCTTGACAGTCCGTCCGTACTTGCCATGCCTCCCGTCTTTTCCTAGCCCCCCTGGGCAGACTTTCTCGTTTACTTGTCATGCAGGCCAGGGCCAGGGAAAAGGTGTAGACGGCGAGAAGAGCGATATTCTTGATGATACATGCTGTGCATACACACTTCTTCTGAACAAGTAGCCTATCAGATGGATGGCTTTCGGGTTTCCTGTCGTGGAAATGCGCCATGGGAGTTGTTGGTTGTTGTAGGTACATGTAGGGTCGGGAGGGTGAGAGGCCTCATCATAGCGTGGGGAAACAAGGTTTTCGAAGCTTTCGGCGAGTCCCGTTGTGCCGATGAGGAGGTGCGGTGGGCATTCATTCATGTGATGATCATTGGATTGGATTGGTCGATGAGGTGATTGGTGATTGATGATGGATGTTGGTTGGGCGCTAAATGCCTGCTGGTGATTCGTTGGGGGGTTTGGGTATGTATCAAAGGTGCTTTGCTTTGTAGATTTTATTACATCTTATCTTATTATTGTTATATATATATAATATATGATATATACTACTAATAATAGTACGTTTCGGAGTTGATAAGTTGGAAGGATCAAAAGTCGATGGAACGTAATCGGAACGGAACGTAATGGACAGAGAGGGAAAGAGTCTGGAATTGTGTATATTGTTACGTTCTTGGGGTAAGAGAGAGCTATGATAGTGAGGGGGGGCGACGGGAATTTCCCCCTTTGAAAGAGATTACGCGGTTTTCCTCTTCGTGATGGTGGTGATGGGGAAGGTTTTCTTTGTTTCGAGTTCCCAAGGATTGATTGGATTGCGCGAAGAGAGCTAGCTGGAGAGAGCAATCAGTATACATACCTGAGCCAGTCTGTTCTTTCTCCACCCTACGAGAGAGAGAGCGCTGCTCGTCATTGATGGAAGAAAACTTGTAAATGAATGAGAGAGGTGCCACTCTATTGTTGGGTATCAATCAATCAATCAATCAATCAATCAATCAATCAATCAATCAATCAATCAATCAATCAATCAATCAATCAATCAATCAATCAATCAATCAATCAATCAATCAATCAATCAATCAATCAATCAATCAATCAATCGACTCACTCAGCTAGCAGTTGAGGGAGGGAGGGAGGGAGGGAGGGGACGAAGATGGAGGCTCGGGAGCTGCTAGCAGTGGAGCGTGAGGGTGAGTGAGGATGGCGGCAACGGGGAGGAGCCTTTTGAGATACGAAGGCGACCTCATGACAGGCCGTACCAGACTCCTTCCACACCTGCGCGAAGATTAGGGGATGGTGGGAATATCTGATATGATACGATACGATACCATACGATACGATACCATACGAGACGTACCTCTCGCAGAAAACTGACATCATAGAAATGGAATGGAATGGCATGGAGATAAGGGACTGCCTTGCCTTGCCTTGCCTACATGTACATATTATTCGCACATGCCAAGACACACACACACACTACTGACCTCTGTGTCTGTGTCTGTGTCTGTGTCTGGAAATCCACAAGGAGGTTGTGGATTTTGGAGTGAGAGTCTCTCTTGGAATTAAAAAACCTGTTCCGACGGCGGGGCAGGGAGGGAGGGGGGCGCTCTTTCTACCTAATCCCAGGCCGGCCGGCCGGCCGACGAAGAAGGCGAAAAGTGGTGGGCCTCATGATGTGGCGCTTGGGTGTGTGTGTGGGTGGGTGGTCGGGGTACGTATCCTATGATGATTCTCACGACTTGCGAGAGGCGCGCAGAGGTGCCGCGTACCCATAATGACAAGACCCAACAGAGAGAGCAGCCCGTTGCGCGTTGGACTTCTTGCGAAGGAGAGAATGGAAGGCTCGTTCTCGTGATGACACGTACGTCTGAGGCTCGGTTCGTCTTGGTTGGTTCTTCTTGTTGGAGGAGGAGGAAGAAGTTCCATGGCGGCGGCGACGGCGACGGCGGAGAGAAGAAGGACGGATCTATTTCCATCGTCATCGTCTCTACTCGTCATGTGCGCGCTTTACGGTGGAATTTTCCTTTCGCCCCTCTGGTCTGTCCTGTCGTCGTTCCGCCGTCGTTGCCATGAAAGGCTCTCAGGAGCTGACCAAACATTTTCCACATCCTCGAACCGTCGGCAGATGAAGTCCAAGTCCCATCTGCGTGGACGTTGATCCTGCATCAACAACCAGGTGGCCCGCCATAGGGCTGACGAATCTCATTCTGAAGGAGACGGTTCCGACGAAGATTCGTCGACGTGTCAATCCATTATTCGACCAAGCCCACGTGCACGACGAATGATCCTTCTCCTCCTTCCTTTCTTCGGCGAACGGCAAAGCCCTGCATCATGGATGACAAACCACCATGCGGGCCAGCTATGTTTTGCTTTTACGAGGGGATCGCGTTATAGGGCTGACGGATCTGATGAAGCAGTTCTGTGAGAATTGTCGTTGACGTGGCACTCAGTCATTTGTCCACGCCCGATTGCCGCGTGCAGCACTGACTGACTGCGGCTGACGAATCCTACAAGACGGAGGCGCGGGAAGGCATTTCAAGACATTTCGCGATCCAGTGACAAGGTTGTCCGGGGGTTGAATCCCTCCTTGACCGCCGAGTTCGAGACTGACGAGGCGGCAATCAATGAGAAAGCCGTTATCAAGAGGCAATAATGACGGTATGATGTTGTTGCGTTGCGGGAAGTCTATTGTCCCACGCTAGTTTGCTGACGAGACTGTGGCGATGCTGACCGCTCTTTCGGAGGTTTCGAAGGCTTTGATGAAGGTTTGGACCAAGGAGGCCGGAGAATCTCGACGATTGCTTGCCCTGCGTGGGTTCGTCGAGGTGATTGGCTTCGACCGGTGAGTGAATGTTTGGACCTCACTGGTCTTGGCAGACATCTCTTCACGGGCGTATTGCTGCGCGAAGCGTTCTGAAAGTGTCAGCGTGAGTGCCGGTGCTGGCAAGGTCATGTCTGATCCTATGCGCGCTGCGTTCTGCTTATCCTGCTTCTGTTTCGACTTTCCCCATCAAACCAGGTTCCCAACAACATTCCAACATGAGCCTCATTCCTAACCTCTCTCTTCACTCTTGTCTGTCAACAAAACTGTCGCGCTCCCACCCGAACCATCTCCTCATGCGCTTACCCATGATTCGTAACGTGATCAAGTCGACCTCGAGGTCGGGGTGCGGCTTGTGGAAGACGACCGAACCCTCAGTGTTTGTGAAATGCACCGCGGAACCTCCGCAGTGCGCTGCTGAGAAGCCAGCATCTGCCATTGCACTCACGAGCTGCTGCCACTTGATGATGCCCTTGGTTTCGCCGCCAGACGGACAAGGGAACATGCGGCGGAAGACGAGGAGGGATTCGCTGTTGACCTCGATCTTTGCAATGGTCGGGGAGCCTTCATCTGTTTCAAGCCGCACATCTGTAGACAACGTTGCTTGACTGGCATCTGGACGGGAATTGAGCTTGGTGCGACCAATTGACGGCATCACTTCATCACGCTGATTATGTTCGGCATCGCCCCAGACGGTCTGCAGTGGTATCGGCGTATCGCCTGCCAAAACTGCCTTCTTTGCCGTCTCTGCTTCAAGAAAACGGGCTACTTCATCCTTCTCAGCTTGGACCTCAGCCTTGTGCCCCTCAGTCAACGCTGCAGATAATGGCAAAACCTCATCATCAATCTCTGCGTCCGTACTGCCAAGCGCGATGACTGCAGCCTTACGACCTTTGCGAACATGCGCCCACATAGCGTTGAGGCGAGTTCGCGATTCTGTCGCTCTGGCCAACCAATCCGCGTCATGTTTGCCTTTGGGCCAAGGTGCATCGACGGAAGCCTCCAGCAGCCGGCGAAACTCGTTCCAGTCCGCCACCGCGTCGGATTCTGTCCTCGTCCCTCTGCGTTTCATTTGTTTCCAGGGCCCAAGCTCGCGCTCGCACTCTGCTGCAGGCAGCGCCCTCAGATCAAAGACCGCGGGCAAGGGACGAAGAAGCCGAATCGCCCAGACCAGTTCAAAGTAGCAGCACATGCGGGAGAGTTGCTCGTAGACATCTGGCGGGATCCGAGCGCGCTCTCGCCCATCTGATCTCGCAAGATGCTCTTCGAGATGTCCCATGAGGATGGGAGGGTGATCTGCAGTGGCAGACTCGGGATCCTTTGTGAGCTGTACCAGCCAGTAGTGGAGTCGATCAAAACGGAACAAGCCCTCACGAACGTCTCGGTAGCCCCCAAGACACTTGAGCATCGTGAAGATGCCCTCTTTGCCCTTGTGTGTAGTCTGATAGTTGTCCCTGAACTGTGGCAGAATACGCAACCTATCTCTCAAGTCTTGTCTCTCGTGACGATGAGAAAACGTGCAGAGATACTCCAGGCCACTCAGAGCCTGCTCATATCCTTTCGAGAGCTTTGCTCCAATGCGCATCTGACCTTCGGACTCGGGACACACCTTTGATACGTATTCCAGTTCTCGCACAACACCTCGCAGCCGAGCAGCGTTGATACGAGGTCTACTCACAATCCAATCATGTAAGTGCAGGGCAACATGTTCGCTGCCAAACTTTGTGAATGCTAGACGACTCCGCTCCTTGGCAATCAGGTCCTGCACGTAGGCCGGATCGGTCTGGAGGAATCGAAGGTGGTCTTCGGCCGCCGCGAGAGCCGCTTTGAGCATCTGTGTATGTTTTTGTAGATCAAAGACCGGCGGTCTCGAAAACGGGGCGTTGGCATACGGGGGCCAGAATTCGACGTCTCCGGGAGATTTGAAGCCGATCGAGGTGAGGGTGCTCCAGCATACATTGCCTCTCTCCACAGTCTTGCTGGGGACAAGAACGTCAAAGATCCTGCGCAAGAAGCCGAGAAGGAATGCTTGCGCCTCTAGAATACATTCGCCGCGTGCGTAGCCAATAGTCTTCCGAGTATGAGCTTCTTCCTGCTCGTAAGGCACCAGATCTCCAAACCGTGGGCCATGCAAGATCAAGCTGTTGTCGTTGTATCTTATGCTGACCTGCGCACCCTCGAAGGCGACTCTCATCTGTGCGAAGTCGAATGACACCCACTCTTCCGGTTTGTAAGACGACCGGTAATGAAAGAGACTTATCAGTCGCATGGGGTCTCGTGCGAGGGAATCGACGTTGAGGTAGGGCAAAAGCATAGCCCGCCTGCATGTAGGATCGCCCATAGAAATCGCCTTCTCGCCTGGCGCAACTCGATCAAAGTCCGTGAGCTTGCCGTCCATTCGAAACATTGTGCGCTGTTGAATGCAGGCGTGTCGGTAGAGATCAGGCTGTGCGGCGAGAAGAAGTGCTTCTCTCTTGACTTTGGTCTTCTTCTTCCACTTTGACAATACCAAATCTCCGTGACGATGAAGTCCGTTCCTTAAATATTCCCTGTCTCTTTCTATCTGCTGCGCATAAGTGCGAGCCTTGGCCTGAGCGAGCTTGTCCGGTATACCCAGCTCCTTGCGTATGTATTGGATTGCGTACTGGAGACGCGTGAGCCCGAAGAATTGTGAGATGCATTCTACGCAGTTCTTGTTTCCACATTCGTCATCCACGAGGCCATAGAGGGCGTCGGCGGGTATGGGTGGTACGGCCCGTCCCCCAACTTGCGGGCAGTCCATTACTGAATTGACATTTGTCGAGTTGTGTGCTTGTGAAGAGGAGAGTGGTTTGGGAGCGCCAAGCACGCGCACTCTCGGCAATCACCCGAAGCTCGTCCACAACAGTGCGCGCAGGTTCTGAAAACAAATGTCTCGATGGGTGCTGGTGTCAAGCCGTGCTATCGACAAATTCGAAGTTTTGAAGTTTTGTGAAGTTTCGGAAGGACAGTGAGTGTTCAATATGCGGACACGTGCAAGTGCAGCACGGACCACATCTTAGTGCACTTCGCCACTGCCCCTTTTCACGTGAAGATCACGAAGTTCTGCGTAAATTGAGACGTTCTCAGTTCGGAGGGAGTCGTGCCGGATTTACCATGTCAATGGAATGCAAAGGACGTGGAGTGCAGGTTTGAAAAATTGCACGTGGTCATACGTACTCTATCTCACTGCCTCGCTCCCCGCCATGCAATGTACTGCTATGCAATCATGCAAGTTGTTCATAACAATCATCATTCCAGCCCAGAGCATCATAAATCGACTGCTCGTCTGGCTGGTCATCGTCGAGTACAATTCCAGAATCATCATGTGTAGTATTAGTAGGCCGTTCAGGTGATGCTTGTATCGTCGGCATCTTTCTCACAGAACTCCAAGTACGCCCTTTGGACTTGGACTTCTCGGCTGGAGTTCCTGTCAGGGAAGGCATCTTTGGCAGCTTTGCAGGTACGTCGCCGTTGGCAGCAGTGGTTCGGGTCGCGGTTGGTGACTCCAGCAACGTGCCGAGAGTCCCTGGTGGGCGTGCGAGTGCAGATGGCATGAACTTTGCGAACCCGCGCGAAGGCGTTTCTTCGATACCATGAGTATGTCTGGGTCGATGTCCAGTTTGTGGAATGGCAAACGAGCTGCTTGGCAGGTCGCCGGGCTGGGCGAATAACTTCACTGAAGACGCTGGCACGACTGAGGTGTCCGCTGAATCACGACTATGCCCAGACTCTTGCTGCGTCCTTCGACGAGGAACAGGAGTAGCCTTGATCGCCTTGGGAGTTGTGTTTATCGCAATGTTGCTCTTCTCCATTGGCTTCTTTGTCTGGCCGGAATTGGCCCTGCTCTTTGAGATGGCTTTCGCAAAGCTTTCGTCTGCGTTCTTAGCGATGTCCTCCACTGCACGGTCCCTGTTAGGTTTCCTGAGTGTTGTAATAGCGTCACGAACTTTCTGCTCGACTTCGGCCTTCTTCCGCAGCTTCGCTTCGCTAGCTTGTGACATTGCAGACAAGTCGACTTCTCGTCTGCCAAACGAAATTTGGTGCAGCAGACTACCGCGCGGCCTCGGTCTTGCTGGGTCTACTTGCTGTGTCCTCCTCTGCGCCGCTCTACTCGCCGCTACGGGTATACTGTCGATGGACGGCGTCTCGCTCGCTTCGCGCTTGATGAGTGGCGCTAACGCGTCTGTATCGGTGGCAGAGCGAGACAGCAACGGCGGACGTTTGCCCGTGTAATTGAGGGTATCGGTCGAGACCCTTTCCAGGGGTCTTCTTGGCTTCTTCTCAGGCGCCTGCCGCACTGCCGGCTCGCCAGGCTTTCTCGAGGTAGCCATGGACCTCCTCTTAGGCGCCGGCGCACTAGGTCCTCCGAGCTTCTTGCTGGTCGAATTAGCGACTTCCGGTATGCGAGAAGCCCAGAATGGAATGACAACTTCGGACGCAAAGCTCTTCAAGTCATCACTTGCGCCATCTTCACCATTCTCGTTCCTGTCGCTGCCAGTCTTGGCAGGGCTGCCACCATCAATAGAGTACCAAATGCACAGTCGATCTAGCAGGGTCTCTAGTACGGCAGTCATATCGACCTCTTTCTTCTTGCGCGGCTTCTTTTCGGCAGTCACACCTGGATCTTCCGGTGCTTGAGATTCCGTGGCTTGCGGAACTGGTGTTGGGGAGCCCGAAGCCTCTAACGCCAAGACCTCCAGAATAAGAATGACCTGCAGGAATGTCTCTCTACTGCGTAGCCTCTGAGATCTACGACGAACGACTGCATCCATCGTCTCACTCAGATGGGAGATAGTCTGGGTATCGTCGCCTTTCCGCCACCATTGCTCGACGTAGTCCTTCTCGCTGACAAAGAAGCCTGATTTGTCTCGGGCTGGTTTCCACTTGCGTTTCTTTTGCTTCTTAGGTTTCGTTTCAGGTGTGTCCAGAACAGGTAGGTCGTTGACGAGATCGGCAATACTTGCTCGATACTTTTTGTCCGTCGTCGTGGCCGACAAGACCGCTCCACGAAGGAAGGCTACGAGCTCGGCTGGTTGCGCAGCGAACGCGGCCCTCACACGAGCAAGCGGTCCTTTTACAAAATACGCCACGGATGTCCTCGAGAGGTAAAGAGCGTCCAAGTACTGTTTGGCCAAGTCTTCCAGAGTATCCGGAGTTGGCTTGAGGGTCACACGTTCGTCGACCGTTGTTTCATCCACGGGTGGCCCAGAATCTTCGATCTGTGTTGGAAGCTGCCTCTTGGCTTGAGTTGCCGTCGTAACTGTGCATGGGCGCATAGATAGCCTCAGAGAGCTAGGTTTCAGCGACGGTGGAAATCCATACTCAGGATCCACGGCTGCTTTTGCCCACCATGGTTTTCCCTCCTGGTCCGACTGCACAGCTTGTCGCTTACTTGGTGCTGAATCCGCTTGAAGAGATAGCTCCGACCTTAGCAAGACTTCTTCCGTCTTGACCCATGTATCGAGCCTGCATAATGCGTATTGCAACCTTTGCACTCTCTCAATAGCGTATAGCCTCTGCTCTTTCACGTCTTTCACAATCAACACATTGGCGTCCGACTGGTATTCGTCGCAAGCCTCAAGAATTTGTACGTGAGAAGAGAGTAGTCGGCTTCCGTCCTGGCCAGGATCCAGGTATGACAAAGGCAATTGAGAGCGTGACAGCAAGCAAAGCGGCGTAAGAGTTCTTGGTTTGGCAAAAGGGTCGGAAGAATCGGGCTGTGCGTCGTCAGTCTCTCTCCGCACCGCTTGATCGCATGAACGTACCCGTAGAATTAGAGGTCGTTTATCAATACTGCATATTATCTCTTCGTCCCGTTTCCTCTTGCGAGGGTTCTCGAGTGTCCGCGATGCAGGAATGTTTTCTTCCGTTGGGTCGCGTTCCAATAATGTGGTGCTAGTAATCGACATAGTCCTCAATGGTCGGCCAAATTAATAGCATGGCGTAACTTCATAGCATCGTCTAGCAATTGTCGTAGTTAGAGGAGGAGAAAGGCGGACCAGGTCCCAAGTGTTTTGTTCGTCAGTGACATCGGCGATGGGCGCGTCCATGAAGACGGGACGCGTTGCGGCAGTTCCCGCGTTCCGGGATCCGAAGCGGCGGGCGACTTCATCCCGGTACGCGCATCATCAACTTCGACGGGTGTCTGCAGCTGGTCTTGCCTCAATCAGATACCGACCATGTTCATTTGAAATCTCGTGCATGGAACAATGTTCTTGGGGGAAGAGGTCATGGGTCACTCCTTCACACGATTCGCTTCCAACGTGCTTAAGTAGCTTGAACCTTCCTGGTATACCCCTCATCTTTCACACCCATACCTCACCTGCAACACCACATCCACCTCTTCGCTCCCAACCAGCGCGTCTGGGCCTACTCAAACGAATATGGCTAGTTCTCCCTCCACATCGAGACGAGACTCTCACCGTACTCTTGCACCAATTCTCCGCCTTCCCTTGGAGCTGCGCCAGGCCATCTACTCCTACCTCCTCCCTGCCGAGAACGTCTCGCACCCACTCCCCTCAGTCGGCATAACGAGCGTCTCCAATCGTCCACCCTCTTCTTCACTCCTGAACATCTATCCAACCCTCACCGACGAGATCCTCGACTATTTCTACCAGATATCCACATGGAAACTCGTCTTCTCCCACGCTTTCAACTTCTTCCGAGTCGATCCCGAACTACGTAGGCTGGAACAATCTCCGAGCTTGGCTAGTATAAGAAAAGTGGAAGTTGTGTTCTTTTGTGATATCCTACTCTTGCAGAACTATCCGTCGTTTGGAATCGAGAGCTTCTGTGAGGAGATCAGAAGGAGGGCTAGCCGGGCATGTGATGTCTTGAATCAGGCGCCGAAATTGAGAACGGTCGTAGTGAGCTGGTGTGACTCTACACAGACGGGCAACTGGCCGGAGAAGGCGAAAATCTTGACACCGCTGAAGAAGTTGAATTGTGATGGCATGGCGAGGAGGGATAGACCGGTGACTTTCAAGATCGGAAAGATCAATGGGCAGGAAGATTTGAAAAGAGAAGACTTCGTGGCGGCTTTGAGGGATGTTCTGGGTCCTGATCAACAGTTGGATGCCGGCAGTGAAGGGACCGATGACCCGAGTTCGAGCTTGCGAATGTTGGCATTTGATGTGAGGCAGGAGAGGCACCGCCTGTCCAGCAATCCAGGAAGCATTCCAGTTGCAGTTGGACGAAGTGGCTGGAAAGGTGCTCCGCCATTGATGGAAGCTCCCTTAGAAGAAGAAGAAGAAGAAAAAGATGTCGAAGACTCCGATCCTCTGCCGGATGTTTCGAGCAGCTCAAACTAGCCGAACAGCAGCTATACCGATGGTCAAGCGTTTGTCCAGATCCGAAGCCACAAGCCAAAAAGTCGCGAAGAAAAAGTCTGTCAGGCCCGAACACGGCGCTGCACACTTTTGCCTATGGGCAACAAGGCTATGGAACGGGTCAAAAATATCAATCGATCAATCGAAGTGTAGGCTCTGCTGGGAGTCGAACCCAGAATCTCTCCCACCGGAAAGGAGCGCCCTAACCATTAGGCCACAGAGCCGAAGATTTGTGCTTGACATGGACAACACAAGTTAATTTCTCCTGAAGTAACTTCACGGCGGGCGAGCCACAAACGCCACGGCCCTTCGGCTTGCTGCAGGCGGTGAGGAACGCCACAGGATAGCAACAGTGTTTGCTCGCCACACGATAGCGATTGTGTTTGCTCTGGAGTATGAATGCATAACCCGATACATAGCACCTATGTAGACTGCGATTGCCAAGTGCATAGGCTCGCTAAGACTTAGCTCTCACATGTTGGAAAAGCGAAGCCACTACTTCAGTAGGTCGAAATCGTCCAACACTACGACGCCGGGCACAGATAGCCTCCCATCACACGAATGACTGAGTAACGAGCAACGAACCTTGTCGCGTCTTCCACAACTTGAAAAGTTTTGATAGAAGATGAACTGTGTAGTCTGCACACATTTTCTAGAGGTTACTCTATCTCAGCAGGTGCTGCGTCCTATCTGTCCGCTGTTTCCATCCATCTCAGTTCCCTCTGCCGTACATTCCTCCTCATGCAAATACAAAAACTCCTAAACGCCTCGCTGCGCTAATGTATCTATCCATCGCCATCATGGATGGAATCTCGTGTGTACGCCCTGCGGGAATGCCCGCAAAAGAACGCTGTCAACAAAAAGACTCCAAGCCCACACACAAAGTCCACTTCTGCTTTCTTTCTAATCCCCCCAGAGAACTCTAGAAGCAGGCGTAACGGTCCCCTCAGACTTTTCCCTCCCATCTTCCAAACCAAACCTCTTCTCCACCAAGCCCCGATTACAGAAAAAGGAAACGAAAAGCAAGCCCTTCGTAGCGGCACAAACTACCAGAGCGGCACTGGGACTGGAATACTTGAGAAGAGCGGCGCCGATGAAACAGCCCGTCAACATGGACGCGTAGAATGCCAGCCTCCGATTCCTCTTGGCGTTCTTGAGAGCGAAGAAATTCTTATCCGTGCAGAGTTGAATCAGCGCGCCGGTGACCATGGTGGTGTTGAGCTCGGGCATGGCCACATTCAGCGCATTGGCTATCTGTCCGGATTCTGCGAAACTCAAGAGTGCGAGAATGGCCAGAGCACCGGGACCGGTCGAGTTGCGCGAATAGAAGTATCGGATCGCGGCGGCTGCGAGCATGAGTAGTGCTTGGAAAGCGTTGGAGATGAGAAGCCAGATCCGTCGTTGTTGGCGGGAGAAATGACCAATGTGGCCGAAGAAGATTGCGCCGGCGATGAAGACGCCCATGCTTACGCCGACGTTTTGTTCGACGCCGGGGTTGAGTGTGCCCGGGACACGGAAGGCGTAGAGGGCGAGGAAAAGCGTGTTTCCGGTCTGTTTGGAGGCGAAGACGTTGTAGGACGCGTATGTCTGAAGTGAGAAGGTATCAAGTTAACATTTGTATCGGATGCTGGGGTTTGTGGGTGCAGGTGTTGGCGCATTGGCAGCTGAAGATCGGACGTATTGGCAAAAGCTGGGCGTTGCTTGTTTTGGTTCCCTGCCAGCACATGGGTGCTCCGTGGAGCGAATTGACTCGACCAGGATGCAGTGTCTTGGGTTTCGTAGGGGTGCAAACGTACCATTGCGTCCAGTATACCAGTGGAAACGGTCATGAGAAGTAGTTGAAGCCCCAAGTACTTGTCGCCAGCTACCTCTTGCATGAAGTACGTCTTCCATGCTGCTGATGTTGGAAGTACGATGGTCGGAGTTGGAGGTGAGCCAAATTGTTTGCCTGACTGAGATGCTCCCTCTTTGCCGTCATAGCTTTTGGGGGTGTCTTCTGGTCCCAGATCATTCAGCTTGTCAGAAGAGACAGTATCGACAGATGCCCTGCCTTGTTCATGGATGCTGTGCTGTCGTCTTTCTGCCTGGAGATGAGCCTGTTGCCCTAGAGCAGCGGCGAGTTGTGGTACAGTGACTGATCGATCGTATCCTGATGGACCTGGCGATGGTGGTCCTGTAATTGCTTGTGGTGGCGAGAGCGACATTCTCCAGAGGCTGCACTCTGTTCCAGGAGCTCGATCCCAATTCAAGTATAGTGTAGGCGGTAGCCGTTTGTTCGAGATGTGAGGGTATGGCACGGAGTCTAGGTCTGTTACGCGACGGGGCGGCTGGCATATGAAAGCAAATAATAGTGGAAAGATACACTCTTGTATGTACTACAGGGCCAAGTCGGTGTAGATCCCGTCTTTGAGCGAGTGTAGCATTGTGGCAAGAGTAAACTCAAAGGGGTACTTTCACATGTTATAAGCCTGAGCATGGTCTCCGTCGCCCATCATGATCCACTCTATTCACGCCATTACTCATGGCGCACAAGAAGACCAACCTTTGCGATCAGCGCCAGCACACACATGTCCGCCAAGGCATCGCGGAGAGGCGAACGGACATCCGCATTCCCACCAGAGAGTGCTCGGGACGCAGTATGAGGCCATGCATGGCTCAGTGCAGAGGCGTGAAGTCAAAAGGCCCGAGGTGAGGTCCGCTGTGGTCGGTGGAGAGCTGGAATCCGCCCACGTGGTTCGGCAGATGATGAAATACATGTCCGCCAAGCATACGACCAAGACTTCAGTCTTCTCTCAGGCCAAAATCTTCCAGTTGTGCAGCTCCATGCGCAAGCCAGCAGCAGACTGCCGACCGAAGAGTCCTCAGAGGGTATAACAAGTCCTCAATGGGCATATCGAATCGCTGCATACCATCCTGTCGTTCTCCGAGAAGGTACTGATGCTGTGTGATGAAGGAAGGATTGTCGACGTCGTTCAGCAAAAGTAGGTGTGAAGTGCCACAGGGCCCTGGAGGATTCCGGACCGGGAGATCGCACGGGGCGTAGCGTACAGCGTGCCGAGCCGCTAAGATCGACGGCAAGTCTTGGCGATGAGAACAGCGGCCGTGCGGAACGCTTCTCGCCAGGGTCATCCTGAGTGGACGAAGCTTCATCTGACTTCCCTCGTAGCTCAGAACAACACCACCACGCTCCGTGTATAACGTGTATCACGGTCCCGTGTATCTGCTCTCCATCAGCAGCGAGTCCGGCAGACAGCGCCTCCTCGAAGCTCCCCTTATGTCCGTACGTGTCATATGGACTATGCCAAGAAATTAATCGACATGTCTCAACGTGCCTCAACAATGCACTACATCGGGACAAGAAACCATCCAATCTATTCGCACCTGAAAGAGCGGGACCTCCTTTTCGACTCATCATGGTCGTTTCGAGACCTTTCCTCCCCTCACGTCTCGCACATAAACCAATTGATAACCTTGCCTCCTCGCAACGAGCTCAAACTTCACGCAGCCACCCATGCACAGCGTGTCGCCAAGGAACGTAGGATAAAGTACCCTCCCCTCCAACCAATACTGTCATCCGGGAGAGCTCTCTACCGATGCATGTACGGGCTTGTCCTCGGTCATGCCAAGTCTCCAAATGGTTGAATTGACACTGCACCTTCGCATGGCCAAGATCCATGCAAGAGCAAAAAGAGAGATTAGAGCAGCATAGAAACCTTCTGGAGGAGAAGTTTGTTCAGGCGATTTCGTTCGCACAGGTCGGGAAGCAGTAGCCGTGACCCGGCTGGACATACTTATGCTGTGAGATGAAGTGTTGAGGACGGTCCGCACCGCCTCCTTGACACATGATGGACCGGTCGAGATCTTCTTGTTGTTGTCAGCTCACAGACACATGCTGACATGCGATAGGAGACCAGTATTGTGGTGCGCATAATACAAGACTACACATTCTCATTTTGACACCGTCGGTCGTATCTGCTGGCTGCTTCTTGAGTCGTGCCCATGATGAATCTTTGATGTGTACCAAACCCCGAAGAGAATGAATCGCTCCGCTCCGCTATGCGCCACTGGGTAATACTCCAAAACAAACAAAGCAAAAGTGCTGTGAGGTTTCCATATCTTCCGCTCCGTGGAAGACCTATGCTGTAATGACGACGCGGCCAGGGTATCGATGAGGAAGGCCGATCGTACGAGTGAGTGCTATCAGCAGTCTCCGGACAGAGTCCTGAGGTAACGCGGTCTCCTGGGAGCGTCCTGTTCAAGGACTTGAATAGTCCGAAGCCGATCGGACACGGTCGCGGTCCTAGCGCAATCCTATCACGCTCTGCCTCACGGCGTCAGCCTAGATTACCCGACAAAATCGCTCGAGCACTGTGGCGCTCTGATCTACGCTGCTCTGCTCCTCCAAGTCCTGCCCTGCTCTTCCTCCAAGTCCCGCTCTACTCGGCTGCTCTGCTGCTGCTCGGCTGCTCTCTTGCTGCACTGAAAAGACAGAAATGAGAAAACTCACCATCTCCAAAGTCCAAACCCGTCGTATCCAGACTTTTAGCGTTCCCTCGACTCCCTCGACATTCTCCAACTCGACGCCCTCCCACCAACATCTTCTGGCTGGTTTGCGCCAGAAGAGGAGCAGTTTCTGTGCCATGCCAACTGCATTGGCAGCATTTGCGGTGTCACCTCTAATGTCTGTTCTCAGGCGCGCCAAAGCAATAGAGCAGATCACGGCTTTCTGCGGTTCAGCCGCGCGGTGTCCCCAGGTGTCGTCGTGGTTGAAGCCGCTGCGCAAATCAGTACTGCGAAGGTCAGACAGGAGCTGGGGAAGGCATATCTTACCCTGCAGTCAGCATCTCAATAAGATGTTGCTCGGTAGTGCCAGGTTCCTCGCTCTTCCTAAGACCGGAGAAGATGCCATCTTGTCTGAGCAGGGCCCTGCTTGCTGCGCGCTTAATCTCGATCATCTCGTTGTGCTGGATTTCTTTGCGTGGCGGAATCGCGTAGAAGTCCAGGTCCTCTCGAAGGACAATGATTCCAGCGCGGTCTTGGAGCATGTCCCGGGCGTTGCCTTGCATGGGTTCGATCGGCATGGTCGAAGGCGCGAGGGGGTCGTTTTGGGATTGTTCTTCGGATGCTTGGGGGATGGTTTGGGCAACATTGCGGAAGAACTCGAGCATGTATTGCAAGGATAGGGGATCGTACTGTGAAGGATAAAGAATGTCAGATAAATATACATCTGTGTTGGAGATGATGTTGTAAATTTCAGTGATGGTTGCTGGGGAGTTGGGTCTCGCCTGGGTGAGCATGCGGGATTGGCGGGTGTTTCTTACGTCGACTGGGTAGACGTCGCCCTCTGACGAGTAGCTGTTCATGTGACCGTCTGGGAGTAAGCCATTGGGGAACAACGACAAGAGACAGAATTCGGGAAGGGTGAGCAGTTCATCTCGCGAGAGCGTGAACCGTGTGCCGCTGTGTCAATGGGTTAGAAGATGATTCGACTCTTATCAGATGCCAATCAACAAACCGAAGTTCGAGTGTGATGTTCTCCTCTGAGCCTATTCCATGTCAGCTGACTTCACAACATCTCCGCCATAGGAATACATACCTCCTCCCAGCGCCGTGTTTATGGGAGCCGGACCGGTCTGCTGTACCTGGGTGATGATGCTCGCCGCACCTCCCGCTGCTGCCATGACGTATGTAAAGCCCTCGAGCGGGCTTGAACCTTCTGTGTATGGTGGTGGCGGCTCTCCGTCGTCAAGATCTTTACTTGATTGCCCGTCCTTGGTGTCCCGTGGAAGAGCAGCCTTGGTCTCTGCGACAACTGAAGGAGCAGCGGCTGAGCTCTGGTCCTCCTCGAACGGCGGCGCCGGAACAGGCGGCGCGGTGGGAGTTAAGGATTCTGAGCAGGCTGCGGTGACGAGGGCGGTGTAAGGGTCGGTGTCGCAAGGCTCTGGGTAGTATTGGGACGAGAAGCCGTGTGAGCTGAAGGAGGGAGGGGACTCGGCCGCCGAAGCTGAGGCCTCGTCCTTGGGGCGCGCTGAATGTGTATCAAGCCGGAAATGGGAGTCGACGTCTGTTTTTAGGCCTGCCGGCGCGGTGTCATGGAGGGAAGGGGTGGAGTGGACCGAGGAGTGTTCTGAATCCACCTTCGTGTCGCGGCAGGGGAAGGGCGGTGAGGTTGTCGCGCGGGCGGCAGCGAGGTCGCTGGCGGAGGGCTGGTATCAAGCGGCGGGCATAGAAGTCGCTTGCGGTGGGAGTCGGTACAGTTGCGCCTTCCTGTTAGGTATTGATGTGTGCTTCGCAATTTCCTTTTCACGTCTTCGCGGGAAGCAGGTCGCGGTTGCCGTGGTGGGTGGTTCAGGTTGGGTGGCTCCTGCCCTGGACGAATTCCGCGGGCATGCACGGGCCAACCAAACTATACCTTACCTTGGAGTCTTACACCTTCAGGCTTCTCGAGACACTCAACAATCAAATCATCACTACCACAGCCAACAACGATCACTCTCGCGGGCAGATCCTCGTGGCTCAACATCCAGTGTCGTGAGCTAGGCAGCAGCTTCGTTGCTGCCATATGGTGATCACACAAAGACATTCAGCGTTTGACCTAGGAGCCACAGACGCCCTCACGCTTAGGAAGATGACTGACTTTACATATCCATCATCTACTCCTTGTTGAAGTCTATTACTATCCGCCCAGCAACTTCGCCTCTCCTCAATGCCTGCACCGACTCATCAAATCTTGACATGCCTCGGACTTCCGCAATCCCCTTCAACAATCCGCGACGAGCATATTCCAGGGCTGCAGCAGTATCCTGCATCGTGCCCACAAGCGTACCTATAACGGAGACGTTTTTGAAAATGAAGAAGTTCGGATCGGTCCCCAGATTGCATAAGCCTGCTGGTGGCAACGCGATGCACATCTGCCCACAACGTTAGTCGCTCTTCTCCGGCCACCTTGGACTTGTACTCACGATCTTGGAGCCCACACGGTCTCCGATATAGGTGAAGGCGTCCTTATACGCCTGGTAGGCTGTGATGAGAACGCCGTGCGCACCAATGCCGTCAGCGACCTCCTTGACCTTGGCTGCGACGTCCTGATGTTCTTTGAAATCCACAAATGCCTCAGCACCTAGCTCTGTGGACAAATTCTTCTTCGCCTCGCCACTATCAATGACGATTGGACGCATACCCATAGCGCGTGCCAGCTGGACACCTTGTATGCCAACGCCACCTCCACCACCGGGAAACACTACCCAGTTGCCAGGTCGAAGTCCGGAGTCGACGAGTGCGCGGTGCATGGTTGAAGCAGAGCACATGATCGGTCCTGCCACTTCATCGGGGACGCCATCTGGGATGCGAGAAGTGTAGATGGCCGGCGAAGTCACATACTGACGGTATGTTCCCTCAGCTACTAATCCGGTGTAGACACCACTCTGGCAATAATTCTCGCGGCCGTTCCAGCAATGCTCACAATTGTGACAGACATCCCACAGAGGCTTGATCCCTGCTCTATCTCCAATGTTCCATCCCTGAACGTTCTTCCCCAACTTCACAACAACCCCAGCTCCTTCATGGCCTGCGCACTTCGTCCCGAATTCGCTCATTGGGGGAACGGCCCAATCGTTCATCATGAAATGGACATCGGACATGCACAGACCGGTGCAGTTCATTCGAAGCAAGAGCTCGTTATCCTTTGGTTCTGGAATGTCCACATCCTGGACTTCAACGCGGAACTCTGGTCCCTCGTTAACACAGACGGCGGCCTTTCCTTTCTCTGGAAGATTGCCGTCCACGGCTTGCGGAGTGTAGAGCTGAGCCATTTCGCAACTGCTGTAGAATCGGCTTTTTTTTTTAACAGAAAGATGAATAGTGAAGCAGCTGCTCTCCCCGACGATGTCGATCTGACGCCTTCTATTTGTACTCTTCATAGGGCCTTGGTACAGCTGGCAATGGCATCCACACCTTCCTCGGTTGGCATTGCGCTCCTGCGCGGGGTAGGTCAAAGTGGCATCGTGCCAGCCCAATAAGCACAGCAACAGAGCGACGACTCGGGCATGAGCGGCTTGCTGTGAAACCAAAGCGGGTCGTGTGCAATCATGGCAAGTGTGCGTCGGCATTGGAGGGATCCATTAGCCAGAGCTCCTTGGAGCTGGGTACTTGCGAAACTTGCATCACGAGGATGGGCTCAGGAAACCTTTGATGTGCTCTGGGTGAACCATCAAGGTTTCTGGTTCTCGCATCCGCATTTGGCTTATCCTGCTAAACGGTCCTCACACCGTTCATTCTTCTTGAAGGGAATCTAATAGGCAGCACTGCGGGCAGTTTCAACTTCGTGGAGCTCGCGGGGAACCCCCCGCCCTCCCCTCTCTCCATCCCCACAGAGATCTGCCCGCATGCTGGGCTCGGCTCGCTCCACGCATGGACCTCCACCCGGACGACTCGAAGGGCTGAGTCGCTGGTCGTCGACTGCATGGGTCCTGATAAGTGATCTTTGTGTGTTTGGACAAACGAGGCCTTGCATGGCACACGGAGTCTAAGCAGACGTCATATCGGCTCCGCAATGCAGCTCTCTGCCTTTCCAAGCTGCCGTGCCGAAGATTTCGATCGCAGAAATAGATGCCATGTGCAGTTGACTGAATTGATAGATGTTTGCTGATACTATATTCGTGTTTGAGGTCGAGACTTCTTTCTTCTGTCTGATAATGCTCCAAATCTTGCACTTGCGCTTTCTCCTCAGAAGTCTCCATCCTCAGGCCTGTAATCGAAGCCTCGGGTACTTTCAGCCATATCTGCTGGAGGATCCGCCGCGCTCGATCTTGATGAGCCATTCAGGCCCCGTGGGCGTAATGATGGCGCAGTTTCAACGCGACCGGCTTAGGCCTGCTCCGTGGGTATGCATCCTGCTCTCCGCTCGTCGATGGCACAGATTTCGATCTGATATTGCCTTGCACCTCACAAGTTCATGGGACTCCTCTCGCAATCTTACATAGGTAAGGTCACTCTCATCCCGTCAGTCCGCCCACAACCTTCAAACCGCCAGGGTCTCCCGAATACGCGACCGCATATCTCAAGGGATGCCATGCTACGTCCCGGACCGGATTGTTCGTCTCTGCGGTATGCACGCATTCACCCGTATCGGTATGGTAAATGTGCAATCCCTTGTCACCATCCTTCTGGCCATCGTGTCCGTGTCCAGCGACGAGGTATTGCCCGTCGAACGAGAAACTGATATCTCGTACAGCTGTTGTGTAATTCATCAACACATGGTTGGCTTGTAGTGTCGTTGTATCCCAGAGCGTGACGAGGGAATCTGCAGACCCTACTGCGAGCGTGGTACCCGCGGGAGATTGCGCTACGGAGTATGTGGCGGAAGTATGTGCGGTAATGGTGTGAATATGTTGCATGTCTGGATAGGAGAAGATGTAGACTGGGCCTTCGGTTGAGGTAGCGATGAGCTCTGTTCCGGCGTGTGTAAAAATCATTGGTCCGAAGAACCATTTCGCTTTCCCTCCTGAAGGGTCTAGAGGCTTAATGGAAGAGTGGTCTGTTGCGTCCAGTTCATACTTGAGATTGGCTGAATTATTGCTGGCGGGGTTTGATGGGATTTCCAGAAGGGCATTGTCGATTTTCCGTACGTCTAGGACGGCGATGCTGTCGCTGTGTGTTCCGGAGAGGAGTTGTTTTCCATCTGGATGCCAGTTCAAGAACATCCCTCGCGCGTCTGTTAGGCGATGCTCTCCTGCTTTTGGGGTGATGCCTCCTTTCCCTGCAGCTCCGCCTACCGGTCCTCCTGCTAAACCTGTTCCCCCGCCAGGTAATCTTACATCCCACAGCTTCACCACTCCGTCCTGCGCCGTGCTAGCCAACAAACCCTCCGTCCTGGGATTGAATTGCACCTTCTCCACGGTCTTGCCGTCATGCGCATATGCTGTGCTCGTCTTTCCCGTAGTAGTTCCCACCGAATGCGCGTCTTTCATCTCTGTGCTAGCTCTGATATCTGGTCTTTCGGGATTCCAGACCCGGATATTCGTTGTCATGCTGTGCGCTAGCATGCTGCCTGTAGGATTCCATGCTGGACTACGGACGTTGGGTACTAGTGTCGGTGAGGGACGCTGTGTCTCGGAGAAGACGATGGCCTTCTTGGCTGGGAAACGGTCGGCGACCTCGTTGAAGCCCAGCCTGCGAGGGCGGTAGGGCGGTGCCATTGCGGGAGCAGAAGGTCGGTGAGGGCAGCGACAAAGGTCTGGACTGGGCTACCGCATCGGAGAAGAGTTCGCGAAGTCTATGGTCCGATAGCGACCGTGGGCAAGTTTCTCGTAAGCTTTGGCGTATGCAGAGTATAGTTGGCGTGCATGTGAAAAGCGCGAAGTGAATGGCTGCTCAGAAGCTTGGACTCGCGCGACACATTTTCGATGCCGAGCTCGGGATCGATCGATCCGTGCGAGCAGGGAAAGTGGGAGGAGAGAACCTGCTCCCCGGTAATAATTACCAGGGAACAACACCCAAGCCAGCAACGCGACTTCAGCTCCCCTCTCTTTCACGTCGACAATATGTTCCTAACATCCTACGTTTCACATCTCAAGTCGCGTGTCCGTTCTTTGATCTCACTGCACTAGCCACACTGCTTCCGCCACTCCCTTTCGTCACCGCCCGATCGCATGGGCGCAAGATCATCGGACGCGAAGTTTAGTCTACCGCGGGTCGAGCTTCCCGCGCCCCATCATCAAATCAGCTCACAGCACTGCATCGGCAAAACCAGCCTAGTTCAGCGGCGCAACGGCGGCGACGAGGTCACTCGGCATCACGTCGTGAGCGAGCCCTCCCAAGATGCCCTCCTCCTCATCAACCAGCTCGCCGCCTTCACTGTATCTCCAGCGAGGCCCGCCGCGGGCGCACGTCCGCTACGCCAGCGACTCGAACATTCCGCACACCGTTTACCACCATCCTAATACGATCATGGAGGACGTCGACCGGGAGACACGGCCGGGTTTGGAGACCTTCGATTCCAGCGGCACTGGGAGTGGAAGTTCGAGTGGTGAAAGGGACGAATACATCCCTGGTCAAGAAGGTGGGGCTTTCAGCGATAGCGAGGGAATATCTTCCAGGCATTTTGGAGCAGCGCAGGGCGTGGACGAGACGACACCTTTGACGAACTGGAGTAGCTACGCGTGGACACCAAACAGTAGTATCGGGAGGCAGAGCATGCGGTCCTCCGTGGCGCCTACGCCAGGATCGCAGTATGATTCCCTGCCGCCCGGGGCTGCGATGACGAACGGTACCGTACCAGCTCAAAGACCGTCACGACCTGCCAATACGCGACAACCGAGTAATGCATACGCGCCAGCTAGGAGACCGCACCAATATTCGATTAACACCTCTGCAAGACCTCGCAATTCTTCTACTCACAGGAAGAGAAATCCAAACGCGGAATACAGGGCACAAGAAAAGGCCTACGTACAGCGAATACGGCAAGATGCCCCTCACATGGACGAGCTATTCAATGGCGAGCCTAGGACGCCTAGCCTTGATTATAGCTCAGGGTCTGAATCGGATGAGGAATCTCCAACGGCAGGCAACTACGTCGATCATGATGTGGGAGAGGTAGACACGTTAATGTACTATGGCAACGAAGATCTAGAACCCTCAATGGAGGAGCTGAAGATACCTGCAAATCGTGAAAGATTGGAATGGCATGCGATGTTGGCCAATGTGCTCACGGGCGACGTCGTGAAGCAAGAGAAGAAACGTTTGATTGGCGGCGCTGAGCAGGGAAACGATAATACGTTGAAGACGGAGGTGTGGATAGGTGTGCGGGCAAAGACTTGTGGTCGGTCTGTTGCTGCGCAGAAGCGGCTGATTGAGGATGGACGATCGAAGATCAAAGCTCAGATTGAGTCCATTGTTGCCTTTGAGATCAAAGGCGAGGCCGAGGTTGGCAAGTCGCCCGTCGAGCAGGTGCAAGAGATTGTCAAGAAGATCGAAAAGATTGAAGGGCTCTACCCAACACGACAGACTTTTGAAGCTGCACATCCCCGGGCTGCGAGTACTGCGTACAAAGAGAGCTGCGACGCGGTCATAGCATGGCACAACACAACGGAGCTGATCAACACGGAGCTGGGCATTCTACAAAGCTGGGTCGGCAACGTCGAGCTTGATTTCACGAAGTCGCGAGATCGACCTGGAGGCGAGGAGGGAAACCACTTGTTCGACGACAGCTCTTTCATCGACCGGATACTGAAAGAGGATGGACTAAAATCGCTGCAGGGCGAGAAGAGCTTGCTCAATGGTGTCAACACCGTCATCCACAAGGCCAAGGCTACGCTGATCGGGAATGCGGAAGCCTTCGCTGATCGACATTTGCCGCCATACATCGAAGAACTGCTCACCCTGATAAACTTTCCCAGTCGCCTCATTCAGGAGATCATCCGGATGCGTTTGTCGTACGCTAAGAAAATGAAGGACTCAGCACAACAAGGCGTGATGACTGCAGAGCAGATGATTTTGCAATTTAGAATCTTGCTTCAGCTGGCTGTGAAAATCAAGGAGTCGTACAACGCAATCGCGCAACCCGAGCCAGGCTGGGACCTGCCGCCATGCATCGATGACAATTTTGACTCGGTAATACTGGACGCCTTGCGTTTCTACTTCAAGATGCTGAACTGGAAATTGATGGCAAACAAGAACACGTTCAAGGAAGCCGAAATTCTTGAACAGGAGTGGGACTTCTCCAACGAACTAGGACGACATCTGGACGGTGGAGATGTCGAAGTCGCAGAACAGTTCTCCAGTCTCACTTCGAATTCAATGGGTCGACTCGCGAAGCACTTCGAAAAGGAACTTCAGCGGCCGCCAGAGGAGATGTCTGGCACTGTCGAGATGGACAAGAGATACAAGGCTATATTGGACTCCGTCCGTGTGAGACAAAGAAAGATCTTCCGCTTTGGCAGGATTTTGGGCCAAAGATTTGAGAATGCCACAGAATACAACATCAACATCAACAACGAGGTATTCGACGAGCTGCTCCTGGCCTTGAGGCTATCTGGACACTTCCTCGTGGAGACACCCGCCACAAGCCCGAACGGAGATGGCAAACATCAGTCGAATATCTATATCATCGCCAGTCCAGCTTTAGCAGGCAGAGCCAAGGACATCCAAAGCATGCTCGGGACATGCTACCACGCCGAGGACAGTCCAGAAGATCCTAGCAATCCATATGTCCTTATCCTAAGACCGGAGAACCCACTTCTGTGGGAGGGGTCTCGCATGGAAGGTACGCTCAGTAATGAGATGCTAAAGACGCCGCAGTCGCTCGGTCTGACCACTGGGCGTCTGCGGCTTGTTGCAGATGGCAGCCAGCAGCGTCTGGCAAACGCCAACATGACATTTGCGAACGCGACTGGCATGGACCTGACAATTCTTGTGGAACAGCGCGCCAACCTTGGTAGAGTCAATCAGGAGCTGGCCAAAATTCGCAAGACTGCTCACAAGTTGTCCAACACCATCATGGACTCAGTTGCTATTGTTCGTTCCCAGACCGAAGCTGCAGGCAGGAAATGGGAGAGTCAGGAACTCATCCAGACGTGCTTCGCTTTCGCAACCGAGTTCGGACAGCGTTCTGCCATCCACATGGACGTACAAAGAAGGGCGATCAATCAGCATAAACTTACCAAGCTGGCGCTAGACTGGGTGTCGTTTATTTGCGACGATTGCGTTGCTTCCGATCGCAAGACTTTCCGATGGACTGTGGTCGCTCTGGAATTTGCAATGGTGATGACAAGAGGTCAAAACATCCTTAGTATTAGTGACGAAGAGTATGCACTGTTGAGACAAAAGGTCGCTGGGTGTATGAAACTGCTAATAAGCCACTTTGATATCATGGGTGCGCGAGGAACGGTCGCTGCTCAGGCCGAAAAGCAGAGAATGGACGCCATGGTGGGAAAGCTTAGACTGGACATTGGAAAGCTCAAGGATGACGAAGAGAGCTCTCGGATTGTACGCATGCAATGGCTGGACGAGCTGGAGAAGATTGATCAAATTCGCAAAGACCGCGAGGCCGAACGACAGAATCTTGGCCGAGTGCTGGAAGATTCAACAGACGCAGACCGAGCACTCACGCATCTGTCAGCGTCGGCTGGGAACGTTCATCTCAGATGGCAGCAGGGTCAATTCGTCGGTGGAGGAACTTTCGGCTCCGTCTATGCAGCCATCAACCTGGATAGCGGCCACCTGATGGCAGTCAAGGAAATTCGTCTCCAAGATCCGAAGATGATCCCGACAATTGTGGCGCAGATCCGCGACGAAATGGGTGTGTTACAAGTGCTCGACCATCCCAACATCGTGCAATACTACGGCATCGAACCCCATCGTGACAAGGTCTACATCTTCATGGAATACTGCAGCGGTGGCTCGTTGGCAGGGCTTCTGGAACACGGTCGCATTGAGGATGAGACAGTCATTCAGGTCTATGCGCTACAGATGCTTGAGGGTCTTGGATATCTACACGAGGCCAATGTAGTCCATCGCGACATCAAGCCCGAGAACATCTTGTTGGACCACAACGGAGTTATCAAGTTCGTTGATTTTGGTGCCGCCAAGGTCATCGCCAAGCAAGGCAAAACCATCGTCGCAGACGGTGCAGATGGAAGAGGTCGTCAGCGCTCTGTGCAAGGAACACCGATGTACATGAGTCCCGAAGTCATCAAAGGAGCTCCGTCGGGAAAGCACTCGCACGCCCGCCTCGGTGCAGCAGACATTTGGTCTCTCGGCTGCGTCATCAGCGAAATGGCCACCGGCTCGCGACCATGGGCGAACCTCGACAACGACTTCGCAATCATGTACAACATCGCCAACGGCAACACACCCAACCTGCCCATCAAAGATCAACTGTCCGAAGCCGGCTTGGACTTTCTGAAGCGCTGTTTCGACCGAGATCCGGCCAAGAGGGCTTCTGCCGCGGAGCTCTTGCAGCACGAATGGATTCTGGGGATCAAAGTGCAATTGAGCTTGGAGCCGGGAACGCCTGCAACGCCCAGTGTCAGCGAGGTGAGTTTTGCGTTGAACACGCCTGTTAGCGCTTCGAGCCGGGAGGGAAGTTCATTGAAGCAGGAAGAGACTGTCGAGGAAGAGGAGGCGGAGGGGGACGGCGAGGGAGAGTTTGAAGAGGAAGATGATTCAGGCTCGGAAGGCGATCGGGGAAACGAAGAGCAGGAAGAATAATAATGGAGGACTTCTTTGGATCTGTTGACTTGGATGGATTACCTATTTTTTTCTTTTGGGGCTCGATTCATGGATGTGGATGGGTCTGGCTAGCAGCTTCGCGGAAGGGATAGGGATCCCATTGTTTTGCGCTTTCCGAAGGCTTAGATTCAGAGAGAGAGAGAGAGAGCAGAGAGAGCGGAGGGTGTCACGACTTATTATTACTATTACGATAGCAACATGTGTTGGGAAGGAAGGCGGCATGAGCGTGGGCGTTTTCTCTGGGACTCTATATATAGATATCTGCACCTTTCGATTAAGAAGGCTCGAAATTGTAGTCGGATACCTAACAACGATGATTCAGATTTGTTCGGAATGGCTTTTTCCTTTTTCCACTTCTCTCGGATCTGCATGATAGATATGATAGATAGTGGACTTCCATGTTTTGAAACAGTGAAGAGTGAGTTTTCTTTTGAGATTTTTGATTGATTCTTGAGTTATTTGAGACTGCGATTCTGCAGTGTTGCTTGCTTGATATTGCGTTGCGAGCCGTAATTCACGGTATACGCTCTTTATCCGTCCCGGCCTCGCGTCGTCGGTGGGCGTATGAGGACAGGAAGAGCAGACATTGGCCCCCTTGAATTCCTCAAACCCCCTTGAATTCCTCAAACCCCCCGAAAATGTAAGATCATCCTTCAGATCTCCCCCACGAACCCCACCTCGACCAAGTTCTGCACGGGGACATTCAGTTTCTCAATCTTACTCCTCGAATTCTCCCGCACCCAGAGGAAGAAGCCGAGCACGAAGCGTTTGGCGAGGTTATACGACGGGTTGATGCGCATCTGCTGCTTGCCGACCAGGTAGAGGGATTGGCGGGCAAAGGCATCATCCAGTCGTCTTAAGCGAGAAGCGGTGATGGCGTCCTGCTGGACCACCTCCGCCTCCGCCGGATCTTGTTTCTCGGCCGAGGAAGAAGCGGCCGAGGAGGAGCCCGGGGGACGCGCGATGCCGCGGACGATGGCTTTGCGGACTTCTTCGTATACCAGGCCGGAGAGGTCGGGTGTGATGACGTGGTCCGAATAGCCATGACGGATGATGAGCCGGTAGACATTCTTGACGCTCGTCCTCGTCACTTCGAAGCGATCTCCCTCGTCCACGTGTGGAATGCTCAGGGCTCGCATGTGCATGAGCACCACGACATCCATCTGTGCACGGAATTTCTTCAACCATTGCTCGTAGACTTTGGGGGTGAAAGAGCCTGCTTTGTCGAAGAAGATTCCGAACCCGTCGATTTGGGCGAGCTCGCCGCCGCCGTGTTCGTCGGACAGAGCGAGAGTGGTATGGTCCCTGTCTGCGTCGATACTCTTGACGAGAATCCGGGAGAGTTCGTATTTCTCTTTGGCTTCGCAGGCCCATTGTTTTTCTTTGCCGTAGCGCCAGAGAGCAAAGAAAGCTGCGATTACGGCTGCGAGCATCAAGGTGAACCAAGCGCCGTCGGGGACTTTGGTCAATGCGGCGCTGAGGTAGAGGCCGTCGAGTGTGACGAAGGGCAGCCAGATTAAAAAGACAAGGATTGGGTGGATACGCCAGACGATGATGGCTACGAGTGCGACGAGGTTGGTTGTGATGAAAGTAACCAGGATGACGCAGACACCGTATGCGTGTCCAATGCGGGTGGTCTGCAGAATCGTGAGTGGTGGGAATAGTGAAATCGAATGCTTGGACGTACATTGTTATAAACGGCCGTAACAATCACACATCCAACCATCAGCAGCCAGTTTGCAATGGGAATGTAGACCTGACCGTGGTGCGTGGTCGAGGTATACTTCATATCAATCTGAGGAAAGTAGCTCGAATTCATGATCTGAGCCAGAAGCTGGAAACAAGCCGTAATTGTAGCTTGAGATGCAACAATGGCCGCCAGCACAGCAAAGACGAGCGACGGGTAGAACATGCCCGGTGGGACAGTGTTGAAGAATGGATTTGACCAGGCACTCGGATCATCCAGCATGTATGCAGCTTGTCCAATGTAGGCCAGTAGTAAGCAGGGATACGCGAGACAGAGCCAAGAGATCTGTACTGCTTGACGGGAGAAGGCGCCAAGGTCTGCGAACAGGCATTCAACTCCGGTAAAGGCAAGCAGAATACCGCCGAGATTGATCCACCCCTCGGTCTTGTTTCGAACAAACCACTCGCCGGCGTAGTATGGCGAGAAAGCCTTGAGGATGGTGTAGTCGTGGACAGCCAGGTTATAGATACCGAAGCAGGCGTTGAAGAGCAACCAGATGATGACGATTGGTGCGAAGGAGGACGAGAGGCGGTGCACGCCAAATGGCTGAAGCAGGAACAGGAGGACCAGGATGGCACAGGAGACTCCGACTATGGTGTCGTTACCGATGTTCTCCTGGGCAGCTTTGATGCCCTGGATAGCACCCAAGACCGACTGTGCAGGCGTGAGGATACCATCCGCCAGTACGAAGCTGACACCGAATACCGCGAACAGCTTGAGCATCGCGTGGGCAATCTTGCTCTTCTCCAGCCACGTCCGAATGCTATGATTGCTCGGGCGTAGCTGGTCTGTGGCGTGTCGTTCCATCTTGACGAGCTGATTGACGCGTGGATCGCGCTTCATGATATCACTGTAGCGCGAGAGGAGGGTATAGATGGCGAATGTGCCTCCTTCACCCTCATCATCTGCCAGCAGAACGATGAAGACATACTTGATGGTGACAATCAGAGTAATGGTCCATATGATGAGGGATACAGCGCCGAAGAGATCGGCTCGGGAAGGGTTGTCGGAGAAGGTGGACGAGTAGACGTAGAGGGGAGAAGTTCCTATGTCACCGTAGATGACACCGGTAGCCTGGTACGCGAACCAGAGCAGCGTCCATCCTTTGAAGACCTATGAGTGAATCAGTTTTACGTGGAGAACGAGCACAGATGCTTTGCTGTGCCCGCTTGACGAGCCAGCACCGACATACTTGGCGCTTCTTGAAGTCGCTCTCGCGGACGTTGGGCTTGCCCTCGTCGACTTCGGTCTCGTCGATGGCGATGCGACGCTTGTAGACGCTCTGTTGGGTCCCGATACGGTGAATTGGGTCCTGTGCAGCCGGAACGCCTTCGTCCGCCATGTCGAGCGCGTGCTGGGCAGGAAACGGAGCGAAGCAGTTGACGACGTTGGGAGGAGTCGAGGGCCGACTGAATAAAGAAAAATACCACCTCTACAACCCGCACTCATCAGCTACGCCAAACAAAGAAGCTCTGCCGCGTGGGTAGCACGTGTCTCCTCGGTCCTACGTCAAGCTAGCCATGCGATCGACGTTAGCGATTTTCTACTCCAATCTGGTTTCGAGCCGTCGGCCGGGGAGTCAGCGCCATTCCCAAAGGAATGCGGCATTTTCTGGACAGCTGCCTCTCGTATCGCACCACGCAGTCGGGGGAATTCGTGGGTAGACGCAGGATAAGATGAGGTCGTTGTCAGAGTATGACAGATACGATGCGGTATTGCATGTGAGAGGAGGAATTGGGTGAGATGGTGGAAGATGTACAGAGTTACCGCCCCGTGCGCTAGCGTCGAGTTTATCTCGGGCCTCATTCTGGCCTCCGCACACTCTCTCCATCTCCATCTCCCTCTTCTCTTCAACCTCATCTTTCACCCTGTATAATCCATCATCTGTACATCTCCACTGGAATGGAAGACTTCACATAATCATCCTGACTACGCATCAAATGTAAGTAGCGCCAAGCCACCTGCTTGCCCCAGGCACGCCCTGTCATAGCCTTTTCCAGCAACCAGCTACAATGCCACCTCACATCCTCTCCATATTCCCCTCTTTTCTATCAAGATAGCCTTGCAGAAGGGCGTACACACACAAAAAGACATAAAAAACAACCCACGCCGAACAACCCAAGAACCACCAGAAAAAACTTCTCCCCGGGAAAAAAAAACCCATCATCTTCCCTCCGGAAAACCTCCTCAAATCGGGCAGCTTTTTCTTTCATCATGACCTCCCAGGAGATTCCGTGGACCTCCCTCAAAGCCCTCTCCTTCGACATCTACGGAACCCTCATCGACTGGGAGACCGGCATCGCACACTCCGCCCGCGCCACCGCCCTAGGCCCCTTCCTCCCGTCGTCCCACAAGCAACTCATGCTCGCAATCGAACACCACGACACCACCGTGCAACGCGAACACCCCACCTGGCCGCAGACGCGCATCATCGCCGAGGGACTCCGCCGCTACGCCAAGCAACTCGGCGTCGTGGAGCGAGGAGACCTCACCGCGGAGCAAGTCGAAGCCGCGTGCGAGCAGTACGGAAGCAAGATAGGAGAATACCCTGCCTTTGTAGATAGCGTGCAAGCCATGCAGCGTCTGGGGAGGCGGTATCGACTCGTCCCGCTCTCGAATGTAGATCGCGCGTCTTTCGCGCAGACTCTCCGGGGCCCGCTCCGGGGTTGCCCGCGTTTCGACGCCGTCTACACGGCCGAGGAGATCGGGTCTTATAAACCCGACCTTGCCAATTTTCGTTACCTTCTGGAGCATGTGAGGGGGGATTTTGGCGTGGAGAAGGGCGAATTGTGTCATGTCGCGCAGAGTTTGTTTCATGACCATGGACCTGCCAAGGAAGTGGGATTGTTGCACAGTGTGTGGGTGGATCGGGGCGGCGAGATGGGAGGAGACCCAGAGCATGCGCAGGAGAGGTTTGGGTTCAAGGTGAAAGTGCAGACGTTGGGGGAATTGGCGGAGATTGTGGAGAAGGCGTGGGAGACGGCCGGGAAGTAAGATTTATGATGGCGAGAGGGAGAATGGGTTTGTTGTGTTAGGTTCTTCTTAATTGCCAGAGTGCAACAGATATTTAATACAACCCATACTCGTTCTCATCCCACGCTTCCAACAAGTACCAGAAAAATCAAGGAAATTGGTATATCCCATCCCATCCCAACCCTACCCTACGCCTTTCCATTTCCTCTTCCAGACTTCAAGCATCCATAACCTCCCTGACAACCTCCAACGCCAGCCCCTTCACAACCTCACTCGTCCCACTAGCATCCACAGCCAAAACATCCCTCCCCAATTCCTCCTCGGTAGGAATCTCCAAACTCTCAAACTGACTCCGAACCATATAATCCTTCATATAATGCCCCTGCCGCGCCCTCACCCGCTCCATGAGAACAGCCTCCGAAGCTTTCAGAAAGACAAAGTGCACCCGTACGTGTGGGTGGTGATACGCGGCGATGCGCATCACGTCGCGGTATTTCCGCTTCAGGGCCGAACAGGTGACGATGACGCCGTCCGACGACGATTCGGAGAGCAACGTCTCCAGGGCGGTCTCCCGGAGCAGGATGAGCCAGTCCCATCGGTCGGCGTCCGTGAGGGGCTGTCCTTCTGCCATCTTCTTCACGTTGCCCGGGGGGTGGAAGGCGTCACCTTCGAGGTAGGGCAGGTCGAAGGTCTGGTGCAGGTGTTCTGCTACGGACGTCTTGCCGCAGCCCGCGGGGCCCGTGATGACCCAGATGTGTTTTGTTCGCGGGGGAGAGGAGGTGAGAGGGCTCGTGGAGGAGAAGGTGGAAACGGCGCTGTCGGCTTTCGAGGCCATGGGGTGGAGGTCGCTGGCGGTTGTGGGTTCGGAGGGAGGTGTCGGTGGAAGGTTGTGCTGTCGTTGTGTAGTGGTCTGCATCTTCGCTTCTTTTGCGATTGCGGCTCGTCTGAAGTGATGTCGACAGGGAGGGAAAGTGTCGCGACTCGTGTGTTGTAATGTGATGGTGTGATGGTATGGTGAACCTAGCTGGGAAACCCCGAATTCGAGATTCGTAATTTTAGAGGTGAGTATCCTTGTCGTTATCGATGCTACGATAGTGCTACGCGGGGGAGGAGAGGACGAGATAGGCCTGCCGGAGAAATATGACAGAGAAAAGCAGCAGCAGCAGCAGCAGCAGCAGCAGCAGGCAAGAAGAGGGAAGGAGAGCAAGGAAAGGAATACCGCACCTATCTATACCTGTGCCACCTACTAGGCGAAGGCACAGGCGCAGGCGCAGGCGAGCCACCAGCCGGAATCGATTGCCTTGGCTTGCCTTCGGAAGTACAAGCGGCGGTGAGGCAATGGAAAACTAGGCGGCCTTTTGTTTATCCCTGGTATCTCGCAGCGGGACGACTTCCTATTGCTTGGGGGGAAGCGAATCTAATTGCTCAGGTACGAACTGACGTTGGTGTTTTGGGGGGTTTCCCGAATCCGAGACTTCGTTCCGATGAACCCAACTTGCTGGGCAACACCCGATCCGTCAGATGCCGATGTCAGATGCCGACACCACTGCACCACAGAGCGGATATAGATGTGGATCGGAGATCTTGATGGTTGCACAGGTTGATAGTTGGATCGGGGATGATTTCCCGTCCTAACAGATGAGAGCGCTAATCATGTAAGATGAATAATAACTTCTATCGTTCGCAAACAAAGCCTCGTACGCCGCCGCCTCATGCAATATCTATACGAATCGCTCATAATATGGTAATCGTTCAAAGACTTCAAATGGGTAGCTCGCCTTGAAATCGCTTTCAAGAAATTCAATCTCCCTTGCCACACATTCAGACGTAGTTGGATGGGTACAAAACCTCCTTCTCGGGCAAAAAGCCCTCCTTGATAGCACGCATGCTCACGAATCTGCTGAGCAGGTTTGCGGATCCAGCCTTGTCGTTGGTACCAGATGCACGCGAACCACCAAATGGCTGCTGACCCACAACGGCACCGGTCGACTTCACGTTTAAGTAGAAGTTTCCTGCAGAGTTGCGAAGAGCATTCTCGGCGAAGTTCAAAGTATGTCTGTCCTGAGCAAAGACAGCGCCCGTAAGAGCATAGTCGGACGTCTCGTCGATGGTCTTGCAGATATCCGCAAAGGCCTTGGTTGCGTCCTTGGTATCATCGTAGACATAGATGGTCAGGATAGGTCCGAAGAATTCAGTGCTCATGTTCTTGTGTTGGGGATTCTTGGTCACATAGATGGTAGGATGGATGTAGTAGCCCTCGCTGCCATCATGTTTGCCGCCAACCAGCAGCTCGAGTTCGGAGTCCTTGTTCGATTCGTCGATGGCTTTCGAGAGCTTGTCGAAAGATTGCTGGTGGATGACAGGTCCGATGAAGTTGTCGAACTTCTCGGGCGATCCAATCTTCAACTTCTTCGTCTCCTCGATCAGGAGAGGTTTGGCCTGCTCCCAGGTGCTAAGGGGAAAGTAGGCGCGCGAGGTTGCAGAGCACTTCTGACCTTGGTACTCGAAAGCTCCTCGGACAGTGTTGATAACAGCATTGTGAACATCCGCCGATTGGTGGACAAGATGAAAGTTCTTACCACCAGTCTCACCAACGATGCGTGGGTAGCCCTGGTATTTGCCTTCCGCAGTGTTGGCACCGATCTGGCCGTACAGCTGGCGGAAGACCGCAGTGGAGCCAGTGTAGTGGAGTGCCGCGAATTGCCTATGTGACAGAATAGTCTTGGTGATCTCGACAGCGTCACCCGGAATGAATTGAATGACATCGCGAGGCAAGCCAGCTTCGATCAAGATCTGGTAGACTAGCCAGTTGGAGGCAATTGCAGCTGGAGAAGGCTTCCAGACCACAACATTGCCCATAAGCGCCGGTGCAGCCGGAAGATTGCCTGCGATCGCCGTGAAGTTGAACGGTGTGATGGCGTACACAAAGCCCTCCAGCGGCCTGTACTCCACGCGATTCCAGACGCCAGGGGCGTTGTGCACAGGTTGTTGCGCATACACATCCTGGGCGTACTGAACGTTGAACCGCAAGAAATCAGCCAACTCCGCAGCGGAGTCGATTTCGGCTTGCCAAGCATTCTTGCCTTGTCCAAGCATTGTGGCAGCCATGATGTCGTATCGGTATTTTGTTCCCACTAGATCGGCCGCCTTCAAGAACACCGCTGCCCTATCTGCGAAGGGCAAGCTTTCCCACGAGCTCTTCGCTGCCAAAGCCGAATCGATGGACGTCTGGACATGTTGTGTGGATGCGTTCGACCAAGACGAGATGGATTGCTTATGTGACGCAGGGAAGGGTTGCTCGGAGATCTTCGAGGTCTTGATTTCTTTGCCGCCGACTACGATCGGGACCTGCAAGGGAGCCTTGGATCGGAGGGTCGCTATAGCCTCAGCGAGCTTCGCTCGGTCCACGGAGTCCTTCTCATAGTGTTTCTGGAGCAGGTCAGCTCGCTCTCAGCGAGTCTTGAACAGGTCGTTGTCCTTACGTTTGGTTCATTGTTGATCGTAGGCACCCTGAAATTCGCCAAAGTAGATGTGCTTCTCTGTGCGACTCGTACGCCCGCAGATGTGGTCGAAATCTTGAGCGAGCTCCCAAGCTGCTGCTGGCAAGTCTGAAATGTCCGCGAAGCCATTGCGAATGTGTTGTGTGAATATGGGAGGAAGAAGATTGAAGCAAGAGGCCTCTTGCAATGGGTATTGTGAAGCTTGAGCTCTGCCTGCTGCTTCGGCTACCGTCGGCCTTATCAGCTTCAAGCAAAGCTCACACCTTGCAGGGCTGCCCCGGCTGTGGGGGAAAGTGTCCGTCGCTGCCAGATACGCCCGATCTCGGCTGGTGACCCAAGATTGATTTCCCGGTGCTTCATCTTTTCGACCGCGCTTGGTCGCGGCTGTGGAACGAGAGATTACCAGTAACCAAAACGAGTTTGGTAAAGAATCTTCGCACGCACGCAGATAAGGACATGTCTCCGCGAACGGCTCAACGCGGATCACGACGACCATCTGCCCGAAGTGATGCCTTGACGCTACGGTATCCAACAGACCAACTACCGCAGCCCAACCAGCATCGACGCCGGGTCTTCCAGCAGCGATTTCACCCTCTCCGCGCATCTCGCACATTCCGCGCCGTCTACAACTCGGTGGTCCGCGCTCCAGCTAAAGATCAGCTCTTCGCGCTTGACCAGCTGATCGTTGTCGTCGAAGGCTGGTACAATCTTGCTCCTGCCCACGCCGACAATGGCCACTTGTGGCTCTGAAATGACGGGAGCCACCACACCTCCACCGACAGATCCAATGTTGGACACGGTGAATGTCGCGCCGCTGAAGTCTCCAGGAGACAATTTATTGTTGCGCGCTGCTTCGGAGAGTTGTCGCATCTTGGCTGCAATCTCAGCAATGCTCAAATCTTGCACATTCTTGACAATTGGCACAACAAGTCCGGCTGGAGCGTCGACTGCTATTCCAAAGTTGTGGCTCCCGCGATACGTAAGTTGTGGTTTCTTCGGATCCTTGGTATCTAGCGACGCATTCAGAAGAGGATGGCGTAGAAAAGCCAAGCTAATGGCCTTCATGATGAAGGCGAGGTGCGTGAGCTTCTGTTCGGGAGATGCGGCGGCATTGAGCCTTTTCCGTAGTGTCGTCAGCGCTGTCATGTCCGCAGAACAGCTGTATAGGAAGTGAGGAATGTTCAGCGAACGCGTCATGGTCTTGAACATCTGATTCTGGACACTGGTGAGTTGAACTTTGCGATCTTCTCTTGACGCGATCGGTCGGGCAGCCGGTACTTGTGATTGCTGTTGTTGTCCATCCTGCGACACATGGCGATACACATCCTCCTTGAGCACTCTTCCATCCTTGCCAGTGCCTTGCACGTCTGTAATGTCCAGATCATGCTCTTTCACCAGCCTCCTGACGGCAGGAGTAGCAAGTGTGCTCATGTCACCTCTACTCTCCCTTGACGGTGGTGGTCTGGAGTTTGAATCTCGTCCGCCTGTCGGCTTTTCTGTGGGCTCCGGTGTATGCTTGTTTCCCAAGCCCTCATCTTCGACCTCCTCCCTCTGTTCCTCAGTTGCCTCTGCCTCCTCTCCACCACCTCCAAGCTTCTCAGCGTCAGCCTCACTAACCTCTCCCTGAATATCAATATCCACAAGGGGTTTCCCAGTAATGGCCATGTCATCCGGCTCATAATGTAACTTCTTAATCACCCCATCAAACGGACTTGTGATCTCGACACTAGCTTTGTCCGACTGTACTTCGCATAGCTTGTCGAATTGTTCTACCCTCGCGCCAGGCTGCACGAACCATTGTATCAATTGGCATTCTGTGATTCCTTCTCCAATATCTGCTAGAAGGAAGGGTTTGACGACGTCTAGGCGGTGCGAGTAATGGAAGGGACATTGGCGGTTGCGGGGGAAGTAGAGGGGTCGAGGAAGACGATTGGGACGCAACGCTCGTGAGAGGTGTGGTCGTAGCACCGTGTGCATGATTGTACGCTTCTTGATTTCTGACCTCTACGGCCGAGACAAATTCTATGGCAGTGGAGGCATCCTCCAATGGAGGTGATCGTCTCGTGTTTATGAAGAAAGACCCGGGGAAGTTTAGTTTCCCCAGATCCGAGGATCAATCAGCCGCTTGCAGCCGAGTTTAAGCGTACCCCAACCCTAACCCTAAGGGGGTCTCGATATCCGCACTGTACTTTCGCCTTGCGAACAGACTGCATTGACATTTGTATGGCAGAAGAAGCACCGGGTTATTCTGGCATCGAAGTACGCTGACTCTTGGGAGAGCGGCTTGCCCGTCAGATCTGCAGAGGAAACAGTGAGCAAGTCCACAGTTGGCTTTGCAATGTGACGGCACGAAAAGATGCTGAGTAGTGGTGTCTGCACTCACCATCACCGCTTGTGATTTTGGGTTTCGGTGAGATGGTGAGAAACAGCCTTGATGTATTCAGGTCCGGTACGACAGCATCCGCCGATGAGCTTTGCTCCAGCCCCAGTCCAGCGATCCAATTCCTCAGCCAAACCCGGTGTACCCTTGCTGTCTGAGTAGAGAACATCTCCGGACTGGAGACTTTGCCAGGTCTTGGTGGTGGCGTCCCAAGTTTCACCAGAATTAGGATAGCACACCAGGGGAATCGGCGTCAAGGTTACAATATTCTTCAAAGTATCAGTGGCAATCGACATGGCAATGCAGTTGATACCAAAGCCAACAATACGGTCCGCGTGTCCATTGACGAGGTGAAGCACATCGCTCCATGGTGTTCCGTCGCTCAGGGACTCGGGAGATCCGACTGTGCAGCTAAGCCATGCGACAGCATCTGGGAACTCTTCTTTAAGCAATTCAAGGAGCGCTTCGATCTCGTTGACATTGGGTATAGTTTCCAGAGCGAGTAGGTCCACACCCGCATCCACAAGAGCCTGTATTCTGGGCCGATGGAAGTCTTTAAGCTCCTTGTATGTTCTGATATAGTCGCCGCGGTACTCTGATCCGTCGGCCAAGTAAGCACCGTAAGGTCCAACACTTCCGGCGACCAACATTCGGCGTTGAAGACCTTGTTCGTAAGCAGTTTGTCGAGCCTGAGATGCCAGATCTACGCTGGCTGAGATCATATCTCTGGCGGCACTTTCATCCATCCCAAAGTGTTCTCGAAGTCCCGCCGGAGCCGCTTGGTAGGAAGCGGTGATCGCGATGTCCCCACCAGCAAGGTAGTAATCCAAATGCACCTTCTCAATGCTGGCCGGATCATCTTTCAGAATCTTTGCAGACCAGAGCGCATGGTTCAAGTCGGAGCCTCGGGCTTCGAGTTCGGTAGCGAGAGCGCCATCTATCACCAAGGTGCCGCGGGCTTGCAGTAATTTGTCGAAATCCTCTTTTCCAATCATCGTGTGACTTATCTCCTCGGCATGCACGTAGCAGGCAGAAGAAATGAGCGGGCTGAGAAGGGTGACCGGCAGATGGTCAGCTCGTGATATTTCGCCATTTTCCGATGTCAATGCCGGCGAATCCACACGCAGTGGAACATGTCCTGCAACATATGTGGCAACATATATTGCGAGGGGAGCCGGAGCAGCCGATTTTGCCCTGAGTGCTACAATGTAAGATCCCTCTTTTCGAGGCGATGAACAAACTTCAAAGCATCTTCAAGACTGGCCATTCTGTGCATTTGTGGAAACCTGTGTGAAGTGTGAAGGCAATGGAGCTGCCTGAGGCAGAATTCGAGCGGTAGGCTCCCGCATCAGCTGTCACCAACCTAAGCAGCTTGCGATTCAAGAGACACAACACATAAACAACGGTCGATTCGATTGCACGGCGCCTGCCCACGGAAACGCATATACTACTTCGGAAATGTCGCTCTTCTCCTTCTCTACGCCGCTCGATATTGATATCGTCCTCGACAGTACCGACGACAGACCGACTGTGGATGTGAAGCTGGACAAGAACAGGCGGGAGAAATGTCCACTGTATTTGGATGGAGAAACAGTGAAGGGCGCAGTGACGATACGACCCAAAGATGGGAAGCGACTGGAGCATACGGGCATCAAGGTGCAGTTCGTCGGCACCATTGAAATGTTCTTCGATCGCGGCACACACCACGAGTTCCTCTCCCTACAGACCGAGCTAGCTGCACCCGGCGAGCTACAACACCCTGTCACGCTGCCATTCTCCTTCAAAAACGTCGAGAAGCCTTACGAATCATATCACGGGATCAACGTCAAGCTACGCTACTTCCTCCGCGTCACCGTATCAAGGCGAATGGCAGATGTTGTGCGCGAAAAGGATCTCTGGGTATACTCTTACCGACAGCCACCGGAGACCAACAGCGTGATCAAGATGGATGTGGGCATTGAAGACTGTCTGCACATAGAGTTCGAGTACAGCAAGAGCAAGTACCATCTGAAAGATGTGATTGTAGGCCGTATCTACTTCTTGCTGGTACGGTTGAAGATCCGGCATATGGAGCTCTCGATAATACGGAGAGAAACAACCGGCGTACCGCCAAATCAATACAATGAATCGGAGACTTTGGTCCGGTTCGAAATCATGGACGGCTCACCCTCTCGCGGCGAGACCATTCCAATTCGACTCTTCCTAGGCGGCTTCGACCTCACCCCGACCTTCCGCGACGTCAACAAGAAGTTCAGCACAAGATACTACCTCTCGCTCGTCCTCATCGACGAGGATGCGAGACGCTACTTCAAGCAAAGCGAGATCGTCCTCTTCCGACAAGCACCGGAAAATAGCGAGCTCGCGCAGCGGCAGGCCAAAGAGATCCAAGCCAGCTAGGAAGACGCTAATGAGACACGAGGGCGTAATGGCGTTGGGAGGGTAGATTCTGCTTCACTGTTTAGATTTCCTTCTGCCGACGACAGTTTTACACCACATGGGACATTGGGTCAGCGTACTGCCACTCCCGCGCCGGAGAGAGGCGAATGGGGAGTTTTGTTCAAGGAGGCGGCGAAGAAGGATCTGTTGCAGCCGCCGCCTAACGGGTTTCATCATGGGAAGCATAGCAAGGCGCATCGGCGGTATGAGTCTTCGGCCACGATTTGAGAGCAAGCATCTGTATCAGGAAACAAATGGAAAAGTTGTCAAGCTCTTTCGGTCCTTCGTCTCTCGCTCAACATCGCCCGTTGGCTTCATACGCCGGCCAAAACTTCCGGGAGATGCGCTGACGACCGAAAAGATCTTCAGACAAGACTGTACAGAGATTCCTCGACTCTCAGTACGGTAGAGCCCTGGAACTCCATGCGCTGTGCCACAAGCACAGCCCAGCATGGCAGCTGCGCAAATAAGCCATATGCGCTAGGTTAAAGCTCCAATACTCTCGGCGACGACGTTGAAATCGCTGCGATGGATGAATGATGCCCCACTCGCTTGTACCGGGATTATTGCTGCACCAAGGTACACAGTTGCCACGTGCATGCTCATGATGTCTCAATTTGAATGACGCCTACAAGCATGATCAAGCTGTCGCTCTACTGTGGATCTCTCACCCGTCGGGCCTGCTAGCATTGGAGAAGCCGTCTTCTACTTTCAGTAAAACGAGGAATGTGAAAAGTCAGAGTCCAGGCGACTGAATGAATGCGAGATCTCTTCACCAAGTGGTAAGGCAATTGTCTTCCCTCCTGCAGACAATCTCAAGCTTCAAACGTCAAGAGCAACAGATATCTCGCCAACAACAATGCCAATCCATTGAACAGCACCATCTTCACGCAAGCGATCGAGTTGAACAATCGGGCGATCCACGCAAAAAATGCATCGCAAACCACACGGCTCCAAAGCCTTCAAAACCCCTCACGCGCGCCTAGTAGACAATTCCTCTTTCTGGATGGGATCCTCCAACATCCCTTCCGCCTTTTCTTCCACCAGAGGCAATAACAGCATCCATCCTCCCTCTACCACAACCCTAAGCAAGACGCCCTCCTACAACTCACCAACTAGCCCTGACAACTCAACCAAAAACGCCACCGCGGAATTCCTTGTAACAGCCAGAACCGCTAAAAAATCCGAAAACCGATTTCCCGCAAAAATCTTCACCCCAAACACTCCTACAACCAAACAGGAAATCTGCCATTCTAGATGCCCCCCAAGGTGGTGGTGTTCACACGGACACATATCGGGAATGTGTTGAAAGGAGGAGGCGGTTGGAGAAATTTGTTGTTGGATCAGGAAAAAGGGATTTTGGAGGGTTTGGTGAAGCAAGGGAATGGTGAAACTTCTGGGGAAAGTGTTGGAGAGGGCGGAGGGTAGGATTCGGGCGAGGCCTAAAGGTTGAGTGCGATGAGAAGGTGGAGGGGGAGGAGGATGAGTTGATGGTACAGTCAGTCCAGAGCAAATCAAGCTTAGAGTCAGGGTGAGAGGAGTGGCTGAAGGAGGTTGAGGGAATGTGAGTCTACGACGGCCTCGACATGGGGAATGGGGGGCGAGAGGGATTGAAGAGATTTCGACGTCAGATGACCAAAACACACGTATACATATGCAAATAGCCCCTTTTAGGGGAGAGAGAGACATCTTCATCTTTGATAGCTTTCTTCGTTCGTCTGTACGTATATAGCTTACGTCCGAACCGTCATTCTGTCCTATCCTATCCATCGCGCTCATGCCGCATCAAAGACTCCGTTATAATCACATTCCACCCTGTTTCAACAGGTCGATTTTGCTTTTCTTTCTTTCCTCCCATTTTCTTAATCCTTGCACTTAAGCGACTTTGGGTATTTAACGAGAAAACAAAAGTTCCGAGTGTCCCTCAAAACAATACGAAGGGCAAGACTTTGCCGGAGAGAAAACGCCAACACCGCCCATTCGGCAGGGGCTACTCATCCCAAGCCCACGCAAAACAAGTAAAACAATGCGGAGAATGCCACCAAGAGCCAAATCCAGTCTCAGTGCCTCAGCCACAGGCCTTTGCGGGAAACAAATGTAAAACTTCTGCTGAAGCGTTGAAGAGCTTCCGCGATGGCCTCCTACGAGCTTGTGACGCCGATCATGTTGCCGCTAGAACTCGCACCCGTAGCGATAGAGGGAGAATTCCGAGAGCTCGAGAAGGCCTGACATGATAAGCACTCGTTCAGTCTCGTAATTCCACCAAAAAAGCCGTCTGCCACGCTGGGAGTAAATTGGCTATTCGCTTACCCTTTGCTGTTTCTGCCGCTTTGCGCTGCCATTATCCTCGTCATCATCACCATAGCCGACGTAGGTGCCCTCATGGTAGCGTCGCCTCTTCCCAGGGCGATCCGGATTTCCTCTTGCGGTGTTTGCAGGTGAAGCAGCCGCGGGTTGAGGATTGGCAGCGGCGCCGGCCGGAGTACGGTTTCCCGCGGCTACAGTCTGATCGTCCAATCCTAACATGTTGTCCCACTCGCGATGCTCCTTTGGAGGAAGCTTGCCGGGAAGCATGTCAAATGCCGCGCCCAGCTTGGAGAACAAGTTCTCGCGGTCTTCGGATAGGTCGAGTCGCTTGCCTTGGTTTGCGTCTTCTTTCGTCCAGGTGTGCACCCACAAGGTATCTCCCTCGGGAGTTCGCTCGTCCCATCCGGGGTGGAGAAGACCACCCAGTTCTCCCTGATTCGACTGCGCCTTGTTTCGACCATCCAGCTTCAGGTTCTTAACCTTGTTCTCGTAGGACTTGCGCAGCTTATTAATCTTCTCGCCGGTCACGGGATCGCGGCGCGCGACAGACTGCTGGATCTTCTGCAGGCCATACAGCTCGATGAAGTTCTGCGACGGATGCGGTTTCACAGGCTCAACTCCTGCAAGGTTGGCAATGCCGTTTAGCAAGGCATAGCACAGTCACATGCTATGCGTAGAGTATACTTACGGGACGTGGAGAGCTTGTAGATGCGCTGCGCGCCCGGTGTTGAGGGCATGCCTGAGTCGAGCGCGCCTTTCTCTTGCCGCTCGTGATCCGTGCGTCTGTGCTCTGCATCCACCATCGTAACAACTTTTGCTACTCGGCCCTGTCGATCCGCCATCTCTGCATCGCCGTCGCCGTCCTTCCGCATCTCGCTGCCGTCCTCCGTCATGGGGGTCTGTCGGCCACTCTCTCCTCCTGCGTCGCTACTTGCTCCCCGTCCAGCCATGTGGCCCTGATAACCTGCAGTACTCGGCGGCGTGGGGAAGTGAGAGCCGCTGGTGGGCTGCTGCTGATTGGAATTGGAAGGCGCCGTCCATGTCGGAGACATGCGTACGCTCGGTGGAGGTGTCTGCGGAGAGACAAAGGAGGCCTTTGTGTCGGCGGTGGGCAATGGACTGGCGGGCGAGTATGGGTCGTTCAGGCGCTGGCGCTTCGGCGAACGCTCCATGGGCGGTGGTGGTGTTGAGGATGGATGGCGGCGGCGGTGGTGAGGAAGAGAGGGTCGCGGGTCGGTACTAGGTAGGTAGGTCGTGACGGCGGTGGTGGTCGGAAGAAGCGAGGGCAGGCTGAGGCGAAGGTGGCTCCGCCCGAGACGCTAAACTCAAACCTTAAGTTCTGCACGTGCTTTCGTGATCCCCGACAACGGGGTAAGGTACGTGCTGTGCGTGTACAGTGAATCTTGCATCGATATTCACCGATGTGAGGACGCAAACACGACATCGACTCTTTCCGATCAGACGAGAATGGCGGATGAGATCCAAGACGACGGGCCCGGAACAGCTGGCTCGTCGTCCTACTTCTCCAAGGCCGCCACCTCGCTCCAGAAATCGACAAGTGCATCTAACTCGCGACCAAACGGGCAACAGTCCTCCCGACCACAGACGCAACCCGGTCTGGACCGTCAGAATGGCGCATCGGCTCCACCGAAGCCAGCAGTCGTGCAACCGAAACCACAGGCTCTGCCAAAAAGAAGTGGACCATCTTCGATCATTGTCTCGCCGCGCCAGAAAGGAAACCCTGTCTTGGAGAAGATCAGACAGATGCCCTGGGAATGGGGAGAGATCCCGGCGGACTATCTTCTTGGAACGACGACGTGCGCTCTGTTCTTGAGTCTCAAGTATCATCGATTGCACCCGGAGTACATCTACACTCGCATCAAGAACTTGCAAGGAAAGTACCTACTTCGGATTGTCTTATGCATGGTCGACATTGAGAACCACGAGGAGAGCCTGAAGGAGCTTAGCAAGACCAGCGTCATCAACAACGTCACGATCGTCTTGTGTTGGTCCGCAGCAGAAGGTGCACGATACTTGGAACTCTTCAAGACGTACGAGAACGCTGCACCGACGTCTATCAAGCAGCACCAGTCTACCGCCTATGCTGATAGAATGATTGACTTCATCACAACGCCACGCGCAATCAACAAGACAGACGCCGTGTCCCTCGTCTCTCAGTTCGGCAGCGTCCGCGGTGCAGTGAATGCACGACATGAAGAAGTCTCAATGATAGCAGGCTGGGGCGAGAAGAAAGTCCAACAGTGGTGCAAAAGCGTTCAGGAGCCTTTCCGCATTCAGCGAGCGGCCAAGCGAGGCATCAATCTGGAGAATTTGGTTGCCAGTCAGCCAGCCTCGCGTGCTCCAACGCTGTCCCGGGACGTCACGAGAGCAGGAAGTGGATCGCCAGCGGCTGAGCGACCGACATCTGCGGCGCCTGATGCAGAACGTAGGCCTATGTCGAGATTGGCTGAGGGAGTGTCTATTGATACCAATACTCACGCTGACGACGAGGATGCTTTGGCTGAAACGATGACTGCTCCTGCAATTCAGACAAAGAAGGCAATGGCTCCGAGTGGCAATGCTGACCAAGAGCAGTCTCGCAAGCGAAAGAAAGACGATGATTCCATGAACGACGGCGTCATGGCAGCATTGAGTAGATTGCGAAAGACTTGAGATTGCATCAACAGGAAGGTCTATCTTGCAACTGCTCGACGAGCACAAGGGGCTTCCCATGCCCTGATCTGCATTGAAACACGACTGTCCGTACAGTGTTACCCGGCACGATAACAATGCCTCCTATGAGGCATATGGCTGGTCATCACTTCATAATCATCAATCGCCGCAGCCGTGCCATATCCTGGAGTGGAGTCATGATCAACTCCAATCAAAACCCTCCGCCATTCTCTTCGAGTATGCCACCAGCTTCAAGCATACATGATCCTCCTTTTTAACCGACCTTCCAAGCGGAGCACCCTTCCCCTGTTCCGAGAAGTCCCTTGGAAAATCCTCCGGAACAGGCTGCTGGTGCCATTCATGCTGCCTTTCTTCCATCTGCTTGAGAACGCCCATCAGATAAACGCAGCATCCATTTCCATCCTCTGGACCGTGGACTTCGGCTCTCACGACCTTCTTACACATTCGTTTCCATTCTTCCGGAGTCAGTTTCACAGAAAAGGCAGCTACACATCCTAATCCGCCGGTATGAAGATGCGACGTGGAAGTATTTGAATCCGCGAGCCGAAATTGCTTCTTTTCGCCGGCTTCTCCCGCCCTCCGAGTCTCTGTCGTGATGGAATGGAGGGTTTTGGAGAAGCCTTCGGTTATGCTCATGAGGAGCGTGCCCATGATGTGGACATTATGTATCGCGGTCATGAAGCGTTTGGGGCATTCTTCACATGTCAGGACTGTGGAGGCTGTCTGCATTGCTTCCCGGAGAGTGTGTAAGGCGTAGGGAAAGCGATTTTCCGTGAGAGTTTGCAGGTTGTTGAGGGCTAGGTACATTGTGGAGAGGCAGGCGCAGTTGGGGAGGAGGCCGCATGGTAGGTCTTGTGTTGTGGTGCCTCCCAGGGCGGGGTCCAAGAGCATATGTGTGCTGTTGTCTCGTTGTAATTCGGGAGGACGATTGAGGAGGTTCGGAGGAGAGTGCGTAGAGGAGTGGTCGGGTGTGAGAGCTGGTGGTCCCACGGTCTCACTGTCGCCGCCAAACTCAGTCCAATCGGTCTGTAACCAAGGTTGCAGGTTTCCACCGGGAGTCAACGCCCCTTCGAATGCATCTCCGAAGCCATAGGTATTAACAGCATTCCCCGTAATCGTAGAATCGACGCCAATCTGCCGCTTATTGGGCAGACCAACTTTCAGTCCATCATCTGTTGGAGATCGTTTCTTCGGTCTTCCCATTTGTTTCTGGGGGGAGTAATAACAATTGATGCTCCCTCTCGCACATCGTGAACAGCGGGGTTGCTCGCCCGTACACTTGAGCTTTTTGGCCCCTATTACATGAATGTCAGACCGTTGTACGAACGTGGGTAATGATAGAACGTGTCCGGTAGCGAGCGGAACGTACTGCATTCGTCACATGCCGCTCTTCGTTTCATGGACCGTTGAGTCTCTTCTTCGGTGTCAGGATGAGAGGTCGTGAGCGTTGCATCACCCTGCGCCATCATCTGTCGTAATCGTGCTAGGGTATCTGAACGGAAGGTATCCGGACGGAAACAACGAGAGCAGAGAAGCAAGAAAGGACGGATAACGTCTCCGACAATAATAGATGAGGACCCAGCACCCAGTTTCGGCACGCCCTGAACTCTTGTCTAGAGTTCTTGTCTTGTGACGTTCAGCTCTCAGCTCGGCTCACCATGGCGATGCAGCATATCGTCGTGTCCAATACATAATGTTCACTTTCAAGTCAGCTCTCTTCCTGATCGGAGAGCTTCTGAGCAATCACTCCGACCGGGCCAGTCGATATCGATGAGGCGGGCATGAGAGTTCTGAGCTGAAATGTCAAAGGATCCATTCCGAGTGATGGAGTTGACGCGAGGGGTCTGTGCGCAGCAATCAGGGTCAGTCAGGCGCGAAGGATCGAGATCCCTGTCCTCCGCGCCGATGCTAGCCAAAGTCAGCTTTGGCGCTAAGAAGAATTTCTGGACGTCGGCTTGGCGAGCAAGCTTCATGTCTCCAGTACACCTCGTAAGACTGAATTGGCTGCGCACGCAATGGCACATCAAAAGGCTGGACAGAAGAGGAAGGTTGTCGAGGTCCCGCGACTAGAAAGTGAGAGCGAAGAGGAGGTCTTGGGAAATGGCGACTTGAACGGCGCATTCGATGAGGGAGACAGCAGTGAAGAGGACAGCGAGGAGGAGTTTGATGGGGATGAAGAGGAGGATGAAGATGAGGATGAAGAGGAAGAAGAGGAACTCGACAGTGATGAGATTCCTTCGTCAGCAGATGAGGAGGATGTCCGCGAGCAAATACGAAACTTGAAGACGAACGATCGAGCGAAAACTCCGCCAGCAAAGCTCATGGGGAGCGATACCGCAAGAGATGTCACTTCGTTATCGTCCGAGACACCGATGATGAATCTTGGGAATGGTCAAGAGAAGCCCAATTACCGCATCGAAAAGGACGCAAATGGCAACGAGCGATATGTGTACAACGAGATCGATCCTGCCTACGACTCGGACGATTCTGATGCACCGGCCACGACAAACACAATTGGCAACATTCCACTTTCCTATTATGACGCGTACCCTCATATCGGATATGACATCAATGGAAGGAAGATTGCGAGACCCGCCAAGGGCGAGGCATTGGATTCTCTGTTGGACAGCATAGACATTCCGGAAGGATGGACCGGTTTGACGGATCCTTCTACGGGCAAGCCAATCGTGATGAATGAGGAGGAACTGGAGACTCTCAAGAGATTGATCAAGAATGAAGCGCCTGGAGAAGGATACGATCCATACCCAGACTATGTGGAGTGGTTTACGGGAAAGCACAGAGAAGAGATCATGCCACTGTCCGCCGCACCCGAACCCAAAAGAAGATTTGTGCCGTCCATGCATGAGCACAAGCGTGTCATGAAGATGGTGAAGGCAATCAAAGAGGGCAGAATACAACCTTTCCACGAGCCCACAGAAGAGGAACGCGAGCGAGAAGAAGCGGAGCAGGAGTTTGCAAACTATGACATCTGGTCGAACGAAGCACCTAGGCCAGACCATCCAATGAATGTTCCCGCACCCAAACTACCACCACCTGGATACGAGGAGAGCTACCACCCGCCACCGGAGTATCTACCTGACAAGTACGAGCAAGAGGAATGGCAGCAGCAGGATGAGGAAGATCGTGAGAGAGACTTTCTACCTCGTGACCATGCTGCTTTGCGCAAAGTGCCTGGCTACGAGAGATTTGTCAAAGAGAAGTTCGACCGTTGTCTGGACTTGTACCTTGCGCCTCGAGTGCGACGAAGCAAGCTCAACATCGACCCTGAGTCCCTTCTGCCCAAACTACCCGACCCTTCTGAGCTGAAGCCATTCCCTACTTTCTGCGATACGACTTACCTTGGTCACGAAGGGCGCGTGCACTCAGTATCTATCGATCCTACTGGGCAATACATTGCCTCTGGTAGCAACGATGGTACAGTCAGACTGTGGAGCTGGAGCCTAGGTCGGCAAGAATGGCGCATCAAGCTGTCATCCTCTGAGCCGGTAAGCGTCGTTGCTTGGCGACCGGGCCTACATACCGCCATCCTGTCGGCATGCTGTGGCGACACGGTATACTTCATTGTACCAGAGATACCACATTTGAGTGAAGAGGTCCAAGATGCATCGCGAGAAGTCATTGATGCAGGCTTTGGATATGCTGCATCTAACCCATCGATAACGAAGACGGCCGACGGTAAGCACAAAGCTTCCAATGCGCAATGGTCAAGACCGCCCGCATCGTTGCAGGAAAAGGGCGTACTCCTCACTCTCACCCTCCGCTCGGCACCCAAGACACTCGCGTGGCATCGGAGAGGAGAATACTTCTCGACAGTGTGTCCAAACACTTCATCGCCTTCTACGGCTGTCGCGATTCACACTTTGAGCAAACACCAGACACAGTTTCCGTTCAAACGACTCAAGGGTCTGGCGCAAACAGTATGCTTCCATCCTTCACGCCCGCTCTTCTTCGTGGCTACCCGACAACGCATTCGAGTATACGACTTGCAAGCGCAGAAGATGGAGAAAGAGTTGCAGCCGGGCGCGAGGTGGATTTCTGGCATCTCTCTGCATCCGATGGGAAGCAACTTGTTGGTGTCATCCTACGACAAGCGCCTGTTATGGCACGATCTGGACCTCGGAAGCACCCCTTACAAGACCCTGCGGTACCATCAGAAAGCTATCAGGAGCGTCAAATTCCATCCGACGCTACCACTATTCGCGGATGCTTCCGATGATGGCACTGTTCAGATTTTCCACGGAAAGGTTGTCGGGGATAGTTTGGAGAATGCTACCGTTGTGCCATTGAAGGTTCTGAGGGGACACAAGATCAAGAATGATCTAGGTGTCTTGGATCTGGAATGGCATCCGAGGGAGGCTTGGTTGGTAAGCGCTGGTGCGGATGGGAGTCTAAAGTTGTGGACTTGAGATGGTTCTGCACCAGAGCTCGTGTAATCCGATCATGTATAGGTACGGTGTAGAAAGTGATGTCCACCACTGAGACCCAAGCAGCTCTTTCGAAACTGTCCAGAATACGTCCTTCTTCCCTGATGACTTGCGTGAATGATGATGTATTGATTGAGTCTCCCTTGAAATTTTGAATGACCCGCGAATGAACCGAAACCGAAGGACTTTTCTGGGACTTCAACTTTCCCTCCCACGCCGTCGTCCTGCGTGCTCCCTTGGCCAAACACAACATGTCAAAACGAAAACGCTCGGAGGACGACGAAACATCCTCCGCGACCGCCTCCAAAGATTTTCGACACCAACGCCAAATCGTAGCAACCTTCACGCAAAGCGCAAAAGAGCTATTACGAGCCTTCAAGAATGCCCGGGGCTTCGAGCGTCAAAAGCTCGGACGCAGGAAGAAGGATGCCGTGAAAGAGGGCCAAAATACAGACAGGATCGACGAGGAAGTGAAAGCTCTCAAAGCGCTGGACCTGACCACGTGTGCGGCGCATTTCCTCGCCAAGAGCCTGGTGAAGATCAAGCGGGTAGCGGAACATGCTGATCTCCCGCTGGAAGTGAGGAAGAGCGCGGAAGGGCTGGGGAGGAAGGATCCGGCTTCTCTGAATGTGTTTGCGAGGCTTTGTAATTCGAACCCGGTGAAGACGAGGTTTGGGGTGCTCTGTGCGGCTGTTAAGAGGGAGTTTGGGGTCGATGATGGGGGTGAGGTGGGGCCTGTGAAGAAGAAGAGGTTGAGAGCGAAGGACTTTGATGGAAACAGAGGAGACGAAGCAGATGTTGAGCGTCGAAGGGAAAAGAAGCAGGTGAACGGTGGGGCGGTTGAGTCGGACAGCTTTGAGGGATTTGGTGATAGTGATGATGCGTCCGAAGATGGCATGGCGCAGTACCGGGCAAGGCTAGCCTCTTCAGACGAAGAAGACGAGGAGGAAGGTGACGTTGAAATGGGCAGCGACTCGGACATCGACGTGGACGATCTGGAGCGGCAACTGGCTGCTGAAGGCATTTCCGCCAAAGGCGCAAAAGTGCAATCGAAGCCCTACGACCACGCGGCAGACCTCTCGCTATCAGAGGCATCACAAGCAGAATCAGAAGACGAAGGACCCCAAATGGCACCCGCGCCCAAGAAGTCCTCTTTCATCCCATCACTCACCATGGGAGGCTACATCTCCGGCAGCGGCTCGGAAGTCGAAGACGAAATTGACGACAAGCCAAAGAAGAATCGACGAGGCCAACGAGCGCGACGACAAATTGCGGAGTGGAAATATGGTCTGAAGGCCAAGCATCTACAGAATCAAAAGAAGAACGACAGCAATATCGGCTGGGACCCCAAACGTGGCGCGGTCGATCGCGATCATCGACGTCAGAAGAAAACCGGCGCAAATGACACTGCTCTGGGCAGAGACAGGAGGGAAGCGGCGAAGCAGCCAAAGAACAAGCACGAAGACGACAAGAGGCCCTTACATCCTAGCTGGGAGGCTGCCAAGAAAGCCAAGGAGAAGAAGAGCGTACCGATTGCGTTTGCCGGGAAGAAGATTAGCTTCGATTGACGAACGTCTTGGACCTTGCTATCGCGTGGCTATTTGGACTTCAACGAAACGCGGTGTCTGGTTTGCGCCAGATTGTCGGAATCTGCCGTCAAAGTCCATGGAGAATCTGGAGGTCGTAATTCGATATCGGATTCTCAGAATTCATATCTCTGACTGCACGACCGCGCCTCATTGTGATTGATCGCGGCCTCTCTCGGAACGGCAACTATCTCGTGACCGCACCTCTTCCACAGTAGCTCACTGTAGCAGCAGACCCACTCCGCTGGGAAGTCATGAACTCTCCATCGCCTCTCCTATCGTCTGCTTTTGCCGGCTCCGGCAAGGCGATCATTGCAAGGGCGTCCAACAGCTAGCAAGATCATAACGAGTTCTGTCCTGACTCGTACCGATTTGAGATCTAGGAAGGCGCTTACCAATGATACGAGACTCATGTCGGTATCCGAGATCGCACAGCCAGGCTTCCGACAATAGGGCTTCATGTACTGCGGCTTGCGCAAATGAGAGCACCGACCAGTTCCAGACTCGTAGGTAAAATTACCCGTTGCTCTGACAAAGTGGGCCCAAGTATGCAAGCCTTCTACCGATGCTTGCGTGGCGGGACAAGGCGCATAGATGTGTATTGTGACGCGTAGTCGGCGTTGGTTTGCAGGGTCGGTGCTAACGAGAGTGCCCCCTTTACCGAGTGCCATACTGAAGTCGTCAGGGGATTGCGAGTCTGCCTGGCTTTCACCTCCGCCGCCATCAGATACCAGATGGGCAGGACATGCATCAAAATTCATATCTAGGTCGTCATCTGAATCTGAATCTGAATCCGAATCTGCTCCACAATCTGGGAAGGTCGAAGCCCTTGGTGGGAGAGTAGCACGATCGCTCGGAGAGAACGAGTTGATGAAGCTGATTTCCATTAGGGGTGAGATGAACTTCGGGCAGCGTAAGATGTAGCCTTGTTATTTGCCATGCATCGAACTCGACCTCGCCTACATGTCGAATTCCAGCTGAGCGTCCTCAAGACAGCCAATGTGCGCGCTAGCATATGAGCAGCCTCTACTAGCCAAAAGAGAATCGCCCATCCCGTAGAACCATCCGCCCTTTGATCTCCAGCCATTTTTTTCCAGAGAGGATATGATATTGAGGTCTCGATTGTTCTAAACGCCAAGGGAGACTCAGACCCTTTCAGCCTTTCGGTATATTTCGTTTCCCGTCACGTTCACTTGGTGGCCTCGCTCGGCGGGGTTCAATTGGGCGATGCGAATAGCTTCGATCCAACAATGGCGATTTTTGTCGAGGGACTTGGGCTGTAGCAACGCATGTTTACAATTCTTAGTAACCTGGATCCGCGTGTTATGAACGAAGATTTCCATCAGCTGTTGGGGCTTGCCCCACGTGTACGAGAGCGCCCCGTATGGTGGAGCTTGAGCAATCGACCAAGCGGTCGATTGGGTACAAACGTGGTCTTTTCGGTAGTACTGGAGAAGCGGGAATGTGGCTAGAAGAATTAGGCAACTCTAAACAAGCGAACTGTGCGCCTGGTAGAAGCGTGCTCGTTCCTGTCTCGGACCATACGACTTCCTCCGTGACTTGTCCTGGCTTTTCATCTATGTCTTGTGAGGCATTCAAGCTCCTTAAGCCATGAGAGAATGTATCTTTGATCTGCGGACTGGGTGCGACAATTTCTGCCAGTGTTGGGCGCGGCTTCCGATTCTGAGCTGCCATAACTTTCCTTTTCTTCCATAGTAAGTGTTATAGCTTCCTCACTCAGTTCCTTGTTCGACACCTCGATATTGAAAACCATGAACCGAGTTTCGCCGAGGGAGACGAGGGTTCCCCAGGCTAAGCGTTTGGATTTCGGCTGAGCAAGCTGCCTCGACCTCCATTTGTCGACTTGGGTGAAACGGCATAGGCTAATCGACCAGTAGTATACCATGGACGCCAAAAGTTTGCAAGTCGGAGGCTGTTGCCTTGGCCTACTTCATTTCCCACGCAGAATCTCCAACAGGTTATGGAGGCCGCCAAGATCGTAAATGTTTTCAATCTCGCTCAAGCTCCAAACACGAGTCCACAGGGCCTCTTGGCCTTGTGGTGGCCTTCCATCTCGAGTACGCACCAAGATGATGTCGCTGCTGACGGGCCACTGGATCTTGACATCATCTTCTGCATCCTCAAAGGCTTCCAGCGCAGGATTGTTTCTTTCCTCAGCCACGTCTCTATGTTGACGCAACCGATTGTGAGCTCGCAAATCTTCACGGGTCGCTTTGAAGACAAAGCCGTCCGTCATGTCGTCTCTCCAATCAGCCCACTTTTGAGACTCATTCGTAGTCATACCTGCCCAAATGAGGTAACAGTGGTAAGCCAGCAGGCCCAGAGGCAGCAATGGCGTAGACGCCGCGAGAAGTCCGACACCAGCAATGGAGATGCCGCCCCTGTTAACGGCGACAACGATTCCGTGGCCGATATCTTGCAGGCGGGCTTTGGAGAAGAGAGGGTTGATCGGATTGATGTTGAAGTAAGGTCTCAGGAGCCACCAGCTGAGATAGGCTCCGTAGATCTGCAGGATGGCAAGGGTTAAGAGCAGAGCCAGGAAGTAGCGGTAGTTACCCCTGCCTAAGCAATTGTTGACCCAAGGGCAGTGATGGTCGCATTGGGCCACGCAGTGTCCACACAGGCTGCAATGCTTCGATCTCGCCGGCTTGGGCAGATGACACGTCCGGCACGCCGTGTTTGGGCGGAAGAGGATGTGATCGTAGGGGTAGTCCAGCATCCGGGCCTGGTGATTCGTGCACGTGATGTAGTGACGCTTGTACGTGACGCACAGGTAGGTGAAGATGTAGGGGAGAGCAAGCAGCAGTGGCACGGGGAGGAGAAGGCGGGTGGGCAGACGATGGACGGTATTCCAGAGAAAGAGCGTCGCACTGCCGGTGAGCAGGAGGAGGAACAGGAGCAGGACGACGGGATTCTTCTGATCGAACAGATAGTTGCCCAGTCTCTGACTTCGCCGCGTGATCTGGCCTCCGGTCAACGAGCCATCGATCCTCTGCAGTCCGTTGGGCAGACGTATGCACAGCATGCGCTGCAGCCAGCCGATGGGTGTCTTGCGCAGAGCCGGCAGCTGCCCGAACAGCGCCACAAACGTCAACAGGGAGACGATGAGGATCGCGACGATAACATTGCGGAGGACGCCCATTCTGCCGAGAGCATCTTCGTACCGACAAGTTGACGCAGCAGAGTTGGTGCTGAGGTGGATGTATGTATGTATGTATGTATGTATGTATGTATGTATGTATGTATGTATGTATGTATGGATGTATGTATGTATGTATGTATGTATGTATGTATGTATGTATGTATGTATGTACCTGGTGCAGCATGGGACGGACAGGGACAATCGCCGCCAATCCGTCAAAATTTGATGAAGATTGAATCAATGAATCGCGCTCGAAGCCGGCGCGCCTCCAACGCGTCTTCACCATAAGTGTAAGCCGTTGGTAGCATCTGCAGCCCCGCGACCTCACCTCTACCCGTAACCTCGACAACAACCACAACCGCACAAATCGGATGCATCGCGCCAAATGGCCACCGCCAGGACCGTGATCACGGGCTCCAATGGCGATGCGCCCGCCCTGGGGACTGTCTTTGACGGCCTGAGCTTCTTCCTCGTCCAGCGAGTCCCAGCACGACCTCGATTCATCGCCGACATCGAAGCGAACGGCGGCCGCGTTGTCAAACTCGAATCCCAAGCGGACTACATCATAGCAGATCACGCGCGCAAAGATGCGCCAGGAGGCAGCTATTCGTACACCCTCATAGAAGACGCAATCCGCAATGGCGAGATGCCCGATCCCGCCGAACATATCGCAGGCCGATCAGTCGGCGAGGTGAGGCCTGTGGGCTCGGGGGCGCCAGCGAAGAAGACACGGAACAAATTCACCGCGGAAGAGGATAGGATACTGTGGCAATGGGTGGAGAGGTGCAAGGCAGAGGGTGCATCGATCAAGGGCAACGATCTCTACAAGAAACTCGAAGTCCTCCACCCCGAACACACATACCAGGCATGGCGCGATCACTACTTGAAAAAGCTGATGGACCGGCCTCCACCAGGTGCACAGGTGACAGTCTCAGCAAACCCGCCGCCAAGTCCGCCAGAAGATACAGCCGAGACTGAAGAGCAAGCGAAATCCAATCCACGACACTCGAAGCGGAAAGTGGAATTGGAAACACACGACGACAAGCCGGAACTTCATCAAGAGGAACCGGTAGACTTCAATGAAGAAGACTTTGCTCTTCTACTGGAGAATGCAGGCGATATTGAGACATTAATACCAGGTACATATGGGGAAGCCTGGGAGGCTTGGGCACGATCGCGCGAGACACACAGCGCGACAGCATGGCGATCGTTTTATGAAAACAATGTTCGACCAATATACTTGAAAGAACTCGACAAGGAACGAGATGCGGAAGATCGGCATTCTGCTGGCCGCAAGGAACCTGCCGAAACACCCTCCAAGCGTAAGCGAGGCCTTTCGAGTTCACCAGTAGAACCTGGCTCACGCTCTAAACGACGCAGAGCTGAATCGTCTGGTCCCCCCGACCCCAATCCTGAGCAGGGTCCCGAGGAACTCAGAGCCGCTGAAATGCAACCGCGGGTGGAGGATGAGGCAATTGTTGACGATCTCCCCATACCAAGTGCGACATCGAACTCAAGAAACGCCGAGGGCGCTGCGCATGAGGAAACCATGAGCACTGACCATGATCCGCAAGATCCACGATCCCAGTTCGATGGAGCTGCCGAATTACCACGCCAGTCTGAAGGTCATCCCGTGATTGCACAGAGCACCGGGGGAAACATTCGATCTGATCAGTTTCTCACTTCGGAGGCCAACCGCGCTGCTGAGTCGCAGCTTCTAGGTAGAATCGCTGACGCGGCCTCAGCAGCGGGTGACATGACCGCTTCGGATAGCATTCGAACTCCTCAGGGCGAGGATGCTCTTCAAGATAATGTGCAAACATCAGAGGGCAATCTTCAAGCAGACGTGCAAATGCATGATGAGCAAAGTGCCGATTCTGCGGCTCAGCCGAACATGGGGGCCGCTGAACCTGCAACTGACGCAACGAAGCAGCAAGCCTCTGATGGAAGTCGGCCAGGCGCCCCGGAGAAGATGCTTGAGACTCTTCAGAGAATCAATCAACAACAGAGCTCGAGAGATGACCCTCCTGATGCCGAACGAATGCAGCGTGTGCAGCCTGACTGGACCGAAGCCGAGGACGAAGTAGTGCTGAGAGGTACTGGGCAGAACTGGAACGCGAAGAAAGTCATTGATAACCTACCTGCTGGCAGCATGCGAACAGTGAGCGCGGTTAGAGCACGGCGATCAATACTTGTGGAAGAACAGCGGGATGATCACGTTTTGTATTCTCAAAACCAACCGGAGAACGCTTACTCAGCATGGAGCAAGCCTGAGGACGACGTGGTGCTCAAAGGAATGCGACTGCATTGGGAAGCCCGGCGGATATTCGACAACCTACCCCATGCCACAAATCGCACTACGACAGATGTCCGGAATCGACGAGCGATATTGAGGAATAAGTATGGAGACAAACTTCTACTTGTCAACAGCGACGACGAGAGTAGCAGTAGTGGAGAGAGCCAGCTCAACAAGGATGATCAAGGCGAAGGCGAGGAGGAAGAAGATGTCGTACCGCTCGCAAACGTGCCAGCAGCCCCTGCTATTACCAGCGCGAAGATGGACAGCTCTGCGATCCCCACAAGCCAACGTCTAACTGCTGCTAATTTGGCTCAACATTACAAGACTTACCAGCCTCGCGGTGCTGACCTTGAGGAGGAGGATGACGAGAAAGACCAATTTGAGTACATTAGATCGCTTCAAGGCATTCTCGGGACCACACAAGGCGCCGAAGTGCTTGAATTTGAGAAAGAAGATGACGTCGCTGCGCAAGACGAAATTGATGATCCAGAAGGAGGCGCCTTTGATGGGGAGTTGCCAATGTCTTCGGACCAAGAAATCCAGGACGTATTCGAAGATGGCTTGAAATGGCCAGCGTCACCTGAGCAACGCCAAAAACAGCCAGAAGGTCTAGAACGCCGATTCGAGACGCAGGTATCTTACCCAAAACTTCCGCAACAATCACAAGAAAGCGATCTCCAGTTTTCGAGCCAGCCGTTGCTGTCTCAACTTCATCAAATTCATCCTCCGCATGGAGGTGAGCAACTACGAGTGCAAGATCCCAGCTACCCGCAGGAGGACGCTCTCAATGAAATTGCTGCTGATGAAGAGGGTGGTTTGCTTGCTCAAGGTGACGAAGAGGGCGATGTCGAAGACGGATTCGATGAGTTCATCGACCTGTCTATTCCTGAGCCACAGGGTGGGTGGGAAGATGAGCCAGACCAGCAAGTCGCGCAAGACGCTGGAGCCGCCGGACAAGACCAAGCCGAGCCGATCGAAATTACCTCCAGCTCATCCGAAAGCTCCTCTTACCATGGCTCTGAGGATGGAGATCGAACGCTTACGCAAAGTCACGCTCATGCTGTCGAAACGCAAGACATTCTGAATGCGGAGACTCAGGCGCCTGACCTGAGCATGCTACTTCCACCAGATATAGAAGACGACATGGGGGAGGAGGAAGACTTTGGAGAGCCAAGACCTCGCCCTCGACAGCAGCGTGTGAGCAGCGGCGGTAGTGGCCTCTTCGTCTCACAACAGGAATCTGAACCTGGACCCGAGTCCCAGACAAGCACCCCTGATCTCGACGCCTGGATCGCCACGATGGAAGTCCGAGGATTCAAAACATCGGACGTCATTCGAGCTCTGAAATGTACTTCCATGGATCCTGACCTGGCGGAACTGATTTTGCGAGAGGAAAAGGCCGGTATGGGGTTTCCGAAAGATGTTCCGGGCATTTGGTCCGAGGACGAAGATAGGGTATTGGAAGGGGGGAATGCGATTGCTATCAAGGCATTGGTGAAAAAGCATGGTTGGGACGGATATGATGCGAGGAGGGAGTTCTTGGAGGAGTATAGAGCCGAGTGAAGACATGGCGCATGTGAAGATGAAGCGAAACGATAACCTTTGAACTGTTGCGACTTTACGGAGAACAGATCTGACGGCTATCGTGGCATGGAGCCTTCATGGCACCACTCAGCGTCGGACACGTTATTGCTAAATCGCCCTTAACGCACTCTGCAATAGATGGCATCACAGTACTCTGGATCATTAACGACATATTTCACCTCGTAACTCTTCGAGATCGTCGACTCCTACCAAATTCGACATGGAGCCTCCTCACCCGAGTGATAGTGCCGTCGAATACTGCAAGGCGCAGCGCATCTAGCCGAAAGATACTTTTGAATTGCTGAAGCGGTGTTTCTCTGATCTATCATCGTAAGAGAACCCTCGGAAGTCTATGATCTACCTCTACCTTCTCCTCACAACATCTCACAAATCCACACGGCACTTATAAGTTCGCCTTCTCTATCCGATTTCCAACCTCGTCAAAGTAGATTTTCTTGCCGGAGCGCAGGCTCTCCTGCAGGGCGCACCCGATGCGCACGGCATCTACAGCCGCGGAGATCTTGAAGGGGAGCTTCTTGTTTTCCAAGCAGGCTTCTGTGAACTCGTTTGCTTCGGTGATGAAGGCCTCTTTGAAACGGCCGTAGTAATCGGCTAGGAATCGTTAATGTCAGTACACGATGGTACGAGAGGAGTGGTGGTGGGTGGTGGTGGTGGTGGTTGACTTACGTGGAATTTCTCTCCTGACACCGCTGGGCTCGCTCATTTCTACCAATCCACCCATAGGGTTTGCGTTGATCGTGAGCTTTCCTTCTGTGCCAATGACCTCGGTCATGTCGTGTTGTCCCGCGGCCATGATTCTGCTGCTGTAGAAGTACGCGACCCTGTCGTCGTGGAATTCCACCACGCCGACGCCATTGTCGACATCACCGTATTTCCTCAGAGCAGGCTGTACGGCCGTGATTCCTACCGCCGTGACGGATTTGACTCTGCTGTCGCCGAAGTACCAGAGGCAGAGATCGATGTCGTGGATATTGCAGTCCACGAAGATGCCGCCGGAGAATTGTGCGTAGTCGACGAAGAAGCCGGAGGGATCGAGCTTGTCGCAGGTCTGGCTTCGGAAGACACATGCACGGCCGATGTCCCCGTTGTCCAATCTGTTGTATGCATCGCGGTATGAGGCGTCAAAGCGTCTCGAGAACCCACACATGACTTTCAAATGCGGCTTCTTCTTCGCGGCATCCACCACCCCTTGGCTCAGATCCACCCGTGTACTCAATGGCTTCTCGCACAGCACGTGCAGGTCCTTCTCAATGGCCTTGATCGCCTGTTCGGCGTGGACGGTCGTGGCGGTAGCAACCACCACGGCTTCGAGACCCGGGTGTTTCAGCATCTCTTCATAGTCGGTGTAGAGTTTCACGCCGAAGGGTTCGAGCTTCGAGCGTGCCCAGGCGATCTCCTTCTCATCGGGAGAGAAAGCGGCGACGAGTTCGGCGCGAGGAGTCTTTTCGAGGAAGTGGAGGGCATGGCGGGCACCCATGCGTCCCAGGCCGGAACAGGCGATTTTCAGCTTCTTGATGGCCATGATTGGATCGTGGATGCCTGTCTGTAATACGGTTGCTTTTCTGCGAAGTGGAAGAAGTGGTGGTGGTGGTGGTTGAGGAGCTCAAGGGGAAAAAGGTTTGGAAAGGAATGCTTTCAGCTTTTTAAACCCGCCTAAGGTAATTGCCAATTGCCGCTCACATGCTGCTTCGTTCTCCGCCGTGCTATCGCCGTCGACAACCGCCGCCCCACAAACTGCGGAGATCCTGGGTGTGGGGCAACCGTGGCATTTTCTCGCCGGTCAGAAGCATGTGAGATGTCGGTCAATGGTTGTCGTCGAAAACAGCGGTCGAAGCGGCCTGATTGAGTTGGACCGCTGTTCGGGTGAACTTACTCCGCTGCCCAGAAGCGGCAATTCTCCCCGCATCGGGCCGAAGCCAGCATGTGAATCTATGGGGTAGGCCGGAGCGTCTTTCTCTTCTTCGAAGCTCCGGTCTGGACCCCTCCGTTCTCTCGTTCCTGCAGAGGCATCATACTCGAAGAGGCAAGCTTCTTCTTCCCCAGACTTCCCCAGATCCGTGAAATGGGGAACCTGGAGAGTCGCGTGGCGTCCAGGCCATGTGCCCGCCACCTGCTCCGTTCTCGATCATGCGCGGAACACTTCCCATTGACATGGTTTGGACTTTGTTTCCGAGATGCACGACCCAGATGAGCCGTCTATATAGAACCGCATCTTGACCACATCCTTGGAACCCCATCCACCAAGTCCTCTTTTTCAAACCATCCCACTGGTGACCTACTCAACCCTGTTCAGAGACTTCGTTCATCATGGACTCCACCCACCAAACCCTGGAGGCCCACGTGGCCGAGAAGAGCATGGGGGCAGAACACAACGAAGGCCGGCGTCTCTCGGTATCCTCCATCAAGAAGAACTTCGAACACACCAATATCGCAATGGTACCTGGGGACAAGACTCACTTGGACTTGCAAGACGATGTCACTGGCCAGAGCATCGATGACATCTCTCCTTCCTGGTTCGTCTGGCTGGTTGCTGCCACGGCCTCCATTGCGGGCTCTCTCTTCGGCTACGACACCGGCATCATCTCTGCTGTACTGGTCTATCTTGGTACCGACCTCGATGGCCACACCACTTCTGCCAATGAAAAGGAACTCATCACCTCGCTGTGCTCTGGAGGAGCTTTCATCGGTGCAATCATCGCTGGTCTCACCGCCGACAAGTTCGGACGAAAACTCGCCATCTACGTCGGCTGTGCTCTCTTCACGATTGGCGCAATCCTGCAAGGATCGGCTTACAGCATCGCCCAAATGGCCGTCGGTCGACTGGTCGTGGGCTTTGGAGTGGGCTCCGCAGCGATGGTCGTTCCTCTCTACATTGCAGAAATCGCCCCGACCAAAGTGCGAGGCCGTCTTATCGGTCTCAACAACATGTCCATTACAGGAGGCCAGGTCATCTCTTACGGAATTGGTGCAGCTTTCGCTCATGTGGGAAATGGATGGCGATACATGGTCGGTCTCGGTGCCGTGCCAGCTATCATCCTCGTCTGCCTCCTGCCCTTCTGTCCTGAATCCCCTCGCCAGCTCTGCTATCACGGCCGCACCGCAGAGGCAGAACAGGTCATTGCGAAAATCTACAAAGGCGCAAGCATGGAGCAGGTTCGCACCAAGGTCGCTTTGATCACCGCCGCATGCGAAGAAGCCAAAGAACTCAACGAATGCTCCTCCCGCTGGTCCAAGATCAAACTCCTCCACACCAACCCCGCCTACTTCCGCGCATTGGTCTGCGCCTGTGGCCTCATGGTTATCTCCCAAATGTCCGGCTTCAACACCCTCATGTACTATTCCTCCACCCTCTTCGCCCTGGTCGGATTCTCCAACCCCGTCGCGGTCGGCCTCGTCGTAGCAGGGACAAATTTCGTCATGACATGGATCAACATGATGACCGTGGACCCGGTCGGTCGTCGCAGAATTCTCATAACCACCGTCTGGGGAATGTCGGCCGGTCTGCTGGCTGTGGCGATTGCATTCAGCTTCATCCCCGTCAACCTCAAAACCCTCGAACTCGAGGCCACATCAATTTCTCCCCCGGCGATCGTGGTACTCGTCTTCATCATCTGGTTCGTGGTCTTCTACGGCGTCTCGGTGGGCAACACCGCCTGGATGTCGACCGATTTCTTCCCCATGGAAGTCCGCGCCATGGGAACCATGTGGCTCACCTGTTCGTGCTGGGGAAGCAACATTATCGTCTCGTCCACTTTCCTTTCCATGATGAAGAGCATGACCCCCAGCGGCGCTTTCGGCTTCTACGCCGCTATCTGCGGCATCGGATGGGTGTTGATCTACTTCTTCTACCCGGAGGTGTCCGGATTGACGCTGGAAGAGATCGGGAGCGTCTTTGAGCATGGATTCGGTGTCAAGTATGCGAGGCAGTTGAGGAAGGAGAGGAAGGAGGAGATTCAGGAGAGGTTGAGGACGAGGGAGAAGGTTATTGCTATGCATTAGAAGGGTAAAGAAAGCGGAATTTAAAGGATGGTGAGAATTTTTATGAATCTATGGCATGAATTGAACGCTTGATTACGATGATATCAAAAAGCTAGTGAGGCATTCTCAAGACTCGTGCGAGCTAATCTTACTATCCGACACAAACCTCAGCTCCTTGCACAGTACTACTGTGACCAAAGCAGAGAAACAAGCCTGCGCGATTTGAACTCCATGCGAACTGCTGCAATCAAGAGAAGAGGACCAGCCCGTCGGCTTCTGCTACCAGTGCTCGCCTTTTATACCGTTCTAAGACCGGAGTGGGTCTAGGAAACAAAGTCAAGCCCATCTCCTCTCTTCTTGATGCAGCGCGCCGAGTCTAAGGGGGAAAGGGACAATGCGACGCTGTAGAGTTTGATGCCAAGTTGTGCACGAGAGAGCAAGGAGCTCAAAGGCGTACTTGGCGTATGCCGCAAATCAGTTGCCTTTCGGTCGTGCATGCCAGGCTCGGCGATGTCTGTGGGGGTGTCTGGTGTCTGGTGTTGTGTGTTGGAGAACGCTCCGAGAAGGCTAGCCAGTCGACCGAATGTTGTCGCCACGGAATCATGGATCATGAAAGACTCCGGCGAGGAAACTCTGCCGTCGTTTCTAGATCTTCGCAGTCCTCTTAGCACTCTTCCTTGCCTCAATAGCCTCCTCATTCTTTTCATCACTGGCCTACTTTCGCTTCCCCTTTCTCTCTGCCTCGGCCTCCTTCACAATGATAGCCCAATCCTTCTTGAGCTCCGCCTCAAGACCGTCTTCCCAATCCCGCAACAGGTTTCCATGAATGAGATGATCATCATCCAAAAGATCATTCGCTTCCTCACTATTGTACACGGCAACAGTCACGCGTTCGAGATCCAGCATGCCAAACACCATCGCCGCCTGAGCTCGCGATTCGTGCTCGCCGTTCAGAAACCGAATCTCGTTCTCGAACTCAGCGAGGAGAGTCAGGCTTTGCAGGCTAAGCAGTTTTCTCTTGAAGAGCTTCTGACGCCGCAGTGCTTCCTTTTGATATTCCTGGTCCTCGGAATCAGCATCTCGGTCTTCTGTCCAGGCAAGCCGGATAGATATGTGCTGAACCGCGCGGCCCTGCTTCGGAATGAGGCGCTTGATGAAAAATTCGACTTCCTCAGTGTCATCGAAGGCAAAGGTGTTCAGAGCAAACGGAAGTAGCGCGGTCTCGGCGTGGACTTGACGACACATTTGTAGCAGCGCGAAGGCCGGACCGGCCTGCGTGGTATTGTCGCAGTCTTGATGCGTGGAATGATAACTCTCCCAAGGATCGCCTTCGTCCTCTTTCTTGATGCACTGAGCACCCTCCTTGGGAGAGAATCCTCGGCAGCAAGTCTTGCGGTGCAGTACGTATTCGCCAACTTCATCGCGCCCCTCAGTCCAGATATGCATGGTGCAGCCGCCAAGCGCGTACTCGAAGATGCGGTTCCGCAACTCGCCAGGTAGATCCAACAGCGGGCAAGTTGGCCAATTTGTTGCCTGAAGGTCCGTGGTCTTTGCTTTGGGCTTGCGTAACAGGGCATTAGTGTTGAGAATGCGTGATGGGCGCTTGCCTTTGACTTCGACCTCCAAGTCGAGTTGATCGGTGTAGTCTACTCTAGCCTGCTTGCGAAGGGTACGCCCCGATGTATTGTCGTCGGTATAATGTTGCTGGCTCTTCACACCCGCTCGAGTGCGCGCCATGGTCTCGTGCTGTGATGTCGAGTGTTTTTGTTTATGCTGTGCTTTTGTGGGGAAAGGAGTAAAGGTGTTGTTGTTGATGGCGCGTATGCGTCCGAGGATGCGCGTGTGTGTGGGATGATGCGAGCTGTATGAAAAGAAGTGGGAACCGCAGAAGCTTTATAGATGTTTGTCGCACGGACCACCGCCTGCCTAGCGCCGTCTGCGCGTGCGGTAGGTGAATCTTTCCCAACATATTCTCCAGGAGCTCTTGATTCCGCATTGTGATGTCCCGATCTCCAGCGTCGTGATCGCCGATGTGGCTAACGCGCATGCTGGTGTGCTGAACCGCATGTGCTTGTTCTTTGAGTAATTGGTTGAGTAGCTGGTAAAGGCTGATGTGGTTGTCGAAACAAAGGTGTTGAGGTAGAATGGCATCAGTGCAGTTTCTGCATAACTCTGTTGGTATGCTTTGAGTAGAGTATAAGCCCCACCGCCTCGCCAGTGGCCACCGCCATAGCATGCTCCATGGTGCTTTTTGTGGCTGAGGCTATAGGCGATTGCATACGCATAGGCGAATTCGTCATGATAGACTCATGTAGGCGCCTTGGAATTGAGTGGTCTCGGTGGAATTCATTCTAGCAGGAATCCAGTCGAATTCGGTCTGAGCAAACCATTCAGCAGTGGCGCACAGCAGGTAGCGATCGACCTGACTACTGAAGAGGGATGGCGGCAGATTCAGCAGCAATATGCGGAAGTTCAAAACGCATGGAATAGCACACTTGGCACGTCGTATGCTCTCGGCTGATGTCCAGGCTGATCATTGTAACTGCGAGTCGCTTCTGTTGTCCGTTTCACCACTGAGGATATAGGTTGCCGTTACAATGCTCAGCATCGCCAAGGCTTCGACCGCGGAATTGGCACACTCAATCAGAGCAAAAGCCATCAAGGTGATTGCAGCCTGAGCAAGATGTAGCTTCTCCAAATCGTCGCTCTTGTCTGGTTGAAGTGCTGAAGCAATCGCACTCTTTCTCGCGTCCGCATCTGTTTGTATGCTTGATTCGAACGATCTTTACGGCAGCCTCATACATCTGACTACCAATGTGCGTCTCATACTTGCACACCGCACCGACCGCTTCAATTGCAAGCATGAGTTCTGAAGTATCGACGCAGTCTTGTGAATGAAACCTGAGAGAGTGCAAGAAGCGAGGATCATTGTCCAAGTCTTCGAAGTGGCGGTAAAGTGTTAGGGGAAGTCTCAGCCACGGTGGCAGTACAAAACTTCCCAGTTCTTGTTCGTATGGCAATAAGAATGTTGAGAGTCGCACCCGGACGTCAAAGGAGATTCGGTAGGGGTGCGGCATTAGCCTCAGATGGTTGCTCTCTAAATCTTCAATAAGTTAAGTTCGCCAGGTTGCAAATACTCAATGATTGAGGCGCGACCTGGCGCGGGTTGAGAATGTTCGTTGAGATCCGTTAACATGTAGAGTTGTGAGAGTTCGACTTGCGTTCCTAGATAATCATGCAAACGGCTTAGTAAGGACCTTTCGCTTCGGTATGGAGTGGTCTTCCAGTGTAGGCGACATTTGCGGTACAGCCTGCTCCGGGAATTGGAGATGGGGAATGCTGAGGAGCACGAGATCCGCCAGTCTTGGATAACTCTTGGTTGTTACCAATAGGCTGGTGATGCGAGATCTACTGGTGGCGATATTTCCCACAAACTTGGAGACTTGACTGGAGTTCGGCATGGGGTTTCGCAGGTGCAGTGTCCAAATCCGAGTATCCGATACCGAACCATGTCTCAGAAGTGATCGTACTAGCAAGTGAATGAGAAGGCGGCATGGTTGATTGATGAGGAACAGGGCTTCCAGGCGGTATACTACTCTTTTTGGTGCTTAGCGAGTGGAGCTTCGGCCAAGTTTGAACTGATTGAGGGTCGAAAAGAGAAGAGAGACTGACGCATAATTCTGATAGTATATGGGCCAGTGCCTCCTTCATACTGTACATGAGGACTGGTGTCAGGGCCTGTGCGCATGTGCGGAGTTCGCCGTCGCAACCGCATACATTGACCGTACGTGGCCAGACTGCGGACAAGTTTTCGCGCCAAACCGCAACGGCTGAAAAGTCTTCGAGAGCAACCGGTGGCCCAGCCAGGCGCAGATGTTGCGCGGACTCGGCGCGCATGGAGCCAGTCTTCCCTGTGCCAGCTTTCATTTGCCAATGCCGCGAAAGCAGCACCGCAAGCAGCGCTCAACCCAAACGTCTTGGCTTCTTGCTCCTTGTGCCACCCTGCTTTAATCGCGTTGCATCGACCACGCTCGTGATTTTATGCCTGATGTTCCTGCCTTCGCTTCCCAACAGTGCCTTCGTGCAAGCCTCTCTGCCTGCGCCAAATCCTCTGAGTACCACTTCCAATCTACTAATGTCTCGGAGCATTCCCTTCTCCTGTATCTGCTTCAGCGTGAATGCAGCCAATTGGTAAGCTGCATCGTAGCTTCCTCTTCCGGCCTTCCGAAAACCAATGTTACCCGTGCTCAGCGACATGAGTACGTCTACCTGTTTCTTTTTGTCCGCTGAGCTGGCAGACGTCCCCGAGATTCCTGAAGACATAGTCTGAGAAGCAAGCCTTGAAGGCTGCACAAAGGTAATGTGCGTATTGTGTTTCGTAGAGTAGATGTGTAATCTGTGCGGCTTGTCCATCTCGACGGAGTTGCTGAGGTTTTCCGCAAAGTTGCTGGACAGCAGACTCTCCTGCGACATGTTGAGGACGTCGGCGATACTTTCACTCGACCCGAAGCTGGATGGATTGTTTTGCATATGACGCCGACCTTGGTATGTCTCGCCTAATGTCTTCCCCAATTCGAGTCCAGGGTTGAAGTCGGCTTTACGCGAAGGGGTTGTCGTGAAGGTACGCTGCGGGATCGATGGGAGGAGACGCTGCCGGCAGGACTGGCAGAGAGTGGAGGCGAAGAGACGAGATGTCTTTGTCGTCGCCATTGTGACTATGTCGATACCAGTCAAGGCGAGCGGGTGGTTTGGGCGTCTATCTTGTGGTGATGATAGATCTGGAGTGACTTCGTTCGACGTGATGCGGACAAACTCGGGAGTCTTCGGAAGAACAATTGCCCGACGAAAGCTTGAACATTTGATGCTTCGATCACGAGAGGAACTTCCATCTTTGCCTCCCGTCACAACTTCATTCACTCACTTCGCGCTACCTCTTTCTCCCTCCTGCCATTTCCGAATCGACTGGGGCTGCTTTCCCGCACCAGAGCATGAGCACGTTCTCAGCGCGCACGCTGCCATCACGGGCAGGAGGCGTGCTCGTCAGAAATCTTCCTACGTCCACTCCCTCCTCACAATATGGCCGCACCGCCGCCTACAGAAGGATAGCATCGCAACTACGATTATACAGTGAAGCTTCAATACGGCAACGTCAAGATGGATTACATACTTCATCAGGCATACTGCCTCCCTTTGCGTTGCGATCACATTTCCTACCGCCCTCGATCTCGGCATCATCACAGACAGGCTCGTTGCGACATGTGAGCTTCAAAGAGATGCGAGAACAGCGCGCAAAGGAGGCAGCCGCAGCAAACAAGGGAAAGAAGGAGGAGTCAAAGCCTGAGCCGGAGACGAAGCAGGCAAAACAGCCAGAGCCGGAGCGCTCGGCGGCAGATGAAGCTTTTGCGCAATTTAAAGCCGAGAGCGAGTCCGCATGGTCAAAAGCGCAGGAAGAGAGCCGACGAGCGGAGGACGAGGCTCAGAAGAAGAAAGAGCAGCAAAGAGAAGACGCCGAGGGGGATGGAGAGGGAGAGCAGAAACAACAAAGGAAGAAGGAAGAGACCGCCCCGCCTCCTCACGGAGAAAAGACACCGTGGCAGGTGTTCACTGAGACTTTGCAGAAGGAGTTCAAGGCTAGTAAAGAGTGGGAGGACAGCACCAAGCAGCTCAGCGGAAGTATCCATGATTTTACACAGAACCCGAACGTGCAAAGGGCGAGGAGCGCGTACGCTAGAGCTGCCGAGGCTGCAAGTACGACCACTGGCAAGGTATTTTTGGGCACGGCCGGCGCGATTGGCAAAAGTGCTGCTTGGACGTGGAACACGCCTGTTGCACAGGTCTTTAGAAAAGGAGCCACCGCTGTAGGATCTGGAGTAGAGCAGGCAACACGGCCGCTGAGGGAGACAAAGGCGTACAAGGATGTGAAGGACACCATCGACGACGGTGCATCGCAGCGATATGGCGGCTGGGTAGAAAAGGAAGAGCGAAGGCGAAAGCGTGAGGAACGCGATGCCAAGCTCGGATACAAATCGCCAGAAGTACATGAGGAGGATCCGGATGCTGGCACTAATGTCACAATCCACAAAGACTCGGCATGGAAGGAAAGCTGGAAGAATTTCCGGGAGAACAACCCGACCATGCAACGTTTATTCAGCTTTGGCGACACCTACCGGCAATCCGAGAACCCATTGATCAGCACAGCCCGGAGCGTAAGCGATCGCATTGCTGGATTTTTCGCTGAGAACGAGACGGCCATGGTTATCAAGAAGTTTCGCGAAATGGACCCCTCGTTCCAGCTGGAGCCATTCTTGAACGAGATGCGGTCATATATCCTTCCCGAAGTTCTGGAGGCTTACGTCAAGGGCGATGTGGAAGTCTTGAAACAGTGGCTCTCGGCCGCTCAGTTCCAAGTTTACCACGCTTTGATGCAACAATACACCACCGCTGGACTGAAGTCGGACGGCAAAATTCTGGATATCCGAGGAGTCGACATCCTTTCCGCAAGAATGCTGGATCCAGGCGAGATTCCTGTTTTCGTTCTCATGGCGAGGACACAGGAGGTGCACGTTTACCGCAACGCTAAGAGCGGAGAGCTTGCTGCTGGAATGGAAGACAAGGTCCAGCAGGTCACTTATGCCATTGGTGTGACCAGGATTCCCGAAGAAGTCAGCAATCCAGAGACAAGAGGGTGGAGATTAATCGAATTGCAGAAGAGCGCGAGAGACTACGTCTGAGCGATTGCACGTTGCTTGCCGCTTTCCAACCTTCTCGACCGGGTCGATAGCTGGATGGCAGGAGGCGGGATTTCTGCTAGAAAGGGTCTTCCCAACTCTCCATTAGACGTTTGCGCATCCAGCTCGGCCCCGTCAACACTACTAAGCCCGCTTCTGTGCATCTGGGCGGCGTTCTTCTTTCCGACTCAAAAAGCAAGCAAGACGAGGTTGTACTATATACTTTTGGCATGAACCGTGTACAGATCTGAGCATGGCGCTGCATTCATTCTTCGGCCGCGGACCACCATGTATGTGGTCCGACTCCCCACTCCTGTAGTTAGTACGAAAGGTGCGAAGGCAGTAGAAGAGAGCAAGAGGAATGTGAAGATGATATATTGGATGACGCGAACAATTTTCTTGTGCTCTCGAGACATCGGTGATGGTTTTCGCTGTTGTGAGCCAATGACTCTGCTCGGAAGCGCTTCAGAATACTCGCAGCCTTCCCAGATTTCTCAGGGGTGAGGTTCCACATGACCGAATGTGCAATGATGAATTGGCCCTTGTGATTGACATCAGGGAATGGGCTCGTCAGGCACGGGCACTTCAAGGAACTCACACAGCGGTCCCCAGTGCTGTTTGACCTCGTATTCCAGCAATCTCCCCTTTCGACAGATTCTTCGTACCTTCTCGTAATGCTCGACGAAAGCTTCTCGAGCCGGACTAGTTGCACTGAAACCGCTGAGCGTGTTGTATGTCGCTGGCATGCTGACATTAGCGAATTCCCAGAATGGCGGCGTTAATAGCCGTGGGTCCCAAGGAGCGAGATAAGGCCAAGAGCCTCATTTGAGGATCCTACCAGCGGTGCCTTCCATGCTCTCGAGCCATTTGTGCACATTGCGAAGACTCAGGATAACTTTTGCCTCTGGATATGCGACAATCAGCTCTTGTGCGAATGTGGCGCATAGCAGGTCGGCGACTGACATACAGAATCCGTGGGTCAGTCAAACATAGTGAGGTAGAAGGGACACCGCCTCACCAGCATCGTACTGCCCCAAAGACCTGATCGAATTCTTGCCGTTCCCGTCTCTTGCCTTTTCCAGTGAATTTGGATTCAGTCCTTCGCGCCAGACATCCAGATTGGATTTTGCCGCTTGAATCGCTTTAGTCATGTGGAACAGTCTGTACCCTAGCTATTCGAGAGCTGCGTATAACGAGCTGGTACCTGTTCTCCAAAGACCAAGCATAAGGACACGCATCGCTCGAGTCCTTAACCGTGATGATTGTCAACCAACCGACCCGTTACCGGATGTGGCTTGAGATTGCAGGCCTCTTTGGTGTTTTGAGCGTTGAAGAGATCGCTTGTTGACGTGATTTAGAGGCTATTGTAATCTTCTCTTCTCAGGAGATGAAGAGTCGAAACGGTTGACTTGTTGCGTTCTGATCTCTATAGGTAGTATTGAGGAGCTGAGAAACCTCCGCACCCCTACGGACTCAAGGATCCTACAGGATTGTACGCGAGGATAGTACGCGAGGATAGTACGCGAGGATAGTACGCGAGGATAGTACGCGCGTCAACACATGGTCATGTATGTCTATAAGCCCAGAGACCATGATGTGTTTTGATCTGGTCTAAAGTTCAGCTATCGATGGCATATAGCGCGAGAAGGAAAGCGAATGAGTGGTGAACTTTACGTTTTGCTCTTGCCACTTACAGCTAATATCTATTACATCATCGAAACTAAGCCTATCTGGTTCAGAAACGCAGCGATATCTGCGATATTACCTCGCGGTACAACCGATGACGTCAAGTCCGAGCCATCAACATCCCATCGCCACGGGCCTCTGTCTCTGTGAGACACCGTCGACCAAATAAACTTTTCCATATGACACGATACATCTGCTGACAGCACTCTGTACATACTGCGGCACAGGATGCCAAGGCAAACGCCCTATCACGACGACCTTGAGCTTGAACCTATAGAGCACGAATTGAGAGATCCTGACGAGTTTCTGGACGATCCGGATGAGCCACTACCTCTACCAGAAGATCAGCCTAACATAACGCAAAGACCAACAATATACGACAGAATGGAGGCATTACAGCCTAAATGGCTTCAGCCATCTCAGCCTTGGACGAAAACCGTAATCAACAAAGTCATCACACTCCTCCGACCACGCCTAACGATTGGATACGCACTATGCTGCATCATAGGGCTCTACATACTCTACTGTTACATCGTCTGGTCACCACTGTTGGCATCGAAGTTGCCCGGGTATACTGGACCTTACGAAGTTGGGGCGATCGACGTCGAAGTTCCAGTCCGAGAGCCGCGAAAGGTGGGAGATGCGGTCTTCAAAAGCAACGGCAAACCGGTCTTTGAATTCGACACAGTCCTCTTCACGCTCTATTATCCGGCCGTGAAAGGAGCAAGAAGTACAAAGCCTAAGCACAAATGGTTCCCAAAGCCGATCAATATTATCGCGGAGGGTTACGCAAAGGCGGCTCATTTCAACAATTTCTTCTCAAGACAGGTGTTCACTTTCGCTCTTTGGGGACTAGCTGGAAGTATCGAGATACCGGCCAAAGTCGATATTGCTCTTTTGAAGGAGGATGAGAAAGATCAATTTCCAGTTATTGTCCTGTCTCATGGCGACGTCAGTTCTCGGACAGACTACACAGCATTCTGCGGTGAGCTGGCAAGTCGCGGTGTAGTGGTAGCTACCATTGAGCACAGAGACGGAAGCTGCCCTGGGTCAGTCGTCCACTTGCCTGACGGAAAAACGAAGAGCGTGTTCCTCTTTCGGGCCGACGAACTGAAGCCCCAAGACGACGAGAAGGAAGTGTCCAACGACGACTGGAGATCCCAGAAACTGGCATACCGCGACGCTGAAATTCAGGAAACTATCTCCGTCTTGCAATCCATCAATGAGGGCAAAGGTGACGACATCTTCAACACAAACTATCGCCAAGAAGGTCGTGACCTGCCTAACTTCGAAAAGCGTCTCAATTTCTCCGAGACCGTCATAGCGGGCCACTCATTTGGTGCCACAGGGGCAATGCAAGCTCTCAAGAGTGCCAACAAGACCTCTTCTGCTTCCTCTGGCGGCTATGTCAACCCAGCAATCGGCGGACTCATCCTCGATCCCGGGAAATCCTCTGGCCGCCTCAACACAGACATCGACGTACCTCTTTTGATCGCGCACTCTGACTCCTGGTCTAAAGCCCACACAATATTCTACGGGCGTCCGCATTTCGATACGGTGAAAGACATCGCCAAAGACGTTCTCGAACGTTGTAAGGCGACGTGGTTCATGACGTCTCTCAAGACCTCGCATCCAAGTATTACCGATGCTCCGCTCATCGAGCCTCTCTTGCTGAGCTGGACAACTGGTGCAACGATCGATGTGAGAGAAGGATTGAGGGAATATGTGAGAATCAGCATGGAGTTTCTTGATTTCTTGAGGGATGGGACTAGAAAGGGAGTTTTGAATATCGGAGTTACGCATGAGGAGTACGGAAAAGATACGAGGAATGAGGAGCAGAAGAAGAAGATGGAGAAGGATATCACGAAGTACTGGGAGGTACATGTTGCTCCGCCGGGCGATTTCGAGCAGGAGAAGGACAAGTGATTTGACTTTCGCTACTCGGTTCCATCCGGTTTGTTGGAAACAGAGACATCAGCTCTGGCCTTGGGATTTGCGGACTCACTCGGCCTAGAAGCACCCACGTTGTTGGTACTACCACACGTTGAGGTACAGATTTCATCCTACTACGCTGGCTGTACCTTCTGAAAGTCAATTGTACCAGCAACGACGATGCATCATCATTTCAGCCCTGCTGTGACGCCTCAACATCAGCGCTTACTCGACTCCTCGCCGTAGTGATCGCAGCGACAACGGAAATTCGGAGATTTCACTCCAAGTAGATTGTCCGAGTAGATAGACTACAAGGAGTAAGAAGTATCCAACTACTCGGCTCTGACCCAACGGCTGCGAGCATGTCGAGCTTACAAGCTGAGCTCGCCGACCTGCAAGTACAGTTGCGCGATCTGTGGCCCAAGACAAAGAGTCGATGGACATGCACGAGAAAGAGTCCCGACTGATTTCCGCAAGCTGAGGAGTTTGGACAGCTCACAGTATGAGAGCTCGACGTTCGCGCGAAACTGAAGCAGTACAGTAAGACTCAATCTTCTTGGTGCTTAGGAACATCGTTGACGATGTAAATCAAATGGTCGCTCTTCTACAAGCAGCCCAGGTCCGTCAATCGCCGTCTCGGAAGAAGCAATCGTCAAATTACCCCAGATGTCATACGCTTCGATGACTAGCAGCATCAGGGTACTTTTCGAATGAACATCAACCCAGACAGTGAACTGCTTCACTACAGCGAATCGTCGCTGCTGAAGTCCAACGACATTGTGATACACGTCATCGGCGCTGCTCTTCCAATAGTTGCGATCGTTGCTCTTCACTTCATCAAGACTGAGGGAGATTGTATTGTTGGTGCCATCGCAGGGTTTACCATTTCATTCGCGTTGGCACTCACAGTCTTCACCAACGCCAGAAGACTCGAGATAGCCGCAATTACCGGAGCGTGAGCTGATCCTCGCTTCATGGAGATATTTGCACGCTCACTCGCATTCTAGATTCATGGCCGTCCAAGTTGTGTTCATCGGTAGCGACTTGGGAAAGGTCTAGGCCCGGAATGTTGGGGTCACGAAGAGCCAGTATGGCGTGAAAGCGAATTGCTGAAGCTTCGTAGACTGCGCAGTAAATTCATGAATTAATCTAACGAGTACATCTTGAGGACCAGTTAGCGTACAGTAGGCAAATATACTGACGGAACGCACCAGCAAACAGTTCCCAATTCCCCTCGAAAAGCAGATGCCGACCTCGATCATTTGTAATTAGATCGACAGCTGATTACTCGTCATCGCCATCTTCGTCATCTCCCAAAACACGGTCAATATAGACTCCCGCAACATAATCCACATCCTCCCAGCTTGCCTCCCAAATACTCAGAATTTCAATCCTCCACAGTCGTCCGTCGCGTCTCATCTTGCCAATCATCCGGCAGATCTTGCCCTGACCATCATTCGCAGAAAGGAAGGGTTTACTGTCCCGATCCCACAGCTGAGATTGATCCCAGAGCTCATATGTGCCGTTGAGATGCGGCGGATTATTGTGATATAGATCTTTGAACATGAAATGTTGCTTGCGACTCGGCTTCGGTTCACGCCATGAAGCAGTGACGCGAGCATACAGCTCGATGATTACATTGTTGCCGCAGCGAACGGCCTGGCAGCCAGTATTGAGAGCTTCGCCAACACGGAAGCAAGTGCGAAGAAGTGTATTCTTTGACGCTCCAAAAATCGGGGATCGGTCCAGGATCGGAGGCAAGAAGGGCTTTCGCAGGATCGGCTTGATGGTCTTTTCGCGCTTTGCATCCATTTGCTCTGTGCGTAATCAGTTAATGGCACATGCGCAAGATACTTAGCCTTGACTCACTTATCACGTCCTTTTCAGCTTGGGTCAATAAAGCGCCTCCGTAATCTTCGTGTTCATCAACATCACGGATGTTATCCTTGCGAGCTCGCTTTGTTGGAGTGGATGGCCAATCTCCCACAGCTTGCTCTACTGACTTTGCAAAGTTTACCAGATCTTCGTCGTCGACGTCAATCAATTCTTCGATGTCATGGAACTCATCGGAAGATATACTTGGCAAGAAATTGGTAGCCTTGGTCAATCCGGGACTGCGTCGAGGGTCGCAATCAGCATCTCTGACCAAGATGGGCTCGTCTGCTCTGGACCCTGTAGTATCTTTGCTGCGATCGTTGTCGTTCTCGTCTGAGCCTCGTGACTGGTTTTGTGATGAGTCGAGACCCACGCTGCGATATTCGAAGGTGGGTGGCAGCCAACGTTGAGAGAATGCGACGTTCGTAGGCGCTGAAGAGCTGCTCTCGGTGCCTGAGTAGAGCGTGAAACTTTTACCAGCATTCTCTTTGATAGAGTTGAAAGACGTCTGCGCTGGTGTTGAATCAAGCGCATTCATCGAGGTCGTAGGGGCATAGACTGAGATGGGTTTCGTCGCTGTTGGAGCAGACTGATCCTTCTCTACACTTACGGCTTCGCCAACATGAGCATGCTTTCCCTTAGATGACTGTTTCTTCGTCTTTGCGGGTTTCGCCGCATCACTTCGCGCTTTGACACTGTAGTCCTCGGGGACAAGCGGTCGTTCGTCAGCCGACTTGCGCACAGTCAAGACATCTTTGACACTACTCGTCCGCCGCTTCTTGGAATTGGATGCCCCACGGGCAGGTGCCGCTCGCTTCTTGCTGTTGGCATTGCCTTTTTTGGAAGACGCTGCCAGCTGCTCGTGCGGCTGCTCTTGCCCGCGACCAAGGTACTCCGACGCCACTGATCTCGGTGCATTGCTAGGGCTTGACACAATTTCCGAGTCTACTGATGCCGCTGTTGTCGTCGAGCTTGGAGCATATGAGTTGTTAATGGCTGTGAAACCCATGTCTCCTGCACTGCTCGAAGATGTGATACCGCGTACTTGGTGCTCATCCCAACCTCGCCAGGGCATGCCGCGGCGTGTAACCCTACTCCGTACGCGGTCAGAGTGAAGCAGAAGTGCAAAGTGATGGATAAGCGGTGATTGTGATGGACAGGAAACGTTGATGACGACGAGGTGAAGTCGACTCTCGCGTGGCAGCCTGAGGCTTATCTGATGGCCCGAGCGTCTTGTCCTGGTGACCGACTGCGGAAGCGACCAATTCTTCGCCAAGACAGACATCTTCTTCTTATCGACCTCACCCGTGAACAGTACACTCGGTCGCACTCCAGTATACCATATTTCTGGCCAAAAGACCGGCGACGTCCTCACTCTTCACCAAAAGAGACCAGGATGTGGATTCGCGTCTGAGAGGCTGAACTCACGCTTGCATCAGGCATCGATCGACCCCGACGCCCGTTGCACACACAACAGCACGCCAACCACCGCCGCCCTCGCTCCACCGTGCTAAGGCTGAGCTGTATGTGATTGAGACCTTCACACGCGTGCTGCTTCGCCTCCTCTCGCAGATCCGGCGAATATGGCTAACATTGCAAAGATCCCGCCGAAGCCACAATAAAGCCCCGCGCATTGCATTGACTCTGGAAGGATCACAACACAAACCTATTTAGGAACCTCGATCAACCAAGAATCGTGCGCGAAGGGTCTTTAGAGTATGTTTAGCGGGTCATCGGTAAGCCTTGCTCTCCATAGATTCTCACCTCACCCCCTCAGCCTTTCCCACTCCCACCGCTCTCCTCACTGGACTCCACTACGGATCAGAATGGGAAGATTCTTGGACAAGGCCGCGTCAAAGTGCTTCAGCTACCCATGTCCATACGACCCTAGCGCGCTCCAAGAAAAGCCGCCGAAGTACCATGCATCGAAAGTCACGTCTGTGGAGCGAAGAACGAAAAAGTCAGCCCTCTCTGCGCACCCACCGCCGTATTCAGACCCTAGGTCTCCAGAAATATCGACGAATGCCCAGGAAAATGCACGATCACTTCATTACTACCGCAGTTCAATCGGATGCTGGACATGCCGCTCGCTCGTGTTCAGACAGAAGCTAATCGAATGGGTGGTTGCACAGAGGAAGCCGTATACGGCTGTAACTGTCCAAATCGACCGCCTGACGAGCGAGCAATACGGAGAAGATGACGTCGGCGGAATTATCGACCTGATAGAGGTGATTCGCATTCAAAGTTCAGGTCCTACTGAGGCAGCTAGAGCTATTCGGAAGAAGCTGTAAGTCACCGTCTTTGACATGTTTGAGTGCGATAAGTTGATGTTCGCGCAGAAAATATGGAAATCCCCACCGCCAAGTGAGGGCCTTGGTGATCCTGGACGGCCTCATTCAAAATGCTGGGAGTCGATTTCAAAGGGCATTCGCAGACGAGCCTCTTCTCGAGCGACTACGACTAATGGCGCGGGACGACGTGGTAGATGCTCACGTGCGCCAGAAGTGCAAAGTTCTCTTTGCGCAGTGGGCAAACGCATACAAGAACACACCCGGATTAGAACCAATTGCCAGCCTATACAAGGAATTTCCGAAAAGCCAACGGCCAGCCGCTGCTCGTCAAAAGGTTCTGCAGGATTCAACGGTAGCTTCGGATGCTGAAGCGGCACAATCACCTTTCGCAGAACCAGCAGAGTCTCGGCCTCGCTCGACTTCGAAGCCTCATCCTCCGGCACAGGCATCATCTTCGCGACCGGTAACGCTGACGCCTACGTCTTCAGGTTTCTCCTCAAAGTTGTTCAAAGAGAAGAAAAGCTCATCAAGCAAGGCGTTTAAATTATCCCACGAGAAGGAGAACATGACGAATGCCCTCGCGCAAGCCTCGATTGCTTCCACGAACCTGCTTAACGGTCTCCAGCTGATCAACCGCGAGCATGAGCGAGTTTCGCAGAACCAAGAATGTGTCCGACGCTTCGAAGCTTGCAGGTCGCTTCGAAAGAAGATCCTCTATTACATTCAACACGTCGAATCTGATGAGTGGATCGGCAGTCTGGTCAATGCCAACGACGAATTAGTGAAGGCCCTGACGGCGTACGAGATCATGGACCGAAGCATCAACGACGACAGCGACAGCGATGCTTGGGAGAATGCAGGCGCGGCGAGGCCAACATCTCCAAAAGGCGTCAGCAGCACTACGCAGCAACAGCTCGCAGGGCTGTCGCTCGAAGAAGCGCCACCGGCCAAACCACCTCGCCGTAATGCACCGGCGGCCATTCCGATGCCCGCTGCGGCTCCGCCGGTTCCTACTGCTTCAAAAAGGCTTTCTGATGACGACGACAACGAAGAAGATGATGATCCGTTTGGAGACTCTCACGCAGCGAAGACTCCATTTGACGAGCGAAGTGGTATGACTTGGCGGGAGGTATAGAAGAACCCTCTCTTGCCCCTTGCCGTTTCTCTTGAGCGCTGGAATATATCTGGCTCTTTCCTTGCTTTTTAGACGACTGATATGAAGGATGTATGACGAAACAGATTCAACGGCCGCTAAGCGTCGGCTCCCACTTCGTTTCCACGTTTCTCACATGACGGTGCAGGGGATGCAGCAGAACGAACTATAAATTCATCAGAAGTACACTTCTTTTGGTTGACCGTAGTAACTTGGATCTCACCAGTCACAACCAGGTCCGCAGGGAAACTCGATACACGGTTTAGGTTGTTGAGGTTTCTTGATCAATGGTTCCATTGGCTTGTGCGAGAGCGTCATGGTTTCGGAAGGACGTTGGAGGGCGTGCATCTTGTCGAAGTGGACGAAGATGTGCTTGTGTCGCTGTCCAACACTTTCCAATGGAGGGCCTTCTTGCCTTAAAGCACCTGTGAATGGGTCTCTAATGCAAGTCTAGGTCACGTGCCTGCCATGGCCCCCGTTTTGCCAAGAAAGGTGGCGTTGAAACTCAACTTCGCCAGCTTTGCATGACGTGGAACCAAACAAGTACATTAACTTTCACTTTCCGTCCATCTCCATACCATCTCCAAGGACTTTCCCAGCATCCGTCAGGCGCCAGCGACCGCGCAAGATCCCTGCCTAGCTGAAGATGCCTCCATCATCAACTACGACTTCCTCCGTGAGCGGGGGGAAGGCTGGATCCATGGTGAAGAAACCTGCTGGGGTCAAGATGCCTTGCTGGTGTGGTGATGATTGCCGTGAGTAGATCGAGATCGTCCACTTACGAGAGTGGGAATGCGTAGCTGACTTTGATTTGCATGGATAGAGTGCTGCATCATTCCATGCGTGAGTATCGAGACGTGGCGCGTAAATATGGGATCTTGTCGCTAATTTGGGAGTAGAGTGTCATGTAATGCAAGTCGATGACGAGCGCGAGAGACTACAGAAGCTGTTCCGAAGAGTCTCGATTTCAAGCATTTGTTTACGGAGCGGGATGAGCACATCGATCAAGGCGTATGCGGAATCTGGATGCGAACGAGTTGTACAGGTTCTTCGCGAAGGAAACTGAGTTTCTTGAACACCAAACACCAAAAGTCTTTCCTAGACATCTATATATTTTCACACCTTGCTACTGACGCAGACAGCTCATCGAAAAAAGAAATTCCTTCATTCTACTAGTAGCTCGTGAACCACACGCGACCCCACTTGGCCTTCTGTCGGCTGTGCGGTCTCAACGGAATTTTCAGGTGGTACCGAACCACCTTAACATGAACTGCTGCTGAGTACCTGCTCCGCTGAGCTCCTTGAGGCTGTTGTCTGGGTCCAGCTCACTGTGCCGGAGCCTAGTCGCTTTTGCCGAGTTATCGTGCCTTCGACGGACTCCAACCCGGGCTTGCAAATCCACCCTTTTACATGCTCGGCCTCTGGTTGCTCAAGCGATGTCCTCCTCATCCTTACCTTATGTCTCCAGATGTAAAATCCGACTATTTTCAAGATAACTGTGACGCAACTGATAGCAATTTCAGCACTACTGTCTTGTGTCGTTCTTTGGCGATCTTCATTCGGAGACTGGATTACGACTGATGACCGGCTTGCTGTGGAGTGTGTTGTTTGAACCAAGATGAAGAAATTCTGCTCGCAGTCAACAACGAGGTTCGCCTCTTGCCAAAACACTCGGCCGGGAACGTACTAACTTTCATTCGTCGCTCTCCGTATTGGGGAAGAAGGAACAACGTTTCCGTTGCCAAAGGTCGGCTGGCCGACAGCTTGATCGAATGCTCCGCATGGAGAGTTGAGGGTCAAACATCGCCCTCGGTATTTTCAAGCCCGATGGTGAAAGTAATGTTCGGATTGACCTTCTGCAGCTTTTGATGTGCTTCATCCCCAACAACGTAGACTTGTCATTCTACTCGGTCAGGCCAAAGGATTGCGCGAACGCTTTGCATGTCTCATTCGATAGCCAAATTTGCGAGGTGACGGAGTTTACGCGCATGGAAATGCTACCATTGGCAGATTAAAGAGCACACTTAATCTCCTCCAAGAGACTCTGATGCAGTGATCTGCCGCAGTGGGACTTTCTAGCGTCTTTTCGTTCCGATCGATGCTCAACTGAACGCTGCTGCCTTTGATTTGGGTTCCGTCGTATCCTCCCAGCGCCAGACTGCCGAGTACCGCAGCGCAGGCTGGACTAGAGAAATGGTCAACGGCTATCGTTCAGATGAGCTGCTTGCATGTATCATGCGCTCCCGTCGTATGCCCATACGACAGGCTCCGGAAGCACAGGTACAGCAGATTGCCCTACAACATCTACTCATGCAGTGTCCGCTTTGAACGGGAACGTCTGCGCGACATGTACATCGCTTCGACCGGGCGTACGACGTGGGAGGCCTGCTACTTCTGTGGATGGCGGAGTCATTTCTCCGAGTTCGAAGCAAGATCTCCAGATCATGTTGCCTTCCTCTTGCGTTCTTGACTGATTCTATCTTGAATCAAGTTTTCCTCTTGCTCTTTCGCAATCCTCCTCCATTGCCAAATCTTCTTAAGACTCTCAAACCGGTTCATGAAGTTCGGGAGAGGCCAAGAACCAACGCTTCTCGCCGTACAGAAACTATCCCGGTGTCAGTGCGACTGTATGCAGCTTTCCAGTCTCGTAAGAGCATATGAAACAACGGACTTGCTCGAAATGATCGTTGGTTTTCGATCGGAAGATCTCTTGCTCGACAATCTCTTCTAACTACCACCACCTCAAAACTCCATCTTAGACGCAATGCGCATAGACTGTCCAGGGCAATGCAAAGCCAAGCAAGGAACCTGCGGCGTACTCTACTTCCTTGGCGACGTACGGCTCAGCGGCCGCGAATGTGACTTTTTGCGTTTGGGTGATAGGTTTTTGTCCATGGGTTGTGCACTGCGTCGTTGCAACTGGGTATCGGAGTCAGGTCAGCTGGCTCGAGGGTCTTTGCGAAGCCCTCGGATTGTTGTACTCTCCAATACCAGACCCGAATAGTAACCCAAGCACACCTAGACAATGAAACATAGCAGGTAGAACATGCAGGTTTGGAAGGTTGCTTATTGTCAGGAAATGGGCTCCGGTGAGTCGTGTAAGGGGATACCTGCAGGACAAGAAGAGGCAGCATCCCGACGGGAGCCACCATATATGCAAAACAGGACGCGTCCCTTTGACACGAGTTGGTTCTCAATCTCGGCCAGTCGCCTCTCAGCCAGATCGACCTCACGGACGTCCAGTGACAACAGCACAACTCTAGTGCAAAGTCTCCAGCCACAAACCAGCTATCCTGACGCGAGTATGGGCAACACTGTTAGTACAACTTGCCAGTTGCAACATGAAAAGTGCGGAGTAGTAGTGAACGGAACTTGGGCGGCCCTATACGACAGCGACTGCCGGCAGATCAACGATACTCCGATCGATCCGGTGACCAACACCGCTGTTCTCAGTCATGCAGGGTTGCCGCATATCGTGAGAATCCAGATCGACGGCTATCGCGATGGAATTCTCGCGAACGAGCCTCAAGGCAGTAAGTAATACCAACCTCTTCCTCGCTCTGCACTTTTGCTGACACACAGATCACCTTAGATGTATCGTATTCGAACCAGATGTTGGCATTGCCGGGGGAATGTGAGATTTGCCTTGGTGTCAATGATTGTTGTTGGGTGTATTTCGATGAACTGCGCTGCTAAGGGATGGAGTAGGAATCAGGCCGCATAGTGGAGGAGATTCAATCGGCCGCCATCCATCCTGATAGCGCTGCAAGGTGGTGGTTCCGGTATGATTGCCGGAAAGAGCTTGTAGTAGACCCAGGAACAGGTTTTCTGTGGGTGCAAGTCCGTACAACCAGTCTTTCCATACCACATGCGATCTGTCAAGAGACTGTGTAGCTGCAACCATATGTCAGTCGGAGAACAATAGCAAACAAATTGCAGATTTCTTATTGGGACTCCCGTGTGTCTCTCGTCATGGTCTTTCCACTCGATCCGCATTCGCATTTGCAATCATTTCCTCTTGCCAGTATGGGCACGCCAATGTCGAAATGCAAAGCTCGCGTTGGGGTCTGCGCGGTGGAGGTATACGGCCAGAGAGCAGACCTTTACGGCCGAGGTTGCACGTGGATGGCGTACGGTCTGATTGACGAGCAAACTCATGAAGCCACGATCCATTCCAGTCTGCCATGGGATGTGATGATCGATGAACTGAAAGATACCGGCGATGGAGAGGCGAGAGGAGGTAAGACATTTCGATCCATGTAATTCAAAGTATTCCCTACTTACATGGACCTCTGACAGTGGTTAAATATGCGGATCAGCAGGAGGTTTTGCCGGGCAAGTGTTGGGAAGATGCGCACATGGACTACTGCTGGGTGACATTCAACGATCCCGCTTGCTAGATAGAGATCTTGGTCAGACACGAGTGTCGAGAGATTGAGGTTGGGCTAGAAGGGACATTTGTATGAGACTTACAGTGGCGGCTGGACAATGTCCAAGAGATTGATGTGTCTGTTGACAACATGCTTAGCAGCTTCTGCGAGTTCGTCATCTCAGGAGGTGTCGCGTGTATCCACTCTTCATTTTTACGAGTACACATAGCGACTCGAATGATTTTAGTCGTATACAAATGCGCTCTCTGCGAATTTCGGAGGCGAAGTGAAGTTGGCAAGGTGGAAGTGAAGGTGAAGTACAGGGGGTAAAGGTTACTAAGCGTTTATGGCCTCAGGCAGCCAAGGATCGTGAAACAACAATATATCAAGACCTATCGAGAGAAGAATGCTGCCGACCCGATTCCTCATGCTACCGCTGCATCCCGCAATATCGGCTCTCGCATTCCTCTCACTATCAAGTTAGTCTCGATCAAGCAAGCGATTGAAAGAGCGACTGAATATCGGAAAGTTAATGACATAAGAGTGCATTGGCTTAGGAAAGAGGTTATCGACTAGAGTGTCTACACAGTGATGCTGTAGGACCGTCGAATGTGGTAGGCAATCTAGAATCCTATGTTTGAAGGGGTGGACAAAGGGAATAACTTAACGAAAGACGAACAGGAAGCTTCTAACGGACGACCAAAGCTTTGTTGCCGACGGGCTCACTTCGGCTATTTCACATAACAAACGCAACGAGCAGTCCGGGCGGGCATTCGTGGTTCTTAAGGCGTATTCTGATCCTTCCTTTCGACTTACTAACGCAACAAGCAGTCCGTGCGGGTATTCGCAGGTTTCAAGGCGTATTCCGATCCTTCCTTAAGACTTACCAAAAACAATAACAAACCACTTGAAAGAGCCTTTTTTTACCTTACCTTGATTGCGGCAGTCACTCCAGTCATCGTTCTAGCATTCCAGGCAAAACCTTCAAGAAGCTCGAAGCACTCACGCGGTTTTGAAGAAGAAGAAAGACACCGGAATCGAAATCCAGCCCAGCCCAGAAATCCAGACTCCGGAAAAGCTTTCGCAAAGAACTTCTCGACTGTGCAAAAGAAGGGTGGACTTCTCTAAAAAACGATACGAATTCGAAAAGAAAAGAGAGCCATATTCAGAAAAACCCCTGGCTCCTCGTAGTAATTGACCCACAGATGATTCTGCCAGAAACCGCGGACAGTAGCGGACTCTCCAGCATAGCCGTGTTCGCCTGTGCTTCCCGGGGGGAACGTCCGACTCGTTATCCATTCATTCCGGCTTTTAATAACTAGCTAACAGACATCGTTTCCACACTTCCATCTTCCGCCCTCCGGGAGACAAGACGAGACGTAAGAGTCCGGGGTGATCTGTCTGCTGTCGAATCAGGCTGTATTCCGAATCAGTCAGTCGGTGATCGAAATCTCGTCATGGGTTGTTGGACTTACTGCTCTCTCGTCAACAACGCATTGGAGCCCACGCGGCAGCTTTCTTGGTATCGTCAACAGACGAGTGAGTATAGCTGCGGATCTCCCGACAGGAGCGCAGGGTCCGCTGCATTCATCATGATCGACTGCGAATTTTTAAGTTGACAGCAATCCCCGTCAGCTTTTCTCGGCAAGTCTACCTTCTTTTCCCTTCACTTTCCTTTCAATCTTAACCCCCCGTCCGGGTAACCCGCTGTCTGTCATTTCCTTCGAAGAAAGGTGCCCTTTTGCTTGATTTTTCTTCTCCCGCTCGTAGCCGCATGCACATGCTTTGACCGGCTCTCGCAAAGCCAACAGATGTGGTGAAGATATCGGTGTCTGCTTTGCAGCGCCGATAGTTACCTGCAAGAACTCGTTCTGAAAGCGTACTATGCTGTACTGAACAGCCAGAGGCGAATAGACTGAATAATAACCAATGGTAGATGGACTATGCCCATGTTAGAGGTAATCAGCGAGTGAAGTCGTCCTCCATCTCCTGAAACGGAAGCCTCCGCTGAAACGTCGATACAGCATCGCGCGGAGAACGCGCGAGGATACTCAGCAAATCGCGTGGCCCAACGCATATGGCGCCGTGGTTCTCTGCAGAACATCGAAATTCTCTCGTGCTAATAACTCATCAATGTCCCACCATCTTCGCACTAGCCTCATTATGCCGATTCCCCACAGGCTTCGCCTTATCAATCACAGCCCTCATCTCCCTCTGCTCCTCCGCCGTAAGATCCACGCCCCTGGAGCCCCAATTGTCCGCCAAGCGCTGCGGCTTCGTGGTGCCCGCAATGGCAATCATGCCCTGCGAGGCGACCCACGCCAGGGCAATCTGCGGCAGCGTGCAGCCCTTGCGCGTGGCGAGCGTCTTGACCTCCTCCACGATGGCCTTGTTCTTGTAGAAATTCTCGCCTTGGAATTTCGGGATCGTGCGGCGGAAGTCGTCCGACGCGAATTCTTCGGGGGAGTTGTAGTCGAAGTTGTCGACGAGCCAGCCGTGGCCTAGCGGGCTGTAGGCGACGAAGGCGACGTGCAGTTCGCGGGCCGTGTCCAGGAGGCCGTCTGTTTCGTGGACCGTCTCGAAGGCGGAATATTCCGCTTGCACGGCGTCGATCTTGGCGACTGTAGAGGGAGAAGGAGAGAAGAGGTGTTAGCGATCTGATCTGTATACTCAGTACGAGTACGCATTTCCTGGGTACTTACTCGAATTGGCCTTGCGCAGAGTCTTGGCCGAGCACTCGGAGAGACCAATGTACTTCGTCTTCCCGGCCTTGCGAATCTCATCCAGAGCCGGAATGGACTCCTCAAGCGGCGTGTCTGTTCACACCGAGATCAGTCAGCATCCCACTTCCTTCCCACCAAAAACCCAAGCCCGGAATGATGGTGGTCCAACTCACTCGGATCAATACGATGCAAGTAATACAGATCCGGCGCGAACCCGAGCCGCTCAATCGTCCCCTCGATATACGCCGTGATATGCGCCGCGGAATTCGTGATGCCCCGTTTGGAAGCGTCCTCGTTGAAGCAGTCGAAGCCACACTTGGACGCGATGAAGATCTGGTCCCGCACGTTGTGCTTGCGGATGAAGTCGCCGAGGAGCTTTTCGTTGAGGCCGGCTTTGTAGACGACCTGGGAAGGAAGAAAGAAAGAATCTGGCTCAGTCTGGGCTCTTTTCCGGTTAGAGGGACTATATTGTACTCACAGCGGTGTCCCAGAAGGTACATCCCAACTCAATAGCCTTGAGAAGCACAGGCTCCGCTTGCTCGTACGTGAGGCTGTGACCGTACCCGAAGCTGATGCCCATGCAACCCAGGCCAGGCGTGGGGACTTGAATGTCCGCGAAAGGAAGTGTCTTGACCATCTTGACGGCTAGCTGCTGGAGGCGAGAAAAAGATTGTCTGATTGTCTGATTGTGTGGTTATTTGTTCGATAAGAGGAAATCGAGCAGACAGACAGAAAGATACGTGAAAAAAAAAAAGGTTCCTTCTTATACCTCCTACCAGCAAGTTACTTCGCCCTTCCCATGGAACTGGTATGAGGTAATTGAGGCGGGCGGCCTTTACGGTCTTTGGTGGAATTTTGACCTTCGGACGTCTTCGCAGATAATGTCCGCTTTCCGGTCCGTTGGACAAGATGGGAGTTGGACACGTCGTGCGGGTCTACCCGCGGGCTCAGAGGGCAGGTCCCGTCGGCTCCCTACACGGCCGCGTTCCGAAGTTTCGCCTCGGCCGACGGCCCCTACTTTTCACGTGATGCACGTGAGAGAACTGCACGTGACCAATATGCACGTGACAGGCTGCACGCAAGGAAAACACGAGGCCGCGAAGCATTATACGATACCGAGATCCATTCCCCTACGATTTCTAGTATGACGTATAGTGAAAAAACCTAGAGACTCGTCCGAGGAATACGGTGCTTAAGCGATATGTCTCGGGAATGGAACGCAGGACAATTTGTCTCCAACACGAACGGTACAATTCTCGTGGGGTACGTACCTTATCGCTGTCCACAGTCCGGTCTCGTCGACAGGTTTTTCCACTCTCGACTCGCGCGGAGGAGCGTTCGACCCCAAAATTTGTGGTCGCCGAATGCTAAATCAAGACCACCTGCCAAACAAATCAAGCACGGCCTTCAGGCCGTCAAGGGGATACCTTCTTCATCCTTCGGCCCTGCCATGATGTTGTTTGTGCCTTGTAGTGCTTCCCAATATTACTTTGGCACCCTAGTCGAAGGTGCTGTGCTGGGCCGCGCGGCTCGCGTCGTTCAATTGTTGGCGTCCAGGCGTACAAAGGGACAGGACGTCTTTGGTGTCGTGTGGAAACGGCAGCAGGCTTGACGGGACGCGGCAATGGATCTGTAGTAACCTCTCTGGTGGGACCGTCACTAAGGTATGAGGAGCTTGCGCGCGCGTGAGAGATGCAGATGCAGCAAGGGAAGTGAGGTTTTGTTTGAAGTGAAGTTGGGATTCCCATGCGGGATGAAGGCCATACAAAGCTTCCATTTCCATATCGTTCGGCTGGCGAATACAGGCGATTCTCAACATCCCCCGCGTCTCGCTGCCACCATGACATGACCCTCCTGTCAAATTGGCAAACGCTCCAGCTCAGCGCCGCCGACGAGATCGAAGCGCAGATCCGTAAGAGTCGAAAGCAGTCGTCGCGGACAGGTCGAGCGCTCTCAAGCGGAGGAGACCGGCGACTGTCCGGACTCCTAGGCTCGCGAGACCTCAACCTCACGCTGCATGTTGTTTTGCCCGCTGTTGTTGAAGCTTTTTGATTCTTGCTTTCAACCAACCTTCTCTCGGGGTCCTGCTTGGCTCTGGCCGACGCGTCCTTCTGTGCTTTCGCCGTGTCCTCCTGTGCTTTTTGGAGCCGCGTCCTCCTGTGATGTGAGCTCTGGCAGAGGAAAGATTGCGTTGTCGAATCGAAGTATAGCGTTAGAAGGGAATCCTAATATCCTAGACAGAAATCCGAGAAGAGGCTATAGCGTAGAAAGAAAGACGTAAGATACCCGTATACCTTACCGTATAGGTTCCCTAATCGTGTATAAGCTGCTACTTACTGCTGCAGCAAGGAAAGGTCTCGTAGGGTCCTTTTAAAGGCCAGCCGGAGCACCCTCCGTCCGTAGTGATTGCTTTTTGAACTACAAGGTAGGCAGCAAGCCGGTCTGAGGGACAAGGGTCATCGAGAGAGACAAGGATTCCAAAGAATTTCCCAACTTTCCATTCTCTGTTTTTATTTCATATATTCATGCAGGGTCAGAGATATAGAGCTCTTCCATACCTTCTTCCCTCCCAACGCTATCGTTACTACTCAGGTTCAGAGCAGCTTCATTGTCCGCTTTGCAAGTCTAGTTGACCAAGACATATCGGTAGCGAGGCTTGCCATCGTTGAAGTCAATAGCCACCTGGTTGGCCTCCTTCATCGGTCTCTCCTGGATCCACGGCTGAATCTTCGAGTCAGCTGCAATCTTGAGCATCTCGTTGATCTCGTCGGGAGATCCAATCGCGCTGCCTCCAACCTTGATACCGTTGGGGATGAGAGTGAAGGCGTTGATAGGAGGAAGGTTGCCGCCGTCCGGGGCGCCGACCTGGATGAAGGTGCCCTTGGTCTTGAGCATCATCAGGTAGTCGGTCAAAGGCATCTTCTCCGAGCTGACGGTGCAGACGATCAGATCCAGGCTGCGGCGGTGCTTGGTGGCGAAGTCCTCGTCTTCGTCCGTGGCGATGTACTCATCCGCGCCCAACTTCAGAGCATCCGCTCGCTTGTCGCTCTTTCTTGAAATGCCGACGACCTTGTCCGCGCCGAGGGCCTTGGCGAAGAGAAGTCCAAAGTGACCCAGTCCACCAACGCCTACGATGCCAACCGTCTTGCCCGGGCCAGCACCGTAGTTCTTCAGCGGGGAGAAGACTGTGATACCTCCACAGAGCATAGGCGCAGCTTCCGCCGAACTCAAGCCCTCGGGAATCTTGAACACGAATCTCCCGTTGGTCCGGTTGTAATTGGCATAACCACCATAGGACTTTCCCTCATCCTTCGGATAGACACTTCCATAAGTGTTGATGCTCTCCCTCGCGCAGTGGTTCTCCAGCCCCGAAGAGCAATCCGGACAATCCTTCTGCAGACAGCTGCGAGCCTGGGCACCGACGCCGACACGGTCGCCGACTTTGACGTGTTTCACGTTCGAGCCAACCTTGACTGCCTTGCCGACGATTTCGTGGCCGACCACACACGGGTACGGAGTGGGGAACCAGCCGGAAGAGAGAGTGTGGATGTCGGAGCCGCAGACACCACAGTGGGAGATCTCGATGTCGACGTCGTCTTCCTGCCATTTCTTGGGCTCGAATTCGCCCCAGGTCATGTTGCCCTTGGCGGAGGAGGGGTCCTTGCCGAGCCAGCCTTCGAATTTGTAGTCGGTGGCCATGGTGGAGATGTTGCTGTTGTTGTGACTGTGGGATGAGTGAGATTGGATGTTGATGTCGAGTCGGTGTGGGGGGTATCTGAGGAAGTGGAGAGACGAGGTGTCAATAGACTTTTATTCACGGCAAGAGCAGTCCGCCGTCCGTTGAGAGGCAATTGCGTCAACAGGGTGCTGCTGCGTTTCACGCGTGGGCAGTGACGTTTTGCACACGACGGCCGTGGAGAAAGCAAGTGCATGATCTGCCCGAATTCATGAGAACAGAGAAGGTGGTGGTGTAACTTTGACGCTTTCCTGTTCCGTGTGTTGAGTCGTGTGGTAAGGGGAAACTGTTCGGCACATGTGCAGTGAGAGATCTTTCGTCATCATGCGGTCGCGCGCGGCCATTATTCCAGGCGCGACACTTCACCCTTTCATGACTGCTCTCCAGGAACATCAACATCAATACATGTACTATGTACGCGTGCTCGCCATCGACGGCAGTATGAGGAGTCTCGACAGAAGCAGCTGACACACTGGTTCCAGACCGTCCGATGTGCTTATAGGGAAGATCAGTCGCCAACCGATATTGCTTGCGAGACGCGTGATGATTGATGATGATGATGATATGCACCGCGATGTTCGGTGAGCCTTTTAGTAGATGGTTTACCGTCCACGACAGTACCCATGAATTTTTCCTCAATAGAGCAAGCTCGCAACCGAAGTGCAGAAGCAAGCAGCATCGACTCCGACTTGCCGTCGGCAAGTTGTCGAGAATCGGTGATAGCAGGTACGGCGACACTCGACGGTATCGCGAGACGAGGCGTCGGTGAGCGTGCTCCTCCTCATCAGGTTATCATCATCACTCGCTCGGATGCTGTCAGCTGGGAGAGTGCAGTGCAGATGGGGTGGATCAAGCACAGAAGGGGTGTCGCACGGGGTGGATCCAGGTGCATGCCACGTTTTGCGCCGCACCGGGCACGTTGCACGATGGGATGGTGGGATGAGTAGGTCAAGGATGGGATGCGTGTAAGACGACGAGTGTACCTGACAGTGATTGAGTGAGTGAGTGAGTGCCGTGAGTGTAGTAAGAATAGTCATGCAATGGAGAAAAATGGAATGCCCGGCGGCGAGGAAGATGGAGACCGGGAGGCCGGAAGCTGGCAAGATCCGAGATGACGCATGAGGGCACCGTCGGCATCGGCGTTTGCGCGCTCCGGTACCCGCCCCGGTGATCCGACTTGCACAGTGGGGCCAAGGCTTGGCGTGCACATGGAGGGGGACATGCACATGGAGTACACATGGCATCGCGCACAACGCAGAAGTCGCGTTGCACAGCACAGCACAGCACAGCGCGTCCACGGTGTCTGTCGGGTCGGCCGGGGCAGCAGCGAGAGCGGGCGGTCAGCACAGCAGCAAGGCACAAGGAAGCTGGCAAGGACCGTTCTGCCTCGCCATCTCCGCCCGACCCTTCCTGCCCTGTCGCGAGGCACGCAGGGAATGTCGCCAGGAATGTCGCCAGGAATATCGCCCATCTCTCCCTAGCACCACTACTAGGTAAGTCACTTTCTTCTCGGAGTCTCTCACGCGAGATGAGATGAGATGAGATGGGCGTCAGCGCCAGCGACGGGACACCGATAGCACTCGGATCCGAGCACGTGCAGTGCAGTGCGGTGCGGTGCAGTGCAGTGCAGTGCAGGTGTCGCAGCCCCGTCGCACAGCACAAGCGCGCGAGAAGCAATCATTAGTCAGATGGGATGGTGTGCACGGCGATGAGATATGATGGGTGCGGTACGGTGCGGTGCGGTGCGGTGCGGTAGGAAGGGAGGGAGAATGGATGCCTGCCTGCCTGCCTGCCTGCTTGCTTGCTTCCTTCCTTCCTTGCTGGCTTGCTGCTGCTTCTCGCCTGCTCCAGTCCGTCCTCGTCCACACTACCTTCTACCTTACTACTGCACCCGCCGCCACGTAGTCCCTCTCTCGCTCCTGCAGTCTAGTCCAGCCCACCTGCTCCAATAATCCAATCCCCATTCGCGCGGGCATTGGCACTGGCACTGGCACTGGCACTTCCACTCGCACTCGCACTCGCACTGGCACAAGATCAGAGCATCTCAGCAACTCCCGTCCGGCCCTGGCGTGGTGACGACGAATCGATTCATCCGAAAGAGGTACCTTACCTTACATTATCATGCGCCTTCTGAAGTCTGGTCCCTTTGTATCTGGCGACCCGGCTACCCTCGAGCTTCACGAATTCCGCGATCGGAAGGAACCACGCTATGCCGCCCTCTCCCATCTGTGGGCGGAGGCGCAGGACGAGGTCCTCTTCGCCGACCTGCTGCCTCACTGCGACCCCGCCGTCAAGCTGCGGGAGGGCCACCTCGCCGTCGACCTGAGTCAGGAGCCCGCCGCCTCGCTGCGCCAGAAGCCCGGCTGGCCCAAACTCGCCTTCGCGCTCGAGCAGGCCTACGAGGACGGCAAGGACTGGCTCTGGCTCGACACCGCCTGCATCGACCGCAGCAGCAGCGCCGAGCTCACCGAGGCCATCAACTCCCTCTACCACTGGTACCAGGAGTCCGCCATCTGCTATGCCTTCCTCCCCGACCTCCCGCTCGAGGACTGGCGAGACGCCGTCCACTCCGACCAGTCGCCCCTCCAGAGCCGCTGGTTCTCCCGCGCCTGGACCCTCCCCGAACTCATCGCCCCCGGCCACCTCGTCTTCTACTCCCAGGAGTGGACGCGCCTGGGCGACAAGCATCAACTCCGCCACCTCCTCTCCCTCGCCACCGGCATCGAGCCCGCCATCCTCGACGGCAGCCGCAACGTCGAGGAGACCAGCATCGCCCGCCGCATGTCCTGGGCCGCCCACCGAGACTGCGCGCTGCCCGAGGACCGCGCCTACTCCCTCGTCGGTCTCTTCGGCGTCAACATGTCGCCCCTCTACGGCGAGGGCGAGAAGAAGGCCTTCCTTCGCCTGCAGGAGCAGATCATGAAGAACAGCGAGGACCACTCCATCTTCGCCTGGAGCGATCCCCAGGTCGGCGACCAGTTACATGGCCTGCTGGCCGACAGCCCGCGCGCCTTTGCCCACTCGGGCGACTTTGAGCCCTACGCCTTCGAGGACCAGTATCCATTCGAGATGAGCAATCGCGGCGTCCGCATCAGTCTGCATCTCACCCCCGACAACGAGAACGGCTTCATGGCCGCATTACAGTGTCCCAACGCCTATCCCGGCAGTGGCTACCTGGCCGTCTACCTTCGCAAACTCCCCTCCGGAGACCGACAGTACGCCCGCGTACACTGCGACGAGATCACATCCCTGGACACCCTCGGAAGACCCGAACAGATCTACATCCGACAATCCATCCCACCCCTCGGCGTCTTCCCCTCGATGCGCTCCCTACACCATGGCATGCACACATCAAACTACAGCCCCGTCTCCAGAGACTCCACATACTCACACGTCGTCGACCCCATCTCACAACGGCCCATCTCCCCACCACCCAAATCTCCCAACCGCAGCTCGCCTCCTCCGGAGCGACCCGACAGCGGCAAGATGTTCCCCATTCACCTCTTCCACATCTCCAAATTCCGAACTTGGGGCGGCTACCAAGTCCTCGACGTCCACTTCCAACCCCCGAAATTCTCCCTCAAAGACAGGATATACGCCGACTTGCGCAAGGAATTGACATACCCTCCCAACGTCCCCGACGAACTCCTCCTGACCTTCAAGATGGTGCAGGAGAGTCACCGCATCACGGCAGCCATCCTCGTCGGCCTGCCGGATGCCGGCGAGAGTCCGGCCGCGCCTCCTGCCACCCGGAATCACGTCAGCAACAACAACAACAACAACAACAACAACAACACCACCGCCACCACCAACGGGATCTCATCGCGATCCGACGATAGTTGCGTGGCAATCCTACTCGGCACCTCCGCGTCCAACTCCCCCGGCTTCGACATCGTAGAATGCTCTTCCCTCCGCGATCTCAAGACCTGCGGCCGCTCCTTCGAGCCCATGGACTTCGGCACCATGGCGTTTGGGAAACACCACCGCGTCACGGTTCGCGCGGAACCGGTCGAATACGACAAGGCCGGGGTCAAGGTCTGGCAGATTGAATTGGGAGTCGGTGGGCTGGGCAAGACGGGCATACGGGACTCGGCGAATGCAAGTCTGGACGTTGCGAGGGGGGATCTGCATCTGGGTGGTTTGAAGAGGCAGGACAGTCAGCGCAGCAGTATGAGTCGGATGAGCTGGATCGTGCAGCGCGTCGCTCGGAGGACCAGCGACGGCTCGCGGTAAAGAATTGGTTGGATTGGATTGGCATTGAATTTGAAATAGACGGGTTTTGGGAAAAGGGGAAGAGAAGGGTTGTGGTGGTACGGCATTTTGGGGGCTTTTCTGGGGTGTGACGGTTGGGATCGAGGTATGGGTAGGTAAGGTAAGCATGCATGCATCTTGAGAATGGCAAGTGGGTGGGATACACGGTGTGAAGCGATTGTGAGCGATTGCGAGCGAGTGAGCGAGTGAGCGATATTGTAATGATTCTCACGGCAGTCTTTTCTGCTTGTTCCGTGGATCTGACCTTTTCTCCCTTGCTACTCGTCTCCCAGGCAGGCAGGCTCCCTGGGTCTTGCTGCTCGTCTCCTTTCCTTGTTTTGCTACAGTATAGATCGTACTGACTTGCGAGCGAGCGAGGTGCATGTATCGCACAACCTCGACAACGGCGGAGAGGATAAGAACTTCAAAAGCCCAAAACCCCGCCGCGGGCCCCCTTTCCTCCCCCCAACTCTCCCCCCCCCCCCCCCAAAAGACAAAAGTAAAATCAAAAACATACAGCACGAGGGATTCTCGCCTGGTCACCCACGGCAATACTAGTCTCGCGGTCGAATGGTTATCTTTGGAAGAGCGGACGGGGTTCCGAGTTCTCATTCGCCTGTGGCCGTATGTGCTTGCTAGGGAAGGAATTTTGGTATATATCGGTTTGTGTGCGAGAATGCCGATGAAGCCGGGGTGGATCCGAGCTATCACCACCATTTGCGCAGGGATGTCTTTGGATTTGTTGTTTTTGATGAGTGGTGAGAGTAAAGGAGAAGGAGAAGAATTGATATAGCGCGGAGGGATGAGTTTAGTATGTCTAGAGAAACGAATCGGGAGTGGCTAGCTAGTAAGTCTTCGAGGCGTACGAGTGCGAGGAAAGTTTCCCCAACGGGCCTGACATGATCTAGCAGTACTTCTGCCAAAGTACTGTCCATGTTCTGACCTTGGCACCAAGCCTGCACGATGACCGCTTCTGTTGTTGCCCTGTGCTGGAAAGGCGGATTTGATACTCCTCAGATGTTGTTGAGACTTGGATTACACCCGATGATACGATAGCCGAAGAGCCCCTCGCCGGCTATCTGACGTGGGTCGATCTTCGTCGCTCATTAGGTACACGAGCGGATCTTGCTAGTAGAAAGTCGTCGACACATCAGAATCGAAGCCCAGACCGTGAAAGTAATCGAACTGTACACCTGAGCCACCGCTATCTGGCCTGTTCATGCATTTCGCCGCTCATGGAGGTTGGAGGTAGGTGAGAGATTCCTTGAGCTGGAGAGATATGTGTATGCTCATTTACAGCCGATCTGGCGTGGTGATGTAGTACGAATTGAGATCGCACTGCCTGTTCTCTCAGTGGTTGCTTTTGTCGCATTATGCCTGCTGAATGCTACTGGGTTTGATTTCTAGAGGTCGTAAACGTAGTAATGCCGTTGTTTTGGCGCAACACGATGCCATTAGCTGCAGCTGTGCTTGCAAGCTGCCGTGCTGAGGGTGTATCTGCTGCTTGATCGGAAGCATGGATAATGTCCGCGAGCTACACATGACCTTCACTTACCGTTGGGTTTGGAGCTGTTAATTTTCTCGCTCACTGATCAATGCTCGTGTCTTCCGCAGCAGGACGAGCAGACGGCGCACGCCCGGGTCAATGTGCTCAGTCTCAAACACATGCTCGGCCTTTCCAGCCTTCAAGAGTGCTTTGCCGTACCAGAGAGGCGGCCTAGGCATCTCGAGGGCTGTGGTGGCCAGAATACTAGGCACGATGTCGTTCAGGCCACCCCAATCGCTCATGACGAAGCCGTTGTAGCACCATTCTCGCCGAAGAATGTCATGTACGAGCAACCGACTGGGGTCAGCATGCTCGCCATTGATCTTTGGATAAGCAGTCATTGCCTCCCAAGAGTCTGCGTATGAGGCCCTTTCAAAAGGTTGCAGACAATCTCGCGAAGTGTGCGTTGATCGATTCGTACGTCCATATTGAAGCGTCGAGTCTCCACATCATTGGCCACATCATGTTTCATGCACGCGTCGACGCCTTGATCTTGAATGAGTTCAATTTACGCTCCGGCCAAACTTCCAGTCGAGAAAAGACTCTCGTCGAAGTTTTCGGAGTCTCTGCCTTCTGAGGGCGATTGGCGGACATTCATGGTGGGAGCCAGCCATCCTGTGCGCTCTTGCTTGTGGCTCTGTTGCCCGAAGAGATCCAAATTGATGAATGAGTTCAGGATCCAAGGTCGCTGCTAGATATACGCCACATGTAATGTGTGTTGTCGGTGAGCCACTCGTTCACTTGGCTCCGCGGACTTCAGCTGAGCCGTCTGTCGTCTTGAGGCTCCCAACACCTCGACATGGAAGGTCATGAATCTCTCACATATTCTTCTTTAAGAGCAATGGGCATTTTTCTGGTAGTGTGAGTGTTTCCAGAATGGTTTCGATCTCGTCCGTGCTGTGTGAACCCACAGTGAGCTGTTTGGTATGCTCTGCGATGGTTTTCCTAGAGGAAGGTCAATCCGTTGAAGAGTGTGCAAGCATCAATCCATATCCTCAAAATTGATCACATATTGTAAGTGACAGCCACAAGCTTAATGTCGGACACGGCAGAGGCGGGTGTGAGCCACAGTCTCGCATGTAGCAATCGCGCCGTCGAAGGCGGCAGACAGCGGGCTTCCATCGAAGACAGATAGGCCGCCAATGCGTTGTAGTAAACGAAACATATCAGGCGGATGCCATCCGCTACACTGCAGTGTTAGAGGTTGGAGGATGGAAGCAGGAGTCGGCGTGGAAAAGATTCACTTCACGGCCGCGCTTCGGGCCGTTCCAATCAGCGCTGAGCTCGGACCTGCGGCTGGATGGCGCCCGAAGCAAGTATACCCGAGGCTCCATGGTAGGGCGGATCAGTCACGCCGATTTCTCTTAACATCAATCACAACATCGTGTTTTGAGATGTGAACTCGAAGCTGCTCAGCGGTGCTCCAGTATCTCACCAATTTCTCCCACCATGGCAATCCAAGCCACCAGATTGCTTCGTGCTGCAGCTTGCCACGTATCGCCTGTCTTTTTATCCGCCCAAAAGACTACAGACAAATGCATCTCCCTGATCAAACAGGCAGCTTCCAATCAGGCCAATCTGGTCGTCTTTCCGGAAACCTACATTCCGGCATTCCCAGTATGGAGTGCCATAAGAGCCCCGATCGAGAACCATGATCTTTTCAAACGTATGGTCAAGGAGTCGATCTATGTAGATGGCGAAGAAATAGATGCGATCCGTGCAGCTGCAAAACAGTCCGGTGTCTTTGTCAGTCTTGGAATTTCCGAAAAAGCAAGATTCAGTTCCGGCACCCTCTGGAACTCCAATCTGATCCTCGGACCGGATGGCGAAGTCCTTAACCATCATCGAAAGCTGGTAGCAACTTTCTTCGAGAAGCTGACATGGAGCCACGGAGACGGCCATGGCTTGAAGGTCGTGGATACTCCTTTCGGCAAACTGGGAAGTCTCATTTGTGGCGAGAACACCAATCCGCTTGCTCGTTACTCTCTCATGGCGCAAGGCGAACAGATCCATATCTCAAGCTGGCCCGCCATCTGGCCAACACGAAAGCTCTCATCCGAATCTTCGACGAACTCAAAGAATTACGACAATGTGGCCGCCAACAGGACCAGAGCAGCCGCACATTGCTTCGAGGCTAAAGCATTTGGCATCGTCAACTCCGGGTTCCTTGGTGACGAAGCTTTCCAGATCATCCAAGAAGGGGCAAGCGACTCTGAAGGCGTCTTGAAGACTTTGCGAGCATCACCAAGAGCAGCAACAATGTTTCTGGACCCGACTGGCACGACTATTCCAGGATACACCATAGACAGCGTTACGGGTCAAAAGACTACCAAAGAGTATCTCCAAGACGAGGAAGGGATCCTATACGCCGAGATGAATGTTGAGGACTGCGTAGAGGGCAAACAGTATCACGATATCGTTGGAGGCTACCAACGGCTTGATATCTTTGATGTCAAGATCGACCGGAGCAGGAGGCATCCTGCGCAATTCGTAAGATCGCCTGCGGTGAGAGAGCAAGACGATCACCGTGAGCACAATCCTGAGAAGCAGCAGCTCAAGAGTGCTCTATCAGATGATTCAAGTTGAGCTAGTCGGACATATTCTTGTGTTACTGCGTAGACGTGGCATTCGTGTACCAGCTATCTATTCAGCAGGCAGGGCTGTGTCACTCTAACATCCGCTTCGACCTCTAACCGCTAGCAACGAGCATCCAATATCCCCACGAAGCGCTAATTGACTCGCACCATGCTGCAGGCACCCCAGTTGAGGATGCTGCAGGCGCCAATCTGCCATTTCGTGCGGTCAATTCGAGACGAAATACTGACGGACGCGATTTGTCAAAAGCCGCTCCGCTCCCACGTCTCGGCAAACCCTGATTAGAGTACACGAGGTCTCTTGGATCAATTTAGGCCGTAGAGTATCAACTAGGAACGCTTTTTAAGACAGAAGTCAAGCATGGGCGTCATCCAGTTCCGTTCAAGTCCATATTGTCTCCCTTCTTCAACCAGGACATTCCTAGAGAGGCCTCGAATACGCACCATGCCGGGACAGAAGTCGACAATGCGCATGGGCCTAACGACAGCGCTCGACGTTGCAGTATGCGTTGTGGACTCCGTTACAATCGCGTACGATGGCTCCCTTATAGACTCTTTTAGTCTCATTTGAAAGCCTACGATTTCTCCTCAATGTACCTAGATCTGTTGCAATATAGTTGATACTATTTACATGAGTCTCTAGGACTGCAAATGTCGCAGGAGATAGCTGTAATGCAGAGCCGCCAGATATAAGCCTTGGGGTAAGGGGATGGCGGATGGTAGCGCAGAGTGGATTCTATGACGATAATCAGCAACCGTTCGTTGTCATTGATCAAGACGCGACACTGCGAGTCCTCATAGCATCATTCTCGCCCTTTCTTACGGTACAACGAACACGTGGGTCTATCACCATTACACAGTCGTTTCCAAGCCTGTTCGTCGGTGATGTGCTTGACCCTAACCCTAACCCTAGTGTTGACAAGACACTCGCCTCTGTCGCCAGTAATCGCAAGCCTGGTGGAAACTCCGCTCTAGGAACGGCATGTCAACACGTTCGCTGTAATTCAGATGTTGGTGAAGGTGGAAGACATCCGCCTGAATAAAATGTGTCGACGGCTCAGGCTGTACTTAGGCCGACTCGAGTCGCCTGCAGCTTCCCTGCCGGCTTTACCGGACAAAAGGAACGCCATCATTGCGAGCTTCAATGCATACTCTAGACGGAACAACTCTGCACATGTTGGCACGACGAGAAAGAAGCATCCTGCCGGCACTCCTTTCGTCCAGAACGCTGAGTCGGAACGACGTCGTGCCAAAGATCTTGCAAACGGCCCATGGCAGCCGCAGCGAGCAATGAAACATGCCTCTCGAGACACCCAACCGCAACAACAAAGAGCAAAGACGGCAAGAAATCGATGATATCAACGAACGAGATGCCTTCACAAAGCTTGATCCTTCAGGCTTCTTCATCCGCCATCCTCCCAAACCACACGAGTTGCACTCCTTCATCACACCCGACGACAAGCTGTTCCAAACCATACACATGGGCGGTGCTGTTGTCAACCTATCTCGCTGGAAACTAAAAGTCACAGGCATGGTGAAGAAAACTCTCATGCTAGATCTGGACTCCCTGAGGCGAGATTTCCTGGTGAGAACCATCATGTCTTTCCACGAATGCTTCGGCAGTCCTCTCAAACCAGCAATAGAAAACCCCTGGCGGATCGGAAATGTTCGCTGGACAGGAGTCCCTCTCAAAGAAATTCTACTGCGCGCGGAACCACTTCCCGACGCTACTTTCGTGTGGTCCGAAGGTCTTGATCGAGGCGAATACGCCGGAGTTGAAGCAGACTGTTACCGGAAAGATTTACCCGTAGAGAAAGCTATGTGCGACGAAGTTCTCCTGGCTTTCGCTATGAACGGTGAGCCACTCTCCAAAAATCGCGGCGGGCCCGTGAGATTGGTGGTTCCGGGATGGTTTGGAACGAATTCCACCAAGTGGATTTCAAAGATCGAATTGCAGGATCGGAGAGCTCCGGGTCCTTATACGACGATATTCTACAATGTGCCAGAACCAAACGGTACGATGAAACCGGTTTGGAAAGTCGATGTCAATTCGATGATTTTCCGACCGCTCCCTGGAGCAGTATTCGACGAACGAGCTATTTCTGTCGAAGGATGGGCTTGGGGCCCGGAGGGTGTTGATCGCGTAGACGTCAGCAAAGATGGCGGTATTTCTTGGATACGGAGTCAATTGGGCGATCGGGTTGATTTCAGCTGGCAGAGATTCTCGATTGTCATGAATCTCGAACCAGGACCCTATACTCTGGTTGCTCGAGCGTCTATCAATGGGGGCCAGAAGCAACCTTTGAGCAAAGCAAGAAATCACTGCCATTATGTTCAGTGCGAAGTGAGGCCGATAGAGTGAGCTTGCTGGACACGATCCCTGAATAAAGATTTGTTGGCCTCTTCGGTTCCGGTTCACCCAGTGAGGGGCGTAGTATCAAGGCAGGCTGCACCTACTCTTGGAGATTTATTGGTCTAAATCTGAGGAATGAATTGATAGAGTGGAATGAGACTAGTCCCAAGAAGGAAAGAGGTGCGCGTGCTAGAGCGGAAAGGTCATATCAGGGAAGCCGCAGGATTAGACTGCGCCATGCTGTACAACGAGTTTCCGCAGCGAAGTCTCCGATTCACATACCAAACAACCCGAAAACCGGAACCGAGGAGTCTATCTGACCTCAGATCCTCCCAGCAGCACATCCTCTCAGCAGCACATCCTCTCACAAGTTTCAGCATGGCGGCAACAACGATCGAAACACCACCGGATCCAGTCGCAACCTATAATCTGCTTAGAACTCCAGGCTCAGCGGCAGACACTTTCAGCATCCATCAGCCCAATGGAGCAACTCTCCACGCCTCCAAGAAGTCTCACAAGCTGGGTAGCGATGAGCTCATAATCTCCCAAGACACGACTTCCGACGCTCTTGTCGCCGCAAAGCTAAAAGCCTCCTCCAAAAAATGCGAAGTGAAGTTCGATGCAAAAGGAGACTGGCAAACCGTCGCGAGCATCGATGATCTCGGCACCGCTTATGCAGTTGGTAAAGAAGGAAGAGTATGGAGGAGGTGAGCTATCTGCTATTTTCCCAGGAACACAGCCTTCTCACCTCTTCTCAGATTGAATAAAGACTCCACCGGCAAGATCTCCGAACTTTCCTATGGCGACATGCAGCTACACGAATCCACCTCGTCTCAAGGCTCACCCCTAGCCATCTACTATCTTCATTCTGAAGGGAGTCGAAACGCAGAAGGAACGGTCCAAATTGGACAATTGGATTTCTCTACGGATTCTCTTGGCAGGGAATACGAATTGCAGGCTTTGATTGCAGTTCTGGGTCTGATGGAGTGTAGGAGACTGGATATCAGGTCGAGGAATTTGCCACTGCAGAAGGGCGGTGTGTTTCCGAATTCCGTGCCCGGGCCGACGGGATGGAAGTAGATTCTGTTCCCAAAGAAGAGAGGCACGAGAAGCCTGCTCTGGTTGCTGTTGAAGATGTGTGAGAGCAATTGAATGTGGAGAGGAGCTGAGGGTGGAAGAGGAAAAGGAGGAAGAGGAGGGAGTGAGTTCCGAATTTAATCCGATATTTTCCCGGTTCCGCGGCGGTATCAGAAGCTCGCCACTGTACCTCGTTCAACCCGCTGATCTTGGCCGTTTGCCGCCTGAAGGATTCAGCCTTCCAGCCCAAGGCACTTTCCTTTCTCTCCGTCACGATGCCCGGCATGAACGTGAACATTCATCTGCATCCATGGCAGGCCTTGTCACATGTCAACTGCTGGCTTGGCTGACCTGGCTCTGCCTTGTGGCCGCCAAAGCGCCAGCTGACGCACTCAAGATCACACCAGATCGCATCCCTACTCTTGTGGAAGCACACGACAAGGTCCTAGTAACCTGTACTTATGACTCTCGGCATCAAAAGTGACCCCTCGCTGATCGAAGAATGTAGTTTGCTCCCCATATGGCTATCACTGCAAGCGATTTCTGCCCGAGTTGGAGTCCACCCAACAGCTTCTCGACCGGGAGTATCCCAATCAAGACGTGATTATCGCCCATGTGGACTGCGTCGAATTTTCCGACTATTGCTCAGATCAAGACATTCGCTCTTATCCTACATTGCGAGTGTACAAGGGCAGTGGCACCTCATTCGAGGCCTTTACAGGCCGACGGCAGCGCTACGAGTGAGGCTTCTCCCCCCCTGTGAGGATGTGGCTCCAAAACTAACTTAAACTCATCCAGAATCGTGTCATATTTGATCGACGGAATATGGCCCACCTCCACCTCTGACTCGCTGAAGGGCATCGTCAAGCCGGCCAACTGGCCCGAGTTGACACCTGCGGAGCTCGAGTCATTTGTATATTCTCATAAGAGAGTCGTAGTAATCTGTGAGTGCCACTTCCGCCGTATGCTCAATAAATGTGAATATGATGCTGATGATGCAAGTGTAGTCTGCACGCCTCAGAGCTTTCACTGCAGACAAATGTACTCCGAGATCCAAAAAGCCCAGGAACTCGTGCGAGAACACGATACCTTCTTTGCAAATATCGATTGCACGCAGTTTCACAGCTACTGTGATCATCGCAACATCCGTACCTATCCCTGGATTCATGTCTATTCCGGTGATCCGAGGACGTGGTGGACGTTCAGAGGTCCAAAGACTAAAGACGAGTGAGCTTTCTCCCAAGAGCACAGCTCTCTTTTACGCGCCCAGCTAATAGCCTGCAGCCTCGTATCCTATTTGATCGATGGAGCCTGGCCAACTACTCCTGCAGCAGATGTTCTACGCACCTCAAGTGCAATTCCAACGCCTGGCGCCAGCGTAGACAACACTGTCTCCCTCAAAACAGACGGCTCCGAAGCCGACGTCAAGCTTGAACTACCAGGATTGCCGATAAACCTACCTACAGTTCCTGAAGACCTCAAAGCTTCGAGTTCTGTCGTCCTGCGATTCAATTTCACAGACGATGGAAAGCAAGTCATGCTCAATGGCGAAGTCCTGGCCCTGCAAGTTCCCAATCCTTCGGTACCAGCTCTCCTCACGGCCAGACAGGTGCCTTTAGACTATGACATTCAGGACATCAACCTTACCTCTGTACACAGCCGTTGGGCTCACGGCGAGTTCAAGACAGTGGGCATCGACTACGAAATGTATGGTCGCAGTCGAGACGATCCGAATATCTACTACTACAATTATCACCCGGAAATAGTCATCAACCTAATCGGCTGTAGCTCTCCAGACCCAGTCTCCTACCAACCCGACTTTCTACTCGACTCTTTGGACCAGCAAGTGATCAAGATCAAATTTCACGACGTCCAAGGTAATGGTCAATCCGGCGATCCGAATCGATCATACCGCATAGAAAGCATCACGCTCCACGCGCGTAGTCAGGAAAGCGGCTACCGTCCTCGAATCAACCACCCTTCGTTCGAGCCCTACCGCGTTCCAAGACCCGACGATAGGCCCTGCAGTCGCTGGAGCTGGAGATGCGCAGACATTGGTAATCCCCCATGGTATCGTTTCATCTGGAGGCAGAATTTTGACGAATTTGGCCGCATAGGCAGTTTGAGATGGAGATGGTCGCGATGGTATACATCTATCGTGAAACCGGTCTTGGATACGGTTATACCGCCGGTCTGGATCTGGTTTCTATTGACTGTCCTTGCAGTTTACTTTCGCCTAGGCCGACCTCTGTTTCAACTTATAGCAGATCAGCGAGAGGAAGAAAAAACAAGGTCGAACGATTAATTAGTGGATTTCAATGTACTGATAAAACAACAACTGCAGCCGGGCGGACCGTGTGATGACCATCCGATACAAGTTGCGCCACATTAATGCCGCCAATTCTTCCTCGACACTAGGACATGCTTTGCCTCTGCAGCTCGGCTTTTCGAATGAGAGCTGGAGAACGACGTAGTTGGGAAATGGCTGTGTCGCTCACGGTATCGTTAGGATCCGTGGGCATCCCACATCCTGTGATGGGCACCTCTCCGCTGCACGACAAAGCGCCTCAAGGATCCCTGTTCTTCTGTCTTGTAAGCAGTGTGAGAAGTGTGTTCATCAGCTACTTTATCATTTTTACGGCGTCGTCTTTCTTCGACCGGACGGATGTCCCCAAGATCTGACCAGTGAACAACCAGCCAGCTAGTCGCCCCTCCTCCAACTGGGAACGATCGGTCTCTAATCACGCTCGAGCAAGAAACAAACATGAGGTGCAGTACTCCCATGATCGAAATTCCAGCAAATATGCGGATCAATTGCGACCCTGCGAACCCTCGGACATTCAACCAGGAGATGGAGGGATTCAATGCCTTCTGAATCCTTCACTCGTAACTTTAGAAAAGAATATTTGGTGTTTCTGGCACTTCGGACTAGGAAAGATCCCTTCGTGACCGAATCATTTTGTTGCCGGGAGGAAAGAGGCGGGGCTTTCGGAACAACGGTATCATCGATGCCTCCATAGGCAAACTCTCCTCGCCCATATCAGGTCCTCAGCTGCTCAGACGCCACACGCACTTCGAGCAAAGGTATCATTTCCAACACTCTTCTGGCTCTCCGCTTCGAACAACCACCTAGACCGAATAGAGGTTTTGTTTCCCATTCGAGGTAGGCATGGACGTTGTTTTGGACTATACTGCACAAATCTCCTGCTGGTGTCGAGTCGCTCAACTTCGGGAGTCGTTCGAGGGAGGTCTCAATGGATTTGAATACTGGAAAGACGAGGTTTTTGAAGATTCGACGTTTTGAAAGAATCTTGGGCCGCGGAGGCTGAGATTGGATGGATGGGGATAGGTTCTCTTCGATGCGCTTTCTGTGAGACGAGATGCAGATCCAGTGACGGAGGAATATCAAGAGGGAGAAAAAGTTGTGTGGCGATTATTGACAGAGACGTGCATGCAAAAGGTCACGCATAGGGAAGGATTGCTAGGCTCGCGAGCTTTGGGCTCTTTATGAGAATTGGAAGAGGATGCAGGGAGAGATGTTAGTGGGGGGGACGTTTGCGGAGCTATTGAGGTATGGGGGGTGTATAATTTGAGCAGACAAGGGAGGAGGTGGAAAGGGTGGAGGCGGAGGATACTGGATTTGGTAATAGGACGGGGTTGTTAGAGGCGTGAAGATAGAAGAATACGACGGTAGAGCTTGCATTTGAAACAAACGAAGTTACAAGCCATAGAGCGGACGTTCTGTCTTCGAGTCAGCATGGTGTGCGTTATTGAGACATGAGCCCCTGCAGCTGATGTATCCCTCAACCTGTCAATTACAAGAAGGGCAACCCCTACCGTAGGAATAGATAGACTTTCTGATTGGCTTTTGGCTCACAATCTTCGACCTATGCACTGCCGGCACCCGCCTCATCAAAACCAATGCAAGTGGATGGAGACACTGTACAGAGGCCCGAAAGCAGCGTAAATACGCGCCTATCTCGCTAGCTAGAGCGTGGGCGGTCAATAGTCCCAAATCCGATCCTTCTAACGATGACCAATGCTAATGACAATGCCAGACTAGCGAGGTACAGCACTAAGAGCTAGGGCGCATGGATGGCATATCTCTAATCGTATCTAACAGAACGTTAATAATAAGACGTAGGCATCACTGAGCACAATAGGCGATGCCAGGTCGCAGCATTTACGCCCTTCTTAACCGTTCTAACTGTAACTAGTGTGACTAGCATGGGGTCCAAGATATACTAAGATAAATACCGACACTTACCCTCGTAGGTGTAGAGACGAAGTAGAGCATACGAACCTGTTTGTCCATTCCGTAGCTAGGATGATTATAGAAGGAGTACGAGAGGCAGGAACATAGTCGACTAGGTAGCGATAGGCGGTAGCCTAAGCTTACAAATCCGCAAAATGGTTTTGCCGACTGCCGAAGCGGCACTCGCTGTAAGTCGCGACTTACTCTACTACTACAATAACAACTTACGACGGCGACAATAAGGCTCTACGAGTGTCGCGTACCGCTATTGTCGACGTAAACGGTTAATATGAAGTTAGGCGCAGCTTTTGGCTTTATATTAAACCCGTTAATAGCGGTACGCGGCTTTATATTAATTAAAAGCTATTGTCGCGCTTATACTATTATAAGTACGAGTCTATAATATCGAACAATAAGGTAGCTACTAACAATAAGTAGGCTATTTTATAAGAAGGCATTCTTATCTAGCGAACCTAGACCTCTTTTCCTACCTAGATCGTACTCGTAGACTCGTAAATCGACAATTTATAGTATTAATCGACTAGGAGACTCTTATATTTATCTATAGACGACTCTACGACCGATACTAGCCTAATTATTAACCTACTCCTTCGCCTCCGCCTTAGTCTACGCCCGAGAGCGCCCTAGTAGTAACTATATCGGCCCTAAGGTAAGCTATCCGAAGCCTAAAGAATAGGCAAAAGCTAATTAGCGAGTCTAGCGAGTCCTACCGTAAACTAGAGACGTAGGATAAGACTACATTCTAGTATATCTCCGATAAGGATTAGTAGCGCTATTTAAATAATCTTAAATCTAGTAATAAGTAGGTTCGTAAGTCCGCGGCTAATAGCCTACGGCGGTTTACTTACGCTAGCGAGATAATAGAGACGGATCTAGGTATGCTTTTTCTAATTTATATAGACTCGCTACTAAAATCTAATCGACTCGTAGGTATACTATCTTCTAAGCCTAGCGGCTATAAGTAGTACGCTATAAGAGGTCTAGATTATATTATCTATAAAGGTAAGGAATATACTTAATACGCGTTCTATAAGCGCTACGGTCGCCTAGGTTATAATAGTAAGCTCTAGAAGAAGTACGAGAAGTAGAAGGATAAGTAGAATAACTCGCTAAAGCCTAAGCCGGACTCGTAGGCTACTATAGGTAATTCTAGGGCTACTATAGGTAACTCTAGGGCTGAGATAGGCGACTCGTAGAAGCCTACGAGTCTTTAAACCAAGATTACTAGGCTTAAGGAGGGTTTAGGGTTTGCCTATAAGCGTATTAATAATCTAGAGGCTAAGCTCTACTATATAATAGACTTTATTACGTAGCTACCGGGTAGCGAGTAGTTCGTAGCTAAATATAAGGGCAAATATACTTAGTAGATAGTATAGATTAATTCTAGCCTACGAGTTATAGCGAGTATAGCTAATTTTAGCCTACGATTCCGTACGAGTCGGGTAGCTTAGGATATATAGAATCTTAGAGCGATTAAATCGCCTACGAATCTAGCAATTTTAGGCCTACGAGTCGGGCAAATTATAATACTACGAATCTTAGAGATCGTAGAATCCCTAAATCGCCCGCGAGTCTACCTAATTTTAGCCTACGAGTCGGGAGAATGTTAATATTAGAGATCTCTAAGCCTTTAATCGTTATTATATTTATACTATTAACCCTATACGCCCTTCTATCCTTTTAAAGCCTCGCTACTAACTCGCTACCGACTCGCTATAGCTTCTTTAACGCCCTTATAACCCTTTAAAACTCCGGAATCCTTATATACTCCTTCCTTAGCTTCTTATTCCTTATTGCCTCCGCTAGTACACTCGTAGTACTCGCTAGTCCGCTCGGGGGCGTACTCGTAGGCTCCGCTAGTACACTCGTAGCCTTAGTATCCTTAGGTAAGCTAGTAACCTACCTATCGCCCTAAATCTCCGTCGCTACCGGCGACTCGCTAGCGACTCGCTCTACTAAATCCGTAGGAGTAATCTCTGTTCCTTCTTTAATAGTACTTAAATCTATAGGCTCCTTCTTTATTACTATACGTGCCTCCTACTTTACTACTAGCTTGCTTTTAGGCACTCGTACGTACGTAGGCTCGTCGTCGTCGTTATTATTAGTAAGGTTAATAATATCGATAGGGTTATAGGCGCTTAATCCCTAGGCACCGGATATAGACGAAGGAGTAGATCGATAGGGTAATTCGCGACTCGCTTAACGTTTGTAACCAACTAGCGGACTAGTAGAGGCCTCTTTCTCGGTAGATTAGGCACTCGTAGAGGGACTCGTAGGCTAGCGGAATTTAGCTAGTTTATTAGGGCTAGTAGAAGGCACTGCTTTAGATTCGCTAGTACTCGCTACTACACTCGCTACTACACTCGCTACTACCTCCTTAGCTATCTTTCTTTCAGCTTTAGTACTAGGCCTCCAACCTAGACGCCTACTACGATAGCGCCTATTAAGGCTCTTTATTAGATCCGGATCTAAAGAGGAGCTGTCGTCGGTAGACTCGCTAGACTCGCCGTAGTCCTTCGGAAGCCTATTCTACCGCTTATCTTTAGCTACAAGGACAGCGACCCTAATATCTACCTCCTTTCGCGTAGGATTTGCCTAGTACCTACGCTTAAATAGTAGCAATTGCTCGTTAAGGTCGTCTTTGTCTCTACTGTTCGAGCTTAGTATAATTAAGAGCTTCTACTCTTTGTCGTACCGGGTATATATAAACGGACGTTTGTAGTACTATAGGCCGGTGACCTTCTTAACCTTAATATAGCTAGCGTATAAAGCCTAGTAGTAAAGCCAGTTACGAGTACGCGGCGAGTCGAGTAGTAGGGCCTTAAAGTCGCTCTAGTAGCCTACGATAGACTAGTAATCGACTAGCTCTAGATTATCTCTAACCGTCCACCTCTACTAGCCTTCCTTCTTAACTACATTAACTACTACTTTGCTTATATACACTATAACGTAAAGCTTAGGGCCCTTTAGTACTTTCTTCGGTCTACTACCCTTGTTCTACGACTACGAGTCGGCCTACGAGTCGTCTCGTAGCTCGGTACTACTACTACTACCCGCCTTAAGTCGATTCGTAGCGATTAGCGTGCTCCTATATAGACTCGCTTTACTAGTACGAGGACCTTATACCTCTCCGGATAACGGATTAATATCTATATTACTAAGCGGGCGGATATGCTACTTCTTATTAGCGGCTAAAACGGCATTAGTACGGCTAAATAAGCTTTTAGCGAGTCTAGTAAAGCTACTATAGCCCTTTATAGACGCGGGCTCCTTCCGCTATAGAGTAGGGGAATCGATCGGATCCGGTACTAGTATTAAGGAAGGGCCTACAGTCGACTCGCGGCGACTCGCTATATTAGTGTCTACTATAGTAAAGAACGGGTTCCTAAGGCCGCATTTACTATAGCGGGGCTTATCGCTATACTCTTTAGTATAATTAAGAGTATAATCTACCTTATTAGATATATAGAAGTCTTCCTAGAAGTTAGTAGAAGAAGCTATAATAGACGTATATAGAAAGATAAGACGTAGTATTAAGGAATGTAACGTTACGAGTCTACTACGAGTATATACGAAGCTTTATAGAGGCTCCCTAGTAGTAGTAAAGACGGTTCTCGTACGATTAGACGGCTCGAGGCTATTTAAGCGAGTCGGCGCGATATACTTAGCGAGTCGTCTACTAGTATCTAGGTACTACTTAGCTACTCCTCGGAGGTACTAATAAGCGTGTATATAAAGCTTCTTAGGCCTATTACCGAATCCGGGTTCGCTACCTTTAAAGGTTAACGGGTAGCTAGCGAGTACGAGCTGTTCGTTTACCTATTATAGAGTTGTCGGAGGCAGGTATAAGCTAAGGTCTATATATAGCGAGGCGTAGTTAGCGTAGGAGTAAGAGAGGGGTAACTCTATAGGCGGGTAGCTAGAGCTGCGAGTGACTACGAGTACAGCTAAATTGGCTACGAGTACGGTCCAATTTCGAGCTACTTACCTAGTACTAATATAGAAAGCTCTTTAATTACCCGCGGAGCTTACTATAGCCGTCTATCCGGTTTATCTACTACTTAAGAGTAGTACTCGCTAGACTCTTAGGGTTAATTAGATGCCTACGCTAGGTAGTGTCCTCGAGCTCTAGATACTCGTAGAGCAAATCCGGTATACTACTAATATAGCTCTTAAGGTTTTGTACTCGTACCGGGTACCGATTCTACTCTAAGACAAAGTAACTAACTATATAGCGCATAATTAGAGTATAGATTACGAGGAAGGCGAGTCGATTAGATAGCTTAGCGGCCTCGAAAAGGTGTAGGTTAATATACTAGTTAAATAGGTCTCTCTAGCGATTTATAGCTAATTTAGCTATCTCGCCCTACTAGTACTTAATAGTCTAATTGCCTTTACTCGTAGTGTATAAGAAGGCCTTAACAAAGTCGATATTACGGCCCTCGATAAGCTCTCGAAGCCGTAGATAGGCGTCTACTAGTATAGGTGTCTCGACACCTTAATTAGAGCGGACTCGCTAAGGGACTCGCTAGATATAGTTAATTATAGTATAGTACTACGAAAACACTAAGTACTTTGTCTTTACTATTAGGCTAACGTAGAACTAGATAATCCGGCGTAAGTAGACGTTAATATAGGCGTAAATCTAAATGCCGAATTGCTCGATTTTGTAGAAGGCATTAATTAACTAGACGTAGTTAGGCCTATTAGCTTTTAGTCGTACGTACCGTAGCCTATTCGGATAGCGATTACGTAGTTCGCGAAGCTTATATAGTAGAGCGTTAATTTGCCGTGAAATCCGGTAGATACGGTCCCTAGTAGGCATTAGTATAGTAAGAAGAGGGCTACGAGTCGGCTACGAGTCGATTCCCTACCTACCTATAATATACTAGTAGGTTCTTAACTCTCGTACGAGCTTACGATAGCTAAAGTCTTAGGTTTGCCTATTAATTAGTACTACTCGAAGCACCTTATCGACGTAGGTAGTAGCTACTTCTAATTCCTCGTGTTCTAGTCGACGCTTAAGGCCGTAAGTACGGCGGAGCTCTTAATACTACCTTAAAGAGATGTTATAGCTATTAAGCCGTAGTATAGTATAGCTCTTCTTGTCGCTAATAGTATACAGCTAGAATAGCTCGGTAATCCGCTTAATTAGTACTACGTTACTACTATAGTTAATTCGAGGGCGAGTAGTCACTCCCTATCGCGATAAGTATGTCTATAGAGTTCTAATACCGTAGCGAATGCCCTTAGTATTATGTAGGCTCTATACGACTCGCTAGTAGGTATATCTAGTATAAATCTAAAGCTTAATCTAGAGCCGATAGGGCTGTAAATCGAGGGCCTAAGGCGGTATAACGACAAAGTAGACAATAAAGGACCTAATAGATGGATTGCGAGTCGATAGCGAGTACATCAGTGCCTAACCACTGCGATTACGGTGTGTGAGAGTGTGGTGGTGCGGTAGCAAAACCGGCAAAACCATTTTGCGGATTTGTAAGCTTAGGCCACCGCCGATGGCTCCTGACTCAGCTCGCGCAGCTCGAAATCTCTAGCGCGGGTGGCCAATGAGAAGTGTAATAGAGGTCAGGCTTGTGGTCTATAAGGTAAGGAGCTCCAGACAACGAAACCATACAATATGAAATGTATAGAGGTCGAGATGTAGCCTCCGGACACTGTCCTAAACACAAAGCATTGAAGGCTGACTCGACCGAACCGACTTTCAGCGCTTCTGGCGGTTGCAACGACTTGTGAGTCCCAAACAGGCGGCTTACCATTATTATACTTGCATATGCCACGGACCTGCTTCCTGCCACGACTCGCTTCCCGTAAGTGAACTTCGGTGCCTAACGATCGTCCTAACGTTGCCAAGGGTACTGCGGACTGCCATAGACGACTCTGGCAACGACCCTCCACTGTTTCTTGTAGATCCCTGTGTGCTCCGGACTCAACGACCGTCCTCCGTGCCCTCAACCACCGCCGAATAACGATAGTAACTAGTAGCAACACCTAGAGACACCTGGGTATGTTCTTCGCCACGAACAAGACCACGACTTTACCGCCGCTAACACGCATCCGACTGACCAAAATCTCATGCCGCACTAGGATGTGCTGGCGTTGACGCAGGTCGAGAAGAGCTTTCTACGATTCCCTACCACGATCAGCATTCATATAGGCGAGAAACGGTCGAAAGAATGCCTGGACCGTCTTATCCCGTGGCCAACGCTGGGGTACGCCGTCTCATCTTTTGGCTACGAGAGCACGCCGCCGTCCAACTTTCTCTATAACTAACGCATGGAGCAACAAACCTCATACGCCCAACAAACCTCATACGCGCAACTGTTTCATCATTCTGCTGTATAGCTCTGCATCTTCCTGCGGGATGTCGCCCATTCAGAAGGGCTGGCCTGTGGGTAGGTATGTTATATTAGGGTGGACGACCGCTGAACTTTACGAGCACCTTCCTCTGGACACCTCGCTCGACCTCTTCCACCTCTTCGTGAAGACACCAAAAGCTCTATCGTTAAAATTTCATTCTTTGCCTCGTCAAGATGAAGGGCTTCCTTTCTCTCCTTGCCTTGCCAGCTCTGGCTACTGCTTTCCCTAGCCTTAAAGAAGCCGGCAATGAGAAGAGACTACTCCGCCAAGTAGGTAATCTGGCCAACGACGTTCAAGGCCTGCTTGGCTCTATCGCAACCTCCGTCGACCCAGAAAACCGTCGACCTGAGCCCGGATACCACTTTCGAGAGCCCCGTCCAAACGACTCAAGAGGGTGAGCATAGCAACAACAAACCTTACTCGTAAAGCAACACACTGACAAGCATTGCCAGTGCTTGCCCAGGATTAAACTTGCTCGCCAACTACGGCTATCTGCCTCGCGATGGTTACGTCAATTTCGGCCAGGTCGTCGAAGCCGTTGCCCGTGGATTCAACATGGGTGCTGACCTGGCTGTCGTCCTGTGCGTCTTCGCCGTTCTCACCGACGGAGACATCGAGAACGAGTCCTGGTATCTCGGCTCCGGCCCGGGCAGGATTGGTGGTTTGAATCGTCACTCCACCGTCGAAGCCGACATCTCTCCAAACAAGGAGGACTACTACAACGGATGCGGAGACAATCACCACATCTCCTCGCGTATGTTCAGGCAGAACGTCGAGTATGTCATGCAGGACCGCAACAAGGAGTTCAGCTACGATGTCATGGCCAGGCAGTAAGTCCCGTCCTCTGTCCATCTACACGACGAATTCGGGCTAATGAGGTCAAACAGCTACGGCGAGAACAGCCGCTTCTCCCAACAGTACAACCCATACCTCTACTACTTCCCATTCCCTTCCATCGTCAGTGTTGTCGCCTTCAACTTCTACCCCGAGTACTTCTCGAACGGAAGCCACGGCGCTGGTGGTGTGGCCAACTACGAGTCCATCTCCAGCATTGTCGGCGCGAGGTTCGACGAGGAGACCGGCAACTTCCAATACGTCCCTGAGCGCTGGCCCGAGAACTGGTACCGACGCGCCCGCCCATACGGCGCTGTCGAGGCTCTCACTGACGGATTCACTCGTATCTACCCAGCGGTAAGTGTCTCGACAATTACAATTACTTCGATCTGGTAGCTTATCATCTCATAGAACCCCGTCGGCATGCCAATTGGTCAATTCGGCACTCCCAACTTCAACGCCCGCACAATTCTCTGCGACGTCTACCAAGGTCTCAATTCTCCCATGCCCCTGTTCCTCGCTGGAGAGAGTGAGGCTACAGAAGCCCAGATCAGCTGGGCCCTTGGCAAGCTAGCAGGCGTTGGACTCAGCGAGACTGTCCTCGGCTGTCCTAGGCGCACCCTCTCTGCCAACTACCTCTACCCCAACGCTAGCACGGCCGGGGGCCCTCTCGGCCCACCACCGGCCGAGGCCTTCAACGCTGGTAACAACATTTACTACAGGTCCTACTTCTGCGAGGCGCCTACTAGACCTCAGTGTGATCACGTTTGCTAGATCAATTCCAAGGTCCCCGGGATTATTGGGAACGAAGAGCATAGCAGGGTGTTTGGCGCGAATAACAAAGATGACCTCGAAGATATATGTGAGATACCAGGGCCTACCAACAGGAAGACAATATTGATTCGAATGATACAGCAAGCTTTCGATAGAATAGAAAGTCATTGAACATTTGGAGTACCGTGAATCGTGCTCTCCTTTCTTGCTCTCCCATTTTCTGTGTCTAGAGTGCATGACGTTGAAATAGCGCCAGAAATGCCCTCCTCTGCTGTTCATCCACTTCCTCGCCAGCATGAACAACAAGCCCCGGCTTTCCCTCCGCCAACCGTGTAACCCCTTCCCTCAATTTCGCAACAAGATTCTTCGGAACCTTTCTCTCTTTCAAAGTCACCTCTTTCAAGTTCCCCATTCCCTGCACCAACTCTCCGATTTTAGATATCAAAACTTCAACCTTCTTCTCCCTTGCCCTCCCAATCACGACGGTCAGGTGCAAGTGCTTCACGTACTTCACAAATGTAGAATTCCAGAACTCATCACCGTCACATTCCCATGTGTGTTTGCGAAAATAGAACAGGGGGTTCCTCGCGTACGTGGGTGGAATGACGGTGCTGCCGCGGGATGGAATATCGATTTCGAAGACGAAATTAGTGAACCACGCGTCCAGGGCTATTTCGTAGATTCGAGGAGTGATTTGTGCGGATGAGATATAGGATCTATAGTCTTCGTATTCCTCATGATCGGTGGAGTGGGTGAGGTGGGTGTAGATGATCGAAAGAATTTCCGCAGGAAGGGTCGCGAAGTTGGCGGGTTTCTTTTCTTCGGGTGGTATCTTCTCGAGTTCAGCGGCCATGGCTGTGGTTTTGGAGAGGACAGGTGGATGTTATTTTTGTTGTTGGAGATGAGAGTTGTGAGAGAAAGGTTTTTCTCTCCATGGCATAAGTACAAAAAGTAAGTCGCGTGTGACTGTCCGCCAACGCACGGACACGTATGCCCAGAGGAAACCATTCACGAACCAGATATAAGGTGAAGGTAAATGCGACTGTGAGCTTGTTTAGTTAGCGCTTTTTCTAGAATACAGTAGGAAATACTGGTGGATGTGTCGTGAATGGCAAGGAGGTGTGTCCCGCATTCATACAATGACCTATGCGACTGCTCATTAATGCTTTCTTGCTCCAGTACTCTACTGCAAGGGCGGCGAGCACGCATGTATAGCGTACAACCTCCGTGAACAGTTGTGATGTAAGCGAAATTCTGGTTGCGGGGAGTGGAGCTGAAGGAGTGGAAGCTTCCGGCAAGGTATCAGGAGGAGGCACTGGAAAGGGACAAAGGTTGAGACTGTCTGGTCGCAGGCGATATCGGCACGGCTCGGAAAGTGAATTGCGAGGGCAAAAAAAGGGACTTGATGCAATTTGACGTCGTAGATGGAGGAGAGATGTGTGTTCTGGATAGTTCTGGATGATTGAGGTTCTTGCACGGGAGATCTTCTCCTGTAGGCTGACCGCCAAGTGCCCTTTCTTCGGCTAAACCACCGCTGGCCCCATTGAGAATACGCGCAGAATCTTACCTTCACCTCACACGTCTTCCTTGCGCGCGCAACACACAACGGATTCGCACTACGGGAAGCAATTCCGATGCGAACTCGTGGCCAGACTGGCACTCCTCACAGTGGATATCGTCGATAAGCAGTGTTCTCATGACCTATCTCAACGCCCCGAGCACTGCAGAACCGGCGTCCCAAACCGAATAGAGACCTTGCTTCCATTGCAATCCACCTTTGAAAATGTGCCACAGTAGGCAATTGCTATGCTGAATCGCTTGCTATCTTGGCCTAGTAGCTGCATCGCAAAGTTATGATGAGAGAATGATAAGAGTGGCCAAATGGCTTGCCATTCCTTCCTGATCCGGCGAAAAAGCCCGGGGAAACTCGACCCCACTTAGGAAATCTTCAGAGTCGCAGCTGTCAGGTGGCCATCAGCACACTCGCCGGTGGTACGGGGACCGTATTGGACAGCATGGAAGGGAGCCGAATACCGTTTCTGGTGTCACGGTCCCGTTGTATTCTCTGATAGAGAGATGAGTATATGAATGGGATCGCTATGGACGGGCGCACCAGGAGCTGAATCCCATTGAATTCCAACTTCTCGAGGTCTCCAGCACTGAGACAGACGAGAGACCAGCTGCGAACATACATTTGCAACGCAAAAGCTTCGACATGGCACCCTGGCTCAACTACTTCGGCTTCGGTGCGAACGCAGACAGTACAGTCCAACCAGAGCCTCCAAAGAAGGGCACCATCCGTGCTCTCCCTGCACCATGGTACACATCACAGGAGATGTACGAACTTGAGCGCCGAGCAATCTTCTCTCGACGATGGATGTTCATCACACACAAGGGTCGTCTACAGAAACCCGGCGACTTCCTACGCTACCAAGTAGCTGGCTATGATTTCATCATCGTTGTTGATCGACAGAACAACATCAACGCTTTCCACAACATCTGCCGACACCGAGCTTACAGTGTTGTTGAAGAGGAGCGTGGAACGAAGAACATTCTGTCTTGCAGGTACCACGGCTGGTCATACGGATTGAACGGAAAGTTGGCCAAGGCCCCTGATTATCATCTTCTCGACGGATTCGAAAAGGAGAAGAATGGTCTCTTCCCTATCCATGTCAGGGTAGACTCTAAGGGCTTTGTCTGGGTCAACCTCGATTCGAACGAGACGCCAGAAGTCTCATGGGAGCAGCATTTCGACGGTGTAGACGAGCAAAAGAGATTCTCGAAGTTCAACTTCGACGACTACGAGCTTGATCACACATACGGTAAATGCACCCCAGCAGTATGCAACCATTTGGTGATGCTAATGGATACTCTCAGAAATGCCTGGCGCCTACAACTGGAAAATCCTCTCCGACAACTTCAACGAATGCTACCATTGCAAGACCACCCACCCTGACGTACCCACCTTCCTCACAATCGACTCACACGATTGCGAAGGTAAAGCCGGCCACATCCAACACGACCAAGCCCCAACACCAGAGCAGGTGGCAAAAGGCTACGACGTAAACAGCACCTACTACTTCCCCAACGTCAGCATGAGCGTCTCTCCTCACTTCATGATGATCCAAAAGTTCCTCCCAACAGGCCCCTCGGCATGCAGTATGCATTACGAAGTCTACAGGAACAAGAACTCGAGCGAGCAAGATTTCAAACTGATCGCGGACACGTATGCGCGGGTGATGAGTGAGGACAAGGTTCTTTGCGATCGGGCACAGAAGAATTTGAATGCGGGTGTTTTTGTTAATGGAGAACTCCACCCGAAGTGGGAGAAAGGTAAGTTACTCCATTCTTCTCCTTCCGAATACGTGCGCTTGCTAAAGTCTTTCCCAGGCCCACTGTTCTTCCAGTCTACCTGCAGAGAAGTCATCACGGAGCACTATAAGCGCGAGAAGACTGCTGGTCATGAGATTTGGCCGGCGAGGCAGCAACTGCCACCAGATGCGGACATTAGCCACGAGGATCTGGAGATTTGCAAGGGCTTGGCTTGTGGTGCACAGAAGGAAGTTTTGGCGTGGTAGATCGGCTGTATTATTGCTTGGCGCGGCATTTTGTATTGCTTAGATTGGTCGTGCGGATTCAGCGGGTCGTTAAATTTTTGCCAGGCTAGACGAACACGAGTAATGACCAGTGACGAAGTATCAGGGAATGCAAAGCGACTTTTGTTTTTCATCATCGATGCGCTAGTCAGCTCGAAGCTCAGAAGAAAGTGGCAGGAAGGCCGGTGCTTGGTTAGCACATAGTAGGCTGACTCTACCGGTTGAGCTGGTCCATGGCATTTCGTGATGATCGGCTTTCGTTTCCATAATCTTCTCGGAAAATGCGACTCGCTCCATGTCCAATTTCTCTACGTATCAAAATGGTCTCAGTGAAGCTCTCGAAATGCAGTCCCAGATTTGGTACCCATGGAGGCGAGGTAGGTCCTGAAAAGAGCGTCTAGCTGAGCGCGACTAGAGAGCAACCGAGCAAACTCCACAAACACCTCGAGTTTGGTCTTGGTGCAGTCAGATACGATACTGCAACTGCAGTCAAGGTTGAGTTAACATAGTAGATAGTATCTCGCGGATCCGAACAGAGCATAGCAGCACGTGAACAAAGTGCAACTGAACGGTCCAGCGCAATCCCCGGGTCGTCAGAAACGCAGTTCTCCTCCCGACTCCAAGAGCGATCAAGGTCCATGCCTTCGTCCGAGTCCACGAAACGCGGGAAGGGTTTGCTTCCAACCCCATAATACAAAGGCACTTCACTCGTGGTCGAGGCGTAGCACGCATGGGCTGCCGTGAGGTCCTTTTCCAAAATTGCGTGCTCTCACCATCACAGTAGGACGCAGTCATCCTCAATACCATTGATCTCTTGCATTATCCACCGTCTTGTCCAGAAACGCCGGCTGCAGGCTCGTAATGCCACACAAGGCTGTGCCATCTCAACCGCACCTGCGACTCCGCCACACCGACCACGTGCAAGCAACCTGATTCCCGCTTGGCTGGTCTCTCCTGGGCTTATACGAGATATCCCGCCTAAATTCGAGACGGACTGGTTCTTAGCACTTGGAGTGGCAGAGTTTCAGAGGAAGCGTTCCAAGAGTTAAGTGCTGATTCATGTCTCTCACTCGCAATTCTGTCCTGCAAGCAGCATAAGGGTATCGCCCGAACCTGACGCCACGCTAATCATCACACATCAGAAGAAGGGGAGATGACTCAATGATTTCTCGGTCCACCGTAGCGACCACCACCGCGACCGCCGCCGCGACCATATCCACCGCCGCGGCCTCCATAACCACCACGGTATCCTCCGCTCCCTCCTCCTCCGTAGCCTCCTCCATAGCCTCCTCCTCCGTGGCCTCCTCCGTACCCATCTCCGCCGTATCCGCCATATCCACCGCCGCGCCCTCCATAACCATCATCGTAGCCTGACGCGTCTAGACGTGGAGGAGCGCGACCCTTCAGCTCCTCGTTGAGACGAGTAAGTTCCTTGCGCATCGTCTGGTAGCCCAAGTGCATCTTGCCAGCAAAGTGGTCGGCCAGACGACGATCATTGTCGAGTCTGCTGAGATACGCGCCGCAAACATCACAGACTTGCAACTTTTGGTGACCAGAAGGACCGGAAGTATCGGTGAGCGACTGAAGCTCGCGCTCACGCTCTGCCTTCGTCGCCCTGTACTGATTTATCTTGAAGAACTCTTGCACGGCAAGATTGACAGAGCCCAGGTTCGAGAGTACTTCCACCTCCTGCAGTCCCACATTGACATTCTGCGTCAAGTCCGAGATCTGATCCAACAGAGCTCTGTGCTGGCGAATCTCCTCTGGCGTCTTCTCCAAGCGACGAGCTGCCGCATCGATCTTGCGGTCGCAATCGCCCACGTGGCGTCCGATGTCTGCCTTGTAGTCCCATTCGAATCCCCAATCTCTCTTCTGCTTATCGCTGGCATTCGTGTATTCCTCCTTCAGAGCTCCGACGTGGGCTTTTGGGCAGGTGCCAATGTCGCCCTTGGTGTTTGTGAAGAGCTCGTGGGGACAGGAACCGCACAGAAATGATCGACAGACTTTGGGATCTGTGATGCTGAGCTTCTGCTGACTGCTGCCGCCGCCAGCTGTAAGGAGGGATGGATCTCCCATGAGCTGCTCGAGCAGCTTGCGCTGGTCGGCCGCCATCTTGTGAGTGTTTCCGTTCGGAATCGACACTAGTTATTTCACTGCAAGAAAAGGGCTGTCAGCTCCCGGTCAGGCTGCTCGACAGGATCGGCGGCGGCGAGTGGCGTCTGACGGCGGCGAGTGGTGTGGAGTGGCTTTGGCAGTTCGGAACTTCGAGGTTTGGAGGTCGGGAGGTGGAAAGTAGAAGCTCCAGATTTAAGCTGCGCGCTAGTTCAGCGGGACTACCCCACGCTCCGCTCCGACGTCCGCAATCTTAAGCAGGGGTATCCAGAAACAACACCTCTACCAAATACAACCACAACTCCCAATTCTCTTATTCAGGAGCACGATGAAGCTCTCGTCCCTCCTGGGCCTCCCGGCGACACTTCTCACTGCCGTTTACGCCGCAGCGGCCGTGGACGATACCACTGGAAAGTCTTACTCAGAACACCTCCATTTGAAGCCCCTGCCGAACGGGAACCTGTACGCTGGATTCAATTTCACAGCATCGACACCGATATCCGCCTACGACCAACAGCATTTTCGATTCTTCCCGCGATCTCTGGGACAAATACTACAATACACGCATACATCAGAGCTACATCTACGATTCGCGCTGGGAAGATGGGATGAAGAGAACTGGGGTAGCAGACCGCGGAATGGGAGACGGGAAGGAGGCACTGGAGTGGAGTTGTGGGCATGGCTAGAAGGAGAGAGTCACGAGATAGCCGAGCAAAGATGGAGAGAGCTGGTCAACAGTCTGTCCGGGCTCTTTTGTGCCAGCCTGAACTTCATCGATTCGACCAAGACTATTCAGCCCCTTCTCTCATTCGATCCAGAAGGGACATTAAAGGATATGAAAAGAGAGGATTTGCATTTGATGCATGGCATGCTACCTCATGAGGTGGTATGCACGGAGAACCTAACCCCATTCTTGAAGCTGTTGCCGTGTAAAGGCAAGGCGGGCGTCAGCAGTCTCTTGGACGGACACAAGGTGTTTGACGCAAATTGGCAGACGATGTCCATCGACGTACGACCTATCTGTCACGCACAAAAGGACTGTGCGTTAGAGATCGAACAGACTGTGGACATGGTTCTTGACCTGGAGAGGAGCATGCGCCCCAGAGACAATCCAATCCCGAGACCGCCGCCCATTGAGGAGGTCACTTGCGATGAAACTAGAGGATACAACTCGGACGATACATGCTTTCCCAAACGGCCTGCGGGAGAAATGGCCTGGTCGCTGACCAAGATTTTCGGACGTCCGATTCAAGGCAGCTGCCCAGTGGGCAAACAAATCAAAGCAACAGATGTCTTTCTCGAAGTTCCGGAATCGCGCACGGTCGAGATTGCCCCTGATGTCGCGATCGGAACCGTTGATCGTTCCGGCAGATCCTACCGACTCAAAGACGGTCAGGAGTTTGATGTGAATCTGCTTCCTCAAGAAGGCTTCCATCCTGCCGATGGGAAGGACGAGTCCTTGCTTTCAGCATCACGACAGATCACCGGATATGGTCAAGAGAGAGGCGGAATGCACACTATGATCATCAACTCGCAACCCTTTCCGCAGCAGATCGTCTACCTCGAGAGCTTGCCCTGGTTCCTGCGACCGTACATGCACACGCTCAAGATCAATGGAGCTACCCTGGAGAAGATGTACTACACACCAGCCATCGATCGCCAGAAAGGTACCCATCTGGAAGTTCTCCTTGAGATTCCTGCGCACGGCCAAGTCGAAATAACGTATGACTTCGAAAAGGCTATTTTACGTTACACCGAATACCCCCCTGATGCCAACCGCGGCTTCGACGTCCCGCCAGCCATCATTCGTGTCCTTCCAAAGGAGGGCGAATCGGATCGCCAAGGTAGCTACCTACGAACGACCTCGCTGCTCCTACCACTACCAACGCCTGACTTCAGTATGCCATACAATGTCATCATTCTCACTTCTACCGTCATCGCTCTGGGCTTCGGGAGCATTTTCAATATGCTTATCCGGCGCTTTGTGCTTCTGGAAGAGATTCCTAAGAGCCCTGTTGCCGAGCGAATCCAATTGGCAGCGTTGCGGATTAAGAATCGAGTTACGAAGGGGAGCGCCGTTGGTACGAGTACTGGGCTTGAGGCTAATAGCGATCCTTTGAAAGAGCGGAAAGCCAAGCAGATCAGACTGGAAGATTTAAATGGTGGGATTGACGCAGTTCTAGCTGGAGGAAATTAGATCCAGTACGCTGCGTCCAGTTTGCAGGCAAAGTACAGCTTAACTATCGCTGCTGCGTTCTCACTCCAGGAACTTCGAGTGCCAGACTATTTCCCTCTTCGCGCGCCCGGGCGTTCGAAACAAGGGCACCTCACAGATTAAGCAATTGGTCAGCAAGCTTAGTAGCTTCCACGTCGACCTGAGCTGCGCACACGAGTACATAACCATCTCATCTCCTGCTGTGATATCTTCGAACTGTACACACCATGTACCCTGCACATCCAAATATCATCCTACATCACAGGACGCCGCCAAATCGTAGTGTCATCGTAGGCCGGCACAATGACGATAACGTTCGAGGCTCCTCGCCTTTGTCTCTCCATGCGAGACGAAGCGGCCAAGACGAGTGACGCGCACGTCGAAGATTACCAACACGCGTACACTGGTCTCAAAGAGAGGTAAGAGCAGACTCAAGAATTTTTATTGACAGCCCGGCTTCATTGCAGACAATCTTCGCCACCAGCAATCTGGATTCATCCCCTCCTCCCCATAGCAAACCATGGCCCATGCGACGCGAGTCTCTCTGCGCAATCTAACTTTCCTCCAATAACACGACCTATCATTATTGTGCGGCCCACTCGGCATACTCGACCCAACATCCTCTTTGCGCCTGCCGGACCATTCCAACTGTGCTTTCGAATCTAGGCTGGTCATGACGAACGCTCCCTTATGCGGCTCCCATTGCCAAGATCGCACTGCTCTTCAACCTCTTCTTCAAGCGCCCAAGGCCTCTTCCGGCATCAATACTCCGCTTTTTGCAAAAGACGCAGTCGCGCTGGGCGCAGGTCAGTGCCTATTTTCCAAAAATGCATGAGCTGGCTTACTTGAACAGCAGAAACGACTCGCGCAAACCCGCATTTCTTCTCGCTTGGTTGGGACAATCAATCCTCATCTCGATGATTTGATGTTGCTACCGCGCGAGCTGGGAAAGTGTACTGAGCTCGATTGGTTGAGGTGTCCATGACGAACATTTGTATCGACGAGTCATTCTCGTCTGCGGCGCGATTTCGAGAGGATTGCAAATTCAAGAGGGAAGCAAGGTTCCCGGACTGTTGATCTCTGGATCCAAAGGTTAGGCCTGGAAATTTGACGACCTTTGGGCATCCTGCGACTGTCAGCGCTTGCAGACAGCTTTGAACAGGCATGTCAAGAACGGACCTTCGCAAGTTCTTGGAGTGATCCATCCATTATGCATTCTCGCGGTTGTGGTCATGGGCTTGGATAAAGATTGCTTCTGCCGTATATCGATTTTGAGAGGGATGGTGCCATCGACCAGTGAAGAGAAGAAGAAGAGGCTGCAAGATTGCATCGATCGTTCGAAAACTGGGTAACCGGTATCGTCCGACGGCAAAGAAGGAGTCGGAATTCGAGCATGCCACGAAAATCTGAGGTCGAACGCGTCGAGGGGTTATGACCTGCAATGACGGCGTCGTTCAAAACACACGCGGTCAGCCATGAGGCCGGCCGAATGTACGTGTGTCCATGTCTCCCCCGCCCAGGCATGACAATACCCAAGGACAAGGGGCAAGTCCATTGTCGGGCGAAGGAATTTTAATGTCCGGGTTTTTTTATGTCCTCGGTCTCATGGGAACGAGAAAGAGGAGGCTCTGGGCCCGATTTACAAAGGACAGCACGTACCTTTGTTGTGATACTGCTCCGGCCTGTGATGACATCAAGGCTTCGATGTTCAGATGCTGGGAGACTGGTGTCTGTACAATGCCAACAAGAGCTGAGGTCGGAGTGGTTCAAGTTAGAGCGTTGTTGATGTTGGATAACGACGAAATAGCTCGAATTGAGACTGTATCGGTAGCGGCCCGCTTTGTTTAACATCGGTCTGGCGAATGATGAGCATCGCACTTTTCCAAGGTGAGATCGATGGCTGGGAAGAGCTGAAGGTGGAAGCAAAAGAGTGTCGTCGATATCGTAGAGTTGCGGAAAAAGGAAGGATGCTGTGAGAGCGAAAGAAAGCATCAAGAAGCGAACAGGTCTTGGTTATGAGAGGAGGAAGAGGTGGAAGAGGAGAAGACTTCTTGACGTTGCACGGACAACTATGTAAAGAAGCAGCGGCGTCTTTTAGCGAGAGGAATAATGCTGCTCAGGTGTGGAAGGGACAGATGGTATCAGACCGGTCTTTATGCCTGGGAAGAGCAGCCGATTACAGAGAGCAGGCGCTGCCTCATTTATGTGTGCCTTCTATTAAAGGAACCCCAAAAGCACAGCTGCCACGATATGTCAAACTATAGGCTATGGAGAAGGGACCTTGAGAAAGCTCGAAGCTGCCTCGGATGTTACGAACTTCGCGCTCACGTAGTTGCTGGTCGCAATAGAACTTGAAGTTCTTGGCTACCGAAAATGTTCAGTTTGGCACCGTCTATCGGGTACTCCATGCGAAATTTTGGGTGTTGATATAGGTCATGGAGTTCAAAGGAAGAGGTATGAAACCACCGGACATGAAAGCATTCGTTCATGTGATGCTGAGGTTCGTGTACGCGCTACATACTGCTCATCTCAAGCCACGACTGACCGCGCAACCGTGCAGAAAAAATTATCAAGCTCTTCTCCCGGCCAATAGAATATTCTAAAACGGACAGCAGCCCCTTGATACTTCTTTCGCAGCAATGCGCTCAGAATGCGTCCCACATTGCCGGTCTAGTGTTAATCTCGAGCAATCTCGCGCGCAGAAGTGATTTCGGAGTGTTCGTTTCCTGTTTGGGTGGTTGTGCATGAGTGTACAGAGACGAAACACAACAGTAAGATGCATTGTTGCCACAGGATTCTCACATCCAGATTTGTCGACGATGTGTTCACGTAAACGCTTTTGGTCAAGCTGCAAAGGTCTACGCTCGAGGTCCTTGATCAACTGACATAGAACTCCGGCTCTCGCACTACCGTACCCAATCAAAACGACGGTCGATTAGTGCTCCCTCTTCCAGCTCGATGACTTGGACTGGAGCACCACCCAATATCCAAAAAGCCCAGTCGTGGCACCAGTTTGAAAGTCGGTATGGATGACAGCGATTTGCATGACGATCAGGTAGGAAGACAGTCTATTGAAAGCCGACATGAGGAGATTATCCTCGGCGTAGCTGCGCGAAAGAATGGCGCTTCAACATTTCATCGTCGCTGTCGGCGTACGGATCCTCGAGGGGCACCCAGTAGAATCCAGTTCCTATCCGGTCGATCGGAATGGATGCCCGCCCAATGGCTGCTGCCTCGTACGCCAGTAAATGTATGGGTGCGGATCAATCGTAGCTGTCGCCGTACTTCAGATCATGCGGAAGAGCTGAGGGACACGATCGCTGTGGCCATTCGGATTGACGTCCGCATTGGTAGATGTGTCGTAGAGTTTCCAACGTTTAGCCCACAGCCCGTCGGTCTATTGTCTCTCATAATCAAGGACAGCAAGAGCATCGTGCCGACAACGCGAGACTCCGATGTGGCACTAGATACAGTCTAGCTGCCGACTAACAAAGATTATCGAGGGGATTCCTGACATGAGTCTCGAATTCAGCACTAGCACGAATTGCTGCAGCATGTTTCTTAGCATGGGCCTCGAAGCTTTTGCACGAACTTCAGCTTCTTCTGTGCTTCAGGCATCTGTGCCAATGCAAAGATGTTGACTCGTTCGTACACCTCTTCGTTAGGGGCGTTTCACTTCCCTCTTTGCTCGCATTGTCCTCGCATTGTCAGTAACCTCCATGACTTTGCAATACGCTTTGGCAAAAGATGCCTTCTCCCTTGGCTTGCAGTCGTTAGGGAATGATCCGCTCATGTCAGCATTGTTCTACCTCCTTCTCAGACGCGGCGCCGGAACAACATTTTCTCCGGGCCGAAGATGCCCCAGCGTCCATCATCGACCGAGGAATGACATTGTTGTGTGCTTGGCGGAGCTTCAAGACATTCGCACGTGATCGGCCCGCCTATCTGCCAAGACGAGCATATGCTAGCGGCGGTATCGTCCGGACGAATGAAAATGCTAAGAAGCTCACATCCGGCGCCGGCGCTGACGACATGGCACGTGAACAACGGAGCGGAGCGGCTAAAATGCTCCGTCCCCACTTCGTCCTCCTCGGTTTTCCTCGCGTCGCGCGGCGCTCCCAGTTCGTTTTTCCCCCGTCCCCTCTTTCCCATCACTCATCACCACCATCCTTGACTACCCGATTGGGCTACCCTTTGTCGCCATGGATTTGGCCGGGAACAACGCAAAGAGCATAGTTCGATCGTGCATCACCTGCGCCAAGGCTAAGGCAAAGTGTGTCAAGCAGCCTGGCGCCCATATCTGTGAACGGTGAGCATGAGCCGTCATGTATCAATGATCAATCTCGATGATCAATACGTCTTGCCTTCGTCACTGACGACAAGCAGATGTGCAAGATTGAAGAAAGAGTGCCATTCGAAAGAGCCTGTATTGAGGCGGAAGAAGCCCGTCAAGCCAACGTATGCTATCATTTCACGCCTCCCGCCCGTCACCTCATGCCTTGATGAGTACAGCGTCTTCGCACGTCGGAGTATTATCTCAACCGCAGCCACTGCTGATTTTGCGTCATCCGACTCGTTATTGCCCTATTCTTGGCCAAAATTCTCGGCAAGACAATAATGGTCCGCTGTGGAAAGACGCTGTACTGTAGTACCTCTCGTGCCCTCTTGTGCGTGTTGGGACCACATAACCTTCAATCGCATTGCATCTCTTCTCCACATCTCGAGCTCAAAGCTGACATCACTTCAGCCGAACGGCCCAGCTTGAGAAGCTGGAGAACAGGATCGAGGACCTCGTTAACGCGTTATCAACCAGCGCTCAGGGCTATCGCCCCAGCGAAGACGGGCAATTGTCTCCTGCCGTCTCGGTGTCTCAGGCTGCCAGGCATCATGGCGAGAATGGGATGCCCAATCGCACCACCGAGGTCTTGCATAGTCTGTGTGGAGACGAAGAATCACAATCACGCTCGCCGCAGTTGCAAGCACCCTCCGCCACTGAACCTTCACCAAAGACGCCCAAAGTTGAAGATACAGCCACAGGTGTGACCACAGAGGAAGCTGAGACGTTACTGGATCGATACAGACGACTTATGGCAACGTGCAACCCTTTCGTGGTCCTTTCTGATTCCGCGACGGTAGAGTCCATGACCGAACAGAGGCCTATCCTACTCCGGGCGATTTGCACAGTTGCTCTGATCCACGATCTAAGTCGACAGCAGGCAATGTTGAAAGAACTCCTCCGAGATATTGGTGTCAAAACCCTCATGGAGAACGAAAAGTCGATTGACATCCTGCAAGGTATCGTCGTCATGGTTCTGTGGTTTTATCCTCACATCTTCTGGTGCCAGCAAACCACCAATCTCCTCTACCTCGCCATGGCCATGGCAACCGACTTGGGCATCGACCGACTAGGCGGCTACCTGGATTTCAGGCAAACCTCCGTAAAGGCGATGCATCCCAAATCTCAGCCAACGGCAGCACCAGCCATGGAAGAGCGGCGAGTCCTCCTCGCTCTTTTCTTCACGACCTCCATGCTCTCCGCTTCCTTCAAGAAGATGTCGGCAATGAACTTTACTCCCTACATGGAAGATTGTCTCACCGCTCTGGAGCAAGCACGAGAACACGATAGCGACCTCTTCCTCGTGCAGATGGTCCGAATCCAGCGAGCAATAGAGACCATCCACACCACCGAAGTCACCTCAGCGCCCATCAAAGCCCACACCATAGCCTTCAAATACGACATCGAACGCTTGCGGAATACCGATCCATGTCGAGACGATAACCTTTTCCTTTGCATGGAATACCTTACCGCTGAGATACTAATCTGGGAACTCTCGCTCAACACTCTGATGGAAGACAAATCCCTGCAACTGGCGAACCACATCGAAGACCTCTATCGACTCGTCGCGGTAATCAAGGCCTTCTTCGACATGTACTTCACGATCCCGCCTTCGGCCTATCTTCTCCTGCCGTTCTCCATATATGGTCAATTTGCACACGCATTCATCTGCCTAACAAAGCTGGCGAGCCTAGAAGTCGAAGGCTGGGATGTCAAAGTTCTCAACGAAGTAGTCAACTTCTCAGCCTGCGTCGATGAAGCAGCACGGCGGTTCGACGAGACTCTACGTATGGAAGTGGATGGCAGACCGGTGCAAAATGACGCCTTCTCAAGGTGGTCTGCACGTGTGAGATGGATGAAATCGGTCTATGAAGCAAAGTCCGCAGCACAGGATAGCGAGGGTTGCACGACTTCGGGGTCACAGCAAGAGGACCGGCGGGAGGACACGCATGCAGAACAACAACCGACGCAAGTTCAGCAGCACCAGCAGCCTATACCACCGGACGACATTTTATCTGCGGATATCTTCACTTACTGGGACGACGCCCTCTGGCAGAATTTCGCAAGTGAATTCGATGTAGGAGGATTCGCCGCGAATGGGGGCATGGATTTCCAGCCAACAGGAATGCCCGCCGCCTAAGAACCACCCAACAACTGTACATTTCTCCAATCTTTACCTAGATACCCTATCCAAGCGTAATAATTCTCCATTGTTCACATTCTTGACCATCCCATCTCCAACTTCTCCACCGCCTCTTCCAACCCAACAACATCTCCAACCTTCGCATCCATATCAAAAAGGTTCCCCTCGTGCACTCTCTCCCCACGATCTCCACACGCCTCCCCTACTATCATCGGTCGGAAGTTCAAACACATCGCATCCATAGCCGTAGCTCGTACACATCCACTCGTACTAACACCGCATACAACCAACGTATCCACCCGCATTCCAGTCAACTGCGTCGCCAACGTCGTGGCGAAAAAAGCACTCGGATGCGTCTTTTTGATCACCACATCCCCTTCCTTTTCGTGAGGTTCCAACCCTTCCATCCAATCCCCCAATCCTCTCGTGTCGTTAACATGCCAGATGTCTATTACTTTGGCTTTTTGGTAGAAGATGCCTGCATCGGACATGTCCGGGTTTTCGTAGCGACAGGTTGTCCAGATTATGGGGACGCCTCCCTTCCGTGCGGAGGAGACGAGAGTTTTCATATGCTGTGGGGCAGCAGCGGCGGGTGGGTAGGAGGAACAATCTAGCGGGGAACCGGGGGTGAAGTAGGCTTTGCAGACGTCTACCAGGAGGAGCGCGGGGTTGGCGCCCTTGGGGATGGCTTAGCGATATTTCTTATAGGAATGGGAAGTTTGTTCTGAGAACTGCTCACCCATCCAATTCGATTGCTGAAGCCGGCGGCTTTGTAGGATGCTGTTGAGGTTTGGTCCGTATCGTTTGAAGTCATGTTGTCCAGTAGAAGTGAAGGATCGAAAGGAGATTGAAAATCTGCTTAAGTCAACCGTAGGAATGATGTTTTGTTTTTGTTGTTGTTTTATCGAAATGTTCCTCGCCCCCTCGTAGACCTCGCCCGGATAGGCCAACTCTTCCATCCCATTAGCCGAACTCACTCCACCTCCACAGAAGATCCCTATCAATGCTCTCGGCTCAACTCTTTCACTCACTCACCACTCAGGACATCACAACACGCCAGCCATCACTCTTCCGCTGCGTTCTCCTTATGAAGTCTTCGCCCAAGCGGCCCGCAGCCCAATCAAAGAGCTGACGGTACCTGCCAGTCCCACGATTCCATCATCCAAGTCCATCAGTCCAATGGCAGACGTAGGAATCGTCAAGTCGCAAAGGTCCGAGAGGAGTTGTAGCAGCGTAGCCGCTCGTTCCCTAAAACCACAAAGCATCATTAGCACAAGTGCTCTCACACCGCCCATCTGGTAATGCAATGTGGACATACCTCTCCAATTTCTTCTCCTCAACCTTCTTCTCCGCATCTTCAGTCTCACTCTGCTGCTTCTTCGCAATCTGCTGCAAATTATACAACGTATACCCGCCTGCAGCAACATTACAGACCAGACCAACCCACCAAGCCCTATAAGCTTCCCGCTGCAATCTCTTCCCTCCTTCGCCAGACAGTTTGTACACCCCACTCTGATCCACATAGCACACCGTGTCTAGAGCAAGATAGAGCGCGTATCCCACCTGTCTGCCAATAGCGAGATACTTGAGGACTGGGTCCATGCTCTTCGCATCGGCAGCTACGGCAGCTGCTTTGAGATGTTCGACGAATTTGCCGATTCGCATGGCTTTTCGGACGGTGGAGAAGTTCTTCTTAAGCGCTTCGAAGGGAGCGATGGTGGAGGTGGGGTGGTTGGTGCGGTAGAGGTACCAGGCGAGGAAGCGGGAGAAGTATTGGATCGTTCTAAGAGTCTTGTCGCGGCCGACTGTACTGTGTGAGCATTGAAGCGATGGTGGAGAGGGTACCAGAGGCTATACCTGTCGTCGCGACAAAGCGATTGAAATGAGACACCGATGGGTGGTATATGACTGCGTCGGCGACCATCTTGACGGTATTGAGGGTCGTTCTTCTTCGGCGGTGGTGATGTCGGTGAGGATAGTGTTGCGAGGCTATCGCTGGGGACTAAAGGATGCAGTGGTGGAGGAAGAGAAATGGTATGTTGTGTGCGAATAGCAGAGATGGTGGTTGTAAGAAGGAGCCATATCTCTGGCCGGCAATCCGCAGAAAAGCACCTGCATGTGATTCCAGTACCGAGGCTCCGAGCGCGACGGTATCGATGTTGGCAACTCGCTTCCGAGACACGTGATCATCACACGTGCACTGGACGTCACCCGTCTGCAAAATCCCTTAGTTCATGTTGCTGCCATTGCCATGAACAAAGCCGCAGTCATTGACAACGCGCTTGCTTCCTTCACATGGAGCAAATTGGAAGATTATAAGCGACAGCACGCTCAGCAGCTATCAGCAACGGATGAGACAATGCCAGCTCACGGCGGACGTACAGGCACGTTTGACGGCCACTTTGGATACACAGATTGAGTTGGCGACGGAGCATCTATCATCTGTCATCACGAAGAGACGTCTTTCTGTACCTCGCGAAGGACGACCAAAGGCAGCACAAGCTGCGACACCGTCGTGGAATATCTCGCCAGTGAGAGGGTTGAGAAATCACATCTGCACCACGATTGGCAGTAGCGACCATGACATCTGCGAGGAATGAGCCACCTTGAGAGTTAGAGATGCTCTCAGCAGTGAGACCGATATTTTTGATGAGGAAAAGTCTCTTCGCTTGAGAGCCGCCGGTTGCAAGGACTTTGGCTCCGATTATTCGAGCGGCTGGATAGCTGCTATGCCTACGCCGCCGACCGCTAAATGGATCAAGACGGTCTGCCAAAAGTCAGCCTGACCAATCAGACTTTGACGGGTGGAATACCCACGTCTTTCGCTCCCAGCCTTGCACGATAACAGAAAGCATACAGTGCCGTTGCATGTACCGGTGGAGTTGTCGAGGCGCTCTGCAGATTTGATCAGGTAAGTGCGCGCGTTTCGTCGATTCAATGGCAAGCCTCACCGAGTAATCTTCGTCGTCTCGCAATTTTAAGCAGGCCCACTCCGGCACTTGCTCGATCGATCCGGTGCGTCCTGATACCGTGACCACGACACGATCACCAGGACGAAAGCTTCCGACATTGGGTCCCACTCGCGTGACAGGCCCGGTACACTCGCATGAGCAAATCGAGTCCTCAGTGTCGACTCTGACGCTGAGAGCATACACGTCCTTGATAAATACATTGGTCAGCCTCACTTACGCCTGGCTTAATGCAAAGGATGTTGCACCTACCTTGGTGTTCATACTACTTGGTTCTGATCTCAACAGCATGTTACATCCTCGTGGAGGAAATGCAGCGTATGGATTTGGCCAGGACGTTTGATGGATGACCTGAGCATCCCGCGAGATCGTTTTGCCATCACCTTCTTCAGATTCCTTCGGGCCGCTCTCGGAACAATCGATTGACGGCGTGATCCGGCATTCACCCCCTGGGTGAGCAGGATACCTTCAGACTGTGCGAATTCGAGAATCAGGGTTTGCTGTCTCCACCAATTGGTGCAGTACCAGTTCAACGTTCTCTTCTGTCACCTCAACGTCTTTAACACTATCGTCACCATCGAAAACAGAGAAGATGATGGCAGATTGCTCCAGCATCAAAGCTCTTGCAAGGTCTTGGACAAGAGCAAAGTCCGGTCGCTCGCCTCCCAGGATATCGCAATTGGTGATTCAGACAACTTTTGCATCATTGTCTGTAAGACGCTTGAGTTGCTCTATTTGGTGTTCTTGTAGGACTCGAAGCAGGGGTTCCTGGGCCTCCACAGTTGCTACGAAGATGGTGTTACGAGACAGATTGTCAGCACTGAGGGTAGAAAGCGAGATATCCTGCTTCGATGTCATGTCCTGGAGAACACAGATAGGAGCTTGGTCGAGGGCTGTAAGGCAGCCTGAGTGGAGCAACAGCATCGTTTTCTGAATTTCCTTGATTCATTCTATGCCTTGACAAGACGGAAGGCGTAGACATATTCCAGCAGCTCCCGAGAAGCAAGCAGAGATCCAAGGGCCTTGAGCCAAGACAAGTCTTGTATCTCCACAGCGGAATTCGCATCGACTTCCAGCAAATCCACTTGGCACACGGCTTTCGCTGCCAATGCCAAGTATGCTGTAGCTGCGAAGACCATAGTGGGTCCAAGACGATGATGGGAGGAAACTCATTCTAGCTCCGCTTACCTAATACTTCATCGCACGTGACCATCTCCAATCGCATCTTCGAACCTCCATCAACCAACCTCACTTCACCCCATCCCGCCCATCGCATTACCAAACCCATAAAGACCATGGCCCGCAAAGCAAAGTCCCGCACAATCGCAGTGCGCCTCATCTCAATGGCAATGACAGGCTACTACAAAACTTTCACCCGTCCCAGACAACATCATCCCTTGAGTATGCTGAAATATGACCCTGTGGGTACGTACTGAAACACCCACACGCCTAAAGCAACCTCAGGAATGATTGAGAGCTGATGTCTTGGGTCTGGATGCAGTCAAGAAGAAAGTCCTGTTTCTGGAAGCCAAGAGGGGTGGTGGGTCGAGATGAGCTAGGGAGAAGAGGCGCTTGGAGGAAATCTTGCGATATACTGGCACCGCGCGACGACTGCTACTGGGGATGGATGGAAGAGATGGTCGGAGAGGAAGATGGCGCGACTACCGCGACGTCATGAGGACATCAGGACGCAGGATTATGCGTTCGTCTATGAGAAGATGAGGCGGAAAGAAGCTTTGGGCGATGGCGCCGCTTGTAGGTCATGCGGGAGGCGCAGTTACCAAGAGACGTAAACGCGGAACAAGAGACAGAGAGGAGGTTTAAGATACCACAAGAGTTGTCATACATGCTACAAATGCTATCACTGGCAGCGAGCGATGGCCATCACTACATGGCAGGTCCAAGATCAGCGAGCGACACTTTCCCCTAAGATATGGCCATACATCTCTGCTCGGCGTCGGCGTCAAACAGCCATTGTACATATACCATCATGTATTATATGTGCTTTGATCAATCTCTCCGCTGCCAAATCAGCGTTCGCGCAATTCCCGTCGGAATCGACTGCTCATCTCATCGCCTGCGAGGCCGTTAGTCACACAACGCGATTCGAAGTCCGGGCTATCCGCTTTGGCTTACGTTTGGAAAGCTTTGAGCTTCTCGTCTGCCGCGGCGAGGTGCCCGCTAAGTTGCGCACACGCGAAGTCGATCCTCCACTGCGTGGGCCAAATGCCCCGCCGGGCGGCTGGGAAGCTACCTTTTGTATTGTTTCCTGCGAACTTGACAACGTGATTCGCGCCGGCTGCGACCTGGATTGAGCTGGAGCCGCTCCGGCTGTACCTATACGCTTCTTGCGTTCTTGCTCGTAGCCATCAATGATCTGGCCACTGGCTTTGCGCTTCGTCGGCACAGGTGCTTTCTCTTTAGGGACGTCTGAGGCCCGTCGCGAGTCATTGGTCTTCTTGGCGGAGCCTGAGCCATATCCGTATCTGTTCTTCGGCTTGTCTAGAGACTTGAGAAATTGCGATGTGCTGCTCTTTGGAGAGTCGCGAGGATCTGGCGTTTGCAGGTTTTGGCGATCCGAACGACCTCCAGAGCTTGCCGGAACATCATCCGCGGCACGCACGAGCTTCGAACCACTGTTCGGGGCCGGCATTGGCTTCTTGTAAGTTTCGAATTGGCTCATGCCCTGCAGCTGATTCTGAGCTTCCTGCGTGCTCTCAAAGTCACCACGTGACAGTCGAGGATCTTGCAACGCATTGTGCTGCTTGGAGTCAGAGTCTGTCGACCTCTCCAGGGATGCCTCGGTAGCAGGCTTTCCGGCCTTCAAGGCTTGCCTCGAGTAAAACGCCGCATGGAACGGAATCTGAGAATCAAAGTCGTCGTACGATTGCACATCATTCATGCCGAACGGATCGTCATCAGGAGTCGTCGAGACGGGAACCTTTGGTATGCTGTTGAACGATTTCTGAGACTCCTCAACGATCGGACCTCGCACTGGCACAGTCTGCTGCGAGTTAAGTGGTCGTGCGGCATGACTGTCTTCCATGTCTCTGGACGATAGCTGATGGACTTGCTGAGACTCGTCAACTACAGGTCCACGCATTGGCTTTGCCAGCGGGCCTGCTATGCCAGGTGATCTGTGGATCAATGAGGGTGGAGACAGAACGCTAGTCTGCAGCATCGCCGACAGCGATTCGCGGTCGAACGCCCTCCTAGGCTCTGCAGACTGCTGGGCAAATTTGTTCACTGACGAGCTCGGAGTGATGCCTTTGCTGATCTTCAATGTGACTTTGCGAGCGCTTTGCGACCGAGATAGCAGCGTATCATCGGCGCTGACACCTCCGCTGTCCGGGGCTACGGCAGAGCGCTCTCGAGCCTTTGGCAGATTCTGCTTCTGTCGGCTCAGCTCTAGCTGTTTGGATGCCTTAGCCAGCTCTTCCTGGAGGTGCTTCTCAGCCGCGCGTGCCGAATCACGGTTCGATTCAACTTCTGCGATCTTGGCTCTCAGACTGGCAATCTCTTCTTTGTGCTTTTGCTGTTCACTCTTCCAGCTTCTGTCCAGGTTTGAGTGAAGCACCTCATCTTCGGCTTGCTTCGCCTGGAGCTCTCTCTGAGATTCCGCCAAGCGGTTCTGCAAATCCTGGATCTGCCTGGCGCATTGATGCTGCACCTCAGTGTAAGACGCATCTGCCTGTGCCTTATACTTCGCGAGCTTGTCGTCAAATGTCGCAGTGGCCTTTTCCAGTGACGTCTCTGCCTCAGTTCTGGCTTCCTCGGCGGCATGGAGTCTACTCTTCAAGTCTTGCGCTGTGCTATGCTCGTGTCCGACTTGCGCAATCAAACTCGTCTCTGACTCTTCTGCGGAACGAGCTCGCTCATCAGCCTGTGCGAGTTCCTGTTGGACCGACCCAAGTGCGTCCTCACGCTGTTGTGCCAAATTCTTAGCACCCGCGAGCTCTTCTCCAGCAGTGTGGAGCCGGCTTCGCAAATCTTGTGCTTTACTGCGTTCGGATTCGATCTGCTCATTCAGTGCTGCTTCTGATTCTTGTGCAATCCGAGCTTCTTCATCAGCCTGGCGCAACTCTGACCGGAGTGACTCGAGTTCCTTCCGGCGCTTTTCGGCAAGAGCTTCTGCTGCGATGAGTCTCTCCTGAATCTGCGAAGCACGGTCGCCTTTCTTGACATCCTGCAACTTTCGCTCTGCATCATTCAGCTCCGTCTGCAATTGCTCTGCCTTGTTCTGGGCTTTGTCGCGCTCCGACGAGAGCGCCTTGACTTGATTTGCGGACTTTGATCTGATCTGTCCCTCAAGCTGCTCAACATGGACGAGCATCTCGGCACGTGCTTCAGCTTTTGCAGCTTCAAGCTCCCGCCGTGACTTGTTTGGCGACGGCAAGGGTGTGTGATGTGTGCGTTGCTGGAGGGTTTGGTGGTCGGACGAGAGTTTCTCCAACTCTTTCATTTTCCCGGCAAGTTCAACTTGAACGGATTCAAGGGCAGTTGATTTAGTCTGGAGTTCGATTTTGGCCTCGCGGAGTTGTGCCCGGTAGTCTTCATTAGTACTGCTCTCCGAGATCTGTGCTGTTAGGTCGACGATCCGAGCTTCGCTGGTGGTCAATTTCTCTTGCAGGCTGGCGATCATCTCGCGGTTCGATGCTTCTTGAGCCGATAGCTTCTCATACTGACACAAGTCGACCTTTAGTCCGTCCACAGCTTGATCGACATGAGTTTTGAGTGATGCCACGTTATCGCGCTCAGTGTCGTGATCTTCGTTGCTGGAAACTCTGCACAAAGGTCAGTCTGCGGCATCCGCATCGAAGGTCGGGAACTCACAGCTCAGAGAGGGACTCAACCAAGTCCTTCACTGTAGACACCTCCTGCACTGTAGAGGTCTGCTGGGAGTTCAGACCTTGGACTGCGGCGATGACTGTTTCCAACATCTCATTCACTTTTCGGTGTTTGTCCGCGTCCTCCATGATTGCATGCACCTCGAACAATTTGTCCAGCACGGAGTTGTTGTTGAACTTGACCTCGCGAATGACGGCTTCATTGTCGCTTCTGGAAGAGCTCAACTGAGATTCAAGCTGCGATCGGAGGTTTTTCTCTTCGGCCAGGCGCTCCGCGTTGCTACTCAGCTGCTCCTCGAGATGAGTGCACCGGGCAGTCACGGCTGACAAGTCCAAGTGTGCATCTTGACATGCCTTGATGGCCTGGTTCTTAAGCTGAACGGCCTTTTCAGAGTAACCTGAAAGTCGCTCGAGTAGAGCATCCTGCACATCCCTGTTCGAGGTTGCCTCCTCGGCAGACTGTTCGCTCCTAGAGCGGATTTCGTTGACCTCGCGCTTAAGGATGCTGACGTCTTTACCCAGCCCATCAACAAAAGTCTTGAACTTGCCAACTTTGACTTCGAATCCGAGGATCTTGGCTTTCTGCTTCTCCATTGTGCCGGACATATCGGTTCTCTCTCGCTGAAGAGCGTCGAGCTGATGCTGTAACGTGCGCTTGTGATTTTGGTTGTCCTCAAGCTCATTCCGCAGTCTTGTATTTTCCAAGTCAATCTCGTCGAGCTGCTTCTGGCGATGCGTGCTCATTTTCCGCTTGAGATCCTGAAAAGCTTCTTCCATACCATCTTCAGGATTAGATATGCTCTTCGAACTCAGCTTCTGGTCGCTTCTCTGAGTCCGGTCGCGAGATGGTCGACTCGCACTTTGCTCGCGAGCGACAGTAGTGGTGGTTCCACCAGCGCTTTGGAATGGATTCCATGAGGCCAGTGGGGACAGGGGGCGGCGGAAAGCGATAGCAGAGGTAGCAGAATGGTGCGGAGCAAGGCAAAAATGCGGCGGTATGGACGACCGAGCAGAAGTCTGATCCCGTAGCGGAGCTGCGGTGTTCCAGATAGGCACAGGCATGCCAAATCTGGGACGTCCACGTTCAATCAAGCCAGCTGTACCGATCTCTTGCTGATGACCTTGCTGATGGCCTACATTTGTTTGGTGGGTTTGGTTGTTCCCAGTCGACTGTTGCTTCTTGCGCTTCTTCTTCGTCGGCTTCAGATCCTTCGCCACGTTGTCTCGCCCCTGGGCGTGGGTTTGCCAAGCTATATCTTGGATTGGATTTGGGTCGTCAGGGCCTTGATGGCCGTGAGGTGGGTCAACAATGTAATCATCACCATGCGGTGCTGCAAAGATGTGTCAGCGGACAATGAGGACGTAGAAAGGCGAGAGTGTATACCTTGGTTCCGCATTTTTCCTGCAAGCTGCATCTCGGCCTCATCCTGGTACAATCCACTGAATACTTCGCCAGGCTTGTCTTCAGGCTGCAGCTGCAGCTCTCGGCCGTTGTATTGGCCGGTACGATCAGCCACATCTTGCTGGTGGTGGATGTTCTCGCCATTGCCGCCTGCGAACCCGCACTGCTCACGACGAGCTTCTGTATGATAGTCATCGAATGGTTCCGAACTGGGATCTCTACTGGAAATATCAATGGGATCGGTGACCTGGCCCTGACTGCCACGGATCTTGTCGTTTGGGCCTTGCGGCTCGCTGTCCTTCGCTGGCAGGACGTCCTGTGGATTGAAGCCGCTCTGGAGACGGTTGTTGTGTTCCATGGTGCCTTGCAGGTTGCTCCTGGAATCGTGTGTCCCTCGCCGGGCGACGCCCGTGAGGTAAGAAATTTACGAAGATCTGAATCTCGTGACCACGACGGCAAGTGAATAGGTGGTGGAAGTAAGGTGATAGGAAAAGTACAAGTGGAAGTGTACGAGATGAGGTGAGGTCGGATTCTTTCTTAGCGAAACAGGAAGTCGCGCTGCCCTCGTAGGCTCCAGCGTTAGCACCTTCTCTGTTAACCACGACGAGACTTCGGGTGAAGCCGACTGGAAGGAACCTACTTAACCAAATCTCACATACTGTACCGACATGTAAGAAATTTTAGAATTCGGCTTCAATCCTTCGCAAAATAGACCCAGTCTTGCCGTACTGTGGCTCCAGACTTCCATCGAAATTTCGATGGTATTCGAGTTTCAGCCGACGCACGATCTCTGTCCGAACTGTTGTCGCCAAATTCAGATGAAGTTGGGGTTGCCATCTTCCACGGTCTCCCCTGGAATCGGATTCGATATGGCAGAAAGCATTGCAAAGGCCCAACTGCGATTCTACCAGGAGAGTTTGTGCGTCCGTAAGATGGTCGCTCCGGCCCAGCATCCTTCATCAGATGATTGAGAAGGTTCAAAATGGTATATTGCTGGCCCCAGCGGCTGGACCGCCAGATATTGCCCAGATATTTGGGGTCAGGTCCGCTTTCGTGGCTATGTCGTGAGACAGACGTACAGAGACGCCGTCATAGTAAAGAATCGTCGGCTGTGTATTCCTAAATTCAACGTCGGCGACTGAATGTCTTGCAGAGGTACAACCAGTTTCCAAGGGGGTATTCATGAGGGGCACTAGGAAGTCATCCGCACGAACCAGCAAGGCCCGAACGCATAGCTTTCCTGCCATTACAGAGTCAGCACATGACTTCCGAGTCCTCCAGCACGTTTACAAGACTTGACGATATGGCAAGCACTCCATGAAGGATAAAGTCTGCGCAGAAGACCAAGAGGCACGTAGAGGCAGGCTTCAAACCCTACCCGAACCCCTCAACCAATCAGCTCTCTGCATCTCTAGCCGCCGACCTTTGAAGCCATCCTGCACCTTCGGCACAGACTCTCGACTTCACACCTCACTTCCACCTTCTCATTGGTACCTGCGTGGCAGATCGCACAGTCGACACCAGGGCACCGGTCCAGATTGACGAAACGGATTGGTGTGACGGCTCACCGAATAGGTAGGTTTGGGCACAGCACAGGACAGCATAGATACAGCGCTTCGGCAACGCATGACTACTGTCTTCTCTTTTCTAGGGATATCGCTTTTGTCGTATGAAACAGCACCTCCGCTCTCTTCTCGTTCTCTTTCCTGGCTCTTGCTCTCTTTGCGCAGAAGTCTTGGACTCTCCATAGCAGGGAACACCTCTGAACGCGATCAGATCAAAATGATCTCTTCACTCCTGAGACCAGCTCTCCTCGCAAGCACGGCATATGCTCTTGCTCTTCCGCAATCAGCAAACTACGACACCTCCACCTCTCCCGGCGGAGGCAGCGCAGTAAACAGCGACGCAGGCGCCTCAGGCGGAACAGCAGGCTTCACTCTCTCCACGGGCGGCCTCGTAGCCATCATCATAGTCGTAGTAGCAGGTGTAATCTTTGGCGGTAGGCCACGCAATGCCCGTCGCATCAATCGCTTCGCTTCGCTGACGCTCTCACGCAGTAACAACAACAGCCCTCTTCGTGATCGCCAAACGCCGCCAATGGACTATGCGCCAGACCATGCGTCGCGCTTCGCGGAAAGTCGCCGACGGACTCAAGACCCCCCTCACACCACGCTTCCCGCGTACGCCTGCGCCGGTGCATAATGACGACAAGAGGCGGACGAAGAGGTCTGGGGTGCAGATGGAAAGCATTCCTGCGAAACAAGGACGCGGTGTCGTTGTAGAGGTGAAGCAGACACAACAACCTGGTGCAAACAAGGGAGAGGGGTTCATGGGGAAGTTGAGGGGGAATGATTGGAGATGATGAGGGGAATGGAATAGAAAGTAAATCGGCAGTCGAGTCTGAGGGACGAGAAATCTGGAGGTCGGGTATTGTCAGAATCATGAATTATGTGCTAATGGTAAAGTGTTTCGAGCATGCAATGATCGAGCTCAATCAAGCGTCACTTCATCTTCATCACTTCCGTCGTCCAAGTCAATAGCCTGCGAAGGTCTAGGAGGCTGCGGAGGGCCCACGGAATGTGTCGTTTGGGTTTCCAGCTTCATCGGCGAATCATCATCGTCTTCGTCCTCAATATTAGCAGCGTCATCGTCGTCAATAGTCTGTGCACGCCGTCGCTGCGTGCCCCGAGGGGCATCATCCTCTTCATCTTCGTCTTCGTCTTGGTCTTGTTCCTGTTGCACTCGCTTCGCCTTTTGCAAACGCTGAATCTTCCGAACAATGACAGGATCCTTCCGCAGATCCTTCTTGGTGAGGGCTTCGCTGCAACCTCCTACCGGGCAACGAACGTGAGCGGAACGACCGAAGAGTTCCAGAATGGCAGTTTTCTCGTAGCTGTGACTGCACTTTGTCGAAGAGATTGGATCTTTGAATTCTCTTAGGGTAAGAGGGCATTTGGTGGAAATGGTGGCTTTCTCGATCGCGATATCATCGTCCGACTCGTCCTCTTCGCCGCCGCCGCGTCTGGCTGTGTGACCAGGTGCAGCCACAGTACCATCTTCGTTGAACCACTCGCTTGGAGGTAGCATTGGCACTTCATCTCCGGGATATTGTGCATCATGGACGGCACGCCGGAAGTTGATGTAGTCGTTGTCTTTGCCGTACCTATCGCCCATGGAATGAGACTGATACCTCGTCTTCGCATCCTCCAGCTTCGATCTGAAGATGTTGATGGGAGCTTGCTCTGGCTGCGTACCAGCGGCTGGATCAGTGGGTTGAAAGTCTGAGATCCCATCATTCTCGTCGTCGTCGTCGTCGTCCTCGCCATCTTCGCCATTTCCTTCATCCTCGGCATTTCGTTGACTCTGTCTCGTACGCTGCGATCTGGTATTCAGCGTACTCGCCTGAGTACTCGCATTATTACGCGTATCCTCGGCGGCAGCATTGACGGACTGCTCCATGAATTGAACATCTTTCTTGCCATCAAGAATCTTCCGCATCGTCTCTTCCATACGCTTCGTCATGCCGTCAACTTTCTGCTTCATCTCATTCATGGCCCGCTCCATCTCTTCCAAGGATTCATCTCCCTCGTCTTCCTCGCCGTTTTCTTCGCGTTCCTTGTCCCTTCTCTGCCGAACACTAGCGACTCGGCCGTTTCGGTCTGTCAGACGATCGTTAACGTCCACCGCGGCCGTGTTCAAAGTCTCTTGTGCCGCGTTGAGTCGGGTTGTAAGCGTGCGCAGATCATGAGTACGTGTCAGATTCGCGAGAGCTCGCTGTGCGGCTGGATTGAGTGGGTAAGTTGGCGTTTGGTACTCTGGCAGAGCTGACGAGCCACTGCGAGCAAGGGGCCCCTCCGAGCGTCGCGGCGCCGGGGTAGCGGTAGATTGTCTTGCACGCGAAGCCATGGTATGGTGCGTTGTTGGTCGGGTGACTACAAACCACAAAGTGTCTGAGTTGAAGTAGAATTCCAGCCGCGACGCGCTTCCAAGAGAGACGGGACGCGTCGGGATTCCACTCAAGCTAGCTCGGCTCGGACCGAGCACATGGACCTGTTTCCTCGCACTTCTATTTGTGCTCTTCGCTCACGTTCCCCGCGACTTCATTTCCATCGGTACATGCCCAATGTTCCTAATCGCTGCCATGCGTCATGGAGGCAGAGGCTGGTCAGGCCAAGATTGCAGCGTCCTTGTACACCCGTACCGTCGGCGATCTCATCCAGGAGAGCTACCGATATGACCTTTCCAATTGTTGCTCTACAATAAAACGAATGCGCGGGCTTCATGGACCGCTTTTGGACGTCCTCGAGTCTCATCAAAGGACGCTTGCCTAGCCAAAGAGACCACAGATCATGACTTACCAGAGTCCGGTATATACCTGTCCCTCCCAGCAGAATCGTCGTCTCAAGCCAGTTCGCCAGAGAGACATGCCAAGTCAACCATACACATGCATTGCCGTGCGGAGCGGGAGATTTCGGGCAGGGGAGGGAGTTCCCTCGGTAGTGTTTAATCTATCGTTGAGGCATTCTTCCATATGCTTATGGAAAACGGCCTCTCAGAAGAGCCCATGGCCGCGCGCGCCTCCGGCACCACGGTCCTGGTAATATGCTGCGTGCTCATGGGTATAACGGTTCTCGTCGTTACCTGTCGCATGTACACACGCTTTGGCGTCGCGGGCAAAGCCACAATCGAGTAAGCTGCCGCTTTACCCTCGCACGAGCAAAGTTACGTACGTTTGCTGATGCGCGGCATAGTGACTGGACCAGCATCGCTGCGTTGTTGTTCGCAGGAGGCTTGACTGCGGCCATGATATCCCAAGTACGCTGCCACCATGTAGCACGCTCGAAAGGGGCACTCACAACGATAGGTATACAATGGATTGGGGAGCAGAGGCTCGAATCTGTCCACGAACGCGAACCCTCAATTACTCCAGGGTTTCCATCATTCAATTTGGACGTATCATCTTGCCATGGGCTTCACACGACTGTCCGTCATACTCCAATGCAAGCGCATCTTCCCTCAGGCCGGTTTCGGATTCGCGAAGTGGCTGGTCCGCTCACTGATGGCCATTGATATTGTCAACATGCTGTGGTCTTTCTTTAGCAGCATGTTCATCTGCTTCCCTGTGCGTAAGTTCTGGCATCCCGAGGTAGAAGGGCACTGTTTCCCGAGGATCGTTATTTGGCTTGTGAACTCGACAACAGCAATGGTCCTGGATATCGCGGTTGCCACACTGGCGCTACCATGGCTACGATATTTAAGGCTCCGGATGCGGCACAAGATCTTGCTGTATGGCGTCTTTGTTCTAGCGGGATTCCCCTGCATACTGGCCATCATCCGACTGCAGTCACTCATAGAAGTTGCGACTTCTTCCGGGACGCCATACACAGACAACATTTTGGCCTTGTTTAGCGCGAACGAGGTCTACGTTGCGATCATTTGTGCTTGTCTTCCGGACCTAAAAGCCTTCTACACCCAGACCAGGCCTCGATGCGTAAATTCTTGGGTGTTTCGCAACGTATCTACCTTCAGTTGCTCTGGAAATAGCAACGGTACGCGTCTCAAGGTCAGTGGGATGATGGAGTGCGCAAAGAAAATTGTACTCGGTTGGAATAGTGGGAAAAGCTCGACGTCCAGATGGAGACCTTCGCATCAGCCCGTCGATCTTGCGGACAGACACCGCCATCCTTCAGAGGAAGCAGATGCGGCGGCTCGCGTAGCAGACGAAGTAGTCCAAAGGCCGGATAGAGCAGAGGTCAGTGACATCGAGGCTGGAGGCCATTTAGCAGCTCCAGCTACTCGCATTGGCATTCTATCAAGTCTGGGCAGCATCGACACATGAAGGATGTCGCAAATCACGACAGCCGCCTTGGAGTTCTTTCGAGTGTGAGGAGCGAGGTGGTCTCGTCAAATGAAGGCCTGGAGCATACCACCATATTCCCGTCCTGATCCCATCCGAGAATGGACAGCGTCGACGCGACATGCGGGTTACCTTTACAGTGGAGTCTTTTTGCGTGCATACAGCCCTCATTGCTTATTCTACAGATGCATTATTACATGGGTACCTGCCATTGCTCAGTTACCCGGCCCTCTCGGTCGAAACATTGATGTCTGTCCGGGACGATCAAACCTAGCCACTTCACGCTTATTGCACACTCCCTTTAGGAGCGGAAAGGACGCATGGTGAATGTGGCCCATAGACGAGGACTGTTTCTCTCCCTGTGCTCTTCTGCAAGTGGACCCATGGAAGCGCAAGCATTGGTGCTAAGCACCTCGTGCATGAACGATACGCGACCCCCGCCCATCGTCACAGAACTTGGCTCTCAAAGGCTAAGCTTTGATGCCAAGATCCAGAAGACATATATGGCATTTGAGGAATTTGTGGAGGCTACTGACACCCTCTGCAATTTTCGCACAATGGAGCGAAAGAAAGGCTGGTGCGATGAAAGGCCGCAAATCGCCAACTCAAAACTGCACTGATATGTGAGATAGAGGGGAGATGGAAAAGTCGTGGTAACCGTGATCTGGACTAAACACAGAAGATCCGGCAGTTCAGAAGCGAGCGCGAGGCGGCTGCGATGGCTGATGATGCTGTGGAAATGGCGTTATTTGGCATGTGACATACCACTAGATAGCCATACCACTGAATAAGAGCTCGCTTCCCCTTGCGGAATCGTGAAGTACAGACACTTGGCCAGCTGATTGTAAGCGTCGAAGAATGCTCCATGTACATATATATAGTAGTCGAGGGATCTTCTCATTCCTTCCCTCTTGATTTCAATGAGATTCTAAGTGTATATATATTTTGTTCCACTTGCACGATCCAATCAGAACATCCGAAATGGTCTAGTGGCTAGGATTTGCCGCTCTCAAAGAAGAGTCACTCACGCCTCTCACAAGGTGCCGGCAAGGCCGGGGTTCGATTCCCCGTTTCGGAAAATATCAACGAATCCAATTTTTTGTTTTCTTTTCCACTTTCATATTTCTGCATGTGATGAGGTTGTTGAAGAAGGGAGCGAGAACAGGCGGATGATGAGTGACCTGGGGGTTTCATGATGCCAAATTTTTGGGCGCTCCACACCTCAAGCAAGAATAGGAAAAAGACTTACCTTATCTTCGCGGACTTCGAGAGAAACACCCACCGTTACATTTCCTTCTTCAATACCTCTATTCCTCTCTTCTGTTAACGAGCGAAATATCTATATTTCCCCTCTTCCTCCCGTTGGTGGTCAAGTGCGCAGCTGCCAGGAATTGTGAGCCAAGACTTTCGCGCCCCCTCTCCGAGGAGAGAGGCGAAAAGAAGACAAAGGGCCATGATTCGTGCTCGAGCAAAGCATCGCAATGCTATGGGAAAGAAAATGCATGTACATGCCCTGCCCTGTCAGTGGCAGTAACAGTGACAGCACGAAAATACATCGTTAGCAAAAAAAGGATCGAATGGATTTTTCGAGAAGAAAGAGGGGTTCATGGATGTCTAATCTCAACAACTAAAGAAGCGCGATACGGAGATAGATATTGAAACGTCAGATCGTTTGCTCTCCGATTGCATATCCTTTCATAACAGTGAATATCAAAACCACGTACCTCACCGTCATGTAGTGTACAACCCGAAAATCCAACATCACAAGAAACAACTCCTCAGCGCCCTGCACAGAATGCTATGATACAGGGCAAGAAGCATTCCGAAAAAAAAAAAAAAAGATTTAGCCCTAAACACACATACACACATACTCTCTCTCACTCTCTCTCAGGAATCAAAGGCCAGGCTAGATCACCAGAGACTCATCCCTGCCTTCATGATACCCCTCCATCCGCCACCTCCAACTCTCCAGAAACGGGGACAGATCCCGCGATACAGGCGCCCACCACTTCTCATGCAGGGAGAAGACACCGCCTTGCAGATCCTCCACGGTAGGGTAATGCATATTCCACTTCCAATCCAGCTGTGCCCAGGGCATGTTTCCCTGGGGCCGATGGGCGTAATTGAGGAGGTTCTGCTCGGGCAGGGCGGGGTCGAAGCGGTCCGGGGTGTCGGTGAGGGAGAGGTAGTATTCGAGGACGGGGAGGGAAGGGTGCAGCACGAAGAAGCCCGCGTTGAGATAGTCGACGTTGGGATAGTCGTGTTCGGCTTGTGTAGGGGGGTAGTGGTGCTGGGGCATCATTTCGGGGGTCCCGGCGAAGACGTAGCTGGGTGGTTGTTTCCATTCGTCGCCGCGGATGGTGCTGAAGTCGTCGAGGTTGGGTTGGAGTTGGACGGCTGGGTCTTGGAAGATGCCGTCGAGGGATCGGGTGAGGACCGTGTCGCCGTCGATGAAGCAGATTCGGTCGAATTGGGTGAGCTCCCAGAGGCGGAGTTTGCCGAGGACGAACTGCCATGTCGAGATTTCGGTTTTGATCCTGTTCAGTGTCAGTTTTCTTTGCAAAGCATTGCATTGTTGTATCGCTGCTTACCACTTGGGATCGATGGGCTCAGGTTCCCAGACTATTGCACCATCCTGTCGCAGTCGCTCCCTCTTGGCCTCGGAGACATGCTTGTTGACGAGTACTATGAAGGGAATGTCTTGCGTCGATTTCGTCTCAGGTGCATGCAGTAGCTGATAGGTCAGTATGCGGGTGCCTACGAAGTACTTGTCGGCGTTGATGTCTCCATCATCACGATCGGCAGAATCATCATTGGCCAGAAAGGTGGCATATGCGAGCTTGGACTTTGTAGTCTGCAATGAAGACGGAGTATACTTCAAGCCTGGACGTGTAGCTACTGGGAGATGATGTTTCGTCGCTTCCGCCACCTGGTGGACAAGGCTATTGCGTGGGTCCTCGAGCTGCTCCGGAAGAGGTAGCAAGACGAAAAGAAGGAAGAAGGTGACGATTGCTACTGAAACATATAGGCAGACGGATTTGCGGCGGGTTGGCAATGGCGAAGCATTTCGAATGTAGCCCATGTCGAGGATGGAGTGCAAGGCAGAGATGCATAGGCACGGCGGGAGGTGTTGGAGGTCTTCATCTTGCTTCAGAGCGGACGAGTCTCCAACACGCAGGGCGAAGAATGTGCCTGTGCAGCCATTATTGGCATCCCTTTGCTGGGCCAAGCGAGTGCAGATGGCTCTGCGAGGAGGACGGGTTGGGTGGCATCCCTTGACTCGACGTGCACGAAATCATGAGGTGTGTGTCAAGGTGAGGTCCGCGTGGAAGATCATTCATCAGTGCAAGCGAATCCGAGAACGTCCCCTGATAGCCTGGAGATTGGAAGCAGCTTGGCCCACACCACCATGACCACCTCGCCTCTTGTCCTGCTAAGGTACCTTATTATCCTCCCACGGCCCATCCTGCTCCACATTCTCGCCTCGCCTCGCCTCGCGTCTAGACCTCCTCTGTCCGGCCAAGGAGCCACATCCATGTGCCAAGCTGGCGACGCACAGACTGCGGGAGGAGACGACAGTATCGTGTCATACATGCCGACGACAAGACGGTGATGAAGAGATGAGGAGAGTCGCGTCGCGTCGGAGAAGGAGAGGATGAGATGCAGTAGAACAAGGTAGAGGAAGCTCCCAGACGACCTCAGGGATGCGCCTCCCTCAAGAGCAAGCACGAGCAAGCACGAGCAAGCAAGAGCGAAAGCTTGAACACCCGCAACAGGGAGGAGCTGCCGGCCTCTCCACTGCTGTCTTCGTAATCCTCTTCAGGTTCCCTCTTCCTTCTCTCCTCTCTCCCCTCCCCCTCACCACGTAAGGTAAGGTAAGGTAGCCTCACACCTCAGATACAGCCATTCCACCCAAAACCCAACATGGCCCAACAAGGAATCAAGGTCGTCTGTGGCGGCGGCGGTAGGTGGTATAGCACTTGCCGAACAAGTCAATCGCTTACACGCCTCAGGTTCATTGATGAAAGCGCTAGGCATCAATCCCGAGTCGCCCTTCGGCGATCCAGACTTTTTGAAACGAACATTCGACATCCTCGACAAGGGAGGCTGCCATACTATCGACACCGCCGCTCTCTACGGCGACAGCGAGGTCATTCTGGGCAAGTGCGAAGCCGGAAAGCGATTCACCATCGATACCAAGACCAAGGGCGGCTTCAATCCTGCAGGAGGAGGCAAGAAGGACATCATCCTCGCCGAGGCCAAGGCGAGTAAAGAGAGGCTGGGCACGACGGTCGATATCTTCTACATCCACTCGCCAGATCACAACACGGATCTCGACGAGACTCTGTCTGCCATCAATGACGTCTACAAGTCTGGTGGGTCATCTGGGCCATCACAGCCATGCCACCTTTCCAGCAGCTACAAGGCTCTGGTGCTAACGGTGTGTGACAGGCTTCTTCAAGCGCTTCGGGCTCTCCAACTACCTAGCCGCCGACGTGCAAAAGGTCTACGACCACTGCAAGTCAAAGGGCTACGTCCTGCCAACCGTCTATCAAGGCAACTACTCCGCAATCGCGCGTTTGCAAGAGACCATGCTCTTCCCAACTCTTCGAAAGCTCGGCATCGCCTTTTATGCCTACTCTCCGCTCGCAGGCGGCTTCCTCACCAAGAGCAAGGAACAAATTGCCCAAGGCGCCGGCCGCTTCCAGCGAGGTACCTTCATAGGAGACATGTACACCGACATGTACGCCAAGGACTCCTTCCTCGAGGCACTTTCCGATTGGGCAGATATTGCCAAGGAGGAGAACGTCACCCGTGCTGATCTGGCCTACCGCTGGATGCGGTACAATTCGCCCCTGAAGTACGAGCACGGCGATGCGATTATCATTGGAGCTTCTTCCATCGACCAGCTGGAAGAGACGCTTGGCTCGATCAACGGAGGTCCGTTGAGCGACAAGGCAGTCAAGCGCATCGATGAGGTGTGGGAGAAGATTGCAAAGGATGCTCCGCTAGATAACTTCCACCAACACGACTTCACCACGACTTCGCGACTGCTGTCGATATAGGGCTACTTTCCAAATGCTACAAAAATCTACTCTGACTTGGTCTCTTTGCCGTTGCCACCACTATTGTCATCTCCCGATTCCTCGTCACCTTTCTTCTCCTGCTGAATGTCCGGCGCCGGTGCGAACTTGGATCTGGCGCGGATCGTCTTGCCCTTGTAGTAGAAGATGAATGGCATGGGAATGAAGAGCGCCGAAACGCAACCTATTAAGCAAAGCAATCCATCAGCAATCGTCTCCGCAAAAGGGTAGGTAGCATGTGAAATGAAAGCCAGAGCCTTTTGGACTTTGAAACATGTGGAAAACTCACCCAACAACGTCATTCCCCAGTTAATCCCAATGCCCTCAAACATGTAATACGCAAACAGTGGAAAGACGGCTCCGAAGAGGGATCTCATGATGGTGTTGGCGGCAATGGCTGAGGCGGAGAACATGAGGTCTGTGCCCCCGAAAGGTCGTTAGCTAGCTATAGTTTTATGATTTCGAGGAGTTGGGGGGGTTTGGGGAAAAAATGGAGTTTGGTCTTACACGAATCAATGATATAATTCAGACAACCCATGAAAATGGCATAGATTCCAAACCCAAGACAGAGACCCGCGAGGGTGGGCACGATCCAGGGGATACTGCTTGTGTAGCCCGTCCAGCCGAACCAGAAGAGGCCTAAAACGGAGCGGGAAAGAGGGGGGAGAAAGTCAGCAATCTTGATCTAATTTTCTAGAGATTTTTCTCGGACGATGTTTGGTTGTTGGAGAAAGCGTACCGATGGTGAAAGAAATGCCTCCGGCCATGGTGATGGGCATCCTCCACTCGGGGACGGGGATGTTGTCATTGGCCTCCAGTTTCTTGGCATACCGCGGGTTGTCCCAGACGAGGAAGGCGAGGGCGATGAAGACGCCGACGATCATGCCGAAGTAGGGCAGGCCCGAGACGCCCGGGGCGAAGCCGTAGATCTGGCCGAAGACGAGGCCGTAGGCCGTGAGGGAGAGGTAGAGGATGCCGTAGAGGAAGGACATGTAGACGGTGACGAGGAGGACGATGGGCTCGGTGAGGAGGATCTTGACGGGGCGGGCAATGTTCTTGACGGCGAGCTCTTGCAGGTCGACTTCGACTTCTTCCTGCTTGGCGTGGATGCCCCAGTTGCGCGTCAGGCGGCGCAGTTCGGAGGCCTTGGCGACGAGGACGACGGGGCCGTAGGTCTCGTCTTGCAGGAAGAGGGCGAGGGTGCCGGAGGCGAAGCCCATGAAGGCGGGGATGTAGGCGGTCCAGCGCCAGCCGAGGTAGGATTTGGCGATGAAGCCGCCGATGAAGGGGGCCATGAGCGGGCCGTTGATGATCATGGCGCCGAAGAGGGAGACGGCTAGGCCGCGATATTTGTTGTTGTACATCTGGGGTGGAGAAGAAGAAGGGTCAGCGGAGACTTCGTGACATCGAAAAGGGAGGGTAGGGAGGTGATAGTACGTCTGCGAAGATGGCCCCGACGAGTGCCAATGGTGCGGATCCGAAGAAACCTGCGAAGAAGCGACAGATCATGAGAGTTTGCGTGTCCTTGGCGACGGCGACGGCGATGTTGAAGATGCCGAAGGCGAATGCGGCGATGATGACGGGCAGTCTTCGACCGTACAACTCGGAGATGGGTGCGAACACTACGGGCCCACAAGCATAGCCAAGGACGAAGAGGGAGGTCGTAAGGGTAGTAACCTCTCGTCCGATGTGGAACTCATTCCCAACCTATGCTCAAAGTCAGCTGCACGCTCTTGTCTCAATGCGTATGTGGAATCGCGGGACGAACGTAAGTCTGTGCCGGCGAAAAGATTGAAGACGCGAAGGTCGCCGAGAGCGAGTCGAAGATCATGACGACGGATATGATGAGTTTCTTCTTAAGAGGCCAATTCTGCGCATGACGGGGATCCTCATGGCCCTCGAATTCAACGACATATTCCTCTTTGTCCGGGAGTGGAGGCGGGTAAGGTTTGCTGCCACCAAAGAAGGGAAGTTCTACGCCATCGAGAGCCGTCGGTCTCGAACTACCGACAGTTCGCATATGCTGGAGTCGGTGGTCCTGTATTCTTTCCATCAGTTTTTGCAAATCCCTCACCCGCTGACTGTCTTCGTTACCTGTATCCGTTTTACAGCCGTCGGATGCCTCTCCAAATAGTGCATGAATTCTTCCTCGATCTTCGTCGACGTTCGACTGCCGAACCTGGGCCTATGCCGCCGTGAAGCCGCGTCTCCTTCATCGTCAGAAAGCGAAGATTGACTTTCCACCTCTTCCACTCCCTCAGGTCTCCCCTCGGTATGTTGCCGTGCACCTGCGTTACTGTGGGTGCGATTCGTTTCCTCGGCGTGAAGTCTCGTCCATTGGGATTCCAGCGTATTGTTTGGGTCGTAGTCGTGATAGCGCTGTGGTTCAGCGTCTCGTTCGGCGTTCACAATGTCCGCATCCTCAATATTCATCGGCATCTTGACGTAGGACGTTCAGCCGTCGCCAATTGCCTCGTGAAGGCTCTAGGAAAGCAATTTTCGCGTCGATGCCCTTTGCAATACAGTTGTGGATTGAAGAGCCGATGACGGTATTATTTTAAGGCGTTGGAGGGATGCCAGTAGGCTAGGAGAGAACAGAAGTACGACAAAGCTCCTGCTGGGTTCGAAGAGAAGCGAAGAGAAGAGCACCAACCTAGAGATGAGCTCACGACGTGACTGCTATTCCCCGCGGGCAGCGTGTGGCTTTTGTTGGTGAGTGGTCGGTACCTTCTGCCGACTTCTCTGCGTTGGCCGGTACATGTAAGTCTGAGCACATGAGGGCCGCCTCCGAGAAATTGAGTTGGCGCTTCAACGTCATCAGATCCTGCAAGATAGAATGAGACAGAGGGAGCGCCGCGAAGGTCCGGGAAGGCGTTGTTGAGAGGCTGGACGGATCATTTCCAATCAATCTCCTAAAGCCGACGGCGTGGAAGATATGGCGGAAGACATCTCTATCATCATGCCACGCTCGCTCTTCTTATCAAGCGGCGAAGTGGCGTTAGCTCATGTATCCTTTCTTTTCTCCATCCCGTCTCGGACCTTCCCTTCTAGCTGGTCGTGATCCGTTTGGAACGTCAGCATCCAAGTCCAACTCCAGTGCTGTTATGCGACTCAATAGTCGGCGGAGGTGGCTGATCAAGAGCGAGGATGTTGAATTTGCGGAGAGTTTTATGTTTGGTGGTCGGAACGCACGTGGCTTCGTAGTCAGCAACATGTGAGGGACGGAGGTCATTTTATCCGTCTCCCCTTGTATTAGCTAAGGATCTGTTCAGAACCATAGCTCGAGCAGGGTGATGCAATAGAAGGGGATCGAAAGCAGTGCAAACCCAACTCCAAAGCATCCCGAGCATCTTGTCGTAGAGCTGTCCATACTTCGGGCTCATGGACTCCGCGCAGAACACATCAGCAGCTTCCATTGCTTTGTGTCTTATGAAGACCACGCTTTCCGTTATGAGGCATTGAAAGATGAAGGTTCAGATCAGACGAAGCCGTTTTAAAGGCCAGAGCCTGGAACCTTCCTCAGCAGGTTCCTCAGCTTCGGAGACCGCAAAGGTCCGTCTCGTTGGAATCTGCTGGAGCCGTGGAGATACCACAATCTGCTGGTCTGCGCCCACTCGTTGCATCGCTGATAAAGGAGCAGGGCCTTCAGACCTGGGGATGCGTGTCTCCTGCGAAGTCCAGTTTCTGAGCTCAATGCCACGTCGATCGAGTCCTTTTCCAGCCGTGTGTGGAATCGCGTGACATGGTCATCTTGGAAGAGATGCGTTTCCGTACAATCCGGGAGATGGTGAGGTGCAAAGGACGTCGATGTCGCCGTCGCCGTGTTTCACCCAATTGGCTCGGCCCTGGTCGCCGCTAACGTTAGTCCTTGGTACTCTGTTGCCATCTCTTGCGCCAACGTCTTTCGTCTTTACACAGGATGCAGCAACATGTCGTTCAACACGGCCACTCCCTAGCGACGGCGACGTATATGCGTTGCGTACTCAGCCTCATGATGAGAAGCGAGGTTGCACGTGCCATCGCTTCAAGATGTTTATCCCTCCAAAAGTTTCCGAATAGTCTCCGCTCAGTAAGTCTCCGACCGAGCTGGACGCAATCCCACACTCTCAAAATATAGATAAATATCGACTGTGCGTCCTCTGCCATCGCACTCCACACGTAGATACCTCGTCTCACCTCTTCGTCTGCAAAACTCAACTTGGCATCACAACTCCGCCTTGCATTTAATCCCCCGTCCTCCATTGACCACAAAGGGAACAGTCAACATGGCGGCGCCAAAACTGTCGGACCATTCGGGCGATGAATGGGGCGAAATGGCAAAGATCTACCACAAGCTCACGGTCGGTGTTGCTGAGAAGCCCACTGTCGAAATCCTCCGGCACCTGGACGACCGCTGGCCCTTCAGCAAGGCGACAGCAATCCACGACAACGGATGCGGGCCAGGGCCTATCATTTCCCACATCATCCAAGACTATGGCGACAAGCTTCCTGCACACTGTGAACTGTCCTGCTCGGATTTTTCGGCGCCCATGATCGATAGAGTGAAACATGTCAAAAGGGAAGAAACGGCGGCCAATCCAAACTCGCTCTGGTCGAGGGTAGACGCTCAAGTGCTGGACGCGATGGATCTCAAAGGTATACCCGACAATTCAAAGTCGCACGTCACCGCTGGATGGGTGTATTTCATGACTCCCGACCCTCAGAAGTGCTTGAGCGAAAGTCTTCGGGTTCTGCGAAAGGACGGCGTTCTGGGTTGCTCTTCGTGGAAGGATTCGCAATGGCTTCAGCTTATGAGGATGGTTGGACAAGTCAGACCTGACAAGCAGCTGCCGGGGATTCCAGCTGAATGGCAGACTGCTGGGCCACTGAAGGGCGAGTTGGAGAAGGCTGGCTTCAGGGAGGTTGAATCGTTCGAAGTTGAAGTCATCATGACTTTTGAATCGTACGACGCCACGATCGATCTGTTGACAACGAAGATGCCCCATATGATCGCAATGCTGAAAGACTTTTCAGAGAATGAGATGCAGCAACTGAGCGATAAGATGCTGAGACAGATGAAAGAATGGTGTCCAGAGCTCCCTGGCAAGTTGTATGGTACTGCGCTGGTGGCAGTGGGGAGGAAATGGTATTTTCAGTCGTAATACATTCTGAGGTCATTGACTTGCCGTAGTAATGGCAATTCATCCATCTTTCGCAGTGGCTCTCAACCGTTCCAGTATATACTCACCAGCTTTGATCGGAGGATACTTGGAAGGATTCTCAGGAGCGATACAGCTCGGCAAAGTCTGCAGCAATATTAGCATGGTCACTCGTAGGTCCAATGTGTGCTACAATGTACTTCGACAGCTTGATCGTAGTTAATACTGAAGAAGAAGGGCACGCTGTATCTTTCCTCACGCGTGCGATTGACTACGCGGTGAACGGTCGACTTGTATATGCCTTCAATCACGGATCAGCAGACATTACGAATCACTTTAGACGCAAACAAACCGTTTGTCCATCGCATCAAGAAATCCGCAACATTGACGACGAAGCTCCCTTCAACTGCTGGCGCAGGTACCCAAGTATTCTCCGGTGAAAGAATCTCCAAACCCGAAACAGTGGAGCAAAGTAAGATTGTAAAGCACTCGTAATCGGAATGCGCGCCCAGGCCAATCTCCTTGTCCTTGTTATGTGGATCCAGTGGTTGCGGATCCTTTGATGGAGGATAGTATAAGAGTCGCGAGATGCCGCCTGGATGGGTTGTCATCGGGTCGAAATAATTCTCTGGTAGGTCTAGAGACAAGGCAAACAGCCGGAACAGATGTCTGGCCAGCTGAAGGACTTGTCCATAGTAATTTTTCACAGCGGCATAGAAGCCAGGCAGATCTTCCTCGGAAGGCCAGACGTTTCCGTTGACAACGGCGCCATCAAGTTCGCGATACTGTCCATCACCACCAGTGGGATCAAGGCCAGTTTCATAGCCCCAGTTAAACCCTTCCTTAGTCTCGGGCGCGGCATCCTCAGCGCTCCAGTCGCCTGGATTTACATAAGTGAAGTCAGCCGGCTCCCAGCCACGGAAGTAATTGCTGTTCTTCACATGCAACGCTTCTTTCTTCTCACGTGGAAGATTCTTGGTGAAGCGCTTTGCTGCGTTGATGATGCCTTCTCGTGCTTCATCGGACACGCCATGTCCAGTGATGTGGAAGAAGCCAGAGTTCGTACAGGCGTCTCGAAGCTGTGCAGCAACAGCCTTGCGATCTTCGATGCTGGACGAAAAGGACGAAGCAATGTTGATTTCGGGTACAGTAAAAGGTCGACTTGGTTTTACTCCGGTACCACTTGCCAGGCGCTTGTTGAGGTAATCCTGTGCAGCTTGTCGAGCCTCATTTTGGGTTGCAGACGGCGCAAGAGCGGTAGCCATGTTTTATGAGCAGGTCGTACTGTCAGCAATAGTCTATAGAGAGAAATTGATAAAGTTGATGTTATTCTGTAGATATCAGCGGACTTTGCAGATTGCAAGCACTTTTGATAGGGCGGGCCAGCGGCAGCCGCCGTCCGGGGAGCTCCGGTACTTCTCTAGTCAGTCGAATCGCGAGCAGGTAAATGTAGAAAATATTGAGGACTTGCACAACAAAGGAATTCCCTGGATTCGAGCGCTCGTCTCAGATGTCTAGATATGTACAGGCAGAGTTGAGAGCTCACTGGCACTCTTCTCAACGATGTTCTTGTCACGTTATATGCCTATGACGACTTTTGCGAGACGATACCTGCAAAGCTGTTAGTCTGATTCGAGCGTTGAGAAAGTATTGGCACTCACGCTCAACGTCTGAGACGCTCTGCTTCAGGATCTGGTCCAGGACCTTGGGGTCTTGCAGCTGCTTCTCAATCTTGGCAATGACAGACTCGGCAAGCTCCTTCTGTTGTCTGGCCTTGACCTGACCCTCATATCGTACCCATGAGTCGAGGACGGACTTGGCCTCATGAGCCAAAGTAGTCTTCTGCTCGAGCTCATATGCCTGAGCCTCAAGCTGAGCGGTTTCCTACGCATTGGTTAGCCCAGCATTCACTCAGGTCTGCGATCTCCCGTACCTTAGAAACAGCGAAGAGGTCCTTGGTCACATCAATCACACCGCTGAGGTCCTTGACGTTGTTGATGCGGGCCTTGACGGCGCTGGTGTGGTCCTCCCGAGCAGCGTTCAGGATGCCCTTGATCTTGTCATGCTGTCCCTGTGCCCACTCCTTGTACATTGGGCCGGCGTAGGTGTAGACAGCCCAGTAGATAGTCAAAAGAGACAGCGCAACAATCGACTCCTCGTTGACGACATAGAGCTCGTTGCTAATGGCGGCTACCGAAAGACCGGCTCCGGCGGAGAGGATCGCGGTCTTGGAGGCAATGCTGTTACCTGGGAGAGCATCGAGGATCGAAGACGCGGCCGACTTGGGGTCTTTCTGGGGAACGTTGTTCTGCTGGCGCGGCTGCGAGGTCGCAAAGGTGGTGATGGCTGGAAGAGCAGGTCGGACAGGGAGGGTTGGCCGGACGCGAGCGGCGCCTGTTGCTGATCAGTCGGAGCTCCAATGGCCCAGTTCAATGCTCATGTGTCTTGATACGTACCCAACGCGCTCTTAGCCAAGCGCGAAGCCATTGTGAGTGTTGCTGGTGGGGAGTGGAGAGGTTCAATCTTCTGCTGGCTGATGAGGTCGATGTCTCTGCTCTTCCCTCGTTCCGAGCTGCGTCGCGGGCCGCACCGCACCGCACCGCGACACGCTAGCTCCGAGATTTATCAAACGACCGAACTTTTGACTATTCTCTCGATCTCTCGAATCACAACCAACCATGCCCGGGCTAGTCGCCAGCGACGATGGAGCTCGAAAGCGGAAGCGAATGATCGAGAATGGAAGCAGCAACAGTGTAAAGTCACGAAAGGCGCCTAAAACCAAGCCCAGCGCGAGTACCAGCGACGATGCCGGGACCCGAATTTTGTTGCTGGAAGAGCAGATACTGGAGTCGCGAGAGCACTACAACAACATTGTCGAACTTCAAAAGCTTGTCGAAAATGTGGGCAAGAACCCCAAGACCAGCACTATTGCTGCTGTGGCCTTGTGTCGAGCCTTCAGTCGGCTAATCGCTGGCGAGAAGCTGGCCAAGCAAAAGGGATCCTCGGAAGCAGACGTACAAATTGTCCAGTGGCTGAGAGCGCGACTGCGAGACTACATTGGGGCTCTACTCGGGTGGGTTGGAAGTCCAGACGCCGCTCAGGATAGCACGGCGCTCACGCTGTTGATGCGACTGGTCAAGGAAGAGACGTCGGCAGGGAGCAAGAAATCTGACCACTGCTGGCGTGGGGATAAGTCGACATTTGTCGCAATCGTGACAGCTCTGATCGAGAATAAAGATGCAGAGGGAGTCAGACAAGAGTTCGTTGACAAGTATGTGGAGGAGAGTGACGATGTTCGCTTCTACACATTTGCTGCGGTCAAGCAGTGTCTGCAAGGGGAGAATGCGTGCAAAGAGCAATTTGTGGACAGAGCTATCGACCTGCTCTCGCGAATTGAGGGAGTGCCGGAGTCTGAAGAGCAGCTCGAGGACTGGTACGGAGACCCACCAGAAGGCAAACATCAGCTATTGTCCTTAACTGCTCATCGAAAGGTAGCGCGTGAGGCGTGGCTGGCTGTCTTTCGCTCGACACTGTCTTATGAGCAGCGCAAGAAGGTTTTGGGCATTACGACTGCACAGATACTTCCCTGGTTCACGGGCCATATCGAATTGCTTGCCGATTTCTTGACCGATTCGTTCAACCAAAAAGGTTCCATGGCACTGATGGCTCTAAGCGGCATCTTCAATCTCATGACGCAAAAGAATCTTGACTATCCGGATTTCTACGCGAAATTGTATAGCCTGCTCGACGAGGATCTGCTGCACAGTAAGCACAGGAGTCGCTTTTTCCGGTTGCTCGAGACTTTCATGAGCTCGACGCATCTGCCCGTCGCGATGGTCGCTAGTTACCTCAAGCGGCTGTCAAGACTAGCTCTACAGTCGCCACCTGGTGGGATTGTTTGGATAGTGCCATGGGTGTATAACATGCTCAAGCAGCATCCTCCTTGCACTTTCATGCTGCACCGAACATATCACCCAGCGCATGCGATCTATGCAAATTACCCGAAATATGAGGAGGAAGGCATGGATGATCCATTTGACATGAGTCAAAGTGATCCTATGCTCACAGGTGCCATAGACTCCAGTCTGTGGGAGCTGGAAACGCTCCAGAGTCACTATCATCCGAACGTAGCGACTTTGGCTAAGATTATGGGAGAGCAATTCACGAAGCGCGATTATCAGCTCGAGGACTTTCTCGACCACTCTTACGCTTCGCTCATCGACGCAGAGCTGGGCAAAGAGATGAAGAAGGCGCCGGTAGTGGAATGGGAGATACCTAAGCGGATCATGACAGCGGAGGAAGGCGGGTTGAATGGCATTGGTACGCTCTTACAAGCGGCCATTGACGCCCAGTAGTTTGAAAGCACTGTAAACGAATTGCACAAATTCAAGACGCTTCTTACATTTGCACTCGATGATTGTCCGTCAGAACTCACAGATCAAATGCCGACAATTCCCGACAACCGCGCGGCATTGGCCTAAGCTCCCAGCTTCAGGTTTACAAAGATAAGTCTCAATTCAACGGCAGTCTTCCCTTGTTCTTACCCTCCGTTCATGCTCGAGCCCGCAATAACCGGTATCGCCGCTATGGGAATCCTACAAAAGACACTCGCTTTCACAGGCTGGACAGCTTTTGGTGGTACAGCTGGTTACCTTCTCTGGACGAGGAAGAGCAAGGTCTACGATGTGCCTCCCACCGACTACCTCTTCAACCATACCCTCTTTGCACGCTACAATCCAAACAACTCGCCTGTCACTCAGGACATAGTACTACGGAAGGTGCCGTTGGAGAAGCTCAGACCAGAACTGCTCGAGAAGGAAGGGAAATTGGTGGAGAGCTTTTGCGCTGGTCTTTGGAGCGGTTTGGGTATACTACACCACCAACCATAGGGAAAGGCAGTAACCAGGACGTTCCTTTTTGGCTGACGAGTACTGCTGTACGACAGGCTACGCATACCAACGAAGCTACCTAGACAAGAAATATCGCTCCGACCCAAGCACCTCCGACCACCTCTGGGACACCAAAGACCTCGCATCTTCAACCTATCCCCTCGGCACGAAAATCACAGACCACTTCGAAGTCGTCTCCAAGAACCCCACCTCCATCATCGTCCGCTGCGGCGATTCCCCACGAATCCAAGAAGTCCGCGCCTCGGATGGCCTGTTCGAAATGACAGCCGAAGTGAAAAAGGACGAAGGTGTCGCGGAATTCGGACTGAAGAGTATTTTCTATAACGGATTGGGACCGCAGCCTGACCAGGAGGGCAAGCAGCCTAGTGAGCCCATGTCGCCCTGGATCAAATGGCTACATCAGCAATACGCGAAGGTGTTGATGGAAACTGCCATAGGGAATTGTACCAAGTGAAGTGGAAGACGCATCGCTTTGGGTGGATGAGGATGTTGGACAAATGGTATGTATAGCGTGTACAGCAGCAGCACAGCAGCCATTCGCAGGAATCCCTCGAACTTCACACACAGGATCCCTCCCTTTGTCCCAGGTCAGTCGAGAAAGCGAGCATCGTCATCGTACTGGAAAGCCATCTTCTCGTCGATGCGAGACTGTTCCGTTCGGCGGAGGACTTCAATGGCTGCTTCGCGGATCTTGCGTTTCGTTGCGTCGCTGATGCGGGCCCATATCTCCTCTACAGACTCGCTGAACCCGGTCTGCTTGTCGGCGTCTTTGTCTCTGTCGGTATTGCTACTGCTGGATGTGGTAGGACTGGCAGCGTTGTGGGATCTTTCGATTCCCGCCGTGGGAAGCTGGATGTGCTTCCTCGTCTCGGCGATTGCGTCGTAGTCGGAGATGATGATTGGGAGACTGGTGAAGTCGTTTGGTAATAAGGAATTCATTTTCGTCGGACGTGGAGACGGGATCTACTGGAATGTGTGTGTCAGGGTCAGCAACGTGGATTTACATTCTACAGGACCACCTTTGATGCCATTTCCGGTCAATACGACCGACCCGGAGCAATGGGTACTGAATTCGGTCTCGAAGCTCTTCCTGGACAAAGAAATAATTATTATCTCCCACTCATGGAGCTGATCCTTAACATTAAGAGAAACAGCTCTTTAGGCTAATGAGAATCAGATCATGCTGGCGACTTCTTCACTTCTATCCCCATGAAACTACTCATAAAAGCAAGCATCCGGCTTATGCACACAAATCTTCCCACTCTTATTCGAAGTCAGAACAATCTTCGGATCATCCTTTGAAGCCTTGACCGATTTCCCATCTACATTCTTATCCTTGGTCAATATCTCTTCGACTTTGCCGTCGACGTAGCCTGGCATAGCCTTCCAGGCAACTTCCTGACCTTTCTTGGGGAGACGATCTTTGGAGCCGCGGGGAGCAGGTTCTTCGGCATCCATGTGCTTGGAACCGATGGTACTTTTGCCGGAGTTGGATTTTTGTTTCTTGTTGGACGAGGTGCCGTTCGATTCCTGGGTAGGTTTGCGTTTTTGGCCGGGTTTGGAGGCGTTTTGTTCGTCGACGGTATCATCGTCGTCGTCGTTTGTTTCTTCGTCTTCATCTTCTTCTTCCCCATTCTGATCATCTTCGGCCTCTTCATCATCGACATAAGCTTCTTCCTCCGAGCCCTCATCAGCAGCAGCATCATCATCGTCATCATCCTCGCCGCGCTCTTCCTTCTCCTCCTTCTCCTCCTCCTCCTCCTCGTCTCCATGCTCCTCACTAGCCTCCTTCCTACTTTCTTTCGCACTCTCGGTATTGGCAACATATTGCTTCCCCTGCTTACTCCCCTTTTCCTTCTTCCGCTCCGTCTCTTCCTTTTCCTCCTCACTCATCTTCTCCCAAGCCTTCTTGGGCAAATACCTCTTCTCCGTCCCATCTGCCTCCTTCGCATGTCCCGAGCCTTCCTTGGTCTGCCATTCCTCTTTGGTCCAGTTGTCCAGGTTCTTCTGGCTGGAGTCCTTTTGCGATTCGTCGGTGTTGTAGCCTCCGCCGCGTTTCTTGTACTCTGCGGCCATCATCTGGGCCTTTGTCGTTGAAGAGGAGGGATTTTGTTAGCGGGGAAAGGGACATTGGGACGGATGATGGGGAGGGACATGCATACCTTTCGAGCAGACCATTGTCCTGGCGCGCCGCCCTTGTCGCTGTTGTGGATTTCCTCCTTGACTTGGTCGCGGAGCTTGGGGTCGGAATACTTGTCTTTGGGAGGCATTGTGGCAGTAAGGAGATTCAGTAGATATGTCGCAGCGTGATGACTGGAAAAAATATATGTGAGGGCAGAAGGATAAAAAAGAAGCAAGATTGTCGCGAACATCAATACCTTCTTAAACACCTACCATCTCCCTGCCACGACTCTGCGTTACTTCATCAGGACGTGCGAGATCCCAGCCAGCTCGTCATTGACTTTCTCGCAGTCAACTGCGTAGCATTGACATCACGAGTCGCGGGAGGAGAAGTGAAGTCTGACCCAAAGCTAGACGATCGATCTAAGATCTGGGGATCGCGTTCCTGAATTAGCCTGCCCGCTTTGGGTAAAGACCCAGATCAATGCTGTCATGTTCCTTGCGCTAGACTCGGGTGTAGCACTGCGAAGATGAGTGGTCAAGAGAGCGGGCAACGGCAAAGCTTCCATTTCCATTTCGCTTTTGTACATTGGCCGACTACGGCAATTAGAGATGCCCACCTGGCGCGTCCGCTGCGGCACGTCTACCAGGATTGTCCACCCAAGAGCGCCGTCTTCCATTGAGCTGTAACTGTTGAACCAGTCTCAATAGTTCAACTCTCCAGTACCTTCTCCTTTATCGGCATCCAAATCTTCGTAGCTGCGCAGACTGCGACCGGCGACCGCCTCAGTGGGTCCCATAGTGGCGATTCCGCCTTCAAAAGCTCCCATGCCAGGTCGACCACCGCTCATTGAAGGCATCCGTCCTCTGCCAGTGCGTGCATAAGGTCCAGGCATGCGGTATCCCCCGTTCATAGCGAAGTTTCTACCATTGCTGCGCATCGGGCCGACACCGCTCATGGCTGGATTTGCCCACATACCCGGTACGCCAACAGGCTGACCCTGACTGAACATGGCAGTCATACCTGCAGCTTGCGCAGGAGGCATTCCAGCCGCCATCGGATTGAAGCCCATTGGGAAGGCTTGATTCAGCTGGAATCCACGTGGAGTTCCGGTAGGTGCATGGTTGTTCAGAGGGAAATGCCCGTTCGAGTTCGCGTCGCTCCTGCTAGGAGCAATGTGTGCTGGATCGAGCACGTACCTGTTGACCAGCTCCAATTCGGACCGGATGCGCTCATACCAGTCGACATGACGCTTTTCCACATGCTTGCGCCAGAAGTCGACGCCTTTGAACAGCTTTGTGCATTCTGGGACCTTGCAGCGGAATTTGTTGACATCTTCCTGTGAGACAAACTGGTACGCCGCAGAGTCAGTTTGTGCACTTGAAAGCATACAATCGCCGAACATACCTTATTAAGCTCCTTTTCGATGCCTTCTTCCAACGGCATACCGCCCAGCTTGCGAATGTTGACGTTGTCTGGTTCTAAGATCTGAAGAATCTTCTCTTCAAATGTCTTGACCCAGTTGAAGGCGCGTTGTAGCTGCTGTGTGGTCTTGCTGCTCGGCTTCATCAGAGGCTTTCTTTCCTCGACGGGGCTTTCCTCCTTCATCATTGCGTCCTCCTCCTCTTCTCCCTCGTTCTTGGATTCGTTCTTCTTGCGATGTGGAAAAGCCTCACCCGACGCACTGGCACGTGCGGTCTCCTTGGCGGCAGATGTGAGACTGGCGCGAGGACGGCGTAGATGTCCGCCAGGACATTTGCGTTGCAGCTCATGAACAGAGTCGGATTCAAAAACGCAGAAAAAGCAGAAGTTGTACACTCTCCGCAGGTACTCCACGAGTAGATCAAGTTTCTTCTTCTTGAGGAGAAGTTCTTCATCATCAGTCTCATCCTCGTCGACCATCCCTTCCTCCTCTTCGCCTTCTTCGGCATCAGCATCCATGGCATCTACGTCCTTTGCAGGCTTTGATGAGTCTACTGGCTTCAGTTCGCCTCTCTCGGACAGGTCGTGCACCCGCTCTTCGATCTTGGCAACTCCGAAATACTCGTCTCCAAGCTCGTTATCGAGTCTGCGAACCAGTCGCGTGGCCAGCTCGAGATCACGGACAATGCGTTCTGGAGCAGAGAACAAGTCCCAGAGAGCTTTCTTCCTTGGAGCATCTGGTGGCCGGTGAACGCCGCAGTGCACAGTAAAATTGCCACGCTCGGGATCTTCGATGGTCTTGCCGTTGATGTTCTCTAGAGCTCTCTCGCTCACACTGGTCAAGCCGCTCGGCAACTTCTTGCTCTCGATCTCTTGTCCTTCTTCGCCATCTTCACCGCGAGGCGCAGGTGGCTCAGGTTCTTCTTGCTCTGGCTCAGGATTAAGCATGATCCAGCCCATCCGGTGGCACTTCTTAAGCGGATTTGGGTCTGAAAGAGAGAGATGCTGAAAGCCACCTTCGTCTTCACCAAGATGCTCTTTGGCAAAGGCCTCAAATTTGTCGCGCGTGACTGTAGGTGCGATGGTTTTGATGAGAAGCGTCGGCTGGAGCGACGCAGGATCGCGAAGGTCACCTCCTTTGGAAGGCAGTAGATCGCCTACACCGAGAACCTCCGCAGCAGCTGAAGTCTCGCCTTCCTCGCGCTCGACGATGCCGCCAAGACCATTGGACTCGGACTTGTAAATGCCCTCCAACGTGAACTCGTCGAAGACGCCAGAGGACAAGTCGTGCTCCCATTGAGAGAAGAGACGCTTCCGGAATTCCATCAGCTTGCGTCGCATAGCATCACGGACCTCGGGATCGTAACGTTCTCGAAACCAGTCTTCGTTCTTGTGCAGCCGAACAAATGTTTGCGCCTGTTTCTTCTGCAAATTCTCCTTGTACTGATCATATGCCGCCTGGATCTTTGGTCTCTCTGCTTCACGATCCTCTCTCGACTCCCGTTCCCCTCTCAAGCGAGTCGGACGGCCGCTTTTGACGCGCTCCCTTTCCTCCTTAATACGCTGCTCGGTGCGCCACCATTCCGCGAACCAAGTAAAGCCGACCTGGAAGTCAAGGTTCATCGGGTCAGGCATTGGGTTGACAAGGACAGCCGCGGGTTCGGGACCGGGCACGTAGCGATCGATAGTCTGTGGAGAAGATCTCCGTCGTTGGTGTGGCTCATCGCGGCCTCGTGGAGCATATGCGTAGTCATCGCGGACGCGGTCGGGCTGATAGCGGTCGATCTGAGCGGGTGAGCGTGAGCGCCGCCGGTCACGATCTGGGCCTCCTCGTCGGCGGTCTGTATCTGTCAGCCGCGGGGTATCGCGATGAGATCGTCGTGTTTCCACACCTGGAGAGCGACGTCTATTCTCGCGGTACGGGTCAGACGGGCGGTAGTCGTCCCTGTCTCTGCCCGATGGCCGCGTGGCCGGAGTGATGTCCCCCCTAGGCGGACTTCGTCCGTATTCGTAGTCGTCCATCTTTCGTAGGCGTCGAGCTGAGGTATTGTTTCTCAGGCTGAATCGATGTTTCGCTGTGTTGGCTCCATCAAGCTGTTCGCGAACGAGCTGGCGGTACCCGTTTCGCTACCGTGTTCTCGACGGTCAATGTACGAATGGACCCGGTCCAGATCTCTGGCCAAGCTGTTGCCCTCGACTTGGGACTTTCCGACGCTGCCGAAGCAGATTGGCGCAATGTGCGCGTTTGGGGGAGGACTGTTTGCCATGGCCGCAGTTAGATGAAAGTCAAGGAAGGTGTAACAGAAGGCGAAGAAGAAGTAGTGCTGCGTGCGGACGGGCGGGTGGCTGTCGCGATGGCTTGGAGAAGACAATGGGACAAGAGGAAGAGAGGGTATGACAAGGGTGCTGATGGTGGTGTTGCTGCCGTCGGCGCAGCGGCTCGACTGGCGGCGGGCGAGAAACGAGGCGTGAGGGAGTGAAGCAATGCGTGCCCCGTAAATGAGTATGAAAGGGGAGTACGAACAATGTGTGAGGAGCTGGCGCAGAGGATGTTTGGCACAGCAATGAAGCGTGCTGAGGGCGAGAGGGAGAGAGGGGGAGGGAGGAGGAGAGCACGAGGTTGGTTGGGCGTAAGCGAGCGGCTTCCCCAGGCCAAGGCCAGGCCAGGCCAGCTCAGCTGAAGCTCGGCTGTGGATGAGGTGGAGCGCTAACCCTAACCCTAACCCTAGCCCGGGAAGACTGTACCGTGCCGCGCCGCTACCGAGAACCTTACCACGCTCCACCTGTGTACGTACACAGCGTAGGTGCACTGTGCGTGGAAGTTTATACAAGTGAACACCATAATAACAATTGCTGCAGTGTCTGTCCACCATGACGACCTACCTCCCCTCCCTCACCCTCCCGTCGTTCCTCTTTGAGAACCAGGCCGCCGCCGTCCTCCTCCCCATTGCTGCCGGCACAGCTGTTGGTTTCTCGACCCGCCCGAAAGACACCCAAAAGACCTACCTCGCCCTCCGACAGCCTCCATTAAGACCTCCACCATGGATCTTCGGCCCGGTATGGACAGCGCTGTACGGCGCCATGGGCTATGCCGCGTATAGAGCTTGGAGCGCGGGCACGAATAGTTTCGATCCGCAGAAGCTGGCCCTCGCAAAGGTACACTATCCACAAACATACCAAACACCGGCTTGGAGCAACGCTGAATCGCTGGAATAGCATGGCGCAACTCTCTACACCATACAACTCGGCTTGAACCTCATCTGGATGCCACTCTTCTTCGGATGGAAGCGGCCCATCGAAGCGTCCGTCGACATTGTCACTCTGACAGGTGTCGTTGGCTACTTGTCGTACATCTGGGGTCAGGTTGACGAGACCGCCGGCTGGCTCCTGGTACCATACCTCGCCTGGCTGAGCTTCGCCAACTACCTTTGCATCGGTGAGTAGAACTGGCATCGCGCTTCGCAACGGACCCAGAGGCTGATTGGATCAGGCGCGGGTTACCTGAACAACTGGGATTTCTCAGGAAAGGAGAAGCCACAGGCTGGCAAGCCGAAGGACACCACCTTCGTTGACGAGAGGCCATGAAGAACGGTCGTCCGGCCGCGTTCCGAAGCATGAGTAGATGGTTGAGCGGTGGGAGTAACTCCCCACTGTGCGCCTGTAATGTATTAGAATCAACCTGCAGTCGCACTACTCTAGCCTATGTGCGATCTCTACATCTGTCAGCAGAAAGGATCGAACAACTCACCGGTGCCTACACGTGCTGAGCTGGCAAACAACTCATGCTCCGCCAGTCTCAGATCCAGGCTCGGCTTAGCCACGTGAAGGAACAGCTCGCGCAATATTGCAAATTTCGTCATGCATCAGGGCTGATGTCTTGGACAAAGGCGATCAGATGGTCGATCACAGGGAAGTGTTTCGCGCAGAGGACGGCATCGCTGGCATGCCGTGCGACTATGCACGCTTGACTGACAGCTGCCTGCCGAGACAATCCTCCGACGAACGAGACGCCTTATCCTCCCTCGGAGCCGGCCAAGACACGTCGAGGGTCATGAAAGAAAGGCCGGCGGAAGCGACGAGGGTGATCTGATCTCGACACTTCAGTACGCTCTGGTGCATCCGAGCCGGAGGTGTAGCATCTGGAGCCGCGGAAGGATGGTGTGACACACTGAATGCGCCTGGCCGCCCCCGTGTCCGTGTCCGTGTCTGTCCGAGAGCGGCAGCAGGGCGAAATGGTGGGAATTTAAGGTGAGGAATTAGAATCACCGGAGCGTATAGCTCACACAGTTGCTGCATGGTGCAAAGAGGCCGCCCTTCGCAGCATGCACGAGCATCGTTCTGGCTAGTCCAGCGGCCAATCAGCGCAAGGCAAACCGTCCGCCTTCTTACATGTTACGCCCTCGTACAGAAGCACCTACGCTATCCTCATCATCCACGCATAACACCCTCCCGTCCTCCACCGACCGCCCGCCTTTGCTCAGCCTCGATCCTTCATCTTGTTCATTTGTTCCGTCTCGCACCCATCGCACCTTCTGACTCCTGATATCCTTGCTGTGGCACATCTCGCGGCCTCACATTTCGGCCTTGCATTCGAATGACATAGTACCACATAGCAATCTCGCTGACCAATATAGGTCCGCTCGGTTGAAGACCAGATGAATCAATATCAACCGACCAACTATGCTAGCTTTGCAATCCCAGTATGTCATCGCAGCGTTGGACTGTAGTCCCAATTCCGAGGTGCAAGTTGTTGACATCTTTCATAGGGCTTTCCAAGCTTCGCTAGCGGTCCAGATGCTGAGTTTCGTGTACCAGAGCAGCCATACAATGCCTCCCACCGGGCTTCCTGTCCAACGGCTCTGAACGCCTCACGCTCGGCGCAGGATGAAGCGTTCGATTTGTCTCAAGTGGACGCCGTGGCACGAAGATCGGCCAACAATGTCTCGATGCAAGATATGATAAAGCCTGAGGAGAGTGGACCGTGGGACCACACGCATCCGGGCAATGGTTTCTTCCAATCACGCATACCATCTCAGCTCTCCTCATGGCAGATCCACAACCCCTATGCTACCTCAGAGCCAGCCCGCAAGCATGATGGCATCTCGGACGCAGCAGATTCTGGCTACTATTCCCTGCCCACAGCTACGCCGACACAGCAGAACTTCACGTGGAACAAGGAAGAGCTCGAACAGAGTTTTCTCTCTCCAATAATCCCCCAAGATGACACTGATGCGAGGAGCACACTCTCCGACGCCCGCATGATATCCCGCAGTAGGGATGGACGGAGGAAGCAATTGATAGGCCCCTGTCCAGTTCAGGGATGCAAAAAGCAGCCAAAAAACTTGTCAGATGCTAAGTATGAGGATTTATGAATCTTCCGTCTCGCAGAGGTATGCTGACGGTTGCGTAGAAAGCATGAACTGACGCATACTCGTCCACACCGGTGTGATCAGCAAGGCTGTAGCCGCAAGGATGGGTTCGCGACCGACAACGATCTTCAGAGACACCGCAAAAGTGTCCACAATCTGCAGCCTACCGTCGGCTCCACGGTAGGCTACACTTGCGTGGCCTGCAATGTGCCCGATGGCCAACGGCCCAAGTTCTGGCCTCGAAGGGATAATTTCAAAGCACATATCAAGCGAAAGCATCTCAACTGGAATGAGGAACTTCTGATCGAGAAGTAGGACACGTGCTTTTTGGGCTAGAATTCATTGATACTGACAGGTAGGCAGATCGAAACAAGCTATGCGGCCTGGCGACGCATGTACTGCCGATGATGATGCTCAAGGTGTCAGGACCGCGATGCGTTCGGCCGCACACTTCTCGCAAGTGGATCCAGAGGAAAGCCGTGGCTGTCAACAACTGAGCGCTAGTCCAAGTATGCTCGAGCGCCATGTTTCAGAGCCAGGTCTTTACACCAGCAACAATCTTTGGTCAACCATGACCGATCCAGAGGACGCTCTGGCGGGCATGCAAGGCCATACTGCAGACCTTGAATACTACACCTCACCTGCAGAGTTCCACGGAAACGGTAGCTTGTCCATGATTCCGGACGATATGGGGAACACCCATTTTGCTACGTTTCCACCGCCGCCCAAACGACTCAGGACTGATCGGCTACACTGGAGTTACTCAAATGATCAAGAGCAACAGCAGCAGGTGCCTCTGTCCCAATTCCAAGTTTCAGAGCACAGTGCAACAACCACCTCCACCTCATCATCGCAGTCCGGCAACACAATGATGACTCCCACGTTATCACAAACAGGAACAGGAACAGGGGCAGGAACAGCAGGAGGAATCTTCCAATGCAGATACTGCGAGAAAGTTAAGAAACGCGACTGTGATCTCAAGTAAGGCATCACCATCCATCCATCCCCTCCCCCCACAGCTCCCCCACGAAGCAAAATTGGGAAAACAGAAAGAAAAGACTCACCTTCTCCTTCCTCTCGACAGAAAACACGAAAAACGCCACACTCGTCCGTACGGCTGCACCTTCCCGCGCTGCCACAAGAAATTCGGCTCCCGCAACGACTGGAAACGGCACGAGTCCGGCCAACACTACCTCTCCGAACTGTACAAATGCTTCCTCTGCCCGGCATCGGCATCCCCGCTCTTCCACAACGCCGCTGATCTCCGCGAGCACCTCCTCCTCCTCCACCAACAGGAAAATTCCCCTCATCATCACAACAACCACAACATCTCCCCGAAGAATCTCGAAGAAATGGTTGCTAGGTGTAAACTCGGACGCGACGGCTCTGATTGTTTCTGGTGTGGGTTTTGCAGGAGATCAATAGAGGTGAATGCGAATGCGAATGTTTATGGTGGGGTTGATGGTGGTGGCCCGCTAATGACGACGACGAAAGCGTGGTGGGACGAGAGGTTCCGGCATATTGGGGATCATTTCGATAAGCAGGGGTGCAGGAGTGAGGGGTGGGTGTGCGTGGAGGAGGATCGGCCGCTGGGGGAGTTGATGATGATGATGGAGGGGAGGAAGACGAAGGAGAAGAATAAGGAGAAAGAAGGAGGAGGCGGGAGTGTTATGGTAGGGGAGGATGAGGAAGAAGAGGAAGAGGGAGAGGAGGAAGAAGAAGAAGGGCTTCCTGTGTATGATGTGTTTGAGGGGAGTGTAGGTGTAGGTGGAGGGATGTACATGCCGTTCTGTTCGAAACGCGAGCTAGAAGAGGAGGAGGAGGAGGGTAAGGATGCGGATGCCGTGAGCGATTTCGATCAGTTGTGATGGATTCTTGGGCTAAGATGATGATGACAACAACATGATGCGATATAAGGCGGTCTGGCGTTCACTCCTGTTTGACAAGGAAACATGTTGATATCAGACTGGGACGGCAAGCAAGCAATCGACGGCTGAGACGGAACGTTTTTTGGCTGATGCTTTGGATTTTCTTTCTCGAGGACATGAGATACCTTATCGGCACGGGTCGTGTTAGCTACTGTTCGTAATAAGAAGAAAACCATCGCCTTGAAACACGACAATTCCCCTCTCCTCTCAATACCTCGCACTCAGCGTCATGGTTGTCGTCGTCCATCCATCATCCGTGTTGACAGGGGCATGAGCAGGAGGCGTCGTAATAACTCCATTGAAACGCCCCACGCTTTCCGTCAGGGTTGCGAGTGCGTCCAGAAGATGACTGTCGTCGGAAGCACTCACGGTCATGTAGTCCGCAACCTGTGCCTCGACCGTGTCCGTACCGGCAATTTCGAATCCGCCATCAGAGCGCCCTGTTCCGGAGTCCGTGTTCTCTCCAGCCTTCAGCAGAGCCAGTAGACTGAAATGGCCGCCCACGACGGGTCGTGCCTCGAAAAGCACGGTAGAGCCGCTGATGGTCGGCGAGTTGCCGTAGCTCACAGTGTCGTAGAGATCGGCAAATGGGACGTTAGCAGCAGTGGTGTTGAGCCAATAGGCGATGGCGTTGACAAAAAGCCTCCGCGTGCTGGGAGAGCAGGTCGCTGCGACCCACATCTGCCAGTCGCTCTTGGTCCAACTCCCTCGACTGTCCAGCGGCACGCCGAAGATCTGCGAGACACAAGGATACCATTTCGATTGCATGTCGTAGACCTCGTCAGCGATCACGCCGAGATTGAGCAATTTGTCTGGATACGTGTTATAGAGCAAGCCCCACGAGGACCGAAGTTGATATTGCAACACGGAGTGTCGTTCGGATGGATCAATACCGAAGCTCTCCCAGTCGTTGTAGTACTCGCTGGCAGTGTTCTTGTACTCCGTAGCAGCTGCAGTGTCATTGACGACCTCACTGATGACGGACATCGCCCTCAAAGCTACGATGCCCTTGATGGCCAGGTTGGTCTGGTTGGTAAGTCGACCCGCAAAGTCGTCTGTACTCAACTGATTGCCTGGAATGAGTGCATTGTCTTTGAGGTAACCGACCCACTGCTGCATCTTCTCGTAATGCTTTTGCAGGAAAGCGGAGTCGCCACTGAACTTGTAGTATGCCAACGCCATGATAACGATGTCGCTCGAGACTTCCACAGGCATCATCTCATCATCGCCAGCAACATGCCCAGTTGCATTTGGGAACTTGGTTCCAATGTCATGAATACTCCAGCCGTTTGGATAGAATCCAGATTCCATGTAGAGAAACACCGGGTCAAGAGCGTATCTGAGCAGCTGCGGGTTGGCATACAGGAAGAATGGCATTGTGGGATACAGTACGTCAAGTGTGTTGACGTTGCCATTGCTGCTGATTTCCTTCTGGAACATGATGGGCTCACTGCCGTTCAATGCCCCGGATTTGACTGCCGAGGGCGGGGGAACAGTCAGTGTGTATGCTCCCATGACTTGACGGGCAGACAAAGCCACTATAGCGTAGTAGTTGTGTGCCTCTGAAACGTCCGGGACAGCGATGCCGGTGAAATTCTTCGAATCTAGGAAGCCATAAGCACCGTCTACATCGAAGAGGTACTGTTGTCCGAATTGATCTCGACTCTTCCTCCAAGTGCTGGTGATATCTTGTCGCCGTAGCCTGCCCGCGCCAGGTATGGATGCGTTAAGAGCCAAGTTGTCCTTATAGTAGCTTTCCACGTCATCTTTGAGCTGACGCTCGAACGCAGCACCTTTGGCTGATGCAGTGGCGAAGTCAGCGTAGTGAAAGTCGATCATCTTGTAAGTATCATTATAGTATTTGGTCCACCACGGGTCCAAGTCGGCCAAGCCACCTGATGAGAGGTACCGGACAGCGGGTAATTGAATGGTCCCGACGGTGTAGAGGGCGCTAGCGTTGCGTGTAGACTTGAAGTCGTGCGAAAACGCAAAGACAGGGGCTCTGAAGGATGCGCTGCGAAAGTTTGTATCGACGGAATTGATCAAGGATGCATTCTTCAGATATTGACTGCGAACATGGACACTGTATCCAGAGGCAACGCTGAAATTGGACGCGGAGCCCGGGGCGGTCGAGTAAGAGAAGTTGCCCCACTGTGCAAAGTCGGCATTCTCGTTCAGTACTGCAGGCCTATCGAGGCCGACCATCCAGCTACAGACATGGTCGGTATTGTCGCTGGGAGCTGACCAGTCCATGTCTGCACAATTCGGAGAGAGGCCCCATCGCAGAACAGGTCCACCGGTGCCATCCAGCCAGTATCCATCCACATCCGAGTACAACTTGACGTCATGTGCAGCGTCGTCCTGAGATTGGAAGGTAATGTACAAGTAGCTCAATGGAATACTCGTGCGGCAGAGATCCTGAGGTAGGACGGGAGAAAAGAAGCAGGCGTTGAGCTGAACGGGGCCGACGGTGAAGGTGAAATTGCTCCACTGGCTGTCATATGTGAGGTGTGTCTGGATTGCAGATGAGATGTTGGGGAGTGTCTCCCAATTGGCGCCAAGATACTCGTAGTTGACACCGTCCACGGTGATGATGCCTTCCCAGCCGACGTTGACGCCGGTCCAGAAAGATGCGCTGTTGCTGTTCAAGGCCCCAATGCTACTCGTCGACAGCCATGCGCTCGTATAGGGGGATCGTACCGCGAGCTGTGGGGATCGGTGAGCAACACTCGAGAGTGCTTCGTTTACTGGCACTCACCGGCACAGCTGGGGGTCGCGCTGGACTGTAGATGATGGATGCGGCGCCGTGGAGGCATCTCAGGAGGGTCAGAATTGCAATGGAATATCTGAAGGGTCTAAACATGGACGCTCTCGCCGCCATTCCAGCAGTTCGCCGCGGGATTTACGCTGTGCTCGTACAAGGGAAAGCGACAGGAGATGGCATCTTCATATACCTTACCTACTTGCCATATCACATTGCCGTCACCAGTGGCAGTCGCACTGGAGCGAAGAATTGTCATTTCAACCGAAAGCAGACAGTGCGCGTGCGATCCTGCACCACGCAGACGGCATCCACCTGCAAGACTATTCCTCGAAATGAGACGCATTGCAGATTCTGATGTCGTAAGTGGGACAGGAAGTTAAGGTAGTCGGACAGGAAGTCGTTTCAAGTGAAGTCGAATGAAACGAGACGCTCTGATGATCGGATCGGATCGGATCGGATCGGATCGGAGCTTTCACATGCCGACCAGGACCGACCCCGGATTAATGTACCTACCTTAAGCTTCGACCTCGGCTGAAGAGGAAGATCGTTACCCGAAGCTACAGCTGCGGGACTCTGTTGACCCAAGCCTGATGCTACCTACCTTACAGACTTCACGCGTGACATGTGACAGCATGCTCGGTCCGTCTTTCTCATCCTCCCATTCTTCATGTGTCGTTCTACCACAGTACATGTAGACACATCCACCAAACACCTTCCACCGTCCATCCCCGCCTTCCTGACCGACGCGGCCTTCTCCTCCTCACATCCCACCATGGCCGACTCGCTCAAGTCGTTCCAGGTATCCATATCCCTCCCCTCCCCTTCCCACAGAAGCTCCCCACACCGCCGTCGAGACATGTACTGACGGCCATCTCCTCTCCTTCCCCAGGCGACATTCGAACAAATCATCCTCGACCCCCGATACAAACAACCCCTCGTCCTCCTCAAAGCCATCCGCAATGGCGCCGTCTACGGCACCAAAGTCCGCTTCCCCCACGCCCTCGTCATGATCTTCCTCTTCCGCTCGGGCACCGTCCGCGAGAAGATCGCCCTCGTCTTCAAGGCCACCCGCCAACACGCCATGAACCTCGCCAAATTCGCCCTCCTCTACAAGTCCTCCATCCTCGCCCTGCGCAAGACCAACGGCGGCAAGGAACTGCCCATTCACAATTTCCTCGCCGGGCTGTTTGGTGGTTACTGGGTCTTCGGACACGGCAAAGGAGCGGCGAGTAGTGTGAATCAACAGATCGTCATCTACGTCTTCGCACGAGTCGTCCTGGCCTTGGCCAAGTTGGCCGTGCAACCGCCCGGCGACAATGCCCTGGTAGGGAGCCATTACGGCGGACACGGCGGCATCGGCTTCCTCAACCTCTCCGAAGAGCAGGTCCAGACGATTCGGAAATTCGCATGGCCCGTGTTCGCCAGCATGAGCTGGGCGAGCGTCATGTGGCTGTTCGAGGGATACCCGGAAACGCTGCAACCCAGTCTTCGGAGCAGCATGACATACATGTACGTCGTCGGACTGTTTCCTTTCCTCGTCCGTCTCGTTATTGCAGTTCTTGACCTTTTTTTTGGATCCTTCCCCATGCTGCTGACACAGGGCTGACGACCACTTTCCCTTCCCATAGATACACGAACGCGGAAAAATGGGATTCTCCTCGCAATTTCTTGTGGCACAACAAGTAAAAGAAAGAAAGAAAGAAAGAAAGAAAGAAAGGAACAGTGACCGGAGAGCTCCATTTGGACCCCCCTCCTCCTATATACCTCACCATTTTTGTTTGCCGCATAGCGAGGCGTTTGATATCTTGGGAAACACGGCCGATCGGGATTGTAGATAACTACGTGTCTTGGAAACCACAGACCAGGCACGCCGCAATTTGATGTCGCTATTTGTTGCATTCTTTGCGCGCACTAATTTTATTTTTCTCTCTCTTTTGCCTATTCCGTCACTGACCGAGCTCTTTCTCTAGCTTCGCCAACTCCGAGCACTGGCATAGTCTGGACTCCTTCATCTGGCAGTACGCTCAGCCGGCTCTCCCTTCGATGCCCGGCACGCCCTAGAATCCTGCTTCCATTGGGATTGGAGTCTGCGATAGATTGATCAGGCGTTTCGGTGTCCATGTCGGAAACAGGAAGAAGGGGAATGGCGACTCTGCATTCCGAGGATTGCAAAAGAGAGAGGATATGATAGAGCTGTTAATTAAAGGAGAGCCCTTGGGCGTCGGACGGAAGGAAAGAGAGTTATGTATGGATGGTGTTGGCGGAGTTGATGAAACAGCTCGTTTGAAAAAGAAAGAGATAGACCCGAAAGAAAGCCTTTACCTCGCGCTCGCGCTCTGAGCTGTTCCGAAAACGTCGTGATGCATGCTCACCTCACTTCTTAGGATAGGAGAGCAGCATTACCATCCAGCTTGAGACCAGCCGCTGGCCGGGTTCGCAGTCTTCTCGTCACCTGCAGCTACCTGCAAAGCAGGGTCGTCCGGGAAGTGCTCGGGGGTCTTCTCGCTGGCAGCTCTTGCTTCGTTCCTATGGACAGCGCAACGAACGGACACGGTCAGTGGAACGGTTCTGTACACGATAGGGTCGGGTCGGGGCCTGCTTCGACAAAGCCCAATTTCTTACCATCCTCCAGGAGGGCCGCCTCCAGCATCTCCTCCGCCCCATGCGTTGTCGTCTCCGCCGCCATTGTTGTCGCCCCACTCCCCTCCGCCTCCTTGGTCTTTCTTCACGCTACCCTTCTTCTTCGACGCTGCTTGGCCCCAGTCGCCGCCGCCGCCGCCGCCATTGTTCTTGTCCTGATTGCCCCAACCGCCTTGGGACTGCTTCTTTGACGCTGGCTTGCCCCAGTCGCCTCCGCCGCCGCCATTGTTGTTGTTGTTCTGATTGCCCCAGCCGCCTTGCGACTGCTTCTTCGACGCTGGCTTACCACCCCATCCGCCGCCGTTGTCGCTCTTCTTCTCAGGCTTCGCAGACCAGTCACGCTGACTCACAGAATCTTCCGGTTTCAACTTGTCGTCCGCCTTGCCTCCGCCCCAGTTTGCATGAGACGACGGCTTCTTGCTACCGCCGCCGCCACCGCCTTCCTTGCCGGCCGCAAGCTTCAGTCTCATCATCTCCTGGACAATCTCATCCTTCGGCATCCTCATCAATTTCTCCCTCTCGGCCTCGTCGATCGCCCTCTCCACGTCGCTCGTATCGATCTTGCGGCCCAGGATCTTCTCCAAAGCACCTCGGCTGCGGTACTTGAACGTGAAGATCGCATAGGGCTTCTGCATCGTGTCCAGATACTCCGGGCGATAGGTCGTGTGGCTGTACTTGGCACCTCGACCGGGCTGGACGCCATAACTGACACTTGCTGGCTTCTCCATTGGTGCAATTACAGTGGGAGGAGCCGGAAACTCGTAGGCGTCGCGTGCTTTGACCTTGGGCTTCTGGACGTCTGCTTTGGGCTGGTCCCATTCAGCCCAGTACGGCTTGATGATCGGCTCGAGTCGCTCTGAACCGGTGCTGTCGCCTCCGTAGCCACGATGCGACTGATTCGCGCGGCTTCTCGAGGCATCTTTCTGACCCCAGCCGCTGGCGGCTTTGATCTTGTCCTGACCGCCATCCTTCCAGCTTTTCACTTTGGACTGATGGCTCTGGGATTTCGCGTCGTTGCCCCAAGCCGCACCGTCGTTCTGCTGCTGGTCGTTGTTGCCTCCCCAGTTGTTGCTAGCGCTTTTCGGCTTGGGTTTGTTGGAGTTCTTGTCCCATGCGTCTCCGGCCGCCCAATTGTCGTTCGCATTCTTCGTCCCACTCTTCTTGGATTTACTATCCCATGCGTCTCCGGCCGCCCAATTGTCGTTCGCATTCTTCGTCCCACTCTTCTTGGATTTGTTATCCCATGCGTCGCCGTCGCCACCTGCGGACTTTCCCGCGCCATCGCCGCCCCAGCTAGCATTGCTCTTCACCTTATTCTCGTCCGGGCCGCCCCAAACATTTCCTTGCTGATTGTGGTCGTTGTTGGGCTTGCTCCAGTGGCTGTTCTGATCATTCTTGTCGGCATCGCCTCTCCAGCCAGCAATGTCATTGTCCTTGTTCTGGTCAATATCGTCACCACCACCACCCCAGCCATTGTCTTGTTTCTCATTGCCAGCGTTCTGATCTGCCGAAGCTCCCCATCCATCGTTGCCACCGGCCTGCGTGGCTCTGCCATTCTGCTGCATCTTTTTCTGCCACAGATCGCCCCCAGATGCACCTTGACCCACTTGCTGCCAGCCGTCGTCTTGTGCAGCGCTGGACCTTCCGCTCTTCACTGACTTCGAGGCTGGCGTGTGATGATTTGTGGGCTGGGGCATCCTCGGATCCGGCCATTGCTGCACTTCTGGGTGGTTTGGTGGGACCAGTCTCTTCTCGAAAATGAGGTAGTCACGACAGTAAGTCCAAGACGCTTGGTCCAACCTTCTCATGCGCGCAAATATTGATCCAAGTAAGGCGTTGCTTTCATCGTTCAACTTTTGAAGTTCTTGCTCTCTATGTCTAAGCGCTTTTACAGCGGCGAGGTGCAATTCCGGGTCCTGCTCGTACTGCTGTACCTCTTGGTGTAGAGCCATAGCCTTTTGTCGCTCTGTAAAAGCGAGTCTCCAGACGGCTTCTACTTGTCTGCATATGTCTTGAATAAAGTCGAATCCTGGAGGCTCGTTAGGATACGCACGATCTGCTCGTGGTTGTGCCTGTGGGCCATATGCGCTCTCGTCGTAGATTGGCCGACCCTGTGTGTTGTAGCGTGCTGGTTGAGGTGATTCAAGCGGCTGCTGAGGGGGAACTCGACGCCTCTGTTGGAAGTCATAAGCCCCTGTCGGTGGAGATGGCTCGCCGTAGCGACTAGCCGCGGGTTCAAAACGCTGCCGATATTCAGAAAATGGTTGGTATCTCGGAGCAGGTTGGCCACGGTCGTGCCCGCCGTGCACCGTGAATGGTCTCGGGCTGTACGGGTCTCGGTCATAAGGTTTCCTGTGTCGAGACTCGTAATAATCAGGGGCATCTCCGGCACCATCGAAGAGGCCAAGCATGCCGCCATATCCTGCGCTCCCGGCCTCGGATGCTTTCTTTGTAAAAGCCTTTGACGGAGCCTTGGATGCAGCCTTAGACGCAATTTTGGAAGGCGGCTCAGCCGGTGCAGCTGCCTCTGACCTCCTGACCGATCGAGTGGCGAAGTCTTTGACCGTCGGTGCTCCGATGGGAGCAATAGCCGAGTAGGCTGGCTGTACGGAACCTGGAGCACCGCTGTCTGTGCATCGAAGAATAACCACCTCTATGGTGCCGACGTTGTGTGCAAAATGGGGATTCGCGTTGGGAGCCTTGTCGGCATTTGCTGTTGGGTGTCAGAAAGCAGAATCCTCCGGGGCTAGTGCACTCACCTGTCTTGAGTTTGGCGAAAGTCCAATCGCGTGCGACGAAGAGACCATCTGCACTCTTCTCCTCCTTTTGTCGCATGTTGAAGTCGATCTCGTATTCCTCTGCCCTCATTGCAGGAGCGGGAATCTGCAGTCGCTGACGATTGCGGTTGGACTGGTACTCGCCATCCATGTAGACGTAAGCAGCGAGACCTGGTGCGATGTAGCCACTACTTGTGATGTGGACATGGAACGGCATGTCGGTCTCTGGAACCACGACGAACGCCTCGACGCCGCCATCGGTGTAGCGGTGGCCGTACTCCTTCAATCTTGCGCCGCTTGAGCCGAGCTCGAGGGAGGCGGTGATCTGCTTTAACGTCGGCATGTTGCCGTTGGTGCTTGCGGTGTTTCTGGTATGAACATTGAGCAGTGAGAAGTCTGGTACACGAACAGGAGCGAGGATGTTTGTTCTGGTACGAACGGGAGCGAGGATGTTTGTTCTGTGATGTATGTGTAGCTCGGAGAATTGAAGTGAAGTCCATTGACACGGCAACGGCAGTTCTCCGGCAGGTGAATACGGAAAGAGGAAGGTTCGAGGCATGAGGAAGGTGCGAAGGAGCGAAGGAAGAAAGCAACACGTGACTTCTGTTGTCCATCTTGTCTCTGGAGATGCTACGAAAGGCTCGCGGCCTGAGCCAAGTAGAGCAGCGCTACCGGCGTTCACATGCAACGCTGTCAATGAATATGCCTGGCAACATGCACACGGAGGACGTGCAGCAGGATCCGGCTCTTTACTTCTCAACTTGGGGCCCGGCGTCCAGTCAGAGATGGCGACGACCAGGCAGAATGCCGTTTTCTGCTGAGGTTGATGGCAGACGAAGTATACTACTGTGATGGGAAGATGTGGGAGTGGGTGACTCGGCCTAAGGTTACCGGTACAGTAGCTCCTCCTCTAGCGGTGGCCGTGCGCGTCTCTCCGAGAGTAGTACAGTATGTATCTGCACCACACCACGTCCGAGAGCGTGTGGAACTACTACTACTTCTGTCCAAGCGCTCAGGCATGTGCCAGTTCATCCCGTCCTCCACGAATAATGCGCAGACGGAGAAGCGTTGGGTGGATCCAGCGAAGAAGCTTGCAAGTCTCGTGCAGCTCGCCGCGATTTCGATCTCAATTTCACCAGACGCGTCTACATACACCTCGTGATCTTGTCCTGCCCGCTCTTTTCTTCGCCATATACACCTCCTCCCTCTCCACGTCTGTCGCATTATTATCCTGCTGACCTGCTAGCAATCAAGATTTCATATCTGTGATACACATCCGGATCAGCAAGGTTCCCGGCAACCTGGGCTTGTTCCACCCGCTGGTAACACGACCCAGCATTGTGTGCCCACGATGATGCAGAGGAGTCCGATGCCGCCTTCGTACCCAGCTCACCATATAGTACATGGCGATGACTCGGATGATAGCGACCTCGAGAACGAAGCGGCTTCTTCTGCCGCAGACCACGAGGGCAGCGAAGCCGACCCGCACCAGCACACCCACGAATCGGGAGACCCAATGCGAAGAGCTTCGATAGATTTAGAGGACTCGAAAGAGGCTGTAGCCGTACCCGACCTTGCAGCGGAGGATGCAGAGCAACAAGGCATGCTGCCGAGGGACAAACAGCGACGGACAACACATTACAACTACCAGCTCGAGAAGCAGATGTCGCACGTCGAAGCAAAGCAGTTCTACCAGCAGCAACGGCAGAACGCTCTGGAGGAGCAAGGCACAGCCAGTCCAGCCGTGGGCACAAGTCCCATCATCAGAGCACGGACATGGGGTTCACAAGTCATCGGGGATCCCAATCTAAACTCCAGGACAGCGAGCATTCGCAGCAAGCGAAGCTTTGGTGGTGCTGGTTACAATTCGGCTCTTCCTGTAGGTCTGAGTGACCCGACGAAAGATCCAAACAGTCCTACAATCCAGTCGCCGAGCCTCGGCCGCTTTGAAGGCGTTAACGGCCTCTACACCGGCAACGGTGCTGGTGAAGACGACCCTTTGATTGCAGCAGACAGAGCGGCACGAGCTCATAACCTGCATCCGGGTCTGCCTCATGAGCCCAAGCCACTGTTGGAATCAGAAGGTATCCATGGTGCTGGAGCTGGAGTCGGGACTGATGCTGTCAACGAGTCAAGCGTGACCATCGAACTGAACGCCATCTACTCCAATATCCAGAAAATCCTCGACCTCAGACACAAGTACATTAGACTTTCATTGCAGGGCCCACATGACAATCCCCGGGACGATCCAGGATGGGAGATCTATCCTCCACCGCCAGACCCTGTCTGGCACGAGAACAAGGAACGGCTCAACGCTTCGGGCGATGACAGAGGCGACGAGACACCCGTAAACCCACCAAAGAAGCAGCGTAAGATGGGACAGGACATCGGTGAGGATTTCGATTTTGAGGAGTGTCTGCCTGTTCCTGAAGCCTCGGAAATGACTTTCAAGCTCGACGCACAGGGAGTTTACCAGGTGTATGAGACGGCGCAATCCGCGGAACTGGGCGAGCCCATCGTACACATTCCAGACATTCGAGAGTACTATATGGATCTTGACAGCATCCTCAGCATAGGATCTGATGGACCCAGCAAGTCATTTGCATATCGTCGCTTACAGTACCTGGAAGGAAAGTTCAATCTTTACGTGCTGCTGAATGAGTACCAAGAGATTGCAGATACAAAGGCTGTCCCTCACCGTGACTTCTACAACGTGCGCAAGGTTGACACACACGTACATCACTCTGCTTGCATGAACCAAAAACATCTACTGCGCTTCATCAAGAGCAAAATGAAGAAGTCACCCGACGAGGTGGTGCTTTTTAGGGACGGCAAATACCTCACACTCAAAGAGGTTTTCGAGAGCATCAACCTCACAGCGTACGACCTCAGCATCGATACGTTGGACATGCACGCGCATACGGATTCGTTCCATCGCTTCGACAAGTTCAATCTGAAGTACAATCCTGTTGGTGAAAGCAGACTGAGAACCATCTTCCTCAAGACCGACAATCACATCGCTGGCAGATACCTCGCGGAGATCACCAAAGAAGTGATGTCCGACTTGGAGAGCAGCAAATACCAGATGGTCGAGTGGCGCATCAGCATATACGGTCGGTCGCTTGACGAGTGGGACAAACTCGCCGCCTGGGTTGTTGACCACAAGCTGTACTCACCGAATGTTCGGTGGCTGATCCAAGTGCCAAGGCTTTACGACGTGTACAAGTCTAGCGGTCTGATGTCAAAGTACGAAGAGGTCGTGAGGAACGTGTTTCAGCCTCTATTCGAGGTCACGCAAGACCCCAGCAAGCACCCCAAACTTCACGTATTCTTGCAGAGAGTGATTGGATTCGATTCTGTCGACGACGAGAGCAAGAGTGAACGCCGCATCTATCGTAAGTTTCCACTGCCGAAAGACTGGGACACGAAGCAGAACCCGCCATACACCTACTGGATCTACTATCTCTTCGCCAACATCGCATCACTGAATGTCTGGCGGAAGCAGCGGGGCTTCAACACATTCGTACTGCGTCCACACTGTGGCGAGGCGGGCGACACGGATCATCTGGCGGCTGCCGTCCTGTGCTGCCACAGCATTAGCCACGGTCTGCTCCTGCGCAAGGTACCACTGCTACAGTACATTTTCTATCTGGAGCAGATTGGCGTCGCAATGAGTCCTCTGAGCAACAACGCCCTTTTCTTGGCTTACGAGCGCAATCCGTTCCTACAATACTTCAGACGAGGTCTGAATGTGAGTCTATCTACCGACGATCCCTTGCAATTCGCCTTCACAAAGGAGCCGCTCATTGAGGAGTATGCGGTTGCCGCGCAAATCTACAAGCTGTCTGCAGTGGACATGTGCGAGTTGGCGAAGGCGTCCTGTCTTCAATCCGGCTTCGAGCACACGATGAAACAGAGGTGGCTTGGTAACAACTATTACCTCCCTGGTGTTGCTGGAAATGACATGGCCAAAGTGAATGTACCCAACATTCGAGAAGCATTCCGGCACGAGACATGGTTGCAAGAGCTCTCAATGATTGATCGATATACGAACGCTCCAGCGAACAAGCGTCTATCGACAAACGCTCTGGCTTCAGGCCGACAAACTTCCACCACCTCGCTCGTGCCGCCTGGGAGTCCGACAGCAAGTATGAAGACCAATCCTTCTGCCACAAACCCAATGCACGGCGTGGACAGTTCCATTTCCCGCCCAGGAACCGGCCAACATCAGAATCCCGTGCAAGTGGCGACTCCTTCCGGTTACCAGAAGGCTCAAGCTGCGCGACTTCCCGCGCAGATGTCGCAACTTGAGCTCGCACAACACGACGGTGCCACGAGCAACCTCTCCCGCTCGCAAAACTTCCGCGAAGGGCCCCCCGTCGGTGGTCCCACATCCGCCTCCCCGAGCACCTACAACGACCCCAATGCCGTCTTTCCTCCTCTGCCGCAAGGCGCTTCCGAGGGGCAGCAAGCAGCGCCAGCGACGTCTCAAACGCTCACACCGACGATTGACAGCAAGCTGATCTACGCCGCGGAGCCCAGAATATTTCCTGGCGTCGTCAGCAGAAGGCGCAAATCGTCGATGGCGCGACCTTCCAGTCTGGCAATGACCAGTAGCGCACACGAGGAGGCGGGCAGCGAAGCGATGGAGAAGAGCACCGGTAGCCTCGTCGGATCCACGAGCGGAGCTGCTGACGAGACTTCTTCCTCGATGCGAGACTCTCTCCGGCTGGAAAAGAAGGATACCATTGAGGAGAGCGCCGCGGAGAGCGAGGAGGGTGTCGAGGAGAATTAACGCTCAACGGTTTGTTTCCTCGACGATGCTGGAGCTGAGCAGAGCAGAGCAGAGCAGAGCATCATGCAAAGACTGTTGCGAATGATTTTGGACGCCACAATGCTCCACCATAGAGACTGTTATTCGAAGGCAATGAAGGACGAACGATAAGATGGTGCGTAGAATGAATGCAAGGCACGCTGTCTGTCAAAATACTGAATGACCAACATAGACCCTATCTATAGACGTGGCATGAAATGGATCACGAAAGCGCAACATACATACAATGATAGCTCCTCCCGTCGTGTCCAGTGGAGGGAGAGCTTGCTCGCTTACCTACTTGTCCGGCTGATGACTCCACCAACCCCACTCGGTACATCACTGCGGCATGCAGTGGGCAGCTTGGGTGCATTTATCATTTTCGACTAAGCAGCTTCTCAGCAACAACGAAAATTCCGGAGTCGAACGAGAGGGGAAAAGAAGATCGGAAGGCGGTGGAGCAGATTCTGGATTTAAAAGAAAGAAAAAAAGTATACATCCCTTCACCCTTGGCAAAGCTTCATCCACCCACCACCCATCCCGTCGTCCCATTCCCACCCATCCCCATCTTGGCTGCTGCATTTCTCATTTCCAAAATGGCCACTCCAGATGTCCCGAACGGCAATGGCAGTCGTGACACCAACCAAAACACGGACCACGAGGGAATCATCGAAACGCCCTTTTTGATAGTCGGCGCCGGCCCGGCTGGAGCTTCCCTCGCCTGCTTCCTCGCCTCGCACAATCTGACGGGCATCATGCTCTCCGCCGCGTCGGGGACGGCCAAAGAACCCCGAGCGCACATCACCAACGCCGCGGCTCTGGAATGCCTGCGCGCCATCGGGCTGGAAGCAGAAGCCGTCCAACACGCCACGCCCCCGGAGAGCATGCAGCACACGCGCTGGTGTCGGTCCATGGCCGGGGAGGAATTCGCCCGCATCCACAGCTGGGGCAATCAGCCGGAGCGAAAGGGGGAATACGAAGCGGCGAGTCCGTGTCGGCATGTGGATTTGCCGCAGACGCTGTTGGAGCCGATTCTGGTGCAGGAGAGTCTGAGGAGAGGATGGAGTGTGAGGTTTGAGACGCAGTTTCGGAAGTATGAGAGGGCAGGAGATGGGAGCTATCTTTCCACGCTGCAGGATCTCCTGACGGGGCAGACGTATCGGATTCGCTCGAAGTATCTGTTTGGGTGCGATGGCGCGAGGAGTCAGATTATGAAACAGTTGGATTTGCCGCTGATTAGGGAGCCGGGACAGGGGATGTGTATCAATCTTCTGGTCGATGCGGATTTGAGCAAGCACATGAAGTATCGGAATGGGAATTTACACTGGATTTTTACCCCGGAGATTGAACATCCGCCGTGGGGATGGAGTACGATTCTGAGAATGGTCAAGCCGTGGCATGAATGGATGTTCATCATCTTTCCTGAACCGGGCTTTGATGACTTCCGAGTCAGACCGACACAGGAAGAGTATCTGGCGAGAGTCCGGGAATGGATTGGAGACGATGAGATCCCGGTGAAGGTATTGGATGTGGCGAAGTGGTACGTCAACGAGATTGTAGCGGAGAGATATTCCGAGGGGAACATCTTCTGCCTGGGGGACGCGGTGCACCGACATCCTCCGCTGAATGGATTGGGATCGAACACTTGCGTGCAAGACGCCTGGAATCTGGCGTGGAAAGTGGCATACGTCGAGCGAGGACTGGCGGACACGAGTCTGCTGGAGACTTTTTCCGCGGAGAGGCAGCCCATCGGCGCCGGAGTCATCAAGCGGGCCAACCAAGGCCTGAGGGACCACGTCCCTGTCTGGGATGCCCTCGGTGCGCTCCCGGGGGATGTGGAAGAACGGAGGAGGCAGCATGCAGAGCTCTCGGCGCCTACTGAAGCCGGTCGGGCGAGGCGAAAGCGGCTCACGGAGGCCGTGGCTTACACAGCACATGAATTCGGGGGCATTGGGATTGAGATGAACCAGCGTTATGATTCCGGAGCGATACACTTTGCGGACGAAAAAGAAGCCAGACGGCCACCGCCCCCCGACGATGTCCTGCAGTATCAGATCTCGACGTATCCGGGCTCTCGAGTACCGCACGCCTGGCTGAACAAACGGTCACCCGTCGAGCGGATCAGTACGATCGATCTGGTAGCTCACGGGGCATTCTGTCTGCTGACGGGTGTGGGGGGCGATGCGTGGAAGAGAGCGGCATTCGAGGCGACCAGATACATTGGCGTGCCTATCAAGGCGTACAGTATCGGTTGGAGGCAGGACTGGGAAGACGTATATGGCGATTGGGAGAGACGGAGGGAGATTGAGGAGGATGGATGTGTCCTCTTGAGGCCTGACCGGACGGTGTGCTGGAGAAGCATGACGATGCGAGATTCGTGTAACGCTGACTTGCTCCGAGTGCTGAAGACGGTGTTGGGGAGGGCCAAGGTATCTTGATTTCAGCCGGGTATACCCGAACCGGCTAGCAGCGGCCGAAGACATGTCCGGCGGGCTCACACCAACATGATGTTCTCTACTTCACTTCTTACGACACAACGCACCACAGCCACAGACTGACCGTGTGTGGTGACAACTCTTGGTGATATCAATCAATGTTGAGCAGGATAAGTACTGCGCGTCAATTCCTTCCACGTCTTCCGAGTCATCATCATCATCTGCGTCCTGCTATCTCCCCCCACTTGACGAGCTCAACAGCTATCCCGGCACCAACTCGCAGCATGAGCACCGCATTGAAGCCAGAGAACATCGAAGCGGAAGCGAAGCACCTTCTCAATGCCACCGATACCAAGATCAATGCCTGGGCTTCACCCGGTCCGACAGCTTTCGACTTCAGAAGTAAGACCATTCATCCCACTCCCCCCACACCCACAGATCACGAACTGACGTTGCGGCACGCTCAGGCGACACCATCACCACCCCGACGAGCCGCATGCTCCAAGCCATCTCTGCCACAACCCTCGCCGACGACGTGTTCCAAGAAGACCCCACCACCAATGCCTTCGAAACCCTCCTCTGCTCCCTCACGGGCAAGGAAGCCTCCCTCTTCGTCATGTCCGGCACCATGGGCAACCAAGTCGCCATCCGCACCCATCTCCAAGGCCCTCCTCACTCCGTGGTCACGGACCATCGAAGTCACATCCTCGAATGGGAAGCAGGAGGTGTCGCCTCCCTCTGTGGAGCTCTGGTGAAGGGAGTCCGGCCAGAGACGAATGGAAAATACATCACCCTAGAAGATATCATGGCGAATGTGGATCTGCGGGAGGACATACACGGTTGTCCGACCAAGTTGATTTCGCTGGAGAACACGCTGGCGGGGACGATTATGCCTCTCGAAGAGTGTAGGAGGATAAGCGCGTGGGCTCACAGGAAAGGTATCCTTATGCATCTGGATGGTGCGAGGTTATGGGAAGCTGTGGCTGCGGAAGCAGGGAGCCTGAAAGACTTCTGTGCGTGCTTCGATAGTGTGTCGTTGTGCTTTTCCAAAGGGCTGGGAGCACCGATTGGAAGCGCGATCATCGGATCGAAAGCTTTCCGGGAACGGGCGAGATGGGTGCGCAAGTCCATCGGTGGCGGTACCCGGCAACTAGGCGTTCTGACTGCCCCAGCGAGGATCGCGGTCGAGGACACCTTCTTAGGTGGGAAGTTGAAGGCTTCGCACGGTCGAGCACGGCAGGTAGAGGCGATCTGGGCCAAGTATGGCGGCAAGACAACCAACCCCGTAGAGACGAATATGGTGTGGTTTGATCTTCAAGCCGCGGGGATCACGCCGGAAAAGTTCATCGAGGAGGGACAGAAGGTAGGCTTGAGGCTGCTCGGTGGGAGGCTGGTGGTGCATTACCAGATTGGCGAGGAGGCATTGGAGAGGGTCGAGAAGCTGGCTCGGGCGGTGTTGCAGGAGGAGAAGCAGTTGATGAAGGGTTCCGTCGAGCATTCGGTGGAGAAGATGAAGATCACGACGGAATGATAGACGCGATTCAGAAGGTACACAATAGATTAGAATCGTGCTCCTACTCGAGGCTCTACTGCGGATTGTCTCCGTCCAACAAGATCTATCTAGGTGGAAGGTATCCTAGTTTGAGGCTGGCTTTTGGTTCCGCGGCCGGTGCGATGAGACATAGCAGGGATCTCGAGTGGATCCTGCTTAGCAGATGGATGCGATCGCAGGATACCTTACCTACGACTGCAGTGCTGTGTCCTTAAACCAAGCGTCAAATCTCGTATCGGCCTTGTGGTAGCCGCCCGCCCTGCCTGAAAATTGAAACGCCCGCCGCTCTGCTGTCGGATGGCTGTGCAAATTGCGACATGTTCTCCTGCGTCGTCGTCAAGTGGCTCGCTGGTCATACATCTACGGGACGAAGTCTCGCCACGTTCACTCATCATCGCTCGCCAGGAGGTACTACCCGCCCAGCCTTCCTCTTACCGAAGATCTAGAGGAATATCGGCCGGGAGGCTTCCGCCCGGTGCACGTCGGCGATGTCTTCCAGGAAAGGTTCAAAGTACTCCAGAAGCTCGGTTCGGGTGGCTTCTCGACAACTTGGCTAGCGCGCGACAATGTGGATAGACAGTATGTGGCCCTCAAGATTCTCAAGGCGGAAGAGACTACATCGGATGCTGAGCTTCGAATGCTACAAAGCATTGCTGGGGTCACTAGCGATCATCCAGGTCGCCAACATATCCGTTTGTCTCTTGATAACTTCTTGATAGAAGGGCCGAATGGTTGCCACAGCTGTCTTGTCACCGACATTGCTGGTCCCGAGCTTGAACGATTTATACAATGTGCCGGGAATGGGGTATGCCGCTGGAGCACGCAGGCTTCGTGCTGAACTGGTCAAAAGAGTCAATGCGCAGGTTGTTGAAGCGGTTGAGTTCCTGCACGATAATGGTATCGTCCATGGAGGTGAGCACTCGAGTTGAACAAAGGCCGGTTACGTTCTTCTACTTACCATCTATCGATCTCACTTTATCTGACCTGCTCCTGAAAGTCAAGTCCATCGACCAATGGACAGAGGAAGAGGTGTACCGACAGTTGGGCGATCCTGTCAAAGAAGAAGTTCGGACCACTTCAGAAGCAGAACCAGGAATGTCTGCCCCTCGATATATTGTTGGTCCTACTAGCATTCCGCCTACGGATTTCCGTACCAGTGATATCTATCTCGTTGATTTTGGAGAATCATTCCGGGGCGAAGAACCTCCACGAATCGAGAACATTGGCCTACCGTTCATGTACCGTGCACCAGAGACAATCTTTACGCCTCAGTATAATCAGAACTCCGAGATCTGGGCACTCGCTTGCCTTCTATTCGAAATCAGAGCGGGCAATCCTTTCTTTACCAGCATCATGGGCGGAGCGGACGAGATTCTCCAGCAGATGGTGCAACAGAAAGGCAAGCTTCCGGAGCCGTGGTGGCATTAGTGGGACAAGAGAAAGCTGTGCTTTGACGATGATGGCAAGCCTCTCAAGGACTGGCCCAATGGCAAAGTATTAGCGGTGCAATACCCGCTGGAAGAGATGATGGGAGATATTGGCAGTGAAGACGATGATACGGCCGTCTCATTAGGACTAGCTGTCGAGACGCTCGAGCCAAGCTGGACGAAAGTGCCCGCTGACGAAGCAGTAGCTATGAAGGATCTCCTTGATGGCATGCTACAGTGGGCACCAAGCAAACGACTGTCCATTAAAGAAGTAAGGAAGCATCGTTGGATCTCAGGATGCTAGGACACCTACCTTACTGTTAAGTCTGTGACTTAATGATCTCATAATGTACAAGGATCACTTGTACAAGGCTCAATCGGTATTAGGCTCGTTAGTAGAGAGGTCTGGTAGAGGAAGAGTGAAGCGATAGAGTAATATAGTAACTTAAAGGGTTTATATTCTAAGTAGTGAGATGCTATAGTAAGTTAAACATATCGAAAGCTAGAGGCTTTCTTAGTGTTCCTATATACTTCTATCTATAGCGGGTAAACTAATTAAACTAATTACTAAGCAAACTAATTAAACTAATTACTAAGCAGACTAATTAAACTGATTACTAAGTAGACTGATTATACTAATCACTCCCTTACTAACTACCTAGTTAGTACTCTACTATATCTACCTTAATTAGTCGTAGCTATAAGTAATAGTCTAATTAACTCGTAATACTATCCCCCTTCTAGCCTAGCTTCGTCCCGAAGCTTCCGTAGTTATAACGAGTATAACGTCCCTTGTCTTCCGCGAGGTAACGATGTCTTCTTCTTCCTCTACTCGTCGAAAGAAACTCGCTACGGAAACCGAAGTAAGCGGTATCGAAATAGCTCCTTGTTTAAACTATAGAAAAGTCCGGTACCCTCTTCCCGATCGTCCTAAGTATATCGTAGGTCCGCGATCCGGTAAGTGTTCTAAGTATATCCGGAAAGGGTATAAGGACTACGACGTACGCGTCTCCCGTCCTTAGTAGGAAAAGCTCCGCGATACTAGGGAGAAGCTTCGTCTAGAGATCGAGAAGATCGAGAAGGAGGAGATAAAGTTAAAAGTACGTAAGGTACGGCTAAGGAAACAACTACGCGTCGCCGAGCGTCGAACGGATACTACGGTAGCCGAAGAGTTAGACGAGTTAGAGGAGGCCGAGGCGGTCGAAGCCCGCTTCCTCTCTATCGAGGACTCGTCTAGCGTAGAGGTTGTCGAGCTAACCGAGTATCGCGAGATTCTCGAGATGCCTCCTAACGACTAGGCGCTTATTAGTAGTTGTTCCGATTTCTTTTAGGATCCGTATAGTAGAATTGCCGGAGAAGTTAGTAGTAGTTCGTAAGGTTGCTTTCTAGTTCCTAGGTATTTTCTAATTCGTCGTATCCTTTCTATTTAATAAGGTATCGCTAACCCTTCTTCTTTAGGATTTTCTCGACTTCGAATTCGTTTTCTTCTTCTAGTATATATAAAAATGTTTCCTAGTAAGGTGTCTCGGCGTCGGCTAGTTCTAAAAGAGAGATATAGAACACGGGATAAATCTTCGTATCTACCGGTAATTTAAGTCGGTAGTTTACTAGTCCTCGGGCTTCTTTAACTAAAAATAGCCCGACTTTAACGTAGTCTAGTTTCTTCGTTAGTTTCCGACTTCTTAAGTTCTTAGTAAGGAGGTAGACCTTATCCCCCTTCTTTAGCTAAGGCGCTATTTTTCTTTTCTTGTTATATAGCCCTAAAATCCGGTCCTAAGTGTCTTAGATTACGGATTGTAACTAGTTATACACCCGTTTTAGGTCTTCTAAAGCGATTATTGCCTTTTCCGTATTAGGGTATAGTCTTATTTAGTCTTATTATAATCTAAACGTCTTCGGATTCTTCCTAAAGTTAGTAAAGAATAGTATATATCTAGTAGTTTCGGAACGATAGTTGTTTAGTACAAGCTACGCTATTAGTAAGAGTGTTACCTAATTGTCTTATATAGTATTTATATAGTGTCGAAGGTATTGTTCTAGTGTTTGGTTCGTTCTTTCTGTCTAGCCGTCTGTCTATAGGTAATAGGCTATAGACAGCTTATAGCGTATCCCGATTGTTACTATAAGTGTTTTCTAGTAGTTCGAAGTAAATAGCTTGTCTCTATCTATAATAAACACTTCTAGGATGCCGTAGTATCGTACTAGTCTGTCTAGTATAAGGTATCCGAGTTGCTCTACGCTAGCCTTTTCCGTTATAGGAATAAAGTATATATATTTCGTTAGTCGATCTACTATAACTAAGATTATGTCGTAGGTGACTCCGTTAACCTTGTCCTTCGAGGGTAGTAGTTTAACGATAAAGTCTATTATAACTTCGTCCTATAGTTAAGTAGGTAGAGTTCTAAACTAGATATGTCCGTATTTAGCGTGTCTCGAGGCCTTGTTCTAATTATATATTACGTACTTCTTAATATATACTACGATTCGGTACCTTATATATAGAAAGCTAAAACTTCGCTAGACTAGTTCTATTGTCTTCGTAACTCCTAGATGTCCGTACTCTAGGTTATCGTAATATTGTCGAATACATTCTTCCTCGCGATCCTTTAGTACCTAATATTTCCCTTATTAGATTAGGAATTGTTCTTCGTTGTCTTAAAGAACCTAGATAATATTATTAAATTCCTTCGTATTAGCGCTTAGACTCCCGTCTTAGTTTGTTCTAAGTATGTTATACTACACTTGTTCCTTTCCTTCTATATAGTCGCTACGTCGGCTTAGTACGTCGGCCCGACTATTGTCGCGTCCTAGGGTATAACGGATATCGAACTTGTACTAACCGAGCAGTTCCGACTAGCGGACCTACCTACGTATTAGCGACTTTGTCGTAGTAAAGTAGGTAAGATTCTTATAATTAGAAAGAATCGTTAGTCCTAGTACTCCTTCCGCGTAGACTCTCTAGTACTATAATACTATAACGATTGTAAGTAGCTCCTTATTATAGATGTCGTAGTTCTCTTCTATAGGCGTTATCTTTCTTAAGTAGTAGGCTACTAGGTGTCGCTTCCTATTATGCTCCTATATAAGGCATACTCCTATAGCTATGTCTAATATATCGGTTTCGATCTATACGGGCTTCGTCCTATCGAACAGTCGTAATGTTAGTACTAAAGCGTATTGTTCTTTTAGTCTCTCGAATGCTTGTCGTTGTCGTGTACTCTATTCCTATTTCTTGTCCTTTTAGGTAAGCTCCGTAAGAGGTTTCGCCGTCTTCGAGTAATCCTAGATAAACTTTCTATTATAGTTCGCTAGGCCTAAGAACGATTGTACGTCCTTAACGTTCTATAGTTGTAGCTATTCTTCGATAGACTTAGTCTTCTTTAGATCGATTCGGATTCCTTACGTACTAATAATAAATCCTAGGAATTTAACTTCCTTCTTATAGAACTCGCATTTCTTAGGCGCTGTCTTAAAGTCGGTAGCGCTAAGTCGTTTAAATACTTCCTAGACTTGTAATACGTACTTTTGTAGTAAACCTTTCGTATAGACTAGAATGTCGTCTACGTAGTATATAACGTAAACGTCGAGGAGGTCTCGGAGCGTTTCGTTAATAAGGTCCTATTATAATATAGGTACGTTCGTAAGTCCTATAGGCATAACGAGGAACTCGTACAGTCCGTATCTCGTTCTAAATACGGTTTTCTACTCTTCTCCGGGTACTATTCTAATCGAGAAGAACGCTTCCCGTAGGTCGATCTTCGTAAACTAGTCTACTCTAGTAAGGCGGTCTTATACTTCTTCGATACTAGGTAATAGATACCTGTTCTTAATTGTAACTTTATTTAGTCTCCGATAATCGACAACTAGTCGTAGTTTGTCGGTTCCTACTTTTAGTACGAAGAGAATTAGAGATCCTACGCTTAAAGTAGATTTCCGGATCTATCCCTTCGCTAGTTTCTCCTTTAGCTATTAATTAAGGGATTTTAGCTCTTTTTCTAATAGCGGATAGATAGGTCCCTATAGAGGCTACTTCCCTAGCTAAATATTAATCTTATAATCCTATAGTCTATACTTAGGTAGGGCGTCTTTCCCTTCCTCTTCCTAAAAGAGTCTCTTATACCTACTATACTCTTTAGGGATATTAGGTAGTATACGAATTCTACTACTACTCGTAACTTCTTAGCTCTTCTAACTCTAGTTAGTACCTATCTAAGTTAGTTCTAGTCTCTAGATTCTAGTCGTTATAAACTATATTATACTAAGTTATCTTAACTTATCTACTAGTAAACGCTACTACTACGTAGAGTAGATATCGATCGTATAATTATATTACTTAAATCTAAGTACTTCTCTTTTCTAATCGATTAATAGATTATACTTTCTTAACTAAGGTATTCCGAGTACGATATTATAAGTAGCTATCTTAGTAACGTCGGACGTTAGTTCCTCGTAGTACTATTAGATTACTAGTAGTAATAGTATTATCTCTCGTTCTATACTCGGTAGAGGTAATCTATCTACTATAACGAGTTTATACTCTCTATCTTTCTTCCTTTAGATTACGATCCCGAATTCTTTTATAAATAATTTAGAGGCAAATGTCCCGCTAGTACCTAAATTAACTAGCGTATACGTTTTATAGCTATCGATAATAATCTCTATATAGAAAACTACTATTAATACTTAAGTATTTATTACGATATTAAACTCTCTTTAGTCGCTTATTCCTAGAGAGTTAATCCTTTTCCTAAGTAGCGTTATTCGAGCTACTATCGGATCTTTCTTCTCGTTTTATAGAGGTCCTTAGCTATCTATTACTTAGCTAGTAATTCGTTATATACCTAGCGATTTTGTACGTATTATACCTAGGCGAATACTTCTATATAGCGTCGTATCTAGGCCTATATTTCTTAGGTAACGACTTCGTTATTTAGTATAAGATACCTATAGAGTATTATAATACTTCTAATTAGGGGTTTCTTCTAGATAATTTGTCTAAAGTCTTCCTCTACCTCTATTTATAGGTACTTCTAGGTAAGAAAACGTATTCTAGAAAGTATATTATTAAATTAGATAGAGTTAAGGTATCGTTTTCCTTTAATCTTTAGAAACACTTCCTTATTACTTCGCGCGATTGCGATTACGAGTTCCTATACTTGTCTTAGAGCGTCTACTATAAAGGTTATAATTTCTCTATTATTATCTTCCTTTATAATATCGCTTTCTTTCGAGAATTCTAGTATCTCTAGTTCTTCTAGAAGCTAAGGTAGCTATTCGTTACCTTCTTTCTTACTATCTTATTCTTCCTTAGGCGTTAGATTTTCCTTATTAGACTCTTTCTCGCTAACTAGTATAAGTAGCTCGAGTCTACGTAGCTTCTCTAGTATAGGTAGAAGTTAGTATCTATTAGTCCTTTCTTCTTCGTTATTAGGCTATAGATCCTATATAGGTAATAGTAGTCGTTATAGCTAGTATCCTACTTCTATCTTCGAGAAATAATATTCTTAGTATAAGTTATCGTAATAGTATCTCTAATAAAGAGTACTATACTTTTCCTTATAACGTACTATTACTCTAAAGAGTTAGGGTTCCTTTTTCTTATCGAGAGTAGGTATATTATATACTTCTTGTCCCTACCTATATAACCTAATAATAGAGGGTCGGATTGTTAGCTTACGGACTATATATAGGTCCGTGTACTTAGGGTTAGCTTACTCTAGACAGCCGGATTATTAGCGTCGGATTGTTAGCTTAGAGTTAGGGTTAGAACGCTTAGGGTTAGGGTTAATAGGTATAGGGTTAGTCGGATTATTAGCTTAGGGTTAGGGTTAGAACGCTTAGAGTTAGGGTTAATAGGTATTACTCTTATCTTAAATAAACCGAATAGTCGCTACTATATCTCGCTTTAACCGACTAGGCTCTCCTATAGCTAAACCTACTTATTAGCCGATAGACTCGGTTATAATACTGTCCGTAGCTATATCTTAGTACGAATAGCTAGAATTGCGACGCTAAGAATAGATATATCTAAACTTTAACTAGCTAAACCTACTTATTAGCCGATAGACTCGGTTACGATACTATCTATAGCTATACCTTAGTATAAATAGCTAGAATTGCGATACTAAGAATAGATATATCTAAACTTCGACTAGCTAAACCTACTTATTAGCCGATAGACTCGGTTACGATACTATCTATAGCTATACCTCGGTACGAATAGCTAGAATTACGACGCTAAGAATAGACATGTCTAAACTTCGACTACGACTACGTAACCTAATAGTCTATCTTTCTCTCGGCCGACCGAGTAGACAATCCTATTATTTAAACTTCTTTATTAGCGGATAGACTAGGTTACATTTACGTAGGTAGCTATACCTCGGTATATTAAGCTAGGATCGCGAAGCTAAGAACGGATATATCTAAACTCCCTAGCGCTATTATACCCCGTAACTATACCGCTATTTCTATCCCTTGTCTTTATACGTTAAATATATCTACTAGCGGGCGGAGTTCCCCTAGAACTTCGTTAATTAGACATCCTCGAGGGTATTTAAAGCTATTAAGTCTATAACTTAATAATCTTATAATATATAAGGATTACTTATATAAGGCTTAATCGGTATTAGGCTCGTTAGTAGAGAGGTCTAGTAGAGGAAGAGTAAAGCGATAGAGTAATATAGTAACTTAAAGGGTTTATATTCTAAGCAGTAAGATACTATAGTAAGTTAAATATATCGAAAGCTAGAGGCATTCTTAGTGTTCCTATATAGATTTCTAGTTCGACTAACTTGTCCTACCTACTAGCTAGAAACTAGCTATCCGACTAGAGCTATAGTCGAACGGTCGAACTTATTACGTAGTCCTCCTCGTAGAGTTCGACTACTAGCTCCTCCCGTTAGTCGAACACGTAATACGTAACGTGCCTCGCTATACGCGTAAGGTCTCTCTTCTATTTTACTAGCTAGGAATTCTCGAAGTAGCCTCGCTCCTACTTCGATCCGTAATACTACTACTAAGACTAAGGCTCTACTAACTAGATAATAGAGCCTTATAGTATCTTAGGTACCTACTATATCGATAGCGTGCCTACTATAGTTAGATCTACGCTATCTTCCTTTATTAGATTCTTAAGAAACGCCTTTAAATTACGATTATTTAGCGCTACTATAATCGAGGTAGTATTAGTGTCTACTACTAGCTTAATAAGCTAGATTCGGTTCTTTATAGTTAATTTACTTAGCGGCTTAAAGTTTAATACCCTATTAACGGCCCTAGTAACTACGTTATCTAGCGTCTTATTTCTACCTATACGTAGCTTAGAACCTAATCGGATTATAGGTATACTAAGACTCTCGATCGCCTTTATAGTCGGATTAATACGGTAGTTACGATAGTCCGGATTCGTATACGCTACTCTCTTTAACGATAGTATCGACTAAGCTCTTAATAGCGCTATTAATAGCGCTCTTAATAGAGCCGTTAATAGTACTCTCGAAGGCGTTTTTAAAGACGCTCGAGGCGCTAGAATAGGTTCTAATTCGTCCGGCTATACTATATTACTAGTAAGTAGCCGTAGCTCGCTACCTTCTTCGTTACCTTTATTATCCGCTTCTTCGCTATCGACTATACCTACTTCTACTACCTTATTTTCTTCGCCGAGCTCTATAGGCCTATAAATAGCCGTTCTAGTAGCTAGCTTATACTTAAAGAGTACCGCTAGCTAGTCGTAATACTCTAGTAGCTTATTACGGAACTACGTACGTAATAGATAGGCCTTATAATAGTCGTCTTCTATCTTAGATTTAGCTATAGGTAGTATACTAGCCTAGCCGCTTATATACTCGTAATAGTAAGCTATCTACTACTTCTACGGTACGTAAAAGGCGTTATATTTGTTCTTATACTAACCCTATAGAATCTCCTTATCGAATTACTCTAATAGTATAGCTACTACCTTTTTAAAGATATCTTTTAAGAACGACGTAACGTCGCTTTACTTTACTATACGCTTAATTAGCTCCTCTAGTAAACTCTCTACTATTTCAGTCGTCTAGTATAGTACCTTTACGCGCTTCTTCGTAGCCGGCTCCTTCCGCTTCTCTAATACGCTATAAGCGTAATCCCTCTTTAATCTCTTAATAGTAGGCGTACTTACTACGTTTTCGATACGAAAAGGCGGCATTTTAGTAGTAAATAGTCGAAAAGATAGCAATTATAAGGTATATAGAGAGAGCGATATAGGTAACTAAGGTTAATATATATACTAAGGAGCTAAAATCTATTTATAGCTTCAAATCGACGCTCTACTAAATACTCAAAATCGCTAGGGAGTCGATAATCGGTCTGAATTCGAAAATCGCGGCCGATTTCGTAAAACGCTAACGGAGTATTCAGAGCCTGAAAGGTACACGCATACCGTCGGCTCGTGTCACTGAGGTGAAGTCTGGCCCGCATGTCGGCCAATCACATGCGCGCTGCGGATACGCCCTCGGCCTTCCTGCATGACCCCGGCTCCGAGAGATCCGCTCCGGCCTACCAGCGTGCGGCGTATGCTATCAGTGCGCAAAGTCCGACCTGCCGACGCGTCCGTTATCCCCATCATCCCGTCCAAGGCCGCCACAAACGGACATATGCAAGACTGATCCCCAGCGCGGCGTTCTGGGGTACGATGAGATTCGTCGAGACCAATGTCCATGTAGGCATCTATAAGTATACTCCCCGTCCCGTCTTTGTCAGAGAGCTCAGATCACAGGACGTCACAGCCCAACAAACAACTTAAGTCAACCACTACCACTCTACAAACCTGGACCCCCTACATCCACCATGAACTTCACCAAGCTCAGCAGTCGACGAAAGTCAGACTCGAGCTCACTCAGCACTCAATCATCCACCTCGTCAATCGATCTGACCCTGGCGTCGACCACACTACCTCTTGCTCCTCGCGAAGACGACTACAACATGTCTGAGGAGACACGTCAGAAGACCTTGTTGGCCAAGTGCAAGCGTGCCAACAAAGAGCCATGGAAGAGTGCAAAGGCCCTGCCATCTCGTGATTGAATGGCCCGGCTTTTCCCACAGCATGACGGCTGAACATCACTTTCAACGACAAAACAGTCGGAAAGCAACACAAAGACTTCATTGCATCCAAGGACACATCGAAACATCCACAACGGTTTGCACCAGAGTACCTCAGCAGCATTGGCGTAAAGCATGCGTGAGTAGAAGGACTCGGTTGGGAGGCACGCAGCACACGGTGCGGGAGCATGGCGGAATGAGTCCATATTCGGGCAAAAGATAACGCGAGAGTGTTGGAGGAGTGTCACGACGAGGGCGGTGTGTGACGCAACGGGGAACGAGTGGTTGGTAATGGAGGTTAGGTGCTAGGGTGGACTATTAATCATGAGCATAGCTGCGAATGAATGCATCATACTGAGCTGCCTCGTTTCCCTTTCATTCTTTTCGAATCTGGCTCACAAGAATGTCGAAGCCGATGACGAATCTGCCTCCAGTTTGGCAAAATTGCTTGTAGTGCACGATGTTCCTGATATAGAAATCTCGACTGCAGATCAGCGAAGACGGACTTGCTTCCGTTGCTGACTGAGCAGCCAAGACCCATGTGGAGTCTCGATGGATCCCGGGCTCGCCTACGCGTGGTAACGACGACAATGGAGAGCGCCCGGCAAAACGAAGACGAAAGAGTCGCTGCGATGGCGAGATTTCTTGCGAGCTGTGTATCCAGCTAGCAAGGCTGAGAGTGCCTGTTTTCCTCCGCCCCGCCACTCTCGAAGACGGATCTGCTGCGGCTCGGATTCCCGTCCATGGTAGAGAGCTGGAGCCTTCAAGAGTCGTGTGGAAGGAATCCGAAAGAGTATCGACATCTTCCGACTCTTCGTCTCGCATCCGCTCTATCGAGCAATGCTAGCCACTTCACATTCTCGAGGGGTAATATCTGTCTCGAATACCGAAGCACAGCAGATCTCAGCTTTCTTCGTGAATTGCAGCCACCTTCGTCCGTACATCCATAAAGGCCGCTTTTCTGGATTCGTACGAAGAGAGAGGTTGCGTCGATCGAACTACACAAGAGTCCGTCGAAGAAGCTGGCTTGCGCTCTTTTCAGATCATGGTGCGCCGTGGCTTCATCATCATCATGACCTGGCCTGGCCTGGCCATACTGTGCCGCAACAAGGCCATCTAATAAGCTCTCGAGGAGGCAAGACTGCCATACCGTACGTGTCAGGTAAGATGATGCTGCTCAGTTGTCTCTGTCTTAATGCCGACCATACACACAACAATCTACCCGTGTCGATCGTCAAGTATGCTTTTGAAGAATCGATTACCAGGTACTGCGTCTCCGCAGTACAGGATCGGCATGTACGGGATGGTGAGGCTGCCGGATAGTTCGTATATCGCGTTTCGCAGTTCGGCTGGTAGGCTCAAGGAAGCTCGTTGGTGGCTTTTCTTCCATCTGTGCTGCTGATGGGCGCGAGCATTCTTGCTGCGTGGGTACTCTGGAAGCAGATACTGTTCGAGCAAAAAGATATGAGCTTTTAGATGTATTGCTGAGTCACGGGCGAATCATCCTATCCTGTCCAGAGTCACAGAGAGGACTTTGCGAATCATAGCGAGGATGTGCTGCCAAACGATTTGTAGGCCGCGGGAGCCTGGCACTGTAACGTCGGGCAGGCGGTATGGTGTGCACTTTTCGCCTCTCAATCGATAGTCATTCGCTAACGTGTTTCTCTTGTAGGAGACGACAATCCGGTCTTTTACGCAGCATACGTATTCTTCGAAAAGGGAATCGCCTCAAAGAAGGAAAGAAGAAATCCGCCAAGCGCCATGTAATGAAGATTTTTCTATGCGATGAATGTCCGTGGTGGTGGTGGTGGTGGTGGTGGTGGATTCTCACGGAGAAGACGTCGGCAAAAGACACTTAGACCTCTTGCAAAGGAGATGAGAGGGCGCATGTGGACCAGTATGGCAAGGTGCACTTCACAGCCCCCGGGAAAGCCGCGGATGTAGCGAGATTCGGATTCGGATGGCTGCTTGTAAGATCGACTACGTAGAAGGTGATGATTTGGTGATGCAGGTATCATAAGGCTTCGCTTCCAAGCGAACCTCCGTCATGTCACATGTGCCGTCTGATGCGCATGTGAAAGTGGATCCTTGACCAAGGCAGGCAGACACCTCAGCAATTCAGGGCCGCTGACCCGATTCACCCTGGAACCGTTGGAGTGCTAGATATTGGCTGAATATGATCATGAATGAATCTGCTTTGCGGAATGTTACTCCAAATGATTGGCCCCAAGCCATTCCATCATCACTTGGGGAACAGTCTGGCGGTAGCAAGCCAGGGTCCCTATCTCCGCTTCTTGCTCTTTCCCATCCAAGCATTGACAAAGCCGATCTTCTCCTCAATGCCCAAGCCGAGCGTCTTTGCCCGGCCAAGTCTAGAAAGTGACTCCGCGATCAGATCCAAAGATCTTCTCTCCGCTGGCTTTAGTCCCTCTGCATCGTCACTTTCACTGGATTGAAAGCTGTCGAAAAAGTTAGTGTCGTACTTCTTGGGAGGTTCGCGACCTCGGGAAGCTTCCCTGCCGACTTCTTGCTCAGCTGCCTTATGTTGCTGCGCCAGGGTCATCGGAAGGCCAACTCGCACTCGGATACAGTGCGTCTGTCGCGAGCAGAGCTTCCAGATGAATCTCAGAGCTTCCATCCAGCCTGGAATAGGAGTAACAACGTCTGCTGGCGTGTAGCGCAGGGAGACTGGATAGATGCTCGTGGACTTTGGTGCAGACAGAAGGGATGGCGACAAGTGAAGCACACCGCGGCCATTACTCGTAGTGCTTTCTGGGAAGACCACAATGACTCTTTGCGGGTTCTGAGCTACGAGCTGAGAGAGCTCAATCGTTTGCTCTGGAGATGTCGTGAGGGAGAAGCAAGCAGCCAAGGCTCCCTCTAGCGACAGCGGCCGAACTTTGCGAGAGCCTTGATAGCTCTGGGTGAATATAGGATCGAAAATGGCGGCTAGGTAGAGGACGTCCAGAGGCGAGGTATACGAAGATGCTATGATCGTTCCAGGCCCTGGTAGTCGCATTGAGCCTCCCTTTCCCAAGGACCTGATGCCTCTATCAGCAAGTGGTAAGATTTGGTGAGGTGCAGGGAGAGCACACCCTCGCTGCACACCGTCAACTCTAATATCGATCCACCAGACACCTGGAATGCCGAGGATGCACCACAGATTGGCTTTGCGAAGGAGACTGCCTGCTGTCGTCCACTGGATGATTAGGAGCCAAACCGCCCAGGCGAAGATGAGCAGCGGTATTCGAAGGCAGAAGAGGAGCTGCGAGCAGCATGTTGGTCAGCCTGTCGTCGCGACTCCATGGGTGTGATGCTTGTTTGTCCAACGCACAAGGTGATATGGAGCCAAGACCAAATTGCTCGGAGGCGGAGCTATAGGAAAGAAAGGCGCAATGCCAGAGCCTGCGTGCAAGAGGTGTCAGTATAATTAGATGCAGCTCCTCGCCGTTTGAGTTTGGGGTAGGAAAGTACCTTTATCCCTGTACTGGCCGTACTTCTCCATCGTTCAAAAGGCCGTGCAGTAGACCATGCGATGTGCGATGTAGATTGTGTGGGAGCAGAGTCGGAAGCAATCGAGAGAAAGCTGTCGTGTGCGCAGCAGGCAGCTGGGAAGCACACATAAGGGCAGATGGCTAAGCGGCGATCGAAGGCACGAAAAAGTACCGTGAGCGTGTCTTGTGAAAGCGTCCGGGATGCCCTAGCCGTTCTCACATGCAAGAGGAACGGGCGAATGGGAGGAGGGAAGTTCAAGCGGCAGTCCACAGAGTGACGTGGTTTCACTCGTTCCCATATGGAATAGGAGGGACTGGCACGCTAGCGGGGAGGGCCGTCCCTCGTCTCCCCGCGATGCCGTCGATGTTTACGCTTCGGAGGTTCGCGTCAACATTGACCACGACTCTGCTCGTATCGCATAGCAACGACTCTCTATCGCACTTTCGTGGACGACGGCAACGGCGATGGTGTTGGCCACTCTCAGTCGGCATTGACCAACACGTCTTCGGCTCACGTGCGCTCCTACCGAGCAACATGGATCGGCCTCCATCGCAGATGGAGAACGTCAGGCCATCAGGCTTGAAGCCGCCCTCCAAGTTGCCCGCACTGGCTGGGACTCGCACGTTACAAGAGACGAGCTCGAGCGACCTCAATGCGAGAAGTGCTGGACAAGGAAGCATGTTGCCGCCGCCGACAGTCAATGGCTCCATCAAACACAAGATCAACGGACGTAAGATTCACAGGAAACGGATGTGCCGAGACAAGGGTGAAGACTGATGCAGCAACTATCGCAGTACCGGAACCGCCTACGAAGCGTAAGACGCTCGCTGAGCGCGCCGGAGAACCCGCGAATGCCCTGCGAACACACCTTAAGCAGCCAAGCTCTGGCAGCACGACTGGTTTCGGCACGCGACCTGCTACCAGCTTTTCGACCTACCGAAACCCCTCCAATGTCTCCATCGCCAGTTCAGCTAGCAGTCTCCGTCCATCCAGCAGACATGCAACTGTTTCACGCCCAGGCGGTCCCGTTCGACAACCCAGCGCAGTTCCATCAGCCCAGCCAAATCAAGATGACGAGGAGTCAGATGGAGAAGGAGGCAAGCGAAAAGGTACACCCATCTTGTCCTTTAACAGCCCCGTTACTGGCATTGTCGTGCGCAAGACCCGCGCGCAAGGCACTTTGCGCCAACAATCGTCTCAACAACAATTGCGAGCTAGATCTCAACATTCTGGCTCTTCTTCGAGCGCGTCCGGCGGCGATGGTGCAATTTTCGACCATCCACCCCGGGACAGCTCGCTTTCCTCTACATCTTCAGCACCCGCACCTGCACCTGCATCAGCACCAGAGCAACGAAGCACTTCAGGAGGGACTGTCGGTGCCAGCAAACCCTCCCGTAATGTATCCCTTAACACAGCCTTTGCTGGACTCGCAATCTCATCAAAACCGCGAGATTCCTCGGGCAAACACACACCGTCCCTTGAGCGCATCAGAGAAGAAAAATCCCCTTCAAAGATCCCCAAATTCTCTTGCACGCCCAAACTACCTCACCCTGCACAGTCTACACAAGCCCTGAGAACCCCCTCCCCTCTCAAACATAAACCTTCTTTGACAGGTCTTCGGACGCCAGCCACAAGTGCAAAGCGCGGAGACGTTGACATGCCGAGATATTTGACGAAAGACAAGCTAAGCCCTGTCGCAGCATGGGACACCAAAGGTCGACTCGACGACATCGAGAAGATGTACAAGATGCTCGAATCGCAGATGGCGTCTGCCGCCGGTGACAAGAAAGCCATTGACGAGTCGCTATCGATTTACAAGACCCGAGTCGAAGAGCTCACCCGTGACAACCGCGAGATATCGTCCCAGAACCGCAGTCTGACGAGCGATCTCGAGCGAGCACGTAACGACCTCCACACGATCTCGACTGACCTTCGACAAGCGCGACGAGACCACGAGCGAGATTTGGCGGAACTGAAGAGGCAACATGAGAGAGAGCTTGAGAACTTGCAAGCTAAGCACGAGAAAGAACGACAGCGGTTGGAACGGGAGCGTGAAAAAGAAAGCGATTCGTTTGACCGGAAGCTCCTAGAGGCGAAAAAGGCGTGGGAGAAGGCAAAGGATGATGAAACGGCCGACTTGACTTCGCAGCACTGGGAAGAGATGGACCAGCTTCGCGGCGAGCACGAGAGGGCAATGGCGAAGGTGCAAAAGGAGCTAGAGTTGTTACAAAAAGCCGGCCAGAGCAGAGCGACCGAAACAGCTGCTGAGGTACAGTTGATGAGAGATAGCATCTCCGGTCTGCAGAAACAACTTGACTCCACCAACTCAACCGCTGAGAGCCTCCGGAACCGTATAACCACATACGAGTCACGGATATCGTCCCTGGAGCAGGAGAAGAACTCCCTAGTCTCGAAAGCCCACTTCCTGGAAGGCAACCAGGAGGCTCAGAGCCAAGAGTTCACCGTCATGCGTGATAAAATGGAGGAAGCAATTGCTGCCAAAGAAGCAACATTGGAGACCCTCCGCAGAGAGGAGATGCTGCGGAGGAAGCTCAACGCCATGATTCTGGAGCTCAGGGGCAACATCCGCGTCTTCGTGCGGACACGGCCGCTCCTCAATGGTGAGGACAATCAAGCCAAGGTAGAGTACATCGATCAAGACTCGCTCGAGGGCTGTAAGGAAATGGTCGTGCACGCACCTACCACGCAAACTGCAACAGGCAAGCAGAAAAACGAGAAGCACCAATACGGATTCGACCGGGTCTTCACTCCCGGTACAGACAATAGTGCGGTGTTTGAAGAATGCCGAGACCTGATACAATCTGTCGTGGACGGCTACAATGTGAGCATTTTATCGTATGGCCAGACCGGAAGCGGAAAGACGTACGGCATGTCTGGTCCAGCAGGAATCATTCCGTCCTCAATCCGACTGTTGATGAATGAGATGCAACGCCTGAAAGACAAGGGATGGGAATACGCGGTCGAAGCATCTTTTGTTGAGGTGTACAACGAGACCCTAAACGATCTTCTGGGCGATGCAAAGACATGGGATGAGGTCGACGACCTCGGAGCCAGCACTCGTGGTAAGAAGAAAGAGAAGCATGAGATACATCACGATGCTACTACTGGCAAGACGACAGTGACCAACTTGACCTCGATCCGTTTATGGCCGCCACCTAAGGACGAGGGAGGGTGGCCGCCTGCTGCGCCTCTCGATGGTCGAGACTCAAATGCCGCATCTGCTGCGGCATCCTACACCGAGAACGCGGTCAACAGCCTTTTGGACACGGCGGCGAAAAATCGTCGCGTTGCCGCCACCAAGGCCAACGAGCGCAGTTCCCGAAGTCACAGTATCTTCATACTTAAGCTGAAGGGATCGTGTGTCGCGACTAACGAAAGCAGCGAGGGCATTCTCAATCTTGTCGATCTTGCTGGTAGCGAGCGCCTGAAGCAATCAGGCGCCGAGGGGAGTCGGATGAAGGAGACTCAGGCGATCAACAAGTCTTTATCGTCCCTGGGCGATGTCATTGCAGCTCTTGGTAACAAAAATGGCAACAATGACGCGCATGTGCCGTACAGGAATAGCAAGGTGAGCAGCCCAACGTCCTGAGTCAAAGTACGGAAAGCTAATCACCTCGCACAGTTGACCTACCTCTTACAATCTTCGCTTGGCGGCACGACAGCAGGGAAGTCATCGCGTACCCTGATGTTGCTGCATCTTAGCCCTTTGCAGACACATTGGCAAGAAAGCAGAAGCAGTCTGCTGTTTGGCAGTAAAGTGCACGGCACTCATATTGGAACAGCAAAGAAGCGGTAAAAGTTGTGTGTACAGGCTACAGCATTTGGGCAATTTCAGGCGTTTGGGACAGCGGGCTGGATGAAGGGGCACTGGAGTCTTTAACATTGCATCTCTTGACGACTCAGGCTTGTCGATACTATACCCACCGCTTTCTTGAAGAACGCGCTAGGTATGAGGGCGACCTGGACAGTGGCATGGATTGATTAATTCTGTGAACTTGCTCCGTTCCTCACTTGGGTTGAAAAATTCTTTCTGCAAACGCTGTTGGGTCCGTTTGTCATATGGAGATTACGTAACGGCTTTGGTGGTGCATACGTCAGTCGAGAACTCATCTCTTTGCGTTCCTTCATATCTCTCTCTACATCTAACGATGAACCACAATCGGTATCCGAATAACTTTTGCAATCGATGCCCTCTGGTCTTAGGTTGTTCTTCACTGGAGGCTTCGTCGCCACTGACGACAGCTGCCCGCCTGGCCAAGGTCATGGTGGCTTCCCTGGCGGTCCCGGTGGTGCCGGTGGTGTCAGTCAACTCGGTGGATCTGGGAACCAGGCAGGTCAGTAAAAGAAGCTTGGGACTGTATGATCAGTTGGGACTGCGCAACGAGTCACAACGCAGTTGGCACTGTCAGACGCCTTTCTTGTAATTTCGTCCTCGTGATCAGCCCGATAACAGATATTGTCATCGCCGCTCATGTACGTCCGACATTTCCGCTGCGCATTTATCGTTCACTCCAATAGTACCAGTCTCATTGTGACATGTCGAGCTGCTTGTCGCTAGCGCCAAAATGGCGAAGTCAATTTTGCATGTGACGCTCATGAAATGTCCAATCCAAATTTGATGACTTTCCCGGACGAATTCCGCTGCCCACTTGCAGGACTCATCTTCGAATTGACCTAGCCTGATATTCTCTTTGAAGACACATTCTCTTTCCCGGCACGTTAGATCGACTCTGAGCCATGAACGGATAATTTAATCGATAATGCCACCTCACATCTGCGAATTTTGCAAAGCAGCTCGCGCTCAAATCCTCCGTCCGAAGAACCACGCCCGATTGTGCGCACCCTGCTTCATTTCGATCTTCGAAGTCGAAGTCGCCGAGACCGTGACGTCTAGCAACCTATTCGAAAGCGGCGAAAGAGTTGCGATCGGAGCATCCGGTGGTAAAGATAGCACTGTGCTCGCATCTGTGCTCAAGACGCTGAACGATCGTCATCAATGGGGATTGGATCTCATACTACTTTCAGTAGATGAGGGCATCCAGGGCTACCGGGACCACAGCTTGGAGGCAGTGAAGAGACATAGCGCCCAATACGATCTACCACTGAAGATTGTGAGCTATGCCGAGTTGTACGGATGGTCCATGGATCAGGTAGTAGCACAGGTGGGCAAGAAAGGCAATTGTACATACTGCGGTGTCTTCAGAAGACAAGCACTGGACCGAGGGGCCGCCATGTTAGGCGTCGGTCATGTTGTCACCGGGCACAATGCGGATGATGTCGCAGAGACTGTGCTTATGAACTTGCTCCGAGGGGATCTCCCTCGATTGAGCCGGGCGACGAGTATCGTTACCAGTACACCGTCCGCCAAAGCCACCAAATCGCCAGATGGCGGAGTGTCTTTCACCAACGTGAAGCGTTCAAAACCACTCATGTACGCATATGAGAAGGAGATTGTGTTATATGCACATCATAAGAAACTGGACTACTTCAGCACCGAATGTATTTACAGCCCCGAGGCTTTCAGAGGATCGGCGAGGACTCTGATCAAGAATCTGGAACGCATTAGACCTGAGAGTATCTTGGATGTGGTTCGCTCGGGAATCGACATGGCAAAACTCGTACCTGGTGCCGACGGTAACTGCAAAGGAGCTTGCAGCACTTCGTCAGATGTCGCAGCCAAAGGAGCAGAGGATGAGGCCGCTGGTGGATGTGGAAATGCTAATGGGAATTCCAGCGGTGGTGAAATGGCAGAGATGGAGAAGAAATTGCGTCAAGACGAGGATGCCGCATCGAATGGGACTGAGACCGAAATTAAAATACCACAAAAAGCTAAGGCTCTCGAGAGTGAAGGCGGAGAAAATGGAACCGCAACGTCTGGTCATGATGCTATACCAATGCGAACAAAGCAGAAGCCTTCCGGTCGCAGGCCAGCCCGCGGCACAGGACCATCCAAGCAAAAACTTGGTCAATGCGAGCGCTGCGGCTATCTATCTTCTCAGGCTGTTTGCAAAGCTTGCGATTTGCTAGAAGGTCTAAACAAAGCCCGGCCCAGAACGGAAATAGAAGTCTCGGAAGATAATGGCTGAGCAATTGCAACCACCGGCGGGTCCAATACCTCTCTCGCGCATCGGAGTACTATCTTGACGGCTACTACCGCTGATTTTGCGCTATCCGACTCGTCGTTGCCTTAGTTCTTGCTAAGATTCTCCGAAAGAGAATAGCGTTCCAATGTGGAAAGACGCTGTACTGAAACTCCCATGCTCAAGATGGGTGCTTCCAGAGATTCCGCAACCCACGAACGCCTTCAGAGTATGCAAAAAAGCGCTACCTTAATGCTCATACAGATTTCGCAAATGCTGCGATGTCCTTGATTGCAGCGCGATTGTCGTCCGGCGCCGTCTGTGGAACGAAAGGCTTGCGCTGTGTGTGAGACCGAGATGCACATGCGCGACGTATCTCGTGGCCAACCCGTCAAGCTTGCGGTAATACTCCATGCCTTCGTCTCCCGTGGGGTCAAGCTCGTCCATCGCAACCACATGCGGGGGAAGACCATGCAAGTCTTCTATCTTTGCGTGTGACGGCCACGCTGGGAAAGTGGTATCGTCTGCCGACTTGGGCGTATAGATATGCGCCCTGTACGCGAGGTAGAGGAGCGCAAATTGGAAGGATTACCCAGCCTTATCGAAAGGACACGCATCGTCTCCAGGCCATCTTCCCCCAGGGTGCCAACAAGTGTTCTATTCGCACCTAGCTGGGATATTTCAATTTTTGGACCCCCCAATCTTCCCAGCGGTTTGCACGCTCGATGTCTGGCCGCGCGATTGGTCATGTTCTGTTGCAGTGCTTCGAATTTATTTTTGCTTTTCAGACCCAACTCGACTGCTTGATGATGTCTATGTAGACAGTCTTGTCAATTTGCCACCTGGAGACGGAACATTTTACACACCGAGCTTCATTCTGGCTGTTGAGGCATTGTTAATCGGACACGAAAAGAACACTTACCTAGCCACTCTAGGCACCTTTGTGAACAGCCATGAGCGCGTGAGAACATCTGGCCTCACTCTACAGCGAGCTGAACGATATGTCCTGCGCCCATCGACCGAGCTGGAGACTAATGGTTCGCGATCGTGTAGGTCTGCTCGGCCTTAAAATCAAATAACTCCTGACGCAGTCCAGTAGTCGTTGTTTGGTTCGAGTCAAAGAGACAATTCTGCGGCACCGAAGATTGACCAGAATACAAATATCTTCTTCTACTTGCTGCTCAAAGCGCTATCCTTGGCGCGAGCCTGCGCAATCTCGTCCGAGTGTACCTCTCTCAGGGCACCGGTGTTTGCAACACCCCCGGTCAGCACGGCGCCTCCAATCTCTTTGGCCATTCCAATGGCTCCAGTGGTCCTCTTCCAGTACACCACATCTACACTCGTCAGCTGGACCTTGGCGGACGAAGTCAACCGGGCGATACTCACATTTGGGCTGCACTTCGATGAGCGTCATTCGGGGATCTTCTGGACCTCCATCGTGGACACCGTCTTTCAGATCGCCGAACCAAGCACTGACAGGCTTCGAATAGATCTCCTTGATCCTTGGATCATCGTTCGTGACCGTGACAGCCTCGCCAGTGACGGAGATCCAGTCCTGCTTGGAAGAATCGTGAAAGGAGAGCTGGACCTGTTTGCTTGCCTGGAGATCCTGGATCTTCTTGCTATTTGAGTTGGTGAGGAAGAGGAAGTCTGGACCTGTTCGCTTCGCTACAGCCATGGACCTCGAAACTGGCTACAGGATCTTCAGTGTTAGTAAAGGATGCCGGATGAAGCATTTGTGATACATACCCCGATACCGTTACGGTATGTTCCAAGCATGCCAATCTTCTGGCCATCCGCAATCTCGTAGAAGTCCTTCAACTTCTGCTCAAGCGAAGCACTGGCGTCGTATTGCTTCGAGACCGATGGGTCTTTCTCAGCAGTGACTTCGCTCTTCTTCAGTGGCTCAGGCATTTTGGATATGAAAGAGGCTGTGAAAGCTCGGCTCGGTACGAATGTGACTGGTTTAGAACAATTGCAAAGCGCTCTGGACCACCGCAAATTATTCAGCATTGAAGAGCTGCTTATCCCGCGGAATCGAGAGCGTTGGACTATATATTCTAGAGGTGGACCACGAGATGTCAATGACGATTTCCTGGAGCTACTTCCGAGCTGGATCAGTTGACCCTGCAGGAGGGTAATGATGCAATAATTCGCAAAACTTGAACACCACCACCAACTCCGCAGACTTCAAGGCACAAGGTTTCCAAATGTCGCACAGCAGATTGCTTTTCAAGATGCCCGGAATATTCGCTAAATAGAAATGCTCGTCCGGATGTCACGCTCATTGGCGGACAAGTTCTATGGAGGGTATTTGCGTACCAAATCCATCCGAACATGCAATGCAGCCCGTCCCAAACGGTCTCCAGGTACCCGGCTAGCGAGAGAGAAAGAGAGATGCTTCTGCACCGCAATCGAGGCTGTGCGGCTGCAGATGCCAGAGTCGATCAAATCGGCGGCATCGGTGCTTCCCGTTCTGAAGAAGTCAAACGAGTTGGAAGAAGCATTTGCCTCTTCGAGACACCATTCGAATCGTGCCCGAGCGGCCAGCACCGACCTCACCTCCCGACCTCCAACGGCAGCCTCCATCCAACCACACCTTCCTCGCCCCCCAATTGCTCGATCTCCAGGACACACAGTCCCCCTGCCCTACCATTTCCATCACCCGTCTCGCCAGTGGCTCAAAAGACACCCTTCAATCTTAGCAAGGGATCGATCACGACTTCTCTCTCAAAAGTCTGGAGGAAGTTTCTGTAGAACTTACTCTGAGCACCACGTCGTGGTATTGTAAAGGTTTGGAATTCTGGGAACAGAGAAGCTTGTTCTCCTGTTTTTCGTCCCCCTTTTCTATACCAGGTATCCATTTCATACGTATACACTCATCTCAATCAAAGATGCCTTGCAGCAATTTCATTGAATTTCCAAATCATGACGACCTCTATTCCAGGTTCCAATTCGCTGTCCGTTGCTGCAAACACCATCGGAATTCCAACGCTTGGCTGTTTGCCCAATGTCGATACATCTAGCAGCACTAGTATCACTCGCAGCTATATTCCAGCACTCTGATGCTTCATTCACCCATTCATCGATATATTCCCGCCACCCAGATAATTCTTTTGCAACAAGCTAACTCTTCTGTACGTGTGTACCGAACCCCCCGAAACAGGTTGAACCCCCCAAAACGCGGACACGCACTCTTGTACCTCCTACCATTCCAACTGGTTCCTTGTACTTGTGATGATGATGATGAGAAGTCATGCCACCCACCCACACGCCGAAGAAACGAAGAAAAAGGTCTCGAAGCATTTCTATGCCGATCACGGCCCATCCACACTTGGTGAGCGTATTACAATTAGCAATTCAGCCCTCACTAGCCGCCTCATTCGAAGAAAGCAGTCTCACCATCTCGAATTTGATGCTGAGGCGTGGACGATCCATCCCACACTTTATCAGCTCGGGGTCCACGAGTCCTTCACTGAGCTCCTATCGGAAGTTGGCAAGGTGACAGATGGGGCGAGAGACGTGTGGTATCACGAGAAGATCATCACTTCTTCGGAAGGAAGCTATTCGTACATCATGAGAAAGACACCCTAATGTCTCAGCGTGGCAGAGCGCCCCGTGAACCACCTCGCTGTACCTCTAGCTCACCCACAGTGGTATCGTACAATTTGAGAACAGATCCGGGCATCTGACTGGTTCTTCTCGCCGCGGAGAAGGCTGCCTTCAGACCCTTTCTCTTGGTAAGGCTTTCCCCTTCGAGTCGTACCGAACACTGCTCCTGTGACACCCGTAACGCCGTGGCTGAAAGATGACAATGGACCCTTACACCTCAGCGAGGGGGAGAGAGTAAGCGTGGAGGCAACGCGGTCTAGCCTTCGCCAAGGGGATCATTCGTGGTCTCGACGGAAGCGTGGCGCCAATTACCAGAAGTTTCGATGTTTCGACAGCGCTGGCGAGATGCTGTTCAGGCAACTACGCCATGCATGATGAGGTCCATCCTTTCACGCCGGACCACTGAACATGCGGGCTTCGAGTTCGAGACTCGGTCTCTTGGGATCCTTGACGACGCGCCTGGCTTGCTGCAAGCCGCCAACATCATTCTTGCGAGCAAGTCGAGCAAAACCTGCTGCCATGGGCGCGTAAGCTGTTTCCGGAGTGGAAGGCCTGGACGGTCTGCTCTGCTCGCTTGTGACTGACATAGCTGGCGTCGATGTCACGCTGGATGCGTCTGACGGATTGCTTCTGGGGCTGCTGGGTGCCGGCCGAAATGGTAGACGATATAGATTGCTTGGCAAGAGTCCAGAGCTGCCCTCGGTTGTGAAGGCGTCAGCAAGGGCCTCGCTTGGCATTGAAGCCCTATAGTCTGACGAAGTCGACACTGCTACAGACTTTTCAAGGGAGCGACGAGGCGCTGTCGTCCCTTTTGTTGGAGGCGGTGTCAAGGATCGCGCGGATGATGGAGCTGGAGAGTAGCCCGGAGGACCAGAGTGACGTTTCGTAGGATTATAGGAGTAAGCCGAGGACCTTTCGACGGTGCTGTGCACTGCTCTGGCGCAGCTGGAAGAGCGAGCTTGTTGCTGCATTGTCAAGTTGTCGAAGGATAGTGTTCGTGTGTAGAGGTAGGAGCTGAGGCGGCAATGACAAGTCCTGGTGTGCTGAAGTTTTCGCTCGAGACGTCCTCATAGAAGACAGTGGCGCGGTATTGTGGGTGGACAGCCGCTTTGCGACGGCGTCCTCAGCAAAATATTCTGAGGGTTCTCAGCAAATATTCTGAGGATATGCCGGACTGCAGAGATGATGTCCAGCTGGTCCTTCCTGATTGGGTTTTGCCTGGAGAGTCAGGGCTCGACCGGGTGGATCGATCGAGGAAAGAAGCTCTGCTTTAGTATGCCACTGATTCTTGCGTATGCGAAGGACAAGCCAAGCAGCCAAGCTATATTTGACATTCAGGCGTAGAGCGAGGGTGTCAAGGGGTGGGTAGGACTGTAGTAGGTGCCCCAGTCCTGCGCAGCTGCTTCTCCTTGGCGTGAAAAACTTCACGCGGTGTGGTGACGCCAAGTTCGAGCGCCACGATCTCCTGCCTGCATTGTCACCGCGTGGAAGGGTGCGGATGGCTTCTTTCCAAGTGCGCCTCCCGCTGCTGTCCCGGGAATTCGGCACTGCGATCCGAGGAACAAGGGTCTGGGCCCCCTGTTCACCGATCGTGAAGATATATACACATCTCACCTTACACAGACCTTCAATGGCATCCGTATCGACGCTAAATTGTGCACTGACATCGTGCAGTCGTTGCCATCTTCTGTGGCACAAGAACTTCGGAAGACACCTGGAGTTCTCGTTGCGCTTGCGCATCGTCACCGAGTGAAAGACCGGAAGACAGTTTGAAAACAGGCAGTGCAGCATTGCGGGATAAGTATACTACACAACGCAAGGAAATTAGCTAATACCAGCCAGCCATATCCAAATTCCCATTCAACCTAATCCAATCTATGAAACCTTTTCTCAAAAGTCGTCCAAGAAAACGTGACGGCGTCAGACGACTGCGGGAGTCTACTTCTCCTGTCCCACAGCCTCCTCGTACGCGGGAGCTTCCTCGTAGACAGGTGGGGCTTCGAGGTCCTTGGCACTTTCAACAACTTCCTTCTCGTCATCGACAGCATCGGCGGTCGTCTCATCAAGGGCAACACGGGCGTAGCCGCGACGACCGCCACGGTAGAACTTGATCCAGAAGAAGCCAATGAGACGACCGACGAGCAGACCGACGAGGCTAACAGTCATTCCAACAGCAATCCCGGCCATGGTGGGGAGAAGAACAGCTGCCAGACCGCGAGTGAAAGCATGCATGAAGTGGTGTCGGTGGTGACCGTGGTGACCGTGGGGCCTCATATGGTGAGGACGGCCATGGTGGTGCGGGCGCTCGTCATCTGGTCGGTCCTTGAGGAAGTGCGGCTTGATGTGGCCGGGAAGCTTGCCCATGTGCGGTCGTCCTCCCTTGCCGCCATGACAGCCCTTGCGCATGCCGTGCATGCCGTGACGCATGCTGTCAATCTTTGACTCTACAAGACTCTTCAGTCTGCAGATTGGTGCAGGGAGTACGCCGCAGTCCTTTCCATGAGCAAACTCAGGCTTGCCGAATGAGGGACGGGCCATGTCCGTGTCTGGCATCTCGTGGCCCGGTGGTGGAGGTGGAGGTGGGAAGAAGTCCTCTGGCATGTCTTCGGGCCCGGGTCCAAAGAACTCCGGACGCGGGCGGTCTTGCTCATGGATCTCGCCATGGGCGATCAACAGCTCGCCCATCCCAGTCTTGACGAGTTGAACAGAGATCTCATCCAGGCTGACGGGCTGGCCTTCGATCTCAAAGATGTCGACGGTGATTGGGACCAGAACATCACCTTCGGGAGAAACAACCTGCTCGTCGCGAATCGAGACTCCGTGCCCAGTTACCTCCAGTTGTGTAGTCTTGACAGTGCCCGCTTCGATCTCCTCCATCGAAGCCGAGGCAGGGACTTGGCTGATGTAGACCTTTGGGCTCTGCATGATATCCATAAGACCAAAGGGATAGATGGTTCCACCGTTGACCTCCAGCTTGTCGCCATCCTCAGAGACCGTGAAGTTGACCACCACGCTGTTGGCCCCGCCCTGAATAAAGAGGTAGCCCTCCGCGTCGTTATCAATACCCTCAATCTTCTCGTCCTTATTGAAAGAAAATGCACATTCGGAGCATGGTAGCTGGAAAGCGAGGCTCTTGGTGTGTACGCCGGAGAGAGCGAGTGGTCCGACACTGTCATCGTCGCCGTCCGCTGAGGCGACATTCGGTGGGAGAAGGAAAGCGCTGGCGCCCAGTGCGCAGGCCGTAAAAACGCCGGCTGTGCGGCCCAACATCGTGTTCGTGAGCACTCCGAGCTATCCGTGAAGTGTTTGTCGTTGTTTAGAAGAAGAATAAGGATGTCGAGTGGAGGTGTTGTTGGGAGTCTGGCCGCTTACAATCACGCCTTCAGGAACGCTTACGACTGCTTTGGACCCCTGCTTTGAGACAATCACGTGTCGCGTGACGCAGCCAATCTTAGTCGGTGGTCTGATTGGTCAATTGGACAAGGATTATGCGGGATGAAGAGAGAGTCCGTGCTCTTCAGTGAAGCATGACGATGTGAAAATATCAACAAAACATCAACTAATTCATTGCGTTCCTTCATCAATCTGCTCCTACCATATGGTGTATCATGGACTATATCTCGACTCTGTCTACGGACTCACTCGAGCGTGAAGAGTGTCTAGTAGCGAATGCCAAATATTTCATACAAACTTGCCTCCTATTATAAACCCATTCAAACGAACCCCGTCGACGGAACAGACGGCCGTAGCAAACCATCAACGACCTCCCTTGCGATTATCACATGCCTGCCTGGCTCAGACACATGGACCAAGCGAATCGTGCCTTGGATACCGACATCTGCCAATGTGACTAGCTGACCACTGACTGAGTAAGCCAGCAATCTTGGTACAGAGTGGTTTGATGGAATCGCCACGCGGCCTTGAGCAGGCGATTATCATTGTGCGAGAGCATGATGGCTAACAGATTCGCGTGAGCTCCTAGCTTGTGAGATTGCTCTAATTTAGCATACGAGGTGCAGAACAAGCATTAGAACCTATTTGCTGACCGAAGTATATTCCGAGATCGGATCGGCCAATCCGGCTCCTAGTGAAGCTGCAGAAATTGTGCCTTACACTTTTCTCCCTAAAGCAAATGCTATTGACTGTAGCATGTGGCGGTGACAGACACCACAGCATGCTTTGAGGATCGAAGAGTAGTGTCTCAAGGGAGCGAAGATCCTGTGTACCGGACTGAAAGTCCCTCGGCCGAGTCTTGGGGAAGTGCCTGGGAGCAGTATATCGAAGTTTAAATTACTCACCTCAAAACCAAAACTACACACAACTTTGCTCAGCTGCAATGAGGCAGCCTATCGGCAGAATGGATTTCTCAAAGATGTCCCGGCAAGATATTCTGGATCTTGCAAGACCTACACCTGAATATCGCGAAGTAATGACCGCCAAATGGAGACTTTCACGACCTCAATCACTGATTCTATACATCAGATAGTAGAAATCTGGCCTCCTCTCAGAATCGACTGGTCAAACCGGACTGCTGCAGTGAAGCGTTTACGGGAACAAACCTCGATAGCAGAAGAACTGGACGAGCTAGACCCTGCGGTCGAAGAAAAATACATCAAAGTGCCCATGCGAGATGGATACGAAAACCCTCTGCGAATCTTCAAGTCGAAAGGTTCTTCAACGCCGGGACCGTTGGTCGTGCTCTACCATGGAGGAGGCTGCATCATGGGCTCGCCAACAATGATGGCGGAAACAGCTCGCTGGCTCGTCAAACATTTCCAAGCACTGGTGGTGACCCCAGCATACCGCTTGGCTCCAGAACACCCTTTCCCCGCCGCCATCAACGACGCCTGGGACAACTTTGTCTGGATAACGCAAAACTACAACATCCACCCCGCCCTCCAACACTCCGCCGATCCTGTCCAAGGCTTCATCATCGGCGGTGTCTCCGCGGGAGGAAACATGTCCACCATAATAGCCCACCAGGCTCGCGATCAGAACCTTCTCCCAAGAATCACAGGCATCTATTCCGCCTGCGGATCCGCCCGACATCGAGGTGACGACCTCTCCAACCTCCCGGGGCTCTACCGCGACCGCTTCCTCTCCCGCTCCCAGCCGGAATGCATCTACAACCCCATCCTCTCAAAGGAAATGTCAGACCTCATGACAGCCTGCTACCAAGCCGATACCTCCTCCGAGCTCTTCTGCCCTTTGCTCTGGCCCTCCGAGCAAGGCCATCGCAATCTCCCGAGGATGTATCAGCAAGTCTGTGGCAGGGATCCGAATCGAGATGAACAGTTGATTTTGGACGATCTGTTGAAGAAGGCAGGGATAGAGACGAGATTAGATGTGTATAAGGGTCTACCGCATTGCTTTTGGATTGCGTTGAGACATTTGCCTGAGTCGACGAGGTGGGAGAGGGAGACTGTGGAGGGTTTCACGTGGTTGTTGCAGAGGTGATCGATGGCTGATGAGATATATTTCGGTCGCAAAGATTGGTCTACCGTCTTCTGGCCGCAGCGCGAAATGTGAGACCCTGAGGGACGTAATCTGTGTAGATCGAAGAACCAACCCGAGTTCCATATAACCTTGTTGCTGACAAGAGCGACAAGTACAACGTTGACATAGTCATGTATAGCAGTTGTACTGTTTGGGGCTCAGCTAACAATCTGCCCTTTTAGGTTATCAAGGACGACGTAGGTGATGTATAGGTGTATCGAGCTCATGCACAGTCAGCCGCAGCTCTCATATGCAGTGCTTCTTTTCATGTGAACATCGCTCTACTTACCTGACTTCCATAATCCGATCAGACTGCTTGCCAGGCTCTCTAACCCATCGAAAAGTGACGTTGCCAACCGCAGCGATATCGCCCGTCTCAAAGAGTTTGAGGCAGTTCAGAAAGATCATGTGTAGCTCATCAATCGCGTGCAAATAGATCTCTTTGCCAGAAAGATTGGATGGCACGATGGTTTTGGACCGATTCCCGTAGTCGTACAGTCTCCGGAACAGGGCTCGTTCGCGGTAAAGTGTCGTCGACGGCCTCCATGTTGGTGATAAACACTCCGACTTCCGAAGTGACAATGCGCATCCTGTTGGGTACCACCGTAGCTTGCACGCCTTTGACAACTCTCATCCAGTCCATAGTATCGTTGATTGGATCCTATAGGGGATGTACCTATGGCAAGACGATTGCGTGAAGAGATCGATAATCAATATCGACAGCTGGATGGATAGATGTCTATATTGATTATCAATGAACGGCGCAGGGAACGACATGCTCTCAACAACAAGAATCTCTTCGCAGATTCTGATGCTCTCTCCCCACTTGTCCATCTGCAGCGGATTGATCAAAGCAGACGGGCTGCAACGTCGTGAGTCAAATCAGAACGCATTTGAAGACGATCCACAGCTTCGCAAGAGCCCGCCTTTCGCTAACTTTCAATCCCTATTCCGGTAACCGTATCAGTCCCTTCGCCGCCGTGGGCGTAAGTCGGTGATCAGGTAGCCGTGCGATCGCAAGTCCCGTTCCCCGGAAAGGCACTGCATCCGCGGTCGTGGGAGGCTAGAGCTTGGTCACAATACTAATACTAGGCTACCAGCTTCAGAGGCGTCACCCAAGGGGTCCGCTGCCTGATGCCGTAAATTCGCCATCCTGTCTTTCACAGCCCAGCCTTATGGGTCTCAAACTGTGACGCTTGCTTCTCGGTAGCCTACTTCATCTTAGTGAGTCTCAGACAGCATGCCACCGTACCTTGCACACCTGCCGAGAGCAGACTGTGCCATCAAAGGTAGTCGTTCAGCATCTACTCAAAGCTTGGCCGGGCTCATATCAGCTCAACATCTCCCTTACGCACGCTTTCCTTCACAGCACTCCAACGCAGCACCCATACATCCCCTCTCTTGAGTTCGATATCGTCGTCCACTGGCCTTAGAGCGTAGCCATCTCGCAGCACCCGGCAGAAGACAGCTGTGTCTTCATCGGGTTTGTCGACCATACTGATGCCCCCGCCTGTGTCATCGAGCTTTTGTAGTTGTGTTGGGAATTGCGAGAGGAAGGAGGAATGGTAGTGTGAGGATAGCAGGGCTGAGTGAGACTCCAGGTATCGAGACTCAAGAGGTGAGAGAGTGGGCTGGTCTTCTGACCCTGGATGGTCGCGGTAGTGGATTGGGTATTTATCGATCTGCCATGTAGCACTTCAGCAACAATGCCGGTACCCACCGATATGTGATCTCTACCTTTGCTATCCGCGCTCGCAAGAAGGATCTCAGCAGAAACTTGACTCTCTCCAGTTCCGTCTGAAGTATGACCAAGGTGAAATTGGAAGCAGGATCCATGGCGCCGCTCATGTCCTCTATGATTTCAATCTGTGGCTTCCTTCAATACTTGTCCGGATCAGCCACTCTTTCTGCTGCTGACCTGGCTCTTTACTGCATTTGTGCATCTCTCGATCAAGGCGGTGGGATATGGTAGTAGTTCTGGCGAACTTCGCTCGTTGATCCATGCTCGGGTCAGTGCTTGCAAATCGAGAGTTCGCTGTGGTATTGCCGGCGCTGATACAGAAGCGAGGATGTCTGATATATCAACGTCCATGGTGGGAAGTTTGGTGAGGAGAGAACGTTCTTGTCTCCCAAGCACGAAATGCCGTAGCACAGTAGGGATCAATCAGGTTGCCTCAGGCGCGTCTCGCGCCTCGCGTCGGCCGAAGATTCGCCGTCAAGGTGCAGGTGGGTAGTAGTAGTACGACGCCTTCCACTTCAGCTCTTCCTCTTCCCTTCTCCCTTGACATACGCCATGTTCACTGACTCAAAGCCGCTTCACTCCGACTCCTGTTTGGGAAACGGCAAGATGGCAGTGAAGCTGTGCGACCTGGCAAACGAAGTGCTCAGCTTGATTGCCGAACAACTGGAGGGCGACACCGAGTCACTGCAAGCACTGAGAGGCACGTCTTCGCGCTTTCGAGCCATTGCGGAACCCGTGCTCTACCGTCATTTGTTTTTCCGTGATTACGACAAGATCACATCGCTCGTTCCATTTCTCCTACAACCCGATTCTCCCTCCAGGCTCAAGGCAGTGCATTCCATCGATGCTCGTCCCCAGGAGGGCGGCCACCGGGCAGGCCCCGAACATTTGGTCAGCATCTTGGGCAGGACGCCAAACTTGAAGGAGTTGACCTTCGAAATGGCTGGTATCAATCAACGCCTCTATAAGAAGGGTGCGTGGAGCAGATTTGACGAGAGAGACATTCTGGCTCCAATCATTGATTCTGCTCTTTCGCAAGAGATCCCTTCAGCACCACCTGCGAGGACGCTTCCAGTACTGAAGAAGTTGACGCTTCATCTGAGCGGCAACAGCATCCGCGCACGATACTGGAACATCGACGATGAGAGCTGCAGGATCTTCGCGCATCCAAGTATTGAGGAGATGCACTTGTCGTGTGCCAACATCACGCGAGATTTTCAGCACGTACTCTTGCGCTTCGGCAAAACGCCATTGAAACGACTTACCTTGACAGAATGTGACATCGGCCACACCGCTTTGAGCGCCTTACTGGAAAAGCCGCGCGCTCTCGAGTATTTGTATCTCGGTAAGTCGTACATCGACTGACATTTTGCTATCACGAGATCCTCATCATTGCTGTATAGGCGAAAGTGCGAATCATTATGGACAAAGATCCTCCCCAGAGAACTACCTGCTGGAGAGAAATGCTACCGCATTCTTGGCTGCTCTTGGTCAGCAGAAGCATTCTCTGAAGCAGTTTTGCTACCGACCAAAAGGCGTGCTCTTGTCAGTCACAATGCCAGACGATGCGGGATTATCGTCTTTCGAAGTTCTGGACACCGTCTCAATGGAATGCGCCTTTCCAGAGCTACAAGAAATGATCACATCCGAGAAGACACGGCCACCGAATCTCACAACAATCAATCTTCGAGATTACCACGGCGCGATACAAAACCAGTCGTCCCTGATGAATCATGACCTCGAGGAGGATAATGGCAACATTTCGCCTCTGATGTTTCTGTGTCAACGCACGTCGAAGATGAAAAGTCTGAAGCAGATCAACGTCACGACAAACGACATTTTTGGCAATGGAACGCTTCCAGTCCCTGAGCAAGTCGTAGTTGAAGGCGCGGAGCTTTCGCTCCAGCCGAGAGGTGTCCGTCTGACTGTCTCGTGTCGTGCCTATCCACATAGTGCGATCCCTCCCTACTTGGAAGGGGAGCCTACACCTACTGATCAGCTGGTTTTTGACTCGCAGCTCCCTGGCGGATGGCTGGATGCAGGGTGCCGGTGGAGTGTCTTGGGATCCAGCGGATGGACGCCGCTGTGAGGCATTGTCCTACTCTCGTAGCAGGATCATAAAAGGTGAAGTAGGGGACGGTTGACATCTAGGGCGCAGGCAAAGTGTCGGGAGCAACAGCATCGCTCGGGCCCCCGGGGGCTCGGGTCAATTCAACTTCCGACTTCACGTACTATACATGACATGGCACGAGTGACGATTCCATTCCACGACTACAGCCTACTAGTATGGCTGGGAGGCCTCCTCATTCGATCAGCTTTGGCATTCTTGACATGTACAACGGTCGAAATGACAGTCCTATTTCTCTATTCTTCACACGGTCGAGGACAAGAGGCTCACTTACGCAGCCCAGCTCCTGTTTCCCTTGAGGAACTCGTCGAACCACGTAACGGCCTGCAAGAAAGCGGCCTCCTTGGCAAACTTGACGGCTGGCTTGGTCATGTCTGCGCGAACGGCGAAACCATGCTCGACGTCGGAGTACAAGGACACCTGGTATGGGATCTTCATGTCCTTGAGGAGGTCTTCGGTCTCCCGACGCTTCTCGGCCGGGAAGATCTGGTCGGTCTCTGATCACAATATCCCACTCAGCATACGCTCCTCACAACGATCGTCCTTGTGCTGTATACTCACCAGCCGCAGCAATGCTCAAAGGTCCGGTCAAAGCCTTGATCTCATCCGCATCGACGAAGCTAGGATGCGCCATGTATCCCACATCCACACCCTTTCCGCCCGTCATGAAGCGCGCAACGTACTTGGCCCCGAAACAGTATCCGACCGCACCGATCTTCTTGACGCCCTGGTTCTGCTTCATATCCTTAATGACAGCATCCACGATGGGATCGACCTGCTGGAAGGTGTGGCCCTTGGACGGACCGGAAGTGGTGAGCCACTTCATGATATCGAAGTCATCGGGGCGGTTGAGGGGGATTGGGTCGCCTTCGAAGAGGTCGGGCATCACGACGTAGTAGCCATTGGCGGCGAATTGGTCGGCGATGAGTTTTGCGTTGATGAATTCATGGCCGATGACGTCGGTGAGGATGAGGATTGCGGTTGAGGTGTCCTTGTGTTCGGGGTAGGAGAAGTAGGTGGAGACTTGGGAAAGGGAGAGTTGTCAGCTGTGTTGGTGAGGAGGATGAGGAGGGGGAAGAGGAGGAGTTGCTCACTGTTGCCAATGTTCTTCATCTGGCCCTTCGCGTCGCCTTCATGCTTGACGCCAATGGTGCAGCATTTCCCTGGTGGATTGGATGCCATGATTAGTGAGGCTGTTTTCTATCTGCGGAAAGATAATGTGTGAGAGAACAGCTCGACAGGGTTCGGCAGAAGCAGACCAATATATGTGCCCGTGCCCGGATACTCGAGCATTCCCGAATCTCGGCAGCGACCCCGGCGATACGGTCTTATCAGCGTCCGGGCACGAGCTTGCGTACCTTAGTGAAGAAGTCAACTTAAATGTTTCACGGGCCCGCGCGCGCTGCTCTGGTGGGGCTGCTGCCTCGTCATTGAGGGGCATCGTGGATATGACAACATGAACGCCGCAGTTCGGCCATTCGCGACGTCAATCAAATCACCGGCAGCACTCGACCAACTTTGATGCACGCAAAGCATGAGCACGAGCCGAGTCCGAATCTTTTGCGAACGAGCGGTATCAAAAGTCTGTCAACGTACAATAATATCATCAATGCTTGCTCAGCACATACCGTCAAAAGCATCCCCGGCGACCAAGACTGCTGTGGAGCTCCCCTTGACACCACCCAATTCCACCAACGTCTTCGCAGCACTGCGTTCGTACATCGGCCACCCGTACGCTTTCAACCCATTCACAGGATCCTTTGCAAAAGCTGCCCAAGCGCTCTGCATGTATTTCGAAGTGGCTTCCTCGGCAGGCGTATCAGGCGCAAGCAGATCCGAAGTCCCAAATACCATGGGCAAATCACTCGAGTGATAGGAGCCCAGCCAGGACAAAGGATTCAAGTTGTTAGGCCAGACGCCGAAATATCTTGTCCGCCAGACTGGTACTCCGAATGATGCTTTGGCGGCTGCGGCAGTATTGCCGGGGCAAGTTGCGAGTGAGGCTGTCGTTGCATCGGCCGCGGTTTGATTGATGCCGGCTTCATGGTAGGTGACGAGAGATGTCCCTTCGTCGTTGACCTGGGCGTAGAGGGTAGGCAGTCGCGCAAAGAGGCCCCGATTTTGCAGATCTGCATAGTCGGAGAACGCAGTCTGGTTGTCTGCTGATGGACCGAAGGACAGGGATTTGCCACCGTTCAGAGTAGCGTTGTACTCGTTGTACACGTGTATGATGGACCTGGCGTCGGCCTTTTGCATGCACTCGAATTCAGCATCTGCGGAAGTGGTATTCCCACATCCAACTTGGGAAGCGACGTAGGTGAAAATGAATCCCAATGGGTCGTATGTCTCGTTGGGAGCTACTCCAGAGTGCGGGATGAAGGCTTTCACCAGAGGATCAAACGGATAGGCATACGAATACATATCCACGGACATGCCGCCAGCCTGGTATGGGAATCAACAGCTTGCAATCTGAACGGGTGGCGGGAAATCTTCTTACGGATTGACCGAACAAGGTCATCTGTTCTGGATCTGCTCCGAATGCGTGAATGTGGTTATACGTCCATTCGACGGCTTTCCTCACATCCATCAAGCCTGGATTGAGATTTCGGCCGTTGAGAGCTTCTGCCGCTGGGAACCCGAAGATGTTCAGGCGATAGCTGGAGGACGTTGTCAGCTTCAATCCATCCAAAGTGCCACAGGAGCGTACTTCATGGCAACGACGATGACATTTTGGTCAGCAGCGAGACGATCGCCGTATTTGTATGGACTTGCTGCACCGCCCGACGTAAAGCCACCACCGTGGATCCAAATCATGACTGGGAGCTTCTCGCTTTGAGAGGCATTCTTCGGTGTCCATACGTTGACTGTGAGGCAACCTGAGCCCTTCATCAGCACGAATGACAAGAAGAGATCACCGAGCTTGCTGACCTTCACTAGTTGGCTGTCCTGGAGTGAGAAGAAATCCATTCAGGTACTCAGTGTACACTGTCGGCTGCCCGTTGCTATACTGAATACATGAGGGGCCGAACCAGGAGCCATTGATAAGTTCAGACATTGGAGCCTTAGTGACTGGGGGCCGGAAGCGAAGTTCTCCAACCGGTGGCTCGGCGTAGGGAAAGTTGCCGAAGAAGTTCACGGCGGAATTGTTTGGCCATATCGTTCCTTGGACAGCGAAAGCGCTCGTCTTGACGACGGGAGCTCCGTGAGTGCCATGAACGGGAGAGCAGACCGCCAGCGGCGAGAGTGCCAGCGGCGAGAGTGCCAGCGGCGAGAGTGCCAGCGGCGAGAGTGCCAGCGGCGAGAGTGTTGAGAGGGCGATTTCGAGAGCGAATCGCACCATGTTCGAGTCTCGAGATGACCTTGTGAGAGAGTAGAACCGACATAAAATACATCATTGCTCTTCTTTGTACGGCGTCCTCGCACCTCGGAGTGTAAAACACATGGAGACTTCCCGCTGGACTTGTTTTGTATGATGATTCGCTGCAACCCTCGTTCTAGCTAGGATACTCGGCCGCTACGAGAGGACATTTACACTCCGATGTGCGAGGACGCTGTAATGATGGCATTGTTGTCTGCCTGTTCGCGGCATTATCGCCCGAGGTCATCGACTCCCGTGCATGTATGGAGCTGGGAGAACACTTATCCCCCTCCATATATCTACCTTGGAGCGTTAGTGTAGGTAGATCTTTAGGGGCCCCCAGACGGTCTCTCCACAGCCGGTGCATATAGCAGTGTATAGTGTCTGCTTCTCCGCACTACGTTCGCATGAATGAATACGAACTGAGTTTGAGACTTCCTCCGAAAAAGGTCTCTCTCCCAAGGCGCGTGAAAGGAGTACTTGGCTTGGTCGGTCTTCCTTCTAAAGCTGTTCCTGGACATATGATCTTCAAGACCCTTGCGGTGCAATGGTATAGGAATAGACCACATCTTTTTGTCCCTACTCTGGGCAGAATCCTCTGACGGATACTTGTGTGCAATGAGGAGGCGTTGGGAAATTCCACAGGGAAGACGGTTGATTTACACATGTTGCGGCATAGGGTGGCGTAGTTGGTTGATCGACTTGGATGAGCCACGAGGGACGGACTTTGGGAGCGTGAAGGTACTTTGGCACAGGCCCTGATGACTGAAATATTTTAAGAGCTCCTACTTCGGGTCCTTGTATACCTCATAGTAGCGTCTCTACGCTGAGCTCGTGGCGCACTTTCGGAAACCTTCGATTGACACTGCTCATCTCCTTCCAGGACGCTTCGGCCTAGCAAATCCAGTGCTCGGTTTCATGTTCTCAGCTGCAGACTGTTCCGCACTCTCGTCACCACCCAACGATTCCGCCGTAATCTCACTCGGTTCCGTCGCCTCCAAAGACTTGGTAACAGTGATGCCAGCATCACGCTCCGCCACAATCCTCGTCCAGCTCTTGCTAGTACTGTATACCATCCTCTCCTTGATCTTCGACGCGCTCGGACAAGTATAGATAAACCAAATCTTCGGCTCGGCCTGCGTCCCGGAAGGATGAGAGTAGAACGTATACCGCGGCTCAGTCGTAGATATATGACCCGCGACATCCGAAGGCTGGACCGCGTCGGCAGAGGAGTCCAACGTCAGAGTCTCATCGGGAAGTTGGAATTTCAACTGCACCAGTGTTCCTCTGCAGTCTTCTTCTTTCAGGCACGCCAGTGCTTCCAGCACACCGTCACCAGTGGGCACGTTGACTTTGCTGCTCACGTGTCCCCTCCGCGCACTCGTGCCCTGCGATTCCTGCGCCTCTGCCTCTTTCACGCCCGCCAGGCCCGCTTCCTCCTCCGTCAGAGGCGCGGAGAGATTCTCATGCTGTTCGTGTTTCGCCCAGCCGGAAGCCGTCAATTCCTCTTTTTCCGTCGCGAAGAGCGTAGATCGGAACCGTTCGATCCCGAGTTCGCGCACGAGCGTCAAGCGTGTGGACGCGAAGAGCATTTTCTGCCGGACCGGGGCGGAATTCGGCACAAAGGTAACTGCCACATAGCCATCTGGTGCGTGAGGGTCGATTTTGAGGAGGATGTAGGCTGCCGCGCTCGGGGAGAGGTGGGATTGGAGCTGATGGAGATCTTCCTGGAAAGGAGAGGCTTGGAGGGGGATGGTGGTGGTGGGAATGAGCTTTTCGTCTTCGATGCCTGCTAGGAGGGCTCGTTGGGAGGCGTCTGAGACGAATTGGTTGAAAGCATCTTGGAGCTCTTGCGAGGCTACAACGTATTGTCAGTTTAGCATTGAAGGTGCAGAGCAAGTCCTCGTGCGGTACCTGAGATTCCGCTCTGCATCTTGATATTTGTTGGGTGGAGTCGCGATTGACCAGCAACGTTCGGCTAAGAAGACGCATGTGATAGAAGCCGATCTCGGCAGAGTCCCACTTCCTCTCCTGCAAGGTCCCTCCCACTTTTCGAAACCATTCACTTACCGCCCCACTTCATCATCACATGCTTCGACCGCTACGACCGCTACTGAGAGGGTCACATATCCACTAGCTAATCCCATTGAGAGATCTCATCTCCACCTGGCGAGTGTACCGGTCCGCGTCCTTCTTCCGACCCGAACCGAAGCTCCTCTTTCATCCATCCGTGATCTTATTAGTCCCTGAATTCCGTGTAATCATATCTCTTACATATCAGATCGTCTACATCCTTTCAAGCACAATTGTTCATCCATTTCAAATTTTGATTTCGAGCACCTCTCAAACCCTATACAACGACCGGGGAACTACCAACAGAAGAACGAACAACTGAAGCACCCAACCATGGATTTCCTCGTCGGCTCCTTCAACCATCCCTCCCTCTACCTCCTCAACTTCGATCCTAAAGAACAAACCCTCACCCTAATCCGCGAGCATCCAGCCATTGGCGGCCATTCCTGGCTCTCCCTCTCCAAGGACCACAAATACCTCTACACCACTGCCTGGCTCGCGAAACCCTCCATCGCATCCTACAAAATCCTCCAGAACGGCCGGGATCTCCAATTCCTCAACGCAAAGCCCGTCAAATCCCTCTCGGGGTACGTCTGCTGTAATGACACCCACGTCTTCAGCGCCGGCGGTCCGAGCGGGGAAGTGTTCCGGCTCGAAGCCGATGGTTCGATTGGGAACTTGGTGCAGGAATTGGATTTCGTGACGGGCCAGGGGGAGAATCAGAGCGAGAAGCGAGGCGAGGTGGCGCATGGGGATTTCGGCGGTCTGCGGCATGGGGCGCATAGTATCGATTTCAGTCCCGATGGGAAGAGTCTCTACGTGGCGGACATCGGGAGGAATTGTATCTGGACCTACCGCCTTCTCCATGCGAAACGAGGGATAGACGACCCGCCCTTGGATTTCGGAGCCAAGCACGTTTCCTCGAGAGAACATGATGGGCCCCGACACACGTATCCCCATCCAAATGGAAAAGTCCTTTATAGCCTGCAGGAGCACAGCAGTATGGTCGATGTCTTCTCTACAGCGCAAGATGGGACGACATTAGAACACAAACAAGCTTGCAGCGTTCTGCCGGAGGGGAAAGATTGTAAACAGTACTGGGCCGACGAAGTCCGCTATTCTACGGGCCCGGACCCCCTACGTCCGCGGTATCTCTACGCTTCGAATCGCGGACTCGAAGCTTCTACAAAAGGCTACGTAGCCGCATATCGATTGAAACCCGACGGATACCTGGAGAGCGAAGAACCGGTTGATATCTGGGAGACGCCCACTAGTGGAGGTCTAGCGAATGCGATAGAACTCGCTCCATGGCAGAAAGGACAGAGTGAAGACGTGGAATATATGGCATTGACGGATAGTCAAGAAGGATGGGTGTCTGTGCTAAGCTTTGATGGAAAGAAGATCAACGAGGTAGCGAAGGTGAATCTGGGAAAGACCGAAGAGGGTAAAGTGGTAGGTGCTGCTACTGCTGTGTGGCTGTAAGCCGGACAAAACCAAGGAGCGAAAAGTAACTTATTTTGGCTGTCTTGGGCTGCCTAGGATTGCTCGCACCTACTAGATGACCGCCCTCCACTGTCGTAGTGCCGCATGCTACTTGCTCTGAACTTCAGAGCCGTGCACACCTCGAAGATCTGTCGCTAGGGTATTGTTCTTGAGTTCCACTTCACACATCCACCCCTCCATCATCTGAACCTGAAGGTGACTCCTGCTCGTCCAGAATGCACACACCTTCCTGAGTCCCAAAGACACGGAGCTTGTTGCCGTAGACTCTCCAGAAGTCGCTTCCAAAGACCGGCACGCCACCAGGAATCGTGACAGCCTCTCTCTTATACCGATGCTGAAGGTCTCTAGGATTATACTCGAAGGGATCGTCTTTCGCGGGTGGGCCAAGCGTAGGATCACCAACCCTTTTCCACTTGCCACCAACAACAGAAGGCGTGAATCCCTCCACTGGCGCATCTCCTGCGTTTCCATTCACCTTGACACTACCATCGGCCTCCGGACTCTGAGACAGCTTCATGTGGGAGACTCCATTGGTGACATCCTGCGGTCGAGAAGTGGACTGTGGAGTTTGCTTGTCCACGTCAATGTATGCTCCCTGGCGTTCAAGCTTGGCAGACAGTCGCACTGCCACCTGAGCAGTGAGAAAGCTGTCGTAGCCCGCTTCGTGATATGCTTCCACGTTGTTGTACTTCGTGTGTTGAGGGTCTGTATCCACAATGGGCGTTCTCTCGGCTGAGAGTTGAGTGGCGATCTGTTCCAGAGAGCTGGCGGGGCTGATATCACCGCAATTGTGTGTCGACATGTACTTGGTGTCCACGATTATAGGCCAACACCTATGCAGCGTGTTCTGGAATTCCTCGACAGTGTCGGGCAGCGTCCCAATGAAAGTCCGGTAGACGTAGACCAAATCGAGGAAACAATTGTGTCCGACCAAAACGACTGGGTTCCTTCTCAATAGTGCCTGAGCGCGGGAAAATTGTGCCTTGAAGTCATCTCTGTCGTAGAAGATGGGCTGTCCAGTCACACTGTCCTTTGCGCACTCCTTCAGATCCATATTGGCGATGTTGTTGCCCAGCATTGCTTCAATGATCCACCGAAATCCCTTTTGCCGGCCAATTCGCTCCTCGTGCTCTCGCTTCTTACCCTCTGCAACTCTGTCCTCGCGCTCTTTGTCGAATTTGATAATCTGAATGAAGCCCTTCCTGCTCATGGTCACCAATTCCGGGTATTCGGCACGCACCAGCTGATGGACCAAACGCTTCTCGTATCGGGATAGCTCCTCTGTTGAAGGCTCTCCATCGAGCATGGTTCCAAATCCAACGGGAGCAATGTTGAGGTATTCGGGGGTGTCAAGGTGCTTCGAATCTACCCACGCGTTGATCTCGCTACGCACTCTCTCCAGAAAAGCCAATGACTCGAACTCGGTAGGTTTGAGGGCGATGTCGGAAATGGCAGATCTGTCTTGGCGTAGTGTGTACTTCTCGCGGGCAACCCTCGTCTCCGAACGTGAGAGATACGGCACGCCATGCGCGAATGGCCTGTTCATATCGAAGCCAACTCGGAGCAGGAACTCGGCAGCGCCAGATGAGAAGGAGAACTCTCGCTCAATGTCTATGCGCTCGTTGACGATGGGACAGAGGTCGAAGTTGTACGGTTTCAGCGTATACTTGCCGGCCTGGAGATTCTGCTCGACACAGGTCAGGCCGATCTGGAGGATCTGGTAGCGTTCTGCCGCGGCTTTGACCTCGAGGTACCGCTCCTGGAGTGTCTGCTTGCCGACGCTGGAGTTCTTGACCCATGATTCTTTGGTAGGGACGCCTGATAATTCCAGGTCGATTGCCACGAACGCGGACGTGGAAATGTCGGTAAGGATGTCCAGCAGTAGCGGGTAGAAGCTCGTCTTGTCGACATCCATCTTGCTGAAGGCTCTCGGATTGGTATGTTGTGTTGTATCAATACCTGCAGTTAGATGCTCGGTCGCTGAAGACGAGGCAAGCGGAGATGGAGCCCGCGACTGTGGCAAGAGTCCGGAGAAGATTCCGCGGATTGTAGGAAGAGCGACAGCTGAGCTTATGAGCGAGCAAACCTGCCGTCTCAGCAGCGTGCGCGGGAGCAGATTGCGGGCCGCTGCGTTTGCATGTGAGCGCAAGCCCCGGAAGTGAATGATGGAGCTATGCACCGCTCCGACGCATATGATGTGGCGTCTGCGGATCGAGCAGCACGGGTGCTTGGGCTTGAGCAAACTCGGGGGGAGAGGCATGCAATTGGAGACCCAAAGTCAAGTCTTACCCAAACTCCCCAACCCTAACGCCGTCCAGGAAAGAGATGATGAGGAGGTAGACAGACAAACGCCTCTCTCGATGATCCCTGGAGGTCTTCGTCGTTCCATTTTCCAAGGATGCGGGTGCAGCCTCGAGTGCCACATGGATGGCGGGCCTTCCCGGGTGGGCCTCGGCTGAGATCGGCAACTCACATCCGGACTCCGACTCCAACTCCAACCACCACCTCTCCGACGTGATGAACGCGACGACGCGGCTGGAATCGACGCGCTCTCCTCCAAGAGAATGGCCTCGACGGGACCGATAACGTATCAAGATGCGTTGGATTCACAATACCTATCCCGCTCCATATCCAGCTTGTCCCGTTCCCGCTCTACGAACTCCCTGATCGTTCGGACGTACAAGCAGGCCACTCAGCTCTACCTCACCAAGCGTTTCGAGGAAGCCTACGAGACCCTCGGGCCGATCATTAGCCCGCAACAAGCTGTGGGAGCAGGTGAGAACGAGCTAGACGGAGAGGGCAGTGTGCTGGGTGGAGCGGCGCCCGTCGCGCAGAGCTCACGAGGGACGAGGACCAAGGTGTGGGTGTTCTACCTGAGCTTGCTACATGCCATCATCGACCTGGGACCGGAGGAGGGAAAGAACACCTTCGGATCTGCGAAATGGAGACAACTAGCGGCCAAGGCTAGAGAAGGAACGATATGGGATGAGATCGTGAGGCATGGATACGGAGGGAATGAGGGAGAGGTCGATCCGGATGTGGTCGTCAATTTGGCTACGCTTCTGCTAGGACACATGCCGACGCAGAACTTGAATCAGCAGCGTCTGGAAGCATACTTGTCGGCGTCAGCAGATGCTGCTCACTTGGCAATGATGCAAGATGGAATTGCGACGCCAATGTCGAATGGGACCTCCTCGCCAAAGGAGTTGACAACACATTTGAAGATACTGGAGCTCTACTCCCTACATGTGCTACCTGCCAATGACGAATGGGACTACGCGCAGCAGTTCATTGAGATGAACGACATGCTAGACGAGGAGAGGAAGGAGGCTTTCTTGCACGCATTGGAATCACTCAAGGACGAAAAAGATGGCACAGCTCAGCGCGAACGGGAATTGGAGGAGCTCCGAGAGCGCGAGATCGAAGAACAGCGAGCAGCGGAGGAAGCGAGACGGAAAGAGGAAAACAGGAGGGACGAAGAGCGCAGGAAGGCTGCTGAGGCTGAAAAGGCGCGTCCGCCCAGCTCCTCAGCCAACACTCCACCATCATCGTCACGGCCACCGACAAACGGCAAGGGTATCCAGAAACCTGTGCCATCTCATGCTGGATCCAAACCTCCGAAGCCGCAGAAAAAAGTCCGCACTCCAACGCCAAACCTGTACAGCCGCGCGTCATCGGTGCTAAACAATCTTCAACAAATGATACTGCAAGCCAGCCGCAACGTCACTGGCAACAGCATGGCTATGATGCGCCTCTTCATGTTCATCATCGCTTTTGTGCTTCTTCTGGCCCGCCGAGATCTACGATTGAGATTGAAGCGCGCTCTCGAGGAGAGTTGGATGAAGGTGAAACAGACTGTCGGGATGGGCGTGAAGGTCTCGTACATATGATGGGCGTCGCTGCTTCCGGATGCCACTCGTTTCCTTCTACATGGAGTATGGCATGCAACTGAGCGCCAATACCCATTTACGCTTGCGAGCTGGGGTTTGTATAGTTTGGTGCTGCTTGACACCACAATGTACTTGTATAGCACGACGACGATCAAACGTTCCGATGGCCGACGTATCTTTCCCTTCCGTATGTCTGAATGACGATGGTGATTGGGCTCACATGTCTATGGGTATCACGGTCTATTCGCGTCGGCTTGGGGCATCCGCAAAGCTACAGCTCACGTCTGCGATTAAACGTCCTGCTGGCCGACTTATCTTTTTCTTTCGTCTCTTGGAGTGACAACCGGTGCTTTGACTCCCCTGTCTATGGGTACGAAAGTCTATTGACGCCGACTTGGAGCATTCACGAAGGTCAACCATTGTTCTTGAAACACGCGACGCATCGGATGCAACCCTTCGTGACAGCCTCAAGCACATTTCGCTATGTCGGCCTCCACTCCGCACAGAAATCGTCGCCCTCTTCAGCCAAAATTGCATCTTGCCAGCATCCACGGCAGTGGCAACTTCTGCGGTCGGTACAAACGTGGACGTTCCCCGTCCGCAATCCCACCCAAGTCAGCGACTGGAACTGGCCCTTCTACAGGGCACGCGATCGCTCTAGCACCTCGTCTGGTGCTGCTCACGAACTTCCACCCGCACTCATTGCAACTACACCGGCCAGTCCCACAGGTATCGCAATTGCACTCAGGATCGAGGACAAGAGACTGTCCGACGCCATTACGGAGACTAGGAGATTGGTGTCGACGGGACGATCATAGCTGCTTCGCTACGAGGCAGCTACCTCCTTCTTAGGCGCGCTTCGTGACTTTCCTCTTCCACATCCACTATCTATATTCGGTCAGGGTTCCAAATCGTGGGATAGTACGGAGAAGACGACGGTCTCTGCAGCGCGCCTGAGGACAAACCGCGCGTGTCTTGGGTGTGTGGCTATATCTCAATCCGCTTATCTTAGCTAAAGTAGCTTACTATGCGTAAGAGTTAGTACTTCGATTATGTGACGATGGATGTAGGTATTCCACCAAGTTATAATAATATATCGAAAACTGTATATATAAACTTGTAAAACTGCGGTATGTATTAGCAGAGAACTGAAAATACTCGCGTTATAGAGCCTACCAGGATTTTCCCTCCCCTTGCTACAATTATATAAAGACTATACATATTTACGACAACATATATACGAGATCCCTCAGCAAGACGTTTTTAACAATATCTACATGTTGATATAACCAGATAAGTTGTTGCTGCTTATGTACAGCAAGGTAGGGGAAATTATGAAGCCACACATCAACAGCGCGCTTTGTCCTCAGACTCGCTACGCGAACAGAAGGCGCTATTACTTTAGCATCAACTGTAACACGCCTTCTGTTCGCGTAGCGAGTCTGTTGGAGATAGCCAAAATTCCAGACTTCAGCATCTGGCTTTTGCCGTTCAACCGAAGCAGCTCAGCAGCCCAGCAGCAAATCGGCGACTGGTGTCGCGCAGAGAGCAACGTCCCGAGCTTCCTGAGGAGTAATTTCGTGCGCGTGACCAAGCCTGCCAGAGCAACCTCTAAGGACCATCGGCAGCAATGACCGGAGAAGTAAGGGTAGCCTTTGTCTGCCAAATGTGACCAAATTCCGGGTTGGGATGCGCCACGGGGACAGACGAACCTGTCAATTCCCGGTCGCCGACTCTGTGTGTGGACGCCTTTGGCAGCTAGCTTCTGAGAATGGACATCTAGAAGCCGTGGAAGCTCCTGCTAGATGTGACGGAGACCGTGACAGCCGAGCTTGGGAAAAGCAGCAAATCTTGCTTGCTCCTGAGAACGATTTCGTCTATACTCATGCTGTCCTTCGCGATCACGGGGTAGATAGCATCGAATTGGGCCACACACCGACAGTAGGCGAGAAGCTCTGAGGAAGAACACGATTTTGGTCAGTGGTCGCGTCCGAAGCAGAATGGAGTACTGACCAGTAACTCCCGCCTCCTCTCTTCAAATCTTCGATGTTCGTTGCGTTGTTTCAGGCTGAAAGGCGTGTTGCTTCTGCATTGCATCCTAACTCTGAGGGCGTGAAGTTCTTCGGTAACGTCCGACGGTGTAAACCTTATCTGACCAAATCGTAGACCTCTATCGCGATGAGTGCCAAGACATCCTCGCTATCTGTAATACCTCATACAATGCATCGAGATATATCTTTGAAGATCCTTGCCCGTATGCCTGGAGGGGCTTAATTAGGAGGCTGGAGTTTTCTTCATTCGCCCGCTCCGGTGTTCGACGATGGGCCGACGGCGCCGACGAAATCAGTTAGAGCGGACTTATTGTGTGAGCTTTGTCGAACGCCCGTGACGCCCAAGCGAAGAAACGGAGTTACGTCCGCATAGCATATCTCCCTCAGACCCGCTCTGTCCGATCCCGATGCCACGGGTGCATAACTTTAACGCAAGAGCGGCTCAAGAATCTGTTGTGTCACCTTCGGCTCGCGAGCCTCATGTATACTGATATTTCGTATCTGGTGCATTGGGACCTCATGAATCATCAACATGATAGTGGAAGCTGAGCTGCTCTCTTGCTAGTGGTGTGATGAAATCGACGCAAGTAATTCTGTTCGCGGCCGTGCGCTCAACGAGCCCCATATCGTTCGCGCATGTCCTTAGAAGCTGAAAATCAATAGTCGTTGAGGTCAGAGAACCTCAATCTGTACAGTTACTCCGTTCAAACCCGTTCACATTTGTGATGGAAACGTGAAATTGAACCGATACCGCAAGGCACTATTGGTCCCAGGACAGCGAGAGGAAGCTAGCTAGAGCCAAGAGCTCTCCGGACCGGATGTACCTCTCCACGTGAAGTATTTGTCGTCTGCCGTCACGACAGGTCCTAAGAAGATCTACCGCATCCTTTAGAAGCAAGCTACGTCGTTCATCGTTTCTCATCGACCGGCCAATCGGCGATGATCCAAGTGTTCTCCTCAGTGGCCTATGTCCGCTCCACGTGGCCGCCCTTTTTCTTCACTAGGGGATGCAGTAGTGCTGTGAATGCAGAAGTCGTCGGCGATACGGCAGAAGGAATGCGGACCCAATCATTCTGACACTCGCTGATTGTAGTACTTCTTCACGTGTAAGTTTGCAGTAGGTTTTCTTGCCACATGAGTTGGGTCCTGCAGTTTTCCTGCACAAGTAGCGAATCGCTCATGTGAGCTTATAGAAAGAGGGTTGAAGTGTCTGACCAGCGAGAAGATAGGATGCCCGTGTTTGATAGGATTGGTGGAGCTCCTGGTGGTAGCCGCGAGGTCTTCACGGCGTTGGTCCAAAATTTCCGATTTCGATCAGAGATACGGCATTGTTCGGGTGCATGTCAAGGTACATCATCCAAAAGTGCATGCATCTGTTACGGCAAGTCGTGGCTGCGCGTCAAACGAGTAACGCGAGGGAGATCGATGGTGGTCTAGATGCTGCAGGTGATGTACGGCTGTTATTCAAACAGGTCAGTGGTGATGATGTTCGTCTGTCAGATGTGGGATCGACGAATCGAAAGCCGTAATCGTCGATACGCACCGTAGCGCAACGGAGGATGCAGGCTGAAAAGCTTCACGCTCCGTTGGCTCCATTAGTGGCGCTTCGCCTTGGCAATGTGTTTATATCGATCCGTAATCAAGATTGTGTGCTGGCCGCGGCAGTTGACCGAAGGCAAATGGTGTTGTCTTCGGATGTCCATTATCAGTTAGGCAAAACCTTGCAAAGGTCAATGGGCTTTCATCAACGCTTTTCAACATACCGACGTCTCCCAAAGGCCCTTGCACATGCTGTGCGCTCACTCTCATCCGCGTAGAAGTTCGTCGATCGATACAATAGTACTACAGTGAAGTGCGCCGTAACAAACCAGGATCGTGCATGAGGTAGACATTTGGCAGAGAGGCCCACCTGTCCATTGGCCTGTCTTGTCTGGTTGTACCGTTTGCAACTGCACTTCTTCTATCACGACTATTCGGTTTCGGCTCCTTCAAGATACTTTTCGACTTGCCGAGTCTATGCATCGCTTTCGACTATTTTTCGCGGGTGAGCAGCGCAACGAGTGGTTCATCCGGCAGACACGCCCCCTCCTGACCAATGGCGGTGTATGCAGCATTGTCTATTCGGTCTCGACCTGCCACACAGCGGTGTAACCCAAAGTCTCCCGAGTCTGTGATTGGATCTGTTCGTTGGAGGTGATTGTAACGTGTTTAGCACGATCTTGCATCTTCAGACCTGCGCAACGACTTCTGCATTACAGGCATTGATCTTGACGAGATCTACTGACAGCGTCGCAATCGGCATGCGCGAGAAACCTTGCGGTGGAGTGGAGGGTGCGTATGAGACGCGGTCAAATGTGTTGCTTGGTCGGCAGGCTGCCGTCAGGTCGAAAGAGCATGTAGAAGGTGTGCGTTCGGTATCTTTCTCCGCACCATGCAGATTGTCGGGCTTGACGGACGGGCTGACGCACCATGAGAAGGCCTGTCAATCATTCTTGACCACTTCCCGAGACGCCGGTGCCGACATCGTGCAACACCATCTTCACGCACGCCGTCGAAGCTCTGCGTCGGACCGCCAAGCTCGGGGGATCCAAATCAAACCTTGCATGAGCAGGCAAAGATTCTTCGGTTAGCGCGAGGCTTGCGCATCTGCAAAAGGGACATCATCGGCTTCTTCATCGCGCTGGATCTGTCGTTCGAGTATCCGAAGGTGAAGACCGGTAGCCTGGCAGCTGCGGCTGCATAGTAAAGCGACACTGGCAAATACACGTCCTACAAAGCCGCAAACGGTGTCGAATGCTGCGTGAGAAATCCGATTGACCTTGCTCGCCATTGAATTGGAATAAGAAACGGACGAGCCGGGTGGGCAGCGCTCGTGCTGCCGTCGGAGGCGCTTCCAGCGTCGAGGAATTCCGCGGGGACACGGAGTTCACCTCCGATAGTCGAGCTGTGAGCGTGTAGTTGCGCTGCCGGAGGCGTTTCCATCATCAGCCTCCGCACCCCCATCACAGCACAAGCATGGTCTGGAGCCCCGTGACGCCTCCAGCTGTGCCTGCATGCTTTTCCAACCGGTCGGATCGGCTCACAGCGTGCCATCGCCTGTCGCAATACGCGGCCGACTACATCACATTCTGCCGTCAAGCGTGCTTTGTCCCGCGTTGTGTCCCGGGTGATGTCGCCTGCCGCTGGAAATAATTTGGAAGTGGATAGACGATCCGTGGTCCCAACATGAAGCCGCTCCCCCCCTAATACGCAGTTGACACAGCGAGCACACTCGTGACAGTGTCGTCTGGGGTAGATAGCTAAATACCCACCGCATCGGAATACTGTCGCGACTGTGTCGATCGGGCCCGATCAGATAAGTTCTTGTACCGACCTGTGCAAGCGCAGAGGCAAACCTTCGCAGGCATTATTGTATTTTCCTTCCAGACATCCTTCGTTGCCACGAAGCACCAGTTCGTCGTCATAGACCATTCTACGCACGCCCGCCTAGTCTACCCGCGCTTATCCTTGCCCAAGTATGTACCGCTAGTATGTTGTTCAAGCCTGCCGTCACATAGCGGCACTCGTAGAGAGGACTCTCTCATCACACATGCGACCCATTGCTTTCTGACCTGGTACTCACTGGCCAATTTCTTTGGCTGCAATCATCGACGTAGGTCTGTGCTAGGATCTAGCCGAGGCGACGGACCCGAGACTTGGGCTTGAAGCGGTAGCACATAGCTCGGAAGAACCTCCGAAGCTTTTCCAACAACGACAGGCTACCGATGGGTACCATGTATCGATCATTGTGAAGGCAAAAATCCTCGTTCGAGACCTTGCTTCGCAGCGCTCGAGGTGGCTGCCAGCATGAACGCGCAGTCTGGACACCGTCCAGGAGATGGACGTGACGGCGAACGACCGACACGCAATGGCGGGATCCCTATTCAGCTCCTCTTGTCTCCTGGCAATGATACTGTCGCTGGAGCTCGGCATACCTTTGGGCAAGAGCGCCAAAGCCAACCTGGCCCACTCCTCAATCAATCTCGCAATCCTTCGATATCCGTCTCAGCCATCACCAACCCTGTCTCGGAGCCTGGGATTTCATGCGTACCAATTAGAAGCACAAATGCGGAAAGCGGAGGAGGACGTCGAATGAGTACTGCGAGTCAAGCAGCACAGCTCGAACCTGAAGATTCCACGTGGAGACCTACGGACCTGACCAGGAGACCCAGAGCTCCCAGACCAATATACAGCGAGGAGCAAAAGTTCTTCATTATGTAAGTGACCCTCCTCTCTTTCGCCGCAAGTTTGCTCCATGGCTCATGTGCATGTCTTCTTTTAGGTTTGCTCGCATCATGCAAGATCATAGCTGGCCAGAGGTTGAAGAACAGTTCGCGGAGATTTTTGGCCAGCGAACCAAGGGAGGCTTAACATCCGTGTACTATCGAGTACGCAAGGACTGGGGCTTGGCCGAAGTGCTGAAATCTGGACCGGGATCGGTTGCTGAAGACTGCCGGGCTGTCGAAACACGAGCACTCAACTTCTCCGCAGAATTCCTTCGCCAAATTGGATATCTGTCAGCACGCCGTTGAGGTCGCCTTGGGAGAGGTACCTTTCCCCTTCAATTGCAAGGCACTACTTTACAGATTCTGTGACAATTCGACGATTTCAGGTCTAGACATTGATATCCTTTTGAAGTGTCAACGACAATATCATAATTCCAAGATTGCACACACATTGGCGATGAGGCGTTCCGGTGTTTGGGTGTTTAGGACGGACTGACTGGTTGGAAGAAGGGCGACAAGTACTGGCCACAGTTGTGTCATATCGAGCCACTGGGGCGTGCTGTACTGGTCTTACTAGTTGAAATATTCGGAGAACTGCTGCGGAGTTCCCTTGCGCCACGGCCGAGATTCGTGATTGGCTTCGTCGTCACTGAGGTTGCCAGTCTCTGCATCCCACTCTTCATCATCCGATCCCGCGTGAGCACGATAGCCATATGCATTCCGGTTGTACTCATCATCGGAAGCAAGTTCGTCATCCGGGTAGTCAGCGCCGTACCAGTCCTCGGCATTCTCATCTTCTTCATCGCTGTCCCAATCTTTCTCACTGGGGTCGTCCTCGAGATAAGTCTCCCAAATAGCTTGATCCTCTTCCGTGATGACAAGGTAGCCCACATTGCCAAGCGCTCCTTCCTCGCCAACTTGGGCTGCACCGGCGCCGGAGCTTGACGCAAGCACGTAGGTGTCGTAGACGTAGTCAGTATCATCATCCGTGTCTGTAGCTACATCCATATAGTAGTGTTGCGTCTGAGTATTGACTTGCGAGGCCCGCTGACGATGCAGTTCAAGGCTCCGCTGCGGTGGCAGCTTCGGGGCTGAGGTAATCCTCGGCTTCGGTGCTGCCTCCATGGCTGCCTCTTCGACTGCGAAGCTGTGTAGCGAGTCTGCCACCTCTTGGAGCTTTGGATGCACTACAGGTTGTATATTGCTGCTTGAGCCTTGATCATTCTCCAGGGAGCGTGCAGCCGATCTGATCGCTGCGCCCTTTCCAGGCCGCTTCAGAACTTGGGGAGCCGGCGGAGTATCTTTCTTCTCGGCAGCGTCGCGCTCAAGCATGTCCAGCTTTTTTCCTTGTTGCAAACCATGTCTAAACTTCTCAACGGCTTTCCTTTTCTCCTTCTTCTGATTCTCCTTCTTCTGGTTCTCCTCCTTCTTCTCCATGAACGTAGCAATTCCATTCCACTTAGCCATCTTGCGTCTCGTGTTGATGGCAGCTTCAGGAGTACTCGGACGCTTCAGGTGGAAGAACCGTCTCCTCTTAAGTACACTAGGTGTGCCATTTGATCCGCTTCCTGACGCATGTGCTTTGGCTCGAGTATCACCGTTTCGCGAAGCTCGTGCGTCTCCCTGATGCTGCTCACCGCCTACATGAGACAGAGCAGGCACGCACTCTGGCTCGCTCTTCTGAAGCACATACAGAGGTTGGCTGTCATCCTGACCAGACTGACTGTACGGTTTCTTTCGGCCCCTCTCCATCAGCAGCGTTTCGACTGCGGGCTCATCCCTCTTGCGCTTCAACTTGATAATTGCCGGTCCAGACATCTCGGTCGCAGTCACGGTGGAGGCTGTTGTTCCAGGCGATGATCGAGCTCGTCGTGGGTTGGAAGGACACGAAGCGTGTCGGCGCGAGGTGCGGGTGGCGATTGGTGGAGATGGCTTCTGCTGCGCTCGATTCCTCACCTCTCCCCTTTTGTGAGGTCGCAGGACGGTCGGTGTGTGTCTTGCAGTTGTGTAGCCCAGCGCATAAGCGACGTGTTCCGTTCGAAGACGAAGAAGCGGTGCGCGACAATGTCGGCAGCAGTAGAAGCTGTTGTATGTAGAAGTGCTTAACGTCACGTGCACGGGTTCACGTGATGCACGGCTCCAATGCGTTCCTTCAAACTCACAGCATACACGTTCTTTTCTCAAGTATACTACTAGGTCTACGTACTAGTGCCCTTTTAATACGCTAATTACTATCTGGGAAGCTAGCTAGGAGAGTTCCAGCTCTACTATATTTAACGTAGAGACTAAACGATAGTAGTAGATATAATAGTAGAGATAGAGAGAGTAGAGTTATTAGTAGTAGTAGATAGAGGAAATAATAAAGCTAATTATAGTCTATTAAAGTTAGCTTTAAGTTCTTACTTATACTAATCTAATACTAGAATAGCTATATTCTTAGTAGTAGAGGTCTCTATATATAAGGAAAGCTACTAATAATTATGTAGTATTTAATTACGTCTAGTAGTCTATTATACTATAGGTCAGATAGCTCGCTTATGACTAAAGCCAATTAAACCTTAATGTTCGATGGGAGAAATAGTTCCGTCTTTTTTCTAGACGCTATACTTTACCTTCCAGTACATGCTTTCCCCCACTACCTTTACACCATCCCAACAACCACCACTCGCTGGTATGAGTGGCCGCATCTCCGGTGGCACAGCTGACCTTGCCGAGCAGCATCGAGTAATCCAACGAGGCCTGGGGTTCGATCTCCATCCCACGATACGGGAGAGCCTGGCTGGCAGCAGTGGCATGCTATGGATCGCAGAGGTTTACCCAGATGGGGCTCCAAAGGACGCAAGGAGACCATTTCCTGGCGCCTTGTATGAGGGTGTTAGCGTCAAAGAAATAACGGCTACCAAGGATGTGGACGAAGAGAAGAAAGGCCGATTCAATGTCGTGGTGGTCAGACTGCTGCATACTGCCTTGCCAAATGACGCGTGGCATCGAGCTATCCAGAGATTAGCTTCCCTACTTCGTCCAGGTGGGTGGCTTCAGTGGGAAGACTTTGACCCCCTCACTGCTAGGATTGCTGGAGCGAGGCCAGGCTGCACAGACGCAATCTTAAGAGATGTACTCCAGCGGTATAGAGACGATTTGCAAGCACGTCAGGTCGGGGTTACTTACCGGATCCCAAAGTCTCTGAGATCTGCAGGACTCGTCGATGAAGACTCGGGTAAGCTTTGAAGAAGCAAATCCCACCCATCAGCCGACTGAGAACGCACAGATATGTATCCATTCAGCCCCGAGGTATCATTCAGCAGAAGTGTAGCTCACGGGGCACTTCGATCGTTGCAGAGCAGTGGCGCTGTGACCCAACATGAAGCCAGAGAGCTCAACTCGAAGCTCGACGAGGAGATCACCACAGGCAGCCTTCTCCTGTGGTACGACCTGTGGTGTCACATAGCTCGGAGGCCTTAGCATCTTGTCTTTCCACTGAGGTAGGCATATGACAGCTGACCTGCTTAGCCGCCTCTGCTATGTCGGTGCTTCCAATACGCTGCCCGGCTTGTTATTGGACTTTCTTGCAAAGCCACCGACTGCTCTGAAACCATTCTGCTCATAGTATCTGGCGCAAATGGAGATCAGCTTACCATACACCAACATCATCTGCTTGCAGTTGCTAGGCGGCCTCTCACCTTACCAGTTTTCGACCATTTCCGTCCCAGCAATCAAGGCAGAGGCGCCGCAAACCCAGGTCGTGACAATCTTCTTTGCGTGCGGTATCAGTACTCCGCCAGTTCCCTCCCACACGTCACCGGTCCATGGTTCCTCGATCGGATATGACGCCTGCCATATAGGCAACCGCCTCGATGCTATCTTGTTCTGGCAAGAATGCTTGTGCCGACTCTGACGCCTTGCTCTTGAGAACCAGGCCTGCCACGGGTACCATGCTCCGTTCCTCACCATCTTCAGTTCCTCGTCAGCTGATGCAGTACTTGCCGGCCCGATCTTGAATAGCGTCATGTTGGTGTTCGATAGGAAGCGATCAGATTTGAATGAGTTTGGTGAGGTGGAGTGTGCCTGCCCAACAGACCGCCTCACCTGTGGAACTACGACCTTGGTATTTCGTACAGAATTGCACCTTCCGCCAGTCACTTGGAAGTCTCGTCTCTTCGATATCTATTCGTAGCATGCTCCCACGTGACATGCCATCATGCACCCCAGAAAATTAGTTCGGAAGATCGACGGTGGCAGGATTGGCGGGAACGTGTGCACTTGTTCGCTCTACACTGCACCATACCGTACGTCGTGAGGTTGTCGTTGATATTCCTGGCGTACTGGTATACCACAACTCGTCTGAACGAACATCATCGCAATATTGACCGAGCCAGACGTGGTTAAGCTTTCACGTTCCGATCTAGCGGCGATCTCCAATTTGCATCTGGGATCCGGGTCCTTGCGTGGTCGGGCCTTCCCGGGTGCTGGTGTCAAGTCAGTTTGCCCTCCTCGGCCGTCGTGAGCAACAAACACCTCGATGAACCACGATCCCGCGCTTCCTTCTCTGCCGATCCGGCCCTAACGTCGAATCTCTGCTGGGACTTCGTAGCCTCCTACATATTCTCTTTGTCGTCGCTCTTTCCTGCGGCCGCCGCGACCTCCCAAGCAGACAAAGGACCAGGACTTCCCTTTGACGTCAAACCCGCGGGCCACTATCAAAATGAACTGTCCTTCACGCACTGACCCCGAGGTTCCCAATGACTGGAACCAGAGTCCGAACGACCTGGCCTCCGACACCACCACGAGGAGCGATCTGGGCAAATTGGCTAGTGCTCGCGTGAAGCATGATCACAAATTGAAGAATCAGGACGGAGCGGTGGTCGAATTACGCCAGGTGGCGGAGCCCAGCCATGTCGAGGGAGCCACGATGCGCCGGCGACGCAGCGATGGAGCCTCTTCCATCGCCCATCCGGGGTTTGGAGAGCAGATGCTGGAGGAAACCCTTGGGCAAACCGTCCGTGGCTATTCTCGCACTCCAAACCCCAAGCTGCCCTCGTGGCAGCAACCCTTCAGGCGAAGTTGGCAGGTCTTGTGGAAGTTTGTCAAGTTCATCGGACCTGGCTTCATGGTTGCGGTGGTGAGTGACGTTGGGAAAGATAATACTGATGGTGGACATAGGCTGACCACGCAATGCGATCTTACAGGCATATATTGATCCTGGAAACTACGCCACCGATGCAGCAGCTGGAGCTACCTATCGATTCAAGCTTCTCTTCATGGTTCTGCTCTCCAATATCTTCGCCATTCTCCTCCAATCTCTTTGCATCAAGATGAGTACCGTGACTGGCCTCAATCTAGCAGAGATGAACAAAGCTCACTGCTCGTCGTGGCTGAACTACGTTTTGTGGTTCTTCGGAGAAGCCGCGGTCATCGCAACGGACATTGCTGAAGTCATTGGCTTCGCAATTGCACTGAACTTACTGGCCCCAAAGCTACCTCTTGTGGCTGGATGCGCAATCTCGATTTTGGACGTAATGTTTATCTTGCTCTTCTATCGCCCAGAGGGCTCGATGAAGGCATTGAGAGTCTTTGAATGCTTCGTCATTGCCTTGGTGCTTGGTGTGGCTGTGTGCTTCTGTTACCAGCTCTCTCTTATCAAGAACGCCACACCCGGAGAAGTTTTCAAAGGATACCTCCCATCGAGCGCAATTGTCCAGGGTCGAGGGTAGGTCAATGCTTGAACACAGAGACAATCGTAACGCTAATCTTCGACAAGCCTCTACCAGGCGTGCGGTATTCTCGGCGCCACGGTCATGCCTCACTCGCTGTACCTTGGCAGCGGCCTTAACCAGCCTCGACTCAGACAGTTCGACATGAAGCATAACTACAGTCGAACACACCAGGACGATGATGACGAGGACGCTCAGCCAAGTCATAAATACCGACCTTCATTGCAAGCGATCAACAGTTGCATGAAGTACTCTATCATCGAGCTAGCGATCTCGCTTTTTACATTTGCCCTATTCATCAACAGCGCGATCCTCATCGTTTGCGGTGCCTCGCTCTACTCCATTGCTGGTTCTCAGGATGCCGATTTGTTCGGTATCTACGGCCTGTTGAATGATCAGCTTGGACACGCCGCAGCGACCATGTTTGCAGTCGCATTACTACTGTCCGGCTGTTCGGCCGGCATCGTCTGCACCATGGCCGGCCAAATGATTAGCGAAGGACAAATCAACTGGAAACTCCGACCCTGGCTTACACGCCTCATCACCCGCTCCATCTCAATTGTCCCGGCTATCCTCGTCGCCGGCACCATCGGCAAAGACGGTCTCTCGAAAGCTCTTGTCGGATCTCAGGTCGCCCTGAGTATCATCCTACCCTTTGTCTCTGCTCCTCTGATCTACTATACTTGCCGCAACAAGTATATGACCGTCGTCACCTCTCCCGACCATTTGGATGGCTCTGGCAATCAAGAACCAGAGGTCAAGATGAGGAACCACTGGATCCTTTCGGCAATTGCGATTGCAATCTGGATTCTCATTGTTATCATGAATGTGGCCAATATTGTGTTGACCGGTTTGGGGTTCAATTAACTCCAACGAACGAGCGGAAGTGGATTGAGGTGGTGTGCGGTCCAAAATCGGTATTATTCTTATGGAAGCAGGTCCCTTTGTACATATCCATGTGAAGAAGGGTCGGCGACTAAGCAGAGTCACCGCCGGCCTGGTATTGAGAATCACGCTCTTCCATAAGCGCGACTCCTTTCTCTATGCTCTCACTGCCTCCGCTTTGGAAGATATCATCTCGGATGACTCGAGCAAACGCCCGGCTCATAATAAGACTAAGAAGATAGCACGGCCCGTTGGAATGTCTCTACAATGTATGAGAACACTTCCTCCTCTATACCTTTCAGCCGAGTCTATGACCTGGACCGTGGCCGTAGATGTCATTGTTAGAGATTAACGCCTGGCTAAGACCGGGGTTGTTCTGGTCGTTCACGAGCTCGCCTGCGTTCTGGGCCTGATGCGAGCCTTCCAGCAGACGGAAGTTAAACCCACGGCTACTGATGATGAAATCGCGGAATTCACAGGTGCCGAGCAGAGCGCACATGTTAGCGTTGCTGCTGGGGATGCATGGCCCCAGGCTGCAGCAGCTTCTTCTTGCAAGTGTCGGGTTGTGGTATGATCGCAATACGTATACAAAAATTGAAGTTTGATGTTATAGCGCAGAAATGTGTGGGAAGAATGACGATAAAAAGAAAGGAAAGGAGCAGGTCGACCGGATCCAAGTACGTTCGCTTGTAGGTGTCAGCTACAAAGTCCTGCAAATGTTCACCTTGTCGGTCCATGCACAGTCCATCCTCGTGCATAAGAACCGGCTCGTTGCTTCTCATGGGCTATAAAGCAAATCAGTGCTAGACCGTCTCACCCTCGCGCTGTTTGTCTCTAGCAGCTCTAAGAGCTGCGAGTTCCAGGTCTTGCTTGAACCTTGATACTTCCCGAGCCACTTCACAGAGGTGCTGGCAGAGCAAGGACTCGTTGGCAGTGAGATAAAGCGGACCACAAGCAACAGCTTCCGCGATCCCGAACTTGAGGCATATGGTGACGATGGCTGCCTGCAACTCGCTGGTGAAGAGTGGATCCCGAGTGTATGCCTCCCTGACTGCGCAGGCGAATGACTTGCGCGAATATTTCATTTCGGCAACTGTCACGAATCTCTCTTTCGCCATTTGGGCCAGCGGTTTGATGCCGTACTTGGTTGCGAGTGCATGGATATAGACATTAAGAGCCATGGACGACGGTGCAAAATCTGCAGGGTAGTCTTTCCTATCCCAGTCCTCATCGTCGTAATCACCGATGTGCAGGTACTCGACAAAGGCACTTACTGCTGCTGGTATCTCTTCTCCGAGTTCACAGCTAATAAGGCAGGCCTGGGCTAACGAGGGCGATGCCGTCTGCAATTGCTTGTGGTCAAGTCGCCACTCGCGGGTGCCGCATTTGAGCAACACGTAATGTTGGGTGCGCGTGTCATGTTGCTGCTAAAAGGATTGGTTAGTCTTCTGCACGAAGTTGGGCTCGAACGCTTAAAGATACCTTTTGTCCACTCCCACGATCACTGTCAGCCGGAAAGGTCTTGTGCAACAGGCCAATGCGACGACAAAGCGCCCACGGCAAGTTGTGTGAAGGAGTAGGTGAGTGAATGGTCAAGATTTGGAGAAACGCAAGAGGGATATATAGAGAGTAGTGGAGGCAATGCCGCAAAGTCGTGGGACGCGGGCTTTCCCGCTGCCGACGACTTCACCTCTTCCTTGACATGCGACTCTTCTCTGCATCCCCTACAAAACCATCGGCACTACCTTTCATCGACAATAACACGGCAGCGACGGGGGCGTATCTGCTACTCATCAAGGAATCTCACCAAGGAAACCCCCAAGAAATCTCCCCGAAGACTGAGCAAGTGGGCGACATCGCTTCGCTTTGTTCCCAGTTGCGCGTGCTCACCGTAGCGCGCCGGAACCAAGGGCCACTGGAGCTGCGTCCGCTGAGGTGTAGACGCCATGGACGGCGATCATGGCGGCTTTGAGCAGACGAGGCCTCGTGGGCGGCCAAGTAGACGTGAGTATCTCAGGTTGGCCTTGTTGTTAGCCTGTCAATAGTCTGTGGAATGCAAACGGAAAGCCCGATTCTTCAATCAAGCTGCACACATTCCCAGCTGTCATCTCGCTCCCTCGTCAAATCGCTCAAATGAATGTGCGGCGTGGTCATGAAGAGACATGATGCTAACTCTGGCTTCTTCGCAGGCAATGCCACGGACATCGGAACCACATATGTACACTGGATGCATGATAGGCGGCCCACGAACCTTCGTGGATTCGACGTCGAGAGACCAGCCTTGAGCTATACAGCCGCAATGCTTCCGCCCGCAGCTCGGAAGGGCAAGGCGGTCGATACAATCCCAGCAAGACAACTCCATTCGTCATTCAACAAAGTCCGACATCCGGTCAATGTCGTCAAATGGACTCCCGACGGTCGCCGTCTCCTCACCGGAAGCACTAGTGGTGAGTTCACATTATGGAACGGGACAGGCTTCAATTTCGAAACCATCATGCAAGCTCATGATTCTGCTGTTCGCGCGGTGGAGTATGCGCATAGTGACGAATGGCTCATCTCTTCGGATCAAGAGGGGAACGTCAAGTACTGGCAACCCAACTTCAACAATGTTCAGGAAATTACAGCCCATCCAGGAGAAGCGGTCAGAGACCTCTCCTTCGCTCCCAACGATTCCAAATTTGTCACTGCTTCCGACGACCAAATGTTAAAGATCTTCGACTTTGCCAGTGGTAAAGAGGAATCAGTGCTGCACGCACAGGGAGGGCACGGATGGGATGTCAAATCTGTTGACTGGCACCCTTCTAAAGGTCTCATAGTGTCTGGATCCAAAGACCACCTGATCAAGCTCTGGGATCCGCGGTCCGGCCGCTGCATCACGACATTACACGGCTACAAGAGCACTGTCAACATGACAAGGTTTGAGCCTACTAGAGGAGTCTTGCTGGCCTCCTGCAGCCGCGATCAGAACATGCGGGTCTTCGACATCCAGATGATGCGAGACGTCTTCCTCCTCAGAGGCCACGAGAAAGAAGTCAACTCTATCGTCTGGCATCGCTTCCACTCCAACCTCCTGACGACCGGGAGCGCTAACGGCGAAATGTTTCACTACCTGCTCGACGAACAGAACGCTCCCTCAGCAAACGCCGTCACTGTCTCACCTTACGACTCCCCCAACCCAGCCGACTCTCCAGCCCAAACCATCTATCCAGCCCACAAAATCCAATACGCTCACGAATACAACATCTGGAGCATGGACTGGCATCCCATGGGCCACATCCTCGCCTCGGGCTCCAACGACAGGGCTACTCGCTTCTGGACCCGCCCTCGACCCGGCGACCACAGCTACGTCAACGACAAATGGCACATAGGCCAAGAAGCCGCAGAGCAAAAGGGCACCTGGAAGAAATCCGAACAAGCCCGTCGGGAAGAAGAAGAAGACGAAGCGGAAGACGAAGCCGATGGCCTGGAAGAACAGAAAATGCCCGCTGCCAGACCGGGTTCCTTCCTACCGGGCCTACCGGGTCTTGCAGCTGCTCCCGCCGTGCAACCTCCTCCAGCACTTCCGATCCCGGACCTCAGCTTCATGCAACTGCCGAACAACCCGCAGAATTTCCCTACCCAGCTGCCGTTCCCACCACCACCACACTTTGACCTTTCCTCCCTGCCTCAGCCGCCTCCGGGTATGCCTCCACTCCCACCCGGCTTCGTCCCGCCACCGGGATTCCCGATGTTGCCAGGAATGACCACCACCACGCCGCCAAGTAGTTCGGGAGGAGCAGGAGCAGGAGCGAACAGCGTGCGGAAGCGAGGCCCATTGCCAAGTCAGCAAGACAGTCTGAAAGCGGAGATGCAGCAGGGAAGGTATTTGAAGCCGAGGTGAAGGGTCTAGTGTGGTAGAATGCGCGGTATGAGCAGTGTTCTGATGCAAAGACTATTTGAAGTGAAACAGAAAGTCTGTCTCTTCGCTCTCCATCGAGGAATAAGCCAGACATAGTATATTTTAAGCGAAAGCAGCCGGTTTGGCCTTGCTCCAAAAATCAACACGCCGACGACGTTGTCTCCCTTTCGAAAATATACGATCATTGAAGAGGCTATGATACAGTTTCATACAGTATATCGATGCTAAAGTCACAGCATGCCGCTGTTCGCGGGCCCACACGTGCTTCGCATTCGCCTTTTGGAGCAAACCCATTCACAAGAAAGAAGGCTGCAGCAGGCTCTCTCTCTCTCCCAGCAAAAGAGAAAGTCAAAGCCACCAACACGGAGCCGAGCCTTCCGAAACGTTTCCACCATCTACAGCGCCATCGCAAAATTCGACATCGAGCTCATCTGTTTCGTTCCGCTTGGGGTCGCTCGCTCGCAGGAAATCTCCCCAACTCCACTCATCTCTCATAGTTCTGTCTTTCAAATCCCAGAACTTCAACTTCCTGGCCGGGCGTATGTTGCAGAGGCCTCAATTCATTCAGGCCCATCGCTTCCCTCACCGCTCGGGAATCGACGATCTGCCAAGTCCTCGAAAAAAGAATGATTGTAAGGATCCCACCTCCGGTGGCCTGGCTGCTAGCCACCACCACCATTACCGACATTCTGACTTTTATCCTTCGGCGAGACTGTAGCACTTGCATCACTCCCCCTTCTTGAGGATCTTGATCGCGAAGACCTCGAAACACTCCGTTCTGCATCGATCGGCTTGACGGAAAACCTCCCCGGATTAGAAGGCCCTTCGTTCTTAACTTTGAGACTTCCTTTCCTTCTAAGTGGAGGATATGCTATATTCGCCGGAGGGGATTGCGAGGCATGAGCGGCATTCAAAGCTCGGAGATCCGAAGATCCGTCGACGTGGGAGATAGATGCGCTGCTGCGGACAGAAGCAGAGCTGTTGCGTCTCTTGCTCGAATGACCACCCATCATCTTGCCTAACTCGTCTTCATCTTCTTCTTCCACTCTTCGTCGCTTCACCGCCAACGGTTCCGGGGGACTCTGTTGGTTCTGAACCATTCCAGGGCTTCCATCCTTTGGTACTGGTTTGCGGTCACGACCACGTGTTTCCTCTGACCCGCTCTTCCTGTTCTGGGGCGTGTCTGGTGAGCTGGCCAAGATATCCATTTCATCGTCGTCGTCATCGTCATCAGGATAGTTGACCAGTGGCTTCATCGGGCTGTTGTGTCCATTCGATAATCTTGCGGTGGCGGCGGTTGGCAGTTGCAACTCATCATCGTCACCAAGGTCACCTTCAGGATCATCGTCGGTGCTGAAGTACGCGTCCTCGTCCGGATCGGGCTCTTTAAGACCACTGAACAATTGCCGTCCGTTCACTGAGCGACCGCGATCGGGCGTATTCGGCTCCGTAGTAAAGCTCGTTTCGCCTTCACCAGTAGCTGGAAGGTATGGGTGCTGGAATTGTTCATACCTATGCACAATCCCTTGGAAAGTGTTCACATAGGTAATCCCCATCAGACGTTCACGATAAGTCTCGCTCAGATGATAGATAAGCTGCTTGATGTTCTCCCTCTTGATGTATTCGAAGAACTCCAGGCATGCACTGTTGAGAAGGTTGTCGCGGGGCATCGTCTCGTAGACAATATTCAGTATCGGCTCAAATAGTCGATTTTGCATGAGTTGGCGGTTGTGAAACTCATCCTGGAGTCCGATGCAAGTCCTGAACCATTTCAAAGCAGTAAGCTTCATGTACTTCTGCGGACACAGAAGTAACTGCGCGATTCTAGCGTGCAGGTTCTCCGCAAGAATAAACATCTTGCTGTTGTAGGCATGCTGCCTTACGAAGAAGCATAGCACCTCCACCAGATGGGTGTACAAGCTGGTCTCTTGCACAGTCAAGCCCAGCATTGACTGTCGCTGCTCCAGATCTTTCAGCGGCTGGAATAACCGCCTCGCGCCCTCTTCGTAGAAATTTTGGATGAATGCCTGAATCTGCGGCGGCATTCTAGGCCCATGATGATCGTTAGGTCCCCCGCCCCGCTTGGCCATGAACTCCGAGTTCCCCTGCCGGCTCATAGCCTCCATCCCAGCATTACTGGAAGAGGGATCGAGGAGAATCTTGATTGCATCGGCCATCTGACTCTTCACTCCCAGATCGACCTCCACCAGTAGTAGATCTATGAGCACGTCCGTGAGTGGCGTGGTCTTTTCGCTGATCGACTTGAAGATTTGACTCCGGACGAGCGGTGCATCGTGGTCGATCAGTGACACAAGTATATCCGTTCCTGCCACGCGGACTGCAGCGTCGTGATGCCGTAATGCAAATACAATCACGTTGAAAAGCCCATGGTGAATGAAGTTCTGGTACAGTTGTGCTCTCGACTGCGCCTGAATGTTCTTCGACACTGCACAGCAGTTCTGGATGAATAACACCGCTTCCTTCTTTCTGTTCTGATCCTTCTCGTCATCTTCGAATATCGTGAAAAGCTCCTTCAAAAAGTTTTGGTTGGACTGTAGGTGATTTACAATGTCGACCTGGTGGAAGAATATCAGGGAATTGAGGACAGAGAAAGTCGGATCGTCGAGTATGCGCGCGAGCACAACGTCCTTCAGGTAGAGCAGTCGATAGGTGTAGTGAATCTTCTGCTTGATGTTAAGGTGCTCGATCTTGACCACTTCTTTGAATTTAGATGTGTCGGAGAGATACTGCCGATGGTTTGCGCGATGTGAAGGGAAATCGGGGTCGTCTGGAACCATGTTAGCGAAGGCGAAATCTCCAGCAGCTTCAAGCCGGGCATCGCTTACACTCTAGAGCGCCCACGACACCCATAACCGCCTGGTCTGTGACTATGAACTCGATTATGGAGGTGTCGTTGAGCAAGATCAGATGCTTCATGATCGTGCATAACCGATGCAAATCCTGAGTCGTCTGCCGCTGTTCCGCCTCGTCCACGAGCGGCGCAAGCTTGAGGATATAATTGTTCCCTGGTGTCATGACAAACTTGGCCAGAGCATCCCGTCCAGCAGGCGTTGTGGAAAAAGCCCGTATCGCTTCCACAACATCCTCCAGCTTCCCCAGCGCAGGCTCCGGTAGACTTACTGACTGTACCGGATCTAGCAGATCGTCTGATATGCCGTCTTCTGACACGAGTCGAGTCTGGATCTCACTCACGAACTCCCATATCGCCGCACACCCGTCCGACTCTTGGAAGGACAATGCCATATCCACACCATTGCTCTCCGTCCACACGATGAGCGTTTCCTGCTGTTTCTGGTACCCATCGTCCTTGGATATGCGCGTCTCCAGAAGCGTGCGGTTCGGATCATCCTCACTGGTCACCAGTATCCGTGCGTCTAGGTGTTCAGGCGCCGCATTAGGGCTGCTCAATACGCTGCCCACACAGAAGCCGGTGCCGCGATCAAACCAGTCATTATTCTTGAGCTCGTAGACCTTCACGCGCTTCTTATCATTTGCAGAAGCGGACGCCATGGTCGCACCGCTGCTGCTGGACTGAGGACCGGCCAGCTCATCCGGTCGTGCTTGGCCGTCGCGAATGCGATGTGAGTGTGGCGGGCGCAGGCTCAGTGCCCGACTGATCGCGCGTTTTCAATGCAGCGCGCGCGAGGGCGGTAAGGATCGGTGGGGTGCGTGTTTGTTGGTGGTGGTGTTTCAGGGTACGGGCAAGGTAGGTGTTTGCAGCGACATGCACGTCGGAGGAGACCGGCCGGGAGAAATAGAGGTAATCCGATCGGGCGTCTGCTTCTGCGCTCGTACAGTCGAACCTAGTAGGTTTAGATGTGCGCAGGCGTTGCGCAAGAGGGGTAATGCTGTCGCGCGTGGATGCCGGTAGTTGGGATGTTCCGTGGGGCAATGTGATGCGAGTACGGCGGGATATGTGTTGTGTGTGAGTTGGTGCTGGGAGATGTCGTCGCTTGTCGCGTGCAGAGCGGCGACGAGGTTGAGTCTTAGTCCGAAACTGTCGGCAAGAGCCGCCGGGAGCCCAAGGTAGCACACAATCGAAGCCTCCGAAGTTCACCTTGGCAAGGTTCGTCGATCGTTGTACCTGTGCAGGCCTCGGATGATTCCTTCTCGTCCTAAAGCATCAAGGATCCATACACGGCAAATGTTTCGAGCCCTCACGTCCTGCAGTACAGTCACTTTTCGCACGGCAAACGTTCGTGCAAGTGAAAGCCCGCCACGACGTCATAGCTAGATGTAGTGCTTGACATTGAAGGGCTATTTTCGGCTCCACCACATCTCGAACCTTCAGCGATCACAACGGCTGGGGAACAACGACAACGACCCTGACATCGCACTCTGGCGCAAGAGCTATCCCCGTCGCCTATATCACACGGAGAATTACCGAGTCCAATCGCGACACTGCTGTCTGAGGGGAGGAGAAGTCTCGGCCAAAAGCTCCATCGCGACATTTCGTTCCCGCACACATGATTATTTCAATCATAAAGTCATAACCACTCTCAGACAGATTCACCTCTTCGTTCCGTTCCATCCGACATGCAATCCCAACAGTTTCCCTGGGAACCTCTATTCCCGAAGCGCATGATCTCGGCCAGCGCGCTGAGAAAGGACTGAACGAGAGCAAAAGAAGCGCGCAAGCCGGCACACCAGTCTGACGGTGCTCGACTTCATCACTCTTTCGACGATACGGAAGCCGTGGAGTTCCGAAATATCCTCCGAGCTACTTTGCAGTAGTGGCACAGCATACTGCGCGGATGTCATTCAAACACGGACACAGACGAGGAAGAATGCGCAAGAGCGGCGGAGGACAAAGTGTGATCGTTTTCGTGGAGAGCGAACCAGTGTCGGAGCCCACCAGAAATAGCAAAGGTTGGCAAAGTTGATGCGCCGTGGGTAAGGACAACTCCCACACAGCGCTGGTAGCAATTCCAGGACGAAGGCAGGCGTGCCGCAGATGTCGTTTCGTGGAAGCGTACGAGCATACTTTGAACCACACCACCACTGCGTGCAACTCCGTGAAGGTCCTCAAACCCGGGTTATTGTCCCAATAGTAAACCACATACGTCGCAAAGGCCAGCATGAAAGTGACATTGACAGCACGACACCATGCGATGTCTTTCCATGTTGAGAGGGAGCTCCTCTCCTCGCTGACAGTTCTCCGCTGCTCCTTGCTTCTCGTTTTTCTCCTTCGCAACTGAGGAAATGACATACCCCACCGCCGCCAGTTCAACCAGGTAGTGTCAAAGCATAGGCGGACTGACAAGAGAAAGCTGAGTCTTGGTCTGTTGAACCAATCCCAAACACAACACTCTCCCAGAAAAACGTTCTTCCTCTATTACTATCCAATTCTTTGCTTGCTTTGTCGGCCCTATGCACCGCTAGCTTTGCATTGTTCAAGTCGACAGCAGATGGGAGATCTCAAGATTGAGGCACGACCTCCTGCCGCCGTGACATTGATTTTGGACGATCGCCTTCTTTAGTACATACAGATATCTAATACCCGCGTCAATATTTGTTGTACAGAGGAATCAAAGCGATCTCTCCATTGCTCCGGCTGCGAATTTGACTCCATAGCAACCAGCTCATCTAAACGCCGCTCCAAAAAGGGTATCTCATGAAAGTATCGCAAATAAGTCGTCAAGAGCGTGTGAGACCTTGTTAGTCGTCCGTAAGGTCTATGATGTCCACTCCTGAATCGTCTGAGACGCGGTGACGCTTGGACGGACCACTGCCAGTAAAAGTGACGTCGTCGTCATCGTCGTCAGCAGCACCGCCGGTTGTGACAGATCGCTCACGCTTCTCCCTCTTAATACGGTTGTAGTCTTGGAGCTCATGGTTGCGACGGTCAAGCAGCTGTCGCAGCTCCTCGCGGGTGAGGGTGTCGGGGTCGCGCTCTTCGAGTGGGGTCGGAGAAGGGCTCCTCTCCAAGATGCCCTCAATTTGGAGGTCACCTGCGAAGTGGTCAGATAGCTCTGGATAGATCGGCTACAGTATGCACCTACGGCGAGAGCGGTATTTGAACTTGAACTCTGCGAACGGCTTCTTTCCAAATGGATATGTTGCGGCATGATAGTTCGCTGTGCGGCATTTCTCTTTGGCAGCAAAACTGTGACGATGTTAGCCACGAGAGATGGGCTTGCTCTCTTTTACGACTTACGAAATACGGTTGGAGATGGCACGGCCTTTCAAGCTCTTCTCGGATATCGTCTTGCTCTCGTTTGCTTCCCTGCCGCGCTTCTCATTGATATCGAGCTGTTCCATTCTGATGCATCGAGTCAGCGCGACCTTAACGGTGCCCAGTCCTTGCAGGTCTTCTTTCGAAGCACCCTTCACTGCTGCGTCGCCTACGAATGCTTAGCATGCCACCACAAAATAAACCTGGAACATACCTACTGGTCTCGAGTTCTGCGAAACAGAACCTCTGTAGGTATGACTGGCCGCCTGTCCTACTCTCTACTCCCTCTAGAGTCGTTTTCCAATAACTGCTTCGCCTCATGAACCTACCAGCAATCATCTTCCCATCGACATAGACATCGGCGACGATATCTTCTTGAGGATAGAGGAAGTCTGGCTCGAGAACGATCCTGACTGCGAATTGACTTCCGGCCTTTGATTCCACGTATTTGACCCAGACCTCGTCATCGTCTTCCGCAGGATCATTGTACTCATGCATGTCCTCTCGGTCGACCTGCAGCGAGACCGACACTCCTACGTCGCTTCTCATTTTATCTTACTGCGCGCGGGGTGAGGTCAGGTTCTTTGTTGGTTTCCAATGCTTCGTCGGATGGAAGAGAAGGTCGGGATGAGTCAACACGCGTGCAGGCTGGTTGCGTTAGACCTGCGTTGCCAGGAGACACATAGCAAGAGTTCGAGATCGCGTTGATCAGACGATGTTGATGAAGGAAGGGACGGAGCTGCACCTAAGGCAGACGCGCTAAATTAGTCTCTCCACGCGATCACGTTACCTCTTACCTCCAGTCAATTTTCGGTCTCCATCTTCTCTTAAGTTCCGTCGTTCCCCCAACAATCAAATCACAGAAATCAACAATGAAATGCGTACTTCATCTTCACGTCGGTAAGCACGCGACCTGCGACCTGCGACTTGCTGCCTGACCACTCCGACGCTGCCTCCACTCCCTTCGCCGAGTGTGTATGCCGGGATGCTGCTCCGCATTGGGATTATCATCTCTACTCAATAATATCCTGGCACAGGCATTTCCCATTATCAAGGCCACGAATAGATACGTCGACGCATGGCTGTTCACCGCGAATTCCGTGACCCGGTATACCGACAACTATGCCCGGCAATGCTAGACCTGGCCGAGCTTGATAGGCAGTCTTTGCTGTCCTTTTATCACGCTTCTGCACCATGATGGAGAATCGCCGCTTTTCACTGAGGAGCCCGCGTTGGCCTTTGCGTTGTGTCACCATGTGCAATGGCCGCATTGAAGTAGATTCGCTGTCGCTCTCCTCCAGACTTCACGCTTCCCCGTGCTTTGCTTTCTCTCGTCGGCGTCCAGAGTGAACATGCTAATCTCACTGTCGTTTTTGCTGCTACTAACACAGACTCTCGCGGCTTCTGTCCCGGCAATCAGGTCTGGGATCAAACCGAAGAGACACTTGGATACCCGATCCCATCGCCAAAAGATCCTCCGACCCTCCAATGACAGCGATGTTACAACTCCCAAGGTCGTCATCATCAGCATGTTCGACAGCGAAGCTGATGCATGGTACGGCATTCCGGACTTCGACATACTCGCCAAGAACATTACGGTTCCAGGGCTGGCACCTCGGTTTCCTCAGGCTCACTGCACCAAAGACGGCGAGGTTTGTCAGATGACCACCGATGAAGGCGAGATTAATGCCGCTGCCTCTCTCACCGCTCTGTGGATGTCAGGATTCTTCGACCTCACCAACACGTATTTCCTCATTGCCGGGATCGGCGGTGTTGATCCGCATATCGCAACAACGGGATCCGTGACCTTCGCCAGATTCGCAGTCCAATTCGATCTTCAGTACGAATTTTCGCAGTCTCAGGTTCCTGCCAATGCGTCTTCAGGCTACTATCCCCAAAGCGCATACTATCCGGACGAGTTCAATCCGCGTGATTACCCTGGAGAAATCTACGGAACAGAAGCATTTGAACTGAACGACAATCTCAAGAAGAGAGCGGTTTCCCTTGCGAAGCGGGCGACACTGAACGACACTGATGCAGCACAAGCATACCGATCCAAGTACGCATTTGCACCCGCCGACCAGCCTCCTGCAGTCGTCGAATGTGATTCTGGCACGAGTAACAACTACTGGTCCGGAAGCGTTCTCGGAGACGCCTTTGCTGCGTACACCAAACTTCTCACGAATGGATCTGGCCTGTACTGCAACACTCAGCAAGAAGACAATGCTTCACTAGAGGCACTCATGCGTGGCGCTCTGTTTGGTAAACTGGACTTCAGTCGCATCATCATCATGAGGACCGCTTCCGACTTTGATCGCGCTCCAGCAGACGAGACCGAGGTGTATCATCTCCTGTACGCGGATCAACAGGGCTTTACGCCTAGTATTGAGAACCTTTACCAAGCTGGAATTGAAATTGTGAAGGATGTGCTGGAGCAGTGGGAAGATTTGTATGCTGACGGCGTCAAAGCTGAGAACTATGTTGGAGATTTGTTGAATAGTCTGGGGGGAGATGTGATGCCTGATATTGGGACGGAGGCTGTCTGGATCAATTGAGCTCGCGGTGTGAGTGAAAATAGCTAGGCTCATCCGGACATCTTCTGCCCAGACCAAGGTACGAGACTACGCAATGTAACGAAAATCTCTTATTTCCTTGTCATGCGCTACGACATTGTTGCAGAAACAAAACCCCTTCCCTTACCGCCGACGCTCCCCTTGACTTCCAGCTCCAAACTACAGCAGCCGTCGAGCGCAGCGACTGGAGCGACACATTCCCGCGGACAACGGCCTGTCACGACGTAACACCAACCTGATCCATCCCACTCAAACTACTAGCTAGACAAGGGCAACCGCCGGTCGAAAATGTGTCCCCACGACAAAGTGCCAAATCGACACCACAGCATTTCAAAATTCCTGCTTCACAAAGGTATCATGGAACGCCCTCAAGACTCACGATCGCACGACTAGTGCGGCTCACATGTTCCAGCAGGCGGTGGTCACTTTTTCGGGATTCTTGAGCTTCGTGAGGATACCCAAGAGATAGAATCTGTGCAGTAGAGCTGCCCTGCAGGATTCGAAATCAAAACGAAACCCCCGCGTGTTTCGTCTCGCTTCAGGACTCAGGAGGGAGGGAGGGAGGGAAGAAGCAGGGTAGGGTCGGGTCGGGTCCCTCCAGCAGCAGCGAGAATGCGAGATCTTGGGAAGAGGCGTGTGCTGGATTCAACAGGGTGTTGCGAGACTGTCTGAGGAGGAGGAGGAGGAGGAGGAGGAGGAGGTAGGCTATCAGCATACGAAGAAAAGCCATGCAACAACCTCTCTCAAGACGGAGAAGGAACAGAGACCTCTCGTGGTTTTACTACATCGATTCGAATAGATGTTCATTCTACAGGGGCGAGAATTGAAACCTTCGAGACATATGGATGCGCAGACAAACAAGGCAGAGCAATTGAACTGGAGATGAGGGTTGGAGATAACTTCATCATGTTGGTACACCTCGCTCGACTGGAGCACTGATCGATTTAAAACACACAGAAAAACAAACACTCGTGGACATCATATCATATCAACTCGAGGCAGGCAGGCATTCTCTCTTTACGCCTTGATGCCATCATGCATCCCCAGCGTCGGAGCACCATTATTGTTCGTGCTCCCGGGCGTCTTCTTCTCCGGCAGCCCATTGGCGTTCCTCAACGCGGAATCCTTGACCATACCGTTATGGGTACCATTGAATTTCAGTCCCGAAATCCCATCGTAACCCTTGACACCAGTCGCCTTCTCGAGCCGCGTGGCCAAGTCCTGCGAGACTTCGCGGAAAATGGCAATCTGGCGCTTGAGGATTTCCTCTTTGTGGCAATTCTGCATGTGGCCGGAGATGTTGTTGATGAAGCGTTCCCGTGCGGCTTCGTCCCAGACTTTCTCGTAGAGTTGGCGGGGGGCGTTGAAGTCTTCGGGGCGAATTTCGGAGAGGAAGGAGACTGCGTTGCCTTGGAAGTGGCCGTGGGTCTGGTCGAGGTCGACGGTGCGCTTGCGGAACTGGATGGGTTCGATGGAGCTCAGGTAGGCCGGGCGAGAGCCCTGGTTGTTGAAGGCCATGGGTCCGTCGCGCTGGAAGTTCGCCATGCGGTAGGGTACGTTGGGTTGGTTGACGGGGAGCTGCTGGTAGTTGGTTCCGATGCGGTGGCGGTGTGTGTCTGCGTAGGAGAAGAGGCGGGACTGGAGGACGGGATCTGCGGATGGCTCGATACCGGGAACCAAGTGCGATGGGCTGAAGGCGATTTGCTCGATTTCCGCAAAGTAGTTCTGCACGTTCTGGTTGAGGTGGAATTCGCCGACCTTGCGCAGTGGGAACTCCTTCTGTGGCCAGACGTGGGTCAGGTCAAAGACGTTGATGCCCTGCTTCTCCCAGACCTCCTCGGCCTGCTTGGGTGTCATGGTTTGGAACATGACATCCCACCCAGGGTAGTCTCCCTTCTCGATGGCGTTGTATAGGTCCTTCTGCGCATAGTCCGGCGAGTAGTTGGCAGAGTCTTCTTGGGTGATGAAATCGGTACCTTGCTTGCTCTTCATGTGCATCTGGGCATACACCCACTCGCCACTCTTGTTGACCAGCTTCAAGGTGTGTCCAGCATAACCATGCATCTTCCTCCAACCGTCTGGAATGCCTCGGTCACCCATGAGGATCATGACCTGATGAACAGACTCCGGGTTCTGCGAGAGGTAGTCCCAGAACATGGTCGAATCGTCGGCGTGCGTCAGGTGCGTGGCGGGATCTCTCTTCTGGGTGTGAATGAAGTGGGGGAACTTGGCAGGATCTCTCAAGAAGAAGACTGGAGTGTTGTTCGCCACCATGTCCCAGTTGCCCTCCTCCGTCCTGAACTTGACTGAGAAGCCACGCGGATCTCTAGCACAGTCGTGCGAGCCAGACTCTCCGCCGACGGTTGAGAATCGTACGGTGACGGGGCATTCTTTGCCGGCTTGGAACATGTCCGCCACGCACAGATCGTCCATAGGATCGGTGGTCTTGTAGACTCCGTGAGCGCCACCACCCTTGGCATGGACCACGCGCTCTGGGATTCGCTCGCGGTCGAAGTGTGATAGCAAGTCGATCAAGTGGAAGTCCTGGAGCAGGAGAGGGCCGCCTTCACCGGCTCGTTGACTCTCGTAGGGATGTGGCATGGGAACGCCATTGCTGGTGGTGTAGATGGTCTTCTCGGAAGACGCATCGCGGTCGTCCTTGTATTGGCGGTAGACGTCGCTGCTACCATTGGTCGCTGTTGCTGATGGAGCCATTGTGAGTGTCTTGCAGTCGGAGTCAAGTTCGAAGTAGAAGTCGGGGTGTGGCAGCAGCAGTGAAGAGGGAGCATGAATCCTTGTTTATAAACGACCTCACGGTATCAACGTCGACATCACGATCGAACTTCTTCCATGACATCGGACGGCAGCTGATTGGATGGGAAGACCCTGGATCTGAGATCTGCAATGTGCGTTTCGAATGGAAGCACAGAAGGAAGAACATGTCGTCACACCAGACTGTAAGCGAAAGTCTGATAGATCCGTCGCCGCTACGTCTTGTCGAGCGGACCGGCTCCGCTCTTCATCATGGCCGCATGGAACAGAGTTCGACCCGATCAAGTGGCGTCACCCGATAGACTTTCCTGAGGCTGAACCTTTTTCGGCAAAGTGATGAGGTGCTACAGGTCAAGTGTATGGTGTGTGTGTGTGTGTGTGTGTGTGGCAAATGTCGCTCGTTCAGCATCTATCAAGCCGCCACTCCACCTCCGCAGTGCCGCAGCGCCTCTCCAGCATAACCTGGTCTATCCCTCAGGTATCTCGCCCGAGACTATCACTCATAGCCCTCAACACCTCGTCGCTAATCGGTTCCACAAAACCATTCTCCCCTTCGACAGAAGAACGAGACCCCTTATCAGACCCCTCGTGCTCCTGCTCCTGCTCCTGCTCCTGCTCCTCCTCCACGACAGCAGGCGGAGCCCCACTGCAAGTAGAAACAGATCCCCTCGAACCAACCAACCGCCTCGACGCCGCCGCTACCGAAGCAGGTGATGATGAAGATGCATTTTCCCGTCCTTTTCCTTTTCCCGAAAAACTTGCTGAGCCAATACTCGCATGGCTGGAATTACTAGCACGACGCCGTGTCGCTGCTGGAGATGAATAGGGCTGGTCAAAGGGCCCGATAACCGTGCGCCTGTTGTGCCGGTTCTTGCTTTTGGATGACGGACTCTGCTGGCCATCGTCATCGTCTTCTGACGTGTCTTCATCCACCACCCTGACATTGCCGTCTTCCCCTTTCTCTAAACTCGAGAAACGTCTGTGTCGGAGTGTTGTCGCCGAATCCTCTCCCTGAGACGGGAGAGGCCTCGAAGGACCAATCACCGTCGTTCGCCTGTTGTCCTCCTGCTCCCATGGTGATACGTCGAAGAATTCGCCGTCGGTCACGCCCCCGTTCTCCGACTGTCGAGAACTAGTCGTGCCTTCGGTGGCCGAGTACGCAGCTGCTGCCTCAACGTCTTCCCTAAAGCTTTGCTCCGAGAGCATGCTGCCGTCGTCGTCGTCGTCGTCTTCATCGATGCTGTTCTCGCCGCGGCGCGCGAACTCTTGCGCTGCTGGGCTCATCATTCCCGCACGGAACAGCTCGTGCTGATCAGAGCGCCGTCTTTCGAAGGCAGCAAACTCGGCTTCTTTGCTGGCCTGCGCTGGCGACACTGCGTTCTGACCTTCGTACTGCTCTCGCCGAAGCTTCATCCGCTCCCAATCGCCACCGAATTGAACCACAGAGGCTTGCTTGCCGTGGAGGATGAAGCGTGGATTGTCACGTTGAAGCCTTGGAGTTGCTTCTTCCCCCTCCCCGCTATCAACACCAGCAGAGCGCACAGTACTCTCGCTGTCCTTGTTCCGGCGGTGCTTGTGCATGCTTCCTGGGTGATGGTGGTGAGCGTCCCGAAGTGTCTTCTGAAGACTACGCCGCACGCCCTTGCGCTTGCTTTCGGGTGAAGCGGAGGAGTGGGGCACATCGATGCTAGGACCTCGCGACGAAGTCTTTTGCGGCGGAGGGCCCATTGTTGACCTGGCCAACAATTCGACGTCCTTTTCGTTGATGCTAGGAGTGGGCGTGATCTTCGCTCGACCACTCTCCGACGGCCCTGTCGAATGAGTGCGTTGTGTCTGGAGCATGCTCGAGGCCGAGGAGGAGTGAGTCAAACTGCCGCGATGACCAGCGGGCGGCGATGCTGAAAGAAGCGTACTCGCCACAGATGGGCGGTGTTGGTCATTGATATCGGTGTCGAGGTTGAGAGGCGGCAGACGCCATGGCTCGTCTTTGATCGGGCTCAGTGATTCTGGCGGCGTGCGGAAGACATCTGCGCCTCTGAAAGTGTCAAAAGATCCAACAGACGGTCGCTCAGGAGAGGCGATGTTGGTGGTGGGGCTCTGAGGCGGACTCCGAGGACCTGCGACGCGGGTCGAACTCAGACGAGACAGCACCTTTGGCCTTTCTTTCTTGGCAGAGTCCGCTTCTTGCTGCTGGCGGATCTCCTCCTGGGCAAGCTTCTCAAGCTCGCTCGCACTGAGCCCATCGAGCCTGACGTCCATCGCCAGGACATCACGGTGACATTTCAGTCGCCAGATGTCACGCCGCACCCATTTGATCATAGCGTCTGTTCTCGCTGCTGAGTGTATGACATCCTCTCTTGTCTTTGGAGCGATTGGCGCCAGGACCAGGAGGTGCCGTGCGTTGCGGAGCATAGTTTCCAGCTGTCTGTTAGCATCTGCAATCTCCTGCTCGATCTCGCCAATCTTTTGCACCATGATCTGCCTCCTTGCAGCCATGACCTGTCGCTGGAGCTGTGGGCTGAGTCCACGATTCTGAAGCGTGACCTCGCCCATCGCAGTTTGAATGGATCTGACAGAATTGGTCGAGTCGAGGCGACGCACATCTCTGTTGCGCAAGTCCTCCTCAGTACCTCCAAGCATTCCTCGTATACGGACGCCAGCTGCACGAAATGCTGCCGCATAATTAATCAGACCTAGCCAGTCATTCAACTCTTGCTCGTTGTCCGCCAATAGAACCTCATCTTGGCCCCCTGGTCTAACAAAGGTGAATGCGTGCTTGTGTCGCGCATACGAATGGTCCACAAGCGCAACCGCGTTATCAGTCTTGATCAGGGCGTCGAACTTGAAGTCCGTCAAAGGTGGTTTGAACACGACGGGCGTCCGCGGATGGCCAGGCTTTTGGTGTTGCAAGAATTGATGCATGAGCCCTTTGGCCCAATGCGAGTTCTTGAATAAGTACAACTGAGAGCCAGTCAAGATGGCGCCCCACTCCTGCCATGGACTTCGTGTCTTTTTCTTCCTTGTAGACTTTCGCCACAGTGTGCCGGCCTTGGTGATTTTCAAATCCACAATTCCTTGCTGGTCTCCAGTAGAGTTATGCTGTCCATTGACGAATTGACTCTCGTAAGCTGCAGGTCTCGATCTCGCGGAAATAATTTGCAGTACCCCAGTGTGGGTAAAAGCACGTTGAAGATATTGCGGGTCCGATTCTCCCTGATTACCTCGATAGTCGTATGGGTCATCGAGCATGATGCTCTCTTTGATCGGTGGCCGCAATGTATCGAGCTTCTGCTCAACAAGTAGGTTGTAAGGATCGACAGGGCCGGTCGTCTTCTTGGCCATCTCGGAGCCGGGGATAGCGCTTTTCAGCTTGCCGCCAGACTTCTTGGTCTTGAAAGCTAACACCTTCTCTCCATTGATATCAACATCCTCGTCGTAATGCACGAACGGAGTGTAGCAGATATTGTCATAGAAGCAAGCGAGGATATCGTCGTTGAGCCCCTGGCCTGAAGTGTTCTTGATGTAGTCTTGTTTCGTCATCTTGCGCTTGTTGTTTTTGTTGAAGGCATCTGTGTGCAACATCATGATCGAGAAAGCGATTATGTACGCTTGATCGGAGTTGGTGAAGATTCCCGGATTGCACTCGTGATAGCGGTCTGCGAATGCTTGGATGACGCGGTCCACCTGCTGTGTCTCTTTCGGGAGCTCGGCTTCCAGCAAGAACTTGCGGAGAGACATGTCTATGGGCTCTCCAAAGAACGGGAAACGCCGAGTATAACTCCTAAGCACAGCACAGGCAAATGGGTCAGAGGACTTGGAGAGGATGCCGGCTATCATACTCCGAGACACAGCGGACTCAAGACGCTCCAGATACTTGCCAGGAGTGTCACCTTCTTCTCGCTCTGGGATTACCAAAGCCTCTCGGCTGATAGCGAATGAGTTGGCCTTGCTGTTTGTGCCCGGAGAACCATGCCGCGGTGAGTGAGGGTCAGAGCTTTGTCGAAAGCGTGACAGAGTGAGAAAGCCCCCGAAACTTGATCTCCCTGTTGTTGAGGTGGAATTCCGGCCGCTTGCTGAGGGTGCCGGGGGCGTACCCGGCTCATGGGAGCTTTGTCCGAGAGAACTCTGTGTCGAAGACCTATCCCTCAGTCCAAAAGCCATTGGCGGCTGTAGTGGAGACGATGTGTTGGAATTTTGCGATCGCTCAGAGCTGTGGCGGAATGAGTTCGTGCCCTCCGCGAAAGACGAGGAAGACTTTGTTAACGCGGCATGAGAAGACGGCAGTGATTGTGAGTGCGGTCTCTGCTCCGACGGACTGGTCGATGTATGTCTTCGTTGCAGTCTCGGAGGTGTTTGCTGAGCCTTTGTGAGAGTGGCTTGTGTTTCAGACGTGTTCGACTGCGTAGACGCGCGTGGGGTTGCGGGACCTTGTTGGTCTTGTCGCTGGGCTGCATCCGGAGGTGGGATCTTGACGGGCAACGGGAACAGCGAGTTGCGGTTCTTGTTGCGCCTGGGTAGTCTAAAGAAGGTAGTATGTGTGGATACGGTATGCGTGGTGGTGGTAGTAGATCCGTAAATGTGGCCGTCGCCAGAACTGCCGTTGCTACCATCAGAGCGCGAGGATTCCGAGAATCTCGGATCTGAAAGTTGAGAGAGCGGGACGGCAAGAGCAGAGTTGGCCTCGTCTCCGTACGAAGGAGGTGCTGAGTTCGGCGCATGGTTATTGCCAATGTGCATGGCAGACAAGCGGTGCAAGTCCTCCAATCCGCTGTTCTTGCCCCTACGCCATTTGAGCGCGGTCTTCTTCTCCGGCCTCTTCTCGTCGGTGGATATTCTCGACGCTTTCTGTGGCGACATGCTGCCTCTCGAGGATGCTGCTCTCTTGAACAGAGATGGTCTGGTGTTCCGCTCCTCCTCGACATGTTGCGCGTGGGGCTCGGAGACTGGGTCCATGCCTCCGGTGGGTGCGGTCTTCACGATGGTGGGGAGTAGGCCATCTGCGGGGACGGCCGGGAGGGGAGGCAGGTCTTGTTGTCGTGCGTGTTGCATGCGCTGTTCATCGAGTTTGGCGCGCGCGGCCAGATGCGACTCGGAGAAGTTGCGGAACTTCATGAGGTTGAATCGCTTGGGCGGTCTGCTGCGGGCGTCATGGTCGGTGCGCGGGTCGGCAATGTCGTCTGGGTGGATCTCGTGCGACAGGCGAGAGTGGGAGTGGTTTGAGGAGCGGACAGGGCCAGATTCACTGACCGGCCTGGCGGGATCGGGCTGCAGCTGGAGACTGGAACTGGAGTCGGAGGGCTTCAGGGATGGGTCGCTGCGGGTGCTGGGGCGTGTTTGAGAGGGATCGGGATGGAGGTGCAAGACACTGGGGCGCTTGACAAGCAGCGGCATGACCGGCACGCGAGAGCGCTGCTGTGGTAAGCATTGGGGGGAGAGAGGGAGTGTCCGGAGGCGGCAGTACAGGTATCGTGAACAAGGCCAGCTTCCCGGGGCAGTGGTACTAGCAGTAGGCAAACTTCGGGCAGAGCAGATCCATTGGTGGCTCAGGCCATACCGGGGAGCCGGCGGTAGGGCTGTCGATGTGGCTGATACCTATTGTGTATATCCGTAGGTCTATGATATGTTGACGGCGATGCGACCACACTAATCAGGTATCAGATGACAAAAGGAGCTTCTGGGGGTGTGGAAGTTGGAAGTTGGTGTTGTGGTGAAAGGGTAAAGGCTATCGTGGCTATAGATACCGTGCACAGCACAGCGGCCACGACAGGAGAGTTTGAGTGTGTCTGGCCGTCAACACCGGGTGACGCATCTGCCAAGACCATCCCAGGTTCAACCCGCGATACCCTTCATCTCACATCTCCCTCACAGCGCCGGCTATCCGCGCATCAGAGGTGCATCGTTGTCCATTCCGCCTTCCAAGTTCCGGGTCGGAGGGGATGACGAGGCCTCAGCGGCACATGAGGGCAGATTCCCTGCTGCCAAGACCAGCTGATGAGATGTACAGGTATGATGTGTGATGCTCTGGACGGGCGAGGGTAGAGTCGTACGGATGTGAAGCGCCACTGTGGCTGCCTCAGCTGTCTGTGGCAGGTGCCCTCGTGCCCCGCCCGTGAGACTGACTGCCGGTGCAGTGCCCGAGCCATCTGTCTGTCCCGTCTGTTGTGCACCAACCCGACACCTGCCTCGTTCCAATGCGACGCCGGAGCTGCTGCCACTGCGAAGATGAAGTTCCCTTCCAGCACTCTCGTCGTCCTTCCCGCCCTCCTGTCAGCCTTTGTCGCCGCGGTCCCATCTCCTGCCGCCTTCGACCAGCGCCCCTTTCAGAACACTCATTCAGATCGCCTGCAGCCGTCGCCATGGTACAACGTTCCCGGTCGTCTGGTGGAATGGTTTCGGGGAAGGCATAAACCATGCCATGCCTCATCAAACAAGGCCGAGTCACTACCACCGGCCCACACTTTCACTAGATATACAGGTGATCTGGTACTGCGATTCAACATCAGTACGCAAGATGAGGCAGCCAGCTTGGCCGAGGCGGCGGACACATTATTGTTGGACGTATGGGAATTTGCGCAGAATTGGGTGGACATCCGGTTGTCGAAAGAGAGCGTCCCTTTACTGCTAGGCCTTCTCCCGTCAAGCCTTCAGAATTCACATACACCGCTCCTGCGAGAGAAAGCTCTCGCGCAAGCCATATTCGATAACTACCAGAAGCACAATGCTCCCTCCCTCACCACTTCGCCCTCTCATCTGCCCACCCGGAGACCCTTCAGTCCACATCTCGAGCAGGCAACAGGTGCAGAATCCAATCTCTTCTTCGCCGACTATCAACCTTTCACCGTGATTGAACCATGGCTCCGCCTACTGGCGTCTCTCTTCACCACCCATGTACGGCATATCAACATCGGCCTGACCTACGAAGGGCGTAACATCCCAGCCCTCCGTGTAGGAGCCCACCCAACCAACCGCGAAGACCCCAATCCTCCCAAGCGCAAGACAATCCTCGTAATGGGCGGCCTGCATGCTCGCGAATGGATCAGCACAACCACCGTCAACTACATAGCCTACTCCCTCATCACAGGTTACGGCAAAAACCAACTCATTACACGTCTGCTCGAATCCTTCGACTTCGTCTTCATTCCTACCTTGAACCCAGACGGCTACATCTACACCTGGGAGACCGACCGTCTCTGGCGCAAGAACCGCCAGCAGACCGGCATCCGCTTCTGCCAGGGCATCGATCTCGACCGCTCTTTCGGTTTCGAATGGTCCACAACCGACAACCCTTGCTCCGAATCCTTCTCCGGCGATACACCCTTCGACGCAGTAGAATCCAGACGTCTCTCCGAATGGGCCAAGGCCGAGACAGAAAACAACAACGTCGACTTTGTCGGCTTTCTCGATCTCCACTCGTATTCCCAGGAAATCTTGTACCCTTACAGCTACTCCTGCACCGATACGCCTCCCGGCCTGGAAAATCTGGAAGAACTCGCCTTCGGAATGGGAAAGGCTATCCGGATCACCCAGGGCCACGGCTACGAGATCATGCCGGCCTGCGAAGGTAATGTAGCAGCTTCTTCCAGCAGCAAAGGGGCTAGACAACACTTGCTACCACGAATGGAACTGTCGGGTGGATCCGCTCTCGATTACTTCTACGGCAACATGTCCGTCCGTTACGCTTATCAGATCAAACTACGCGATCGCGGGACTTATGGTTTCTTGTTGCCCAAAGATCACATCATCCCCACGGGCAAGGAAATCCTGAACGCCGTCTTGTATTTCGGCGGCTTTTTGGGAGAAATCTACGATACAGACGCTTTCAAAGAGGTCACATTGACGAAACCGGCTGAGATGGAAACTTTGGAAAGCGAGGACGTTCAGAAAGATGATCTTACTGCTGCTGTAGCAGAAGATGTGGAGGAGATGATGATTGTGGAGGATGAGGAGCGGGCGATTGTGGTCGAAGATCTACTAGATCCCGCAGAGGTGAATTGGGAGCTTAAGCGGCGGCGAAGGCGATAAGGTCACGATTTCTCCCCCCTTAATGACGTTTCTGCTCTTGTGTTAATACCGGGGTGGCCTTCTGAGCGTTCGAAGCTAGCAGGCGCAGGAGGGACTGGGCTGTCCACAGCATGTTGTCGGGATAGGTAATCAATGGTATTTGAGATACGAACGAAATTGTGGAAAAAGGGGCTCTGCTCGAATGGCCATGACATTGAAGCCTGCTACAGTCCAACTAGAGAAACCATGACCTGCCGGATCCCATGAGGACGGAATACGCAGAGGGTAGTCAAATCATCAGGAAAAATTGAAGGCCTTGCCGTTCCCGCTCGTGACAACCAGGGGAAGATCAGAAGGTCGGGTGTATCTTTCGCACTCGCCATATCCATTCGTGTTGTCGGTCCTGGGTTGGTTGATGAATTTTGCTGGGGTATGTTTTGTCGCACGTATCGTAGGGTAAGTGGAGCGGCTATCGCTTGGAGATTGCAGATGCCGATCTAGCAGGCGCCTGGCTTTGCCGTCGCAATTGCTCGGCGTATCTGCATACGGCTTCTGTGTCGAGACAGCAGATGCGCTACTTCTGCATCATCAATTGGACGAATTCGTTGTCTGTGGAGTCGAATGTTAGTAGGTACTGACGGGTAGGTCTTGCGTGCCTTCAAGCTCACAGTCGATTCTCCCGTCACCGTCCTGGTCGGCCTCTCGAATCATCTCGTCGACCTCATCGTCCGTCAACTTCTCGCCAATGCTGGTCATGACATGTCGCAGCTCAGCGGCGGAGATGAAGCCGTTGTTGTCGCGATCGAAGACCTTGAAGGCCTCACGAATCTCCTCCTCCGAGTCCGTGTCCTTCATCTTGCGGGCCATCATGGTGAGGAATTCGGGGAAGTCGATGGTGCCGTTGTTGTCGGCGTCGACCTCGTTGATCATGTCCTGCAGCTCGGATTCACTGGGGTTTTGGCCCAGGGAGCGCATTACGGTGCCGAGCTCTTTGGTGGTGATTTGTCCTGAAGGCATCGCGGTCAGTGCGAGCGGGTTGGAAGGGTATCATGTGCAATTGCGGAACGTACCATCACCGTCCTTGTCCTGTAGAAACACGTCAGCCTTGTGCTACATTGCCTGATTGGGGCTTTGGAGTGTCATGGACTTACGAAGAGGGAGAATGCCTCCTTGAACTCGGAGACTTGCTCCTCGGTCAGTGAGTCGGCCTGCGATCACGTTTGCAGTCAGCGCTGTTTCCTGCCACGGCCCCAATGTTTCTGGCAGCGAGGTCTGGGCCAGCACACGAGGCGGGGTATGTGCGCAAACACTCATACCATGGTCGCGGTGATGTGGAAGTGGGTGTGTAGACCGAGCGGTGTGTGGTATTGCTGCTGGGTGAGAGTCGGCAGTGGCAGTGGCAGTGGCGGTGGTGCAGTTTGTTGTTTGGTAGGGGAGGGCGCGGGTTTTTATGTGATGGGTGAGGGTGAGAGTCAAGATTGCGGCCTGCGCAGCTGAGAGAAGCAGGCGAAGAAGCAGCCCAGGCAGGCAAGCACAAGCACCCAGCACCCAGCACCCAGCACCCAGCACCCAGCACACAGCGCGTCCCTGCCCCGAAACGCACAAGGGTCCAGTGTGCTGCACTCGGCTGCGCCCGCCGCCATCGCCCCATCCTCATCCATCAAAGTCGTGGCATCGCGTCGCTCCCATCACATGTGAGAGGCAACGTGCCCATTCACTGCCATCTCACATTCGCTTCGCTTCACTTCACCAACCCGTTGCAAGTTGTCTTCCCACGGGATCCTTCCTGCACCGTCCGATCGCACCTCATCCTGTCCTAGTACACACCCACCTGCGCGCAAGTCCGGCCGGCCGGCAATCAGGCGACAAGCAGCTGCCTCGGGGAGCTTGACATGAGGGCAGTGTAGCAGGGACAACTCGCATGATGCTTGCGTCTCCCCGTACTTTAAGAGCAGAGGAAGCAGAATGGCCAGCGCCGCGGTGAATGTCGGCGCGTGGCGCGATCGCACCAATCTGTATGGCATTGCCCCATCCAAAGTACTCGAATGCACGGTACTAATGCGCCTGGCCGCTGTGTAGCTTCATCTCATATCGACAGTCCTACACCCATCATCCCGCCAAGAGAACGCGATTCACAGGCCCGAGCACTGGTCGCTTCACAGACGAGCCTGATTCTGAACGAGCGGGGCTGATGTCCAACCTGGAAGCCGATGGTGATGCTGTGATCGAGATGGATGTGCTGCCTCCACGGTGGCTGGACATACAGGATGACGTCAACCAGCTGTTGGCAGATGTTGCAGGAAAGATGAAGAGGCTAGACCACATGCACGCGAAGCATGTTCTGCCTGGATTTGATGACGAGAGCGTGAAAGCAAGAGAAGAAAGGGAGATTGAGGCCTTGACCCAGGACATCACAAGGGACTTCACCAGCTGTCAAAAGTCAATACGAAGGATCGATCATTTGGTAAGGGAACAGCAGCAGCAGAGTGGAGGTAACATTTCCAACGCGGACACGACAATGGCCAAGAACTTGAAGATGAGTTTGGCCTCAAGAGTCGGAGATGTGAGCACGTTGTTTCGCAAGAAGCAATCAGCATATATGAAGAAGCTACGGTCGCTTGGTGGGATGAACAGCCCTCTGGACCGCTCCAGCACACCAATGGCGTCGAACCCATATACAGACCCGGCCATGATGGAATCCGAAACAGATCGGTCGTCGGCGCAGTCCACATTACTACAGACTGCCCAGGTCCGCAAACGAACAGGGGTCATGGACTCGGCCATCGAGCAACGAGAACGAGAGATTGAGAAGATTGCGCAAGGCGTCATTGATCTCTCCAATCTCTTCCAGGACCTACAAACCATGGTCATTGATCAAGGGACCGTGCTTGACCGGATTGACTACAACGTCGAACGTACGCATGAAGATGTCAAGGGAGCCGAGAAAGAACTCAAAGTCGCTACTGGGTATCAAAAGCGAAGCACCAAGCGCAAGATTATTCTTTTGCTAGTGTTGATTGTTGTTGGCATGTTCATACTCGTGTTGATCAAGCCGAAGCGAAGTAGCCAACCCGCACAACCGCCCCCAATCGAGGCGCCCATACCGAACGATCCGGGAGCTGGCCTTCCACCCAAGAAGGTCAGCAAAGTCTTCGATCTCCCCGGTGCTGCGCCCAAATTTGGCGTAGAAGAAAGGCACTCCGAATGGAAACAGAGGAGACGACGAACTTTAGTCCCAGTGGTCGGTGACGGTTCAGCTTTGCTTCGATGGTCGTGAACATTGTATCACCGTTGCCGTTCTATAGATACCCAATTGATATTGCTCGAAACACTTCTGAAGAAGCGCGTCGAATGCTTGCTTCTGGTCGCGTGGACGGGAACGCGGTTAGTCCAAAGTTTCTCGGGAGCTCCGGCTGCGACCCTTCAACGTCGTGCGTAAGTTCAACACTTCTTCACTCTGCTCTAATTCCATAGTCTTCTTCTACATTCAGTCTCGATCGCCAAATCAAACCGCGAGAACACCTTCCAAGATGCCTCGGATCATTCTCGCCATCAATGCAGGATCCTCCTCTGTCAAGGTCTCCGTCTACTCGTACGAGGGCTCCTCAGAACCAAAAGAACTAGCAGGCATCCAAGTCTCCGGGCTGACCGCGCCTCCATCAAAACTGAAATACGATCGCGGCGACCAACACATCAAAGACCAAGAATTGCCGTCAGACGTCAAAGGCCAGGAAGGGGCTTTCCAATACATCATCAAACATCTTACCTCCGACTCTGGCCTCGACGCTCTCAGCCATCCCGACGACATCGAATTCGCCTGCCACAGAATCGTTCATGGAGGAGACTACGACCGTCCGACCCGAATCGATAAGGATACCTATCACCACTTGGAAGCACTATCCGACCTCGCACCCCTCCACAACGCAGGCGCCCTGACCATCGTCAAAGCCACGTATAACCAATGTCCCAAAGCAACCAACATAGCCTTTTTCGACTCTTCTTTCCACGCCACAATCCCCCGCCCCTTGCGAACCTACGCCATCGACCCCAAAATCGCCAAACACAATAAACTCCGCAAATATGGCTTTCACGGGCTCTCCTATGCCTTCATCGCCCGCTCCGTCGCTTCGTTCCTGCACAAACCGTTGGAGGAAACCAATCTCATCGCCCTCCACCTCGGCTCCGGAGCTTCCTGTACCGCCATCCGGGGCGGCAAGTCCCTGGATACATCCATGGGCCTCACGCCCCTCGCCGGCCTCCCCGGCGCCACGCGCTCCGGCGACGTGGACCCCTCCCTCATCTTCCACTTCACCTCCGACGCGGGCAAGTTATCCCCCACTTCCACAAAGGACATGTCCATCACGCAGGCGGAAGAGATTCTCAACAAGAAATCCGGCTGGTCCGTGCTAACGGGCACCACGGACTTTGGGAACATTTCCCAGCGAGCGGAGCAAGGGGACGACGAGGCATGCACGCTTGCTTTTGACCTGTTTGTCGATCGCATCCTGGGCTTCGTAGGGTCTTACTATGTGAAATTGGGCGGGAAGGTGGATGGGTTGGCTTTTGCCGGGGGCATTGGCGAGAAGGGGGTTCAGTTGAGGAAGGCGGTGCTGGATAAGGTGGCATGTCTGGGGTTTGAATTGGATGAGGGGAGGAATGCGAAGCCGGATGATGGGATGGTGGCGGATATTGGGACGCGGGGGAGCAGGCATCGAGTGCTGGTCTGTCAGACTGACGAAGAGGTTGAAATGGCGATGCAGTGTGCAAAGCAGGCGGACGAGCTGCGAAGGCAATAGGGGGAGAACAGTACAGCGTCTTCGCACGTCGGGGTGTTATCTCGACGGCTGCCGTCGCTGATTTTGTGCTATGCTCTTCTCTATTACCCTGGCTTCGGCTAGGATTCTTGGGAGGGCTACGACGTTACACTGTGGAAAGACGCTGTGGAACATCCTTATCAAAGCCAGAGTAGCCAGTAAGACATTATAGGTGCACACAACCTATGTACCACTTCCGCCACTAAACCGCTTCTTAAGCGAATGCAGCGGCGGCGTCAGCTCAAAAGTCTCCGTCCACCTTCTCCTGCTCATCCTCGGGCTGTCAATCGTCACCTCATGAGGATTATCGTGACTTTCAACGTAGACGTGTCCTTCGTCGTTGTTCAGTTTCCAGCTGACTCGGTACTGCTCCCCCGAAGGACCACAGCCACAGCTACCAGCGAGCTTCTCACTGGGAGGAGAGTTGACAGCCAGAGCGAACCTACACATCAATTCCATTAGCCAAATTTCCCTGTCGTGGGGATTGGGAATTAGTGGACCTACATGTTGTTGGGATCCGTGAAATCCGAGTACCAGTCTTTGTGGATGAGGAAGTAGACGAGGACAAAGACGTTGATCGTGAACACGGCAAATAACACCAGATGAAAAGCCTTCTGGTACGGCAGTTTGCCCCCGCTGGCGTACTGTTGATCCCTCACGGAAGCATTGAAGTACTGGTGTTGACCATCGACGGTAGGAAGGGTATAATTCCACTTCTTTCCCACGAAAGGCGAGTCGATCACGGATTCAATCAGCGTGCAGCCGGCGAGTACGGCAAGGGCTTCGGCCAACGAAGGGAGGCCCGAGTTGAGCTCGTTGGCAGTCAGAATGAACTGAGTTAGTATCCTGGCATTGCTGGCGTTGCCGTCGGTCAGTCCTGCGTTGAGGGAAAGGCCTACGTTGCAACGTTAACTTCTCCCTACGAACGGTATGGGGCACTTTACTTACTTCGCGCCCATTCTCCCGCGATGTTTGGCCAGTCCTGATTCAGAGTCTCATTGCCTGTCCAAGCTTGCGGATTGCGCTTCTGGTATTGCAATTTGTCGTGCTCGTTATCGCACACAGCTTCCATGGTAGCTCCACTGATCGAAGCATTATAGTGTGTAGAGCAATTTGCCGTCTGTCCAGCTTGAAGTTGACAAATGGCGTAATTTGTACCTTTGCCGTCAGGACCCGTGGTGGGAGACTGGGTAGAGTCTATGGGGCCGCCCTTCCCCAGAAGGTAGATCGTGCGGCGTCCCCAAGGGACTCCAGTTGTGTCATTGACCAGAGTGTTGTAGTCTTGCGGGACCTTTGCAAACACGGGAGGATAGTTCATCGCACCATACTCGGGACCCCATCCGAAGATATGATCGAACTTGGTCCCGTTCAGATATGGATTAGTATAGCCGTAGTTGTGTGGCCAACCGCTGATGTTGAGGGGTGGATATCCAGAAGCATTCCAAAACTCGTATACGAACGGCTTGAGGTCGTCGTACTTCATCGTGACGCAGAGGACATTGACCGTAGGTGAGGGTACAGACGCTTTCAACGAGAATACGGCGCCGTCAATATCGTCAGGCTGCATCAAAGCATTGATAGGGTCCTCTCGAGCCTGAATAACCCCAATATGCGGCATGGCCATTGTGACATTGTTGACTATGTACTCGGTGCTGTTCCGAGTCTCTTCCATCGATATCCACGGCGCGGTAATCGTAGTGTTGTCATTGTAAAGAGCGTAGCCAGGCGGCCGCTGTTCCAAAAGCCTGTTGTCGGAGCCGTTCTCAGCAACGTCGGTCCAGCGGGACAGCCAAGTATGATAATTGTGAAATGCCATTGCAGCATGTTCGATTTGCATACAGGAAGAAAGTCGCGGATCGGATCCATCAGGCAATATTCGATCATATCCATTCTGGATTGGGGTCTTGCAGTTTGATTCAATGTAATCTGAATTTGCGTACTGTGTCTTCACAAGCCCTTGTAGTGGCTGCGGTTTCCAATTCGGATATCTCAACTGTGGCTGCACCAGTGCTGTTGACGCCGAGGTATAGAGGACGGCGAGTAGAGCCGCAAGCAAGGACACGATCCCGAGAAAAGATATGCCGGCATACTTGACGCTCTCCGGTTGAGTGAACATCGTTCCTGGCTGCAGAATCCAAGTCCGCATGCTCATTTCGGCCAGGGTTATACCTCGAGGGTTCTCCAGCGTGAAGGCCCTTCGCGCTAGTGCCTGCCCAATAAAAGCGACCACGACAGTGACGAACGAAAGCTCGATCAGCTTGGCAAATAAAGATGTCAGGAATGCAGCAGATCCAGGCGTCAGCTTTCCACCCGTATTTCGAATGGATCTTCCCCAATTTGGACTCGTCAGCGCGATCACCAGGAAGATACCGCTGAAGGCAGTGGAAAAGACAGCCAGTACAAGCACAGTCCAGGAAACCCAACTGCCCAATCTCGCAGTCCTGACGCTTCTTTTACTTTGACAGTGTTGGTGCGGCGCGAAATCGTCGTATCTTTCGCGAATGGACAGCAGACCTGCATCAGATTTTGCGTAGATGGATGGAGTCGCGCCGGACTGGAAGGAGGTACGCGAGTCTTTGTGCAGCCGGGAGGCACCTGCATATGAAGTGTCTGCGTCGAAGGATGCATCGAAGCGAGTGCTACCGGACATGCCACCAGTCGAGGGCGGCGACGTGAGCGTTCTTTCATCAGTTGCAGGTTTCGCGTAGGCGCTCGATGTGCTCTGAGAAAGTGGCGAGCTAAACCGTCGTGATTTGGCAGGAGTGGCCGGCATTGCGATGCCCAACCCATGGCGTGCGGACGTAGCATCAGAGGACGATCGAGGGGCTGGCTCTATCTCGTCCTGCGCGGGAGAGTCCGTGATGTCCGTCGCAAGAGCGTCGTCGTTGAAGGAGACGCTTGGAACTCTGGCGTAACCCGGTCGGTGTCGGGCCAGAAGATGGGGGCTTGGTGTTGATACGGCGGGTGTTGGTGTTGGGAGTGGAGACTCTTCATCGTTGAGGAGACGTCGTCGCTCAGGAGTGGACTCAGGACTGGACATGGTTTGCTATCTCTGCTCGCGTCCTGTACGACGCACTGCGAGTCTATGGATTATCCGTGCGTCAAAACGTCGTGCCAGAAAGGCAATGCGCGGGTTAGCGCAGAATCCAGAGAGGTGAATTCTCCAGTCGTGTTTGGCCAGATGAAACAGGAGCAGGATGTGAACCAAAGCTGGGGAACGGCGTGGTATGCGACCGGCAAGGCTATGTGCTACGCAGTGCACCGGACTGCTGGCGGAGCCTCATTCCTGCAAGGCTGAAAGAGCTCGCAGATAGGCGTTCGGATGGCGCGAGACACGTGGAGGTGTTGGTATCGGCCTTTTCGTCCTGAGCATGGATGGAAAGTGGTCTCAAGGCCGCGCCGGTGGGAGGAAGAAAAACGAGGCACAGTTTCTGGAACATAGCGTCTTGATGTGAGGTCGTCACCGTCGGCGGAGGCGCCGCGGAAAGGGTTTAGCTATTCATCTCATTCATCCTTTCTCGGCCAAGGTTCGAGGGCTGAACAGCTGAGGATGCGACTAAGGCACGCCAAGAACGCCACATGGCCAGCATTGTGTTGGAGTGGGGGCGAGGAGCAGGGCAGTGCGAGGGCATTGCAAGACCGGGAGATGCGACGAAGCGCCATGTTGTAAGATTCGAGAGAACATGTGAAGGCACGCGGGTAAGTAAAGTACATGTAAGCTAAGTGCACGGGGAAGTCAGGAGAGGATCGCCGCAGGTGCCGTGCCCACCCGAGGTGATGCCGACCTCACTTCTTCAACGCTATATTATTTCCGCGTTGACCATGCCTCCATGCGCGCGTCCTGAAACAAAGAGAGTCGGAAAGGTCTCATGTCACGGACCTCGCGCTCTCTCCCCCTGTGCTGCCAACTTCTTTCCCAAACACCATCGTGATGTCACATTTGGATATCTTCAAGGTAAGGTAGGAAAGATCGCCCCTTCAAATTTCCCTCCTCCAAGCAAGTTGTTGTCATCATCATCATCAACAAGAGTGCTACATCGACCTTTGGAACAATCCATCACAACTATCAAGCCACATCAGCAACGGATCCCTACAAACAAGCAATAGTCTACGGAAACAATGCCTCACTTCTTCGACAAGCTCAAGGAGAAGGTCCACCCGACCCACGGCCGCGAAGAGCACAAGACGACCACCACCGAGAAGCATACCGAAACGACCAAGACCGACGCCAACGCACCCGACAGCTCCGACAAGCACACCGAGACCACGACAACCACCACGACCAACCAGAACGACGCTCCAGCTGTTCCCGTCCAACGCAGCGTCGACGCGACAGCCGGAAGTCTCGATCTGCACAACAAGGCTCGCTCGGCACATGGCTCACAGGCGCTCGCGTGGGATGACCAGCTCGCCCGAGACGCCGCACACTACGCGCAGAAACTCGCTGACAAGGACAAGATGGTATGCCCCTCTTATTCTTCATCTCCCCCGCGATTCTGGGTCCATGGCTGATACGTCTGTCGCAGGAACATTCCAATGCCGCCGGCCAGGGCGAGAACCTCTTCATGGCTACCAATGATGCTTCGTTTGAGGATGCCGTCAATGCCTGGCTGAAGGAGGAAGCGAGTTACGGTGGCGAGAAGATTGGCGAAGGCAATCTGGGGGATTGGGGCCATTACAGTAAGGTTCCGTCAACATCTCGCGTTGATTTTGTCTCGCTGACAGCCGCTTTCCAGCTCAATGTGTCTGGAAGGACACCACGAAGGTCGGTATTGGCAAGGCGAAAACCAAGACCGGTGGGACCTACATCGTCGCGCGCTACACGCCTCCCGGAAACATGATGGGCGACAAGCCGTACTAAGTGCGTTTGCTGAGGGCGTTTGATCAGCGACGAGACCTGCATGGAAGGAATTTCCTGGTGGATTGGGCTTCTTCCCGGTCATCTATGACGACCGCTTCTTCGCTTTAGCATCTATCAGCTCAATGATCTCCGACAGCTCACCTCAAACCGGCCGCAGATTCCTCCTCAGCCTCTCAACCTCTTCCTCACTCATCCCACACTTCTCCCTCATATATTGCTCCGCACTCCCAACCTCCCTCCGAATCATCTCAATCGTAGCCAACATATTCTCCCTCTTCGAACTCGTCATATTCCTCACCCCTTCCAAGTTGCCCCCCAAAGCCGGATTTTTCAATAACCTCTCCTCAAACAGCGGTTTCAAATGCTCCAGCCCTTTATCCGTCAGACTATACTCGTCCGCTATTGTTTCCTCCCTCTCCCCTACCAATAAAAACAACAGAGCAACCAACACCCCCGTGCGATCTTTTCCCGCCGTACAATGTACCAGACACGGACCACCATGATTCGCAAGATGTCGAAAGATTTTGGTGTAGGCTTCTGTCCCGGCGAGGAGGATATCTTGGTATGCTTTCACGAAACCTTCCGTGGTGTTCTTGTTCGCGTAGTGTTTATAGCGGATCGCGACTTGTTCGGGGCCATAGTCTTTCGCGGCGAAGACTGGCGTCCAGTTTCTTTGGATGGCGTAGGGTTGGAAGGGATCGGAGGGGGCGATTTCGACGCCGGACCATTCGGGGCCGTCGCGGAGGATTTCGGGCGTGGAGCGGAGGTCGAAGATTGTGGTTATGCCTGTGGATAGGGTATGTCAGTGGTTGTCGAGGGGAAAGAGGGGAAGAGGATACGGACTGGCGGCAGCATACCTAAGTCCTGGCTCATTTGTTTGAGGCCGTCTGGTGTTGCTTTGCTGGGGTCTGCGGAGCGGTAGACGAGTCTTTTGCGGATGGTGGTGTCGTTGCCGATGTCGCGGAAATTTGCTATCCCTGCTACGTTGATGAAGGGAGGTGGGAGATTTGGCGAAGACATGGTTTGCGTGTGAAAGACAAGGTCTGGACAGAGTCGAGATTGTATATAGAGATGAAGCCTTGAGATGAGGTTTGAATACAGAGCTCGGGAAAATGTCCAGCCGAGGTCCGAAGACGGAGCTTCACTTACTACATAAGGTACTACCTACCGCGTCGAACTACAGCATGAGAACTATTTCTGCCACGATGGATCCATGGACGTGCCAACATAAGTATAGGTGCACTGGGACGCTTCAATGGTGTCTACCGGACTTCTGATACCAAGATGCTGTGGTACGAATCCCACGAGGCCGCGATAAAGATCCGACCGCATGCCATGCGGCATTGGCCGATGACTGCCTATCCGGTGACCCGATTCGCGAGTACCGGACGATTCCGTGCGCCAAACTCGTAAGCTGTGTCGCGTATTGAGAGGGTATGGCCAACTGAGCGAGTCAAGTAATGCGAGGGCCCAGGAGGGGCGGCACTGGCCAGACGGAGTCCACGGTGGATGAAATGTACCGTGGTACCACATGTACCGTTCCTTTCGAAAATCTCGTCCGTAGCACCAAGGCTCGGGACGTGAGCTAGTATCGTGAGCTAGTATCGTGAGCTGTCCGGAGCCACGGTGCTTCAACAGGAACGAATTTGGACAAGCTAGCCTAACGGTGTCGGAAGATACCGAACCAAGATGCCGGAAGATGATTCGTGCAGCTGCTCCGACGTCTCCTTATGGATTGCTTCAATCGCGGTAGAGAGGGGGATCCGGAGTGCATACGTCCTGGACCTGGACCTGAAGTGTCGGAATTGTTCGCTCGAGCACTGGCCCAGGGTCGGCTGTACGTGCGCGGGACAGCTGAAGTTGGTCAGAGTTTCGCACGTAGGCATTGGCATGTCTCGTGCTTGGCACCGGGTGCATCTTTCTCCTGGCTAGAGAAGGGTACGGCAAACATGCTGCGAAAGCAGCTCGTGGCCAGCCACTCCAGAACGGCTAACAGCGGTGTGAGACTTGGCAGTGGGCAGCGTGGTGTGTTGGAGAAGGTGAGTCCCGCGGGGCTGAATGCACTGCATGCTCGGCATGTTGTGAGCCAGTGCCGTGGGCTCACGAAGCAGGCCGGCAGATTCGAAAGTTCAGCGGCGCTCGGTGGAAAGCTGGCCACTTGCAATGATGAATGCATGGCGAAAGTTCGTCATGCTGCATCCGGAGACCGTGACAAAGTGGTACGCTTGCGGTGCTGCTGCAGGAGCGGTGAGAGGCGCGCTGTCCTGAGCACCTGCAGGTACTAAAGTTTTCCCAGCGGGTACATGTAGCTCATAACCCAATTCCACCCACACACCTGCCAGCATTCACTGCCAGCGCCGAGTGACAGACGAGGTGGGAAGAGCTTGGTTCATAGGCGAGCCGAGGAAGTCTTGCATACAGTTCGGGCCATCGAGTCGTATGTGAGACAGTTGCGGAGAAGAAGAAGAAGAAGAGGAAGAAGAAGAAGAGCGGGATCGGCAACAAGTGCGATCACACAGTTGAGTTACGGGGATCCATGGGCTCCCCGGCGCCGGCAGGCTTAGCACGAGCCGTCACATGGTAGCAGCTGCCGAAACGCGACAGGGATCGTGGGCCGAACTCCCGCAGGGCTGCACACGCCGGGCACTCGCTGTACCCTTTGGGCGCACGCATTCCTTCTTTTCGTTTTCAATTTCAGGTCCTGACTTCCCCGACTCCTCCAGCGTCGTATCGTTGTACGCAGCACCGCCCATCGCATGCGCGACGCAGCATAGGGAAGGTGCGCTGAGACGTGGAGAGGCATGTCACACGAGGCTTCCACACTGCGCCATTCGTCCACCCAATCAAGCACCACAGAACGCGGTCGCTGTCACGGCTACCGACTTTGCCAATCAGCTCCGTTTGCACCAGACACCCACACCGCCAACAATCATTCACACCACGCAACAAGAGGCCCCTCCTCTCGCAGTCTCCATTCGCAGTGTCCATGTATCTACCGCATTTCCACGCGCGCACAACATGTCTGGATATGACCCTGGGCGGAGCCCACATGACCAGTCTCGGGATGTCTTGCCAGCCTCACAATACTTGCAGGACCGGCTGCACGAACGGCGCGCCCGAAACACCCGTCCCAAGCGATCACGACACACAGACTTCGGGCCTCAGAAGGGACGCGACGATGACATCTTCCTCGACGAAGCCGAGCAGTCCAAACACGCAAGAATGTTCGACAGTTCACCAATGGTGCATAGCACGATGGGGTCGGACGCAGGCAGCAGCGGTAGGCGGCGGCGTCGGACACTGGGAATCAGAGACATGGACGATCAGATGGACCGTTTGACCAAAGAAAACTTCGCCTTGAAGCTGGAGCTCGATCACCGTCGAGAGCATACACTCAAGTTACAGGAGCAGATTGAGACCATGAAGGAGAGCGTCGCTTGGGCGGAGTCAGTAAGGAATGAGCACCAGGAGCTCTTGCAGATCAACTCTCAAATGGTAAGTGAGATGGAGCAGCGAGACAGAGCAGTGGAGGAGGCGATGGACATTATATGCGATCTGGAGGACAGAGTAGCAGAACTCGGGGAGCGCAATACGCAAACGCGACCTTCTACGGCCAACGCGGATTCTGGGTACGCCGGAACCGAAACCTTGGAACATGAGCCGTCGTCTTCACCTCCGCGACTACAGACTCAGGCGAAGACGCCCCATGTTCGCGATCGCAAGGCTGAGAAGTCTGCCGGAGCAGCATCGCAGAACTTGCAGGACGTGTTGAACGACCAGACGCCGCCCAAAACCAAGAGACCACTGTCGATCTTCAGCGAACAGAAGCCGAGTACGCAAGCGCTGCGGAGCGTGTACATGGAGAACGCGAAGAGATTGCAGCCGGTCAAGAGCTTCCAGTCGCTGCTTTCTCGCCAGGAATCTCGACTCGATGAAGATGGCGAGCCGATTCTTAACTCGCCTCGGCTCAGCGTCTTGAGCGAGAGCAGCTTCCCATCCATGTACAGCCCAAAGCAACAGTTCACCAGTCCAGACCGGTATGCGTGGGAACACGATGACGAAGAGGATGCGCACGACGCACAGTTTGGCCCCAGGGGGCATCTGCGACACGACAGCATCAAGCGGGTCAGTCAATGGATTTCGGACAGGGACGGAGACGAGGCAACGCCGACTAAGTCGAACAGCATATCCACACCTTTGGCGAATGGAGCGGATTTCCTTCAGCAACCGCAGGCAGACCACTCAGCACACCATCAGTCTCTGAATGGCGCACTGCAGTCTGTCACCAAGTCACCCAGCTTGCCGTCGCAAAATGAACAGGATCGTAAGATTGTTGCTCAGCCCAAAAAGCAGAAGCCTTCGTCCCATTCGTCCCGCCTAACTAGTCTTGGCGGGCCCATCTTTAACGAGCCGCTTCTACCACCCACGCCGGACAGCGCGAGCACTCGCATGCTCCGTGCTTCAAGATCCAGCATTGCAGACGACAGAAGCCTGCTTGACACCACTCCAACCGTGGTCAAGGGATACAGCGCTCTACTTGAGCCTCCGATCGGGTCTGTCGTTCGGACTGCTCCAAGACAGATGAGGTCTTCGGTCGAATTGAGGACCGCCTACACAAGCAATCTGCAGTATCGCACCAATGCTCTCGTCGCGCCTGGCCAAGAGGAGAGTTGGGACGGAGAAGATGACGTGGAGCATGATCGCCGCTCAAGCATCATGGGCGACCTGGATCTGGACTACGACGGCTTTCCGGATGGTAAATCGATTGTGATGGGTACACCTAGGAGGTTCCTCAAACACTCGAAGCCACCGGTCAGCGACTTGATGTTCGATGGCAACGGCTTCCAAGCCGCGCAGATGGTCAAGTCGTCTTCCAGACGGCGCCAATCCAGCGGACATTTCACCACCGGCCCATCGGCGAAGCCTCGACTGTCGCGCGCTGAGACAAGCCCAACCATGCCTGGCAGCGTTGGCCAAATGGTCGGCAGCGGAGAAAGGTCAGTAGAGAGCATTACGAGTCCTCATTCCGTCCACTCCGGTTCATCCGGAGACGGCACCGTCACCCCGAGCGACGACCAGCGCGGTCAGGCCATTTCTCCCATGAGAACAGGCCCCCCGCCGGCCGGCTTGAATTCGTCCCCGGGTTCGCGCATGGTGTCTCGGTCTCCAGGCAGGAGGCTCAGTCAGAAGGCTGGGGGACTCTTCCGACGTCTTAGCAACAGTCGAGGAAGTGAGCGCGAGACGACACCTCTGCCAACCCTGACCTCGTCGCCTGCGTCCACCTTTACAAACGACGCACCGGCCGAGAGCAAGAGGCCGAGAACAAGCCATGGCAACGAAGGACGCTCCGCTAGGAGTTCGGGAGGCCGCAGCGCCTCGAGACCGCCCCGCGGCCTCAAGACTCGAAGGTCATCGTTGCAACTGCGAACCCAGACTGAGCCGGCAGTCGGCAGGCCACCTTCCAGCGCGGCGACGGAGAGTTCGGCGTATCCTGTCGACCGAGAGAAGCGAAGCCTCTTCAAGCGCAAGGACAGCCAAGAGAGGCGGGAAGGTGTTGCATCGTCTGCAGGTACCAGCAGCAGGAACGGAGCACCCAAGCGCCGCGGCAGCCTTAGGGACGCTGTCACGACGCGGCGGCCATGGCGGTAGATGGAGCGATGCTGAGGCGCCCTTTATTCCTTTTTCCTTTTTCCTTTGAACCATGCTTTCTGGGTGTGGGGGAGCCTGATGGGCAGGCACTTAACGACTGTGATATCCTACGAATGAGCGTGACTATGAGGTGCACACGCTACGACCTTGACGACCCGGGACAGTGTAACAGTAGTGGTAGTGATAGCAAAACGGCAAGAATGAGTGCACATTTATCCGGCATGGTGTCTCGCGTTTCCCGCAGTGTGCGATTTCGACATACTGCTCTGTTGTGGTGATGATGATGATGATGATGATGGTCATCATGACGATGATGATGATGATGTCGATGGCAGATTGGGAACGCATGCGGCAGAGCAATGCGCATTGCGAGCGCGGAAGAGGGAAGGTTTCCAGGCAGCGTGGCGGGCATGAGGATTTCGATTTGATGTCGCTTGGTATTGCCATGGATTTGACACCGCCCGGTATTGCGCTCGAAGGGACGGGAGGCCACGAGGGGCGATGTCAGCCACGGCTTTCGCCAGAAAAGACAAGCACGTCCCAATCATCGCAGCGTGCGGGGGCAGCATGGCATTGCAGATGTCGCCAATGGTGCGAGGAGCAGCTCCATCTAAGTCAATGGCTGGACGGGGAGAGAAAGGTTGAAAGGCAGCGGGTGCCGTGAGTGCCGCGCACGTGTAGACACCCGGCGTCGCGGATTCGCGTTCCTGGATCTCCTCGTGCAGGATTTCCGGCCCATGACGTCGTCGGCCACAGCTTCTCTCCAGCCCAGGTGAGCACGTGCGGCTCGCGACAGCACCCTGCATTATCGAAGGTGGCAGGATGGAGGATGCTTTCCCGTTTGATGAGAGGCGCGGGGCGCAGGACGACGATCAGACCGCCGCTGGACCTTGCATAAAGAAGACAGCTCTCCGGGATGCCACAAGCTCGACGCGTGCCTGGACGTGTACGAATAGTAGTAGCTCCTCCCGAGAGACACAGAAGGTATCGCTACACAACAACCAGGTCCTCCTACACAAGGTACTCTTTACTTGCAAGGCCCTCTTGTTGTCCGGTCTCTTGGTTTTCGGGGCCATGATGTGGAAGCGCTATGTCTTGGCCTCGGCGGCCGGCTTGGTGCTTGCCCAGGAGGATGCTGCTGCTGGTATACTGGAGGAGAGACAGGCGGCGAGCAGCAATGTCCCTCAGTATTTCCAGACGCAGCCCGAGTTCCTGCCAGGTGAGTCGATCTGTCGGCATCTTATCCTCGCTGCAATGTATCCCGACGTTGGCTGACTTGTGCAGGTCCTACCCCGACGGGCCCAGCTGCTTTCCTGGCCCAGACGAACCCAGCTCCATTCGCTGGAACGGTCAGTCGCGAGATGGAAGCATTGAGAGGGTTGAGAGGGCTCAAGGCTGACATCTGCTAGACCTACATCCCTAACAGCCCTCTGGAGACTCAGGTCCCCATTTCCGGCAACACCGACAATGGCAACATCTTCCAGATGCAAGGCCAACTCTCCCACTACTTCCCCAACCCCTCCGGCTTCGGCGTCAGCGAGTACTCTCTCCCGGCAAACGCGTCCATCGTGCAGCTGAACATGCTGTCGCGTCACGGCGCTCGTTACCCGACCACCGGAGCGGGTGCTACAGTGCTTGCCCAGAAGATTCTGAACTTCACCAGCAACAGCCCAGCTGCTGCGAGCGGCTTCACCAGCGGCTCACGCACCTTCACGGGACCTCTTGCGTTCTTGAACACCTGGAAGAACCAGCTCGGTGCCGAGATCTTGACTCCTGTTGGAAAGCAGGAGTTGTTTGACTCGGGAACCCTGCAGTACGTATCAGACGAGGGAAGCCGGCATGAGTGCATCGCTGACACTTGAACAGCCAGATCATGTACGGTCACCTCTACCCCAACAACGGCAGCAAGATCTACGCACGCACCACCACCCAAGACCGCATGATCCAGTCTGCCGAGTACTTCATGGCGGGATTCTTCGGTCTCCAGTGGACGCAGAATGCCTCCTTGATTGTGGCTATCGAGAACACAACCGGCACCTGGAACAACACTCTTGCCGGTTACGACAACTGCCCCAACTCGAATGCGCCTGTTTCTCAGGGCGGTACCAACGCTACTCGCGAATGGTACAACATCTACCTCGCCGATGCCGTGAACCGCCTCAACTCGTACGGCCCAGCTTTCAACTGGTCCACCACCGATGCCTACAACGCTCAATCTCTCTGCGCCTACGAGACGGTTGCCCTGGGATACTCTGCGTTCTGCGGTCTGTTCAACTACCCAGAGTGGGAGAGCTACGAGTACTCGGTCGACATCAACTTTGCTGGTAACGACATGTTCCAGTCTCCCACGGGACGAGCTGTCGGCATCGGCTACGTCGTGGAGATTCTCGCTCGCCTCCAGCACCATCTGATCACTACCCCAACGGCTCAGATCAACACCACTCTTGACGGCATGGAGTCGACCTTCCCCCTGAACCAGGCTCTCAACTTCGACTTCTCCCACGACACCAACATTGCCTCCATCTTGACGGCCTTCGGTCTGACCCAGTTCGCCCAACTCCTGCCAGCCGACAGCCTCCAGCGTAACCGATCTTTGATCGTCTCTCATATGGAGCCTTTCGGTGCTCGTCTTGATATGGAGATCATCGAGACTCCCCAGCCACTTGACGGCAACCGCAAAGCAGGCACCAAGTACAACTCTGGTGGCACGACCCGGTACATCCATTTCATCCTGAACCAGAGGACCATTCCTCTCGGCGCCAGCTTCTCTCAGTGCGGTCAGCGTGACGACGGCTGGTGTGAGCTTACCACTTTCATGAACTTGCAGGCCACCAAGCTCCAAGAGGCCCAGTACGAATATTCTTGCTTCGGCAAGTACCCATCCAACGCATATGGAACCATCAACAACGGTGTGCCTCTTGCAAACGGTGCTAGTGCCAGCGCTCCGGCTTATGCCTCTGGAACTGCCGCTCGCACCACTACTCCAGCTTCCAGCGGTTCCGCGACTACTACTTCTCGTGCTGCGGCTGCTGCCACTTCTACAGGCAGTGCCCGCGCCGCCTCGGGTGCTGTTGGCGGTGTCGCGGGCAGCTCTAGCAGCCGTGCTGCCTCTGCCTCTGCCACGAGCACTGCTCGCCCTGCTACGACCATGAGCACTCGTGCCTCTTCTTCTTCTTCCTCCAGCTCCTCCGCTCGCGCCGGTGTGGTCACGCAGATTGGGTAGGATTTTCTGAAGCTTCCTCTCCTGTTCGCGTGCTAATGTGAGACTGCAGTGACGGCCAGATTCAGGCGCCTCGTCCAGCGACCACCACCTCTCGCCCAGCTACTTCCTCTGCCACCTCTCGTTCAGCGACCACCACCTCTCGCCCGTCGACCACCTCTACCTCCTCTCGTCCAGCTACCACCTCTACCTCCTCTCGCCCAGCTACCACCTCTCGTCCAGCTACATCCTCGAACGGAAGTCCAGTAACCCAGGCTGGGTAAGCAAGCATCGTTCCATACTCGTGAACACCGTCCTCGCTAACACCTCCCTCCAGAGACGGACAGCTCCAGCGTCCTGCCACGAGCACTCGCACATAGAAGAGCCAGCGGATATACTGCTGCGACATCATGTTTACGAAAAGAGATTCGATATAATGAGGACATGTCCTGAGAAAAAGTAATGTACATAGACAATAGTTGATAATGACCAGCAAACGCTCACTCACGAAACAAGGAAAGTGCTTGGGAACGTGTCTGTCCGAGCGCTAAGTGAGATTTGCATGTTTGATCGAGCACCGACGCGTCGTCGTGCTGTCTCCGTCTCGTCTCTTGTGATTCATGCGGAGAGCCTACGCCTTGAGTAGTCGGACAAGCATTAAGGTATTTGGGTATGTCCTGAAACCCTTGAGGATCTCGGTATTCCAGATTTTTCTTTGCCATTGACCGAATGTGGTAGGATCAGACCACGCTATCGGGCACGGACGCGCTTTCACGTGCCAATGTTGGCCGAGATCGGAAGGAGGAAGGTGGGGGATGATGGATAGATGATCTGATAATTTGCGACAAAGTCATGGGACTGCCCTCTGCATCTTCCATCAACAAGCATGTCGTCACGTCCATCGTCCTGAGAAGAAGACTTCAACCGCCCATGGCTAACGTCACAAACCACGAAACCACTTTCCCAGAGCACCCGACGGCGCAAAGCCCATGTCCCACCAAAAAGCACCGCCTCTCGTCCCCGCCACCACCCTCCCACCTACTCTCCCTCCCCACAGAACTCCGTATCCAAATCCTCGAACACGTCTTCTCAGAGAACCTTCACCACAACGGCTTCCACCTCCGGCCCCATTCCAGCAGCAGCAGCAGCAATCCGCGCCTCAGCGGCAGCCATCTCGACGAAACATACACCGCCTCAAAACGGCTCCAACCCCTCCTCGTGTGCAAAACCTTCCACCGCGAGGGAACTCTCCCCGCGCTGCAGCGCACGCACTTCCTCGTGACGAACCTCTTCCTGCAAATCCCACAGCGCCTGAACGCAAGATTGCATCCGAGGCAGATTCAGGCGCTTCGGAATCTTGCCTTTGTAGCGGATGATCGGCATTTTCGCAGTCTGATGGAGTGGCGCGGGAGGCCGTTCGGGATGGTCTTGGAACTGGAGTGCCTGACGCTCGTGCTGCACCGGACGAACGCGTGGCACTACCTGTTTGATTTCACGGGGGATGTGGTGCGGCTGTTGCGCAGTCTGCGGGGCGTGCGGAAGTTTGTGATTGTGAGGAATGCGGCGCTGGTCAAGGGGAGTCTGAAGGCGTGGTATAACCGGCTCGTCGGGTTGATGTTGAAGACGGATCATCAGCAGCGGTATGAGGTCTGCCCGCCACGGTTGGAGGAGACGTGGTGGGGGTGGGAATTCGACGAGGAAGGGCAGAGGATTGTGTTGCAGGCGAGGGAGGCCAGGGGGTGGGTGGAGGAGGAAGAATACATGCGGCAGGTGTTGCCGCTGATGGAGGCGTTGCGGGCGAGCGTGGAGAGTGAGGAGTGGAATCCGGATCCGCGCGCGCGGAATCATTATTATTAGATTGGGATCTTTTGCTTTATTTATTTTAATCTACAGCTCGCCGGTGAGGAATTGGGCCCTTCCGTGGCCGAAACTCCAGTCTTCCTTTTCGTTCTGCGAGACGGTGATGATCAAGTCGTTCCCGTCCACGCCGCATTCGGCCTTCAGCCGCTCCGCGAGGGCCGCGTAGAGTGCCTGCTTCGTCTTCGCATCACGGCCCTGTTGGAAGACTTGGATGAAGACGAGTTTATCGCTGCGTTGGAGACCAAGCTTGGTGTCTTCGCAGATCAGCTCGTCGGGCTCGTGCTGGGTGATGACCTGGATGGGGGAAGGAAGAAAGTTTTAGTGTGAGTTGAGTTATTACAGTGTAGCCCAAGAAGGGGGCCCAGGCAGGTCAGCTTGCCTGATAGCGGTCTGCGGGAGGCGCATTGAAGTGGTCGAGGGAGCATTGCTGCACGACGTCTGCGAGTTTGCGGATTTCTGGCTTGCTGCGGATGCCTTTGACGAGGTGGATTTGGAAGTATGGCATGTTTGCTGATTGCGATTTGATTGTTCTGGTGTTGCTTGGGGCGATGGATGGGGTGTTTCTTCTCACAAGAGGGTCTATTACTGCTTCAAGTGCACAGTGTCGGTGTTTTATGCTTCACGGCTTAAGCGGCAGTGTAGACATGAGGTCATGCTCCCGGCTCTGACGGTGCTGTACAGCTCCTTGTTGGATGTCTTCCGCTATCCCGCCGCTTGAAGATGCTAAATGTCTTTTCGCATGGCGAGTTTTCTTCATTGCCGGTGGCAGAGACGGATTCCATTCCACTGCAATTGCTCGCATATTCGTTCATTTTTGTCAGCACGAAGGCCAGTTCCCGAGCAACGAGGGCGCCTCGTTGACGAGCGTCTGAATTCTTGGCAGCGATTGTTGAGGATCGTTCACCCCTTGTCCCAATCGTCATGTTGATCGCGCATGCGTGTGCCGTAGTAGATTTCCTCTCCAAAGCATCGTCGTCGGTGAGAGACACAGCTCGATCCAAGACTCGAAACAGAGAGTACATGTAGTCACCAATCGCTGAACACTTTCTTCACAGCGAGTGATGGTCGTCCGCCATATTCGCCAGCCACTGCCCTTAGACTCTTTCCCTATCGCTCGTATAATAATAGACATACTCCTTGCCCATTCCCCGGTCTCAGAAGCTTTTATATAACACCTATCCGTTTTTCACCGACTACTAGCAGCGAGCACCGGTCGTCAACGAGCTTGAGCAAGCCACAACTCGTGAGCAGGTAGAGATCATCCGACTTCCATTTGCTGCCTAGCGAGTGAAAGTCGTCCTACGAGCAGAAGTCGTCCAGCGAGCGCAATTCGTCCACTCTGAGCCACTTGCAAGCTCACAGCACTCTCCAAGTCGGGCTGCATCGCTGTTTGCGAACGGAGTATGATCTACACACAGACTGCGCGCAGTCATCATTGTCCTGTGTAAGTAGGTGTCGCGTCTGCTTTTGCACTCCCGCCCTGGAATGAGTTGACAGTGCACCGAATTTCTCCTTCACAGTGAGCTTCCTGGCCTGCTTCTGTGGGATGGACCATTCTCCGCCAGCCAAGATATCTACAAATGACTGCATGCTCTTTTCAGATCCATTCGTACCCGAACGGGTACTTTCTGAGACCAGCCCGAGAGGAGCCTTGACGCCGTGGATGGCCGCGGGGACGGCCAGGATGGTGGTTCAAGCGATAGTCTCAATCTCCGGTAGTCTGGTCTATTCCTGATCTGGCCACGTGATGTGGCCCGGCAATGGAGCGGAGGGTAGAGAGGAGTGTGAGAGATGGATGCCGTTCTGATCTCTATAACACCGTATCGGCATCGGCATCGCCATCGCCATCTAGGGGTGACAGCCCTGCGATAGAGGGCAAGATCTTGGCAGCGCGTGTCGGCGTCGGAGTGACTGGCGGAAAGGAGCGATGGGACGATGCTGGTGAAGGCATCTCGGTCGGTTGATTACGATGGAGCGACGACGTTGCTTGGGGTTGAAATCAACCTGGAATTGTCTCACGGCAGAGGCCCCCCCCGAGAGCAGCCGATACGGCCGATCCGACCCCCGCCTTCTGCTTTCGTTTTGGTATTGTGGTATTATCGATCGCATCGAATGGAAAATCAATGATAATGTCTGGCCACGGATGACGACCTAGACGCCACTCGACGGGAATTACATACACACATCTATCGCCCCGGGCATTCGCGCGGAGCCGCTTACAGTTACATCCGCGGGGAAGATGCTCACATGCTGGGCAAAGCTTGACGACATGCGCCCGGGCAGCGACCGGCTAGACCGCATTCCTGTCTCTGTTTGCGTTGTGGTACGTACCTACCAACGACAGTCAGCCAGTTCTTAGCTCCAGTCGAGCTCCCCACAGCTCCGACCTCACGCACGCACGACCCGACACGACACCTCCTGCACACTGTGCCTCCCAACACCCTCCCTCCCTCCCTCCCACCCACACACCCACACACCCACACACACACCTGTCCCACGCGCACCGCACCGCACCGCACATCACGCTCAATCGCATCCTCAATCGCAATCACCTGCCTGCCGCACGCGCCTGCCCTCCATTGTCCTTGGCTTGGGGAACGAGCCGCACACGCACACGCAAACACACCTCACTCTCCCCCGCCTGCGACTGGACCTGTGCCGCTGAACTCCGCTCCGTCATTACTCCACACCACCTCACGTCCTCTGATCCTCCATTCCGTGCCGCAGCGGCAGCAGCAGCATCATTGCTTTCGGTCGTGCGCAGGTGGAAGTCCTAAGACAAGACCTGCTGCACCACCTGAGACTGAGACTCTCGCAGCGGCTGCTACCGTCGCCGCCCCGCGTTCCAAACGACCGTTCCTGTCCGTCGGCCTTCGCGCCCATATCCATTCGATCCATTGCGACATTCCGCCCACACTCCACCCCGCCCCGCCAGCACGTTGGCCTCCGACAGCAATCCTCCCTGCGTTCCACAGAAGCGGAGAGGCTCCTCCCTCATGCCGTCGCTCGGTTTCCTCAAGAAGAAGCGTACCAAGGACTCGCAAGCGTCCGAGCAACAGGTAACTTCGCGATCCTCCGGCTCTGCCACCACGCCCATCACACCCACCCTCTCCTCCAAGAACAGCAAGGTCTACTCCGAGCCCGACCACACTTCCACCTCTGCAGACACTCCCCAGCAATCCTCCACAGCCGTTGCGCCTACCACCCCGAAACCGGATGCCCCAATGGGCGCCCAGGTGCAGCCGTCCATCCAGAACCTCATGAACCAGCCGGGCTACACCGCGTCGCAACATGACTCTGCCTTCTCCGGCATGAGCGCCAACAACAATGTACCCGTGATCAATGCCCCGACCAGCAAGCCGACCACGAATCCCCTCCGAGAGACAAAGGGCAAGTACACCTTGGCCGACTTCCAAATATCACGTACCCTGGGAACTGGCTCATTTGGAAGAGTGCATCTGGTACAGAGCAAGCACAACCAGCGCTTCTATGCCGTCAAGGTGCTCAAGAAGGCACAGGTGGTGAAGATGAAGCAGGTAGAACACACCAACGATGAGCGCAAGATGCTGCAAAGATGTCGGCATCCTTTCCTCATCACACTCTGGGGCACCTGGCAGGATTCCAAGAATCTGTACATGGTCATGGACTTTATCGAGGGAGGTGAGCTGTTCAGCTTGCTCCGGAAATCCCAGCGTTTCCCCAACCCTGTCGCCAAATTCTACGCCGCTGAGGTCACCCTGGCACTCGACTATCTACACAGCATGAACATCATCTACCGAGATCTCAAGCCCGAGAACCTGCTCCTGGATCGACATGGTCACATCAAGATTACAGATTTCGGTTTCGCGAAGGAGGTGCCGGACATTACCTGGACTCTCTGCGGAACGCCGGATTACCTCGCGCCCGAAGTCGTGAGCAGTAAAGGATACAACAAGAGCGTTGACTGGTACGTGGCATTTCATGTGCCGAGGCTGCAGTCCGTACTAATATAGACACAGGTGGAGTTTGGGTATATTGATTTTTGAAATGTTGGCAGGGTTTACACCTTTCTGGGATTCTGGATCGCCTCTCAAGATCTACGAAAACATCCTCAAGGGCCGCGTAAAGTACCCTCCGTATATCCACCCCGATGCCCAGGATCTTCTGGGAAAGCTCATTACAGCCGATCTGACGAAGCGATTGGGCAACTTGCACGGAGGCAGCAAGGACGTCATGAACCACCCGTGGTTCGCAGAAGTCACATGGGAGAGACTTGCAAAGAAAGACATTGATGCGCCATACGTGCCGCCAGTCCGAGGAGGAGCGGGTGATGCAAGCCTTTTTGACAAGTATCCAGAGGAGACAGAAGCCTACGGGCAAGCAGGCGAGGATCCGTGAGTGTTCGCAGAGCAAGATTGAAAAGCACATGCTGACAACACGACAGACACAAGAACCTTTTCCCCGACTTCTAAGAATCCCCGATCGACGACATTAAACGCGCACGGCTTTACGAAGCAAGCACGCGGAATTGGCAATTTCCTTTGCAACAGAACGGCTCTCCACTTCCTGTGATGAGACGGAACATGATCCGACGGAGACAGGCGACACCGAGTTGTCAGGCACAACAGCTTCTTGCACGGCCAGTGACGGCACATACGGGGATACACGTTACATGCCACTCATGGGAATGGGACACGGAGTCTTGAAGCGGCACGAAAATCGGCGCAAGCTTTCCCATTTCGGCACAGGAATCTTGAGGAAAGCGTATTGCGTATGTGGGGCTTTGGATATGAGAAAGGGAGATGTGATGTGAGAGGTTGCACTGTGTAAGCCAACAATGACCTTGGATGAGCTAGCTAGCTACTGCCATTGAGCATGATCTTGACCTATGAAAATCAATTAATACGCAAAGATGCGCCTTCGTTGTTGTGTTGCTCCTTGTGAGGTGTTTGAATGTCGATTTGGAGAGTTTCACGGCTTGTCTTGCCACGCCGTGCACAAAAGTGCCGCTCATTCCGCCTCTTGTGTGATTCTTTTCCTCACGCTCATCTCCCTGCCGGACTCTCCAGCTATCACTGCTCTCACCCGAGCGTGACCTACATCAAGTCGTGAGCATGAGAGAGTGGCAAAGGCCTCTCTACCTCTGCTTCCTCCAAGGGAACAGACAAGTCTGCAGTCTCCCGCATCCAAGTTACGTCCGTGGCAAGTTCTGGTGATGAGATTGCTTCCCTTCCCTTGCACACAATAGGGCGAGATTCCACACAGCTCCACCGGCAAATCTTCCCCATCTTCTTTCCCAAAAAAAAAGAAAAAAAATCAAACCGGCTTCGCGACTTTCCTTTCCTCCCTCGCGCCCGTCACCGAATCCTGGAATTCCCTCCAGCTGACCGGAAACATCTGATTGCCCCACTCGCTCGTGGCCATGACGACGCCGAGATCATTGCGCGCCGTGGAGCAGTAATAGGAACGCTCGTCGCCGAGGGAAATCACCGTGGCGCGGACAATGTCCCCGACGCGGAAAGCGGACGCGACGGTGACTTTGGCGATCTCCGTGAGACGGATGTCCTGCTGGCGGATGATGGCCGGGAAGGGATCCGCGTAGGGGGAGGGGGTGCTCGAGGTGCTGAGGATGAGGAGGTTGGCTTGGGTTTTGGAGAGGCGCGTGATGCGGCCGAGGATCGTGCTTCCGGTTGTCGGGAGGAGGAGAGGGGGGTTTTGGCCTGCTGTCGTGCTCGTGCGGGAGATGGAGGTTGTGGGGAGGGATTTGGGGTTTGCGGGCTTGTGGGTGTGGATTTGGCCGGAGATGCTGGCGTGGATTGTGTTGGTGGAGTGGTCGATGTGGGTTCCGGGGCCGATGTCTGTGGTGGTTGTTGGGGAGAGGGGTTGGCCTGGGAGAGCGATTGGGGAGGGAGTCATTTTTGCTTGATGTCCCAGTTTTTACTCTTTGGGATTCGAGATTGTAGGTAGTGGTAGATACGGCAAGAGAAAGCACGATGTGAAGTGGTTGTTCCAAAGTTCCGATTCGATCTAGAAAGCCTGAGGCATCCCTGCCTCGAATCTCCGCTTCGTTAAATCCGCCCCCGTCGTCTTCCTCACGCCTTCAAAATTTCTCCCCTCTCTCTCTCAAGTGCTGCACTCTCCATCACCACACCACAGGACAATCGCGCAAAGATGTCCTCCCTCCGCAACGCAGTCCAGCGCCGCAACCACCGCGAACGCGCGCAACCCACCGAACGCACGAAATGGGGCCTGCTCGAAAAACGCAAAGACTACAAACTCCGCGCCGCAGACCATAAATCCAAACAACGGAAAATCTCCGCCCTCAAGCAGAAGGCCTCCGAGCGGAATGAGGATGAGTTCTACTTTGGGATGGTGAATGCTTCTACCTCTGGCGGGATCAGGCGGAGTCGGCGCGGGGAGGAGAATAGCGCGGGCGGAGGGAAGGCGTTGGATGTGGATGTTGTGAGGTTGATGAAGACGCAGGATGCGGGGTATTTGAGGACGATGTTGCAGAGGACGAGGTTGGAGAGGGAGAGGGTGGGGAGGGCCGTTGTTTTGGGAGAGAAGGGGGTGGAGGTGCAAGCTCCCGCTGCCGCGAAGGGGAAGGTGGTTTTCGGAGAGGACGGGGAGGAGATGCAGACCGCGCGGCCTAGTGGTGGGCATGAGGTGGAGGACGAGGGAATTTTCGATATGGAGATGAGTTTTCTGGATGAGGAGGACGGGGCTGATGGAGTGGAAGAAGAGAGTGAGGGTGAGGAGTTGACACCGGAGGAGCGAGCTGCGAAGCGGAAGAAGAGGCATGCGCTGATTGTCAAGAGGCGAAAGTTCGAGGCGCTAGAAGAGCAGGAGTCGAAGCTTAGTGCTGCGTTGGATGGGCTTGAACACCAGCGAGCGAAGATGGCCGGTACAGTGGGCAGCGTGAACAAGAATGGCGTCAAGTTCAAGGTGAGGCAGCGCAAGCGATGAATTCTATTGGCATGGCATTGTTTCAAGAGATCTGCTACATCGTCCATTGACTGCATGAGAAACCCCGAAAATTTGGCATGAAATTTACAGCTTGGCCGGCATTCTCGTTGCCCCATCGAGTCGAATGCACTCCCCGTTGAGATAATTATTCTCAATGCATGTGCGAGCCATGTGAGCAAACTCCCTGGCGTTGCCAAGACGCTTGGGGTACTCGGCTACCCTCTGCAGCGCCTCCCTCACTTTCGGCGACATGGCGGCGCTCATGGCGGTTTCGAAGAGACTCGGCGCAATCGAGAGGGCTCTGATACCGTTCGGAGCCAAGTCGCGCGCCAAAACGAGAGTCATGCTGCGGATGGCCCCTTTTGTAGCTGCGTAGGACAGCTGACCGACCTGCCCCTCGAATGCCGACGTAGAAGAGACCATGACAATCACTCCACGCTCTCCATCCTCTCCGACCGGTTCATTCCGGGCCATGTGAGGAAGCACCAGCCGTATCAGATTCAGAACACCCCTCAGATTAATGTCAATGACAAAATCCAGTTTCGCCATCGGAATGGGATTCAAATCCTTATCGAGAAGCTTCGCGGGGAGTCCGACGCCTGCCAGAGGGAGGAGACCACCGATGGGTTTTCCGGTCTTCTTGACCCATTCCATTGCTCCGTTGACGGCTGCCTCGAGGCTTTCGGAGTCTGTGACGTCTACTTCGAAGAATTTGGCGCGGGTGGAACTGAGTTGTTGGACTGCTTTTTCGCCGTTTGATGGGTTCATGTCTAGGATGGCGATGTAGCCGCCATGGTGGTGGAGGTCTTCGCAGGTGGCGAAGCCGAGGCCAGAGGCGCCGCCGGAGACGATGAAGGTTCGATCTTTGATTTGCATGGTTTTATGGTGTAATTCTTTGAGATGGGATGGAAGGTAGAGAAGACAGTTGAGGTGAGGTGAGATACAGGTAGATCTCCGGGACGCCGAGGTATCTTTCTAGTTGAACCTAAATTATGATGGTGGTTGTGTTCCCTTCTATTGTGAAGCTATTTTGCTGCTCGTGGACCTCTAGTCGGTGAGTAAGAGCTGAGGAACGCTTGGTATCGGATTGCTGTAGTGTCCTGGTCGGCGAAGGCGATTTGTAGGAAGAAGTGGATGAATGCCCGCACTTGCATGTGATGAGCGGCTTCCCCGCGAGCTTTGACCAGCGCGGAACACGGTCCGTGCCTTCTCCATTCACCTCGCGTCTTCCGCGATGAGGCTCAACTGTCTTGTGAAACGACACTTGCGACTTCCACAATTTCACAATAGCTTCACACCTGGAACATTAGAGCTCTCTTGACTGAAAGACCCATCATCGGCTCTTCAATCCTACCTGCGCCAAAATGGCGACCAACGGACACCCAGCGACACCACCACCTTCAGATCCATCCGCGAAACCAGAAGCGCAATCGAAGTCAGACCCAGAGGTGCCGCTCACATCAACACAAGACGACGGTACATCGAAAAGACCTCGCGATGCGCGCCTCATGCACATCGTGCTCTCCTCACTAGGCATCCATAGCTACCAAGAACGCGTACCTCTCCAACTCCTCGACTTCGCATACCGATACACCAGCGGCGTACTGTCAGATAGTCTCCGACTCAGCGCCGAGGGATACTCAAGTCAAAATCAAGGAAGCACAAAGCGAGGCGGGGGAGGCGATGATAGCAATCTGATCACTGTGACTGCCCTGCGACAAGCGATCGCAAGTCGGCAGGGACACACATTTCAGGGCGCGCTGCCTAAGGAATTCATGCTGGAGCAGGCCGCGGAGCGGAATCGCATTGCTCTGCCAAAGGTGGAAAGGAGCTACGGCGTGCAATTGCCGCCGGAGAAATATTGCTTGACTGGTGTGGGATGGGGTTTGAAAGATGAGTGGGAGAGTGAGGAGGATGTGCCGATTGAGGATACCACCACGCGCCCGGTGTCTGCCTCGCAGCAGGAGGATGAGACTATGGGCGGGATGGACGGCGCGGATGAAGACGAGGAAGGCGCGGGCCGGATGGAGGATGTCTTCGGTGAGAGTGGAGGTGGTGATACCACCATGGCAGATTGAGCACACTCAGTGCAGGCCTACTGCGAATATCTCTGCGGCAAAATTTTAGCGAGGCGTTGGAAGGATCTCCAGTCTATGAGCCAGCGGCGGCAATCCTGTGCCCTGAGCGTCAACTTCAAGCTCCATGATAGGGAGCACCAATATAACGCCGTCGTGGCCTCAGCTCAGCACACATCCATATCTTTCGAGACCCTGGATGTGTATCGCCTTCCTCCCTACGACCTCAGTCCTTATCGGTCTCCGAGTCGGCATCCAACGCGCTTTGCATCTCCGTCGAACGATATCGGCATCAAACCTACTAGGGGCAGTCTGTGCTCGAAAGAAATGGCTCAGCTATATGAATCGTCAGAGCCAAGAGACATGCATTGCAACATTTTCGCCATTCCGAACGGTCGATGAACACTATTACAAAGAGACGGATGAAGCAATCAGGTCTTTTTGTGAAACATGAAAGCTCCGGAACACTTCTAAGTAGCATTCAGAACTCACCAAATAGAAGAGACTAGTGACTGACAGAAACAAAATTTGGACAAGACTGACTAAGCTTATAAGGGTGGCAGTACTACATCTACCACTTGGGACACCGCGCGGATTTGAATTGGCCGCTGCGAGCTCTACAATGCTGAAATTGAACCCGAGATCACCCATGCTCTCAAGCAGACCATTATGAGCAAAGTTCACGAGAAGCATTCAGCTCTCCTGGAGGCGAAAAGGAGGGAAGATTTGGCGAAATTCAACGAGGTTTTCAAGGTTCAAGGAGACCAAGTTGGGGGCAGATGCTTGCGCCAGCTTTGAGCCGGCGATTGAAAGTACTTGGAAATAAGTATCTTGAGAATACATGGAATGTTTTAATGGCGGCGTTGGACGCATTTTCGTGAAATCGATGTAGCAGCGTAGTCTACAGAGCTAATGGGCGCACGGACCCTTCTAGGCTAACATGTGAATAGCTGTGAGTGTTGCGTCATGAGCAAACAAACAGCCGTTTGTTAGTTCTACTGCATTCTCGGAATCTCTGTTCTGGCTTGTCCTCTCACCTCACATTTCTGCGTCAGGCACCGTCGAGCGCCAGGATGACAGGCAAAGAGCGCGCTGAGAGCGAAGAGCCACAGCAGGGAAGTTCGAAGGTACCCAAGTATCTGCTGCCTCTGCTGGACGGCATTAAGAAGTGAGCTGAATGAGCGAGACCAAATACATAGTTGGGCAAATCTGACAGTGCAACAGCTACCACAAGTCGAACAAGCACTTGGACCTCGTAATCAAATGCCAAGGCCGCGAATGGAAGGTCCACAAGACTGTCGTCTGTCCGCAATGGGAAGCTTGCGACACCGCTATCACCAAGTGCAAGGTATACCCATATACAACACCGATGATCTTCTACGTTACGAGGATGCTCACGGCAACATAGGAGGGCGAAGACAATGTCTTCGAGCTGAAGCCGGATGAGAAGGATCCCATTGCAGGAGACGATCCGCAGACTGTCGACGCCATGATCCATTACTTCTACAATTTCGACTACGGCGACTACGGAAACGGCCAGCAGGATGTACCGGGCATCGTTCTCGACATCCGCGTCTTCCTCATCGCCGACAAGTACTTCATCACTCCACTGGCAGAGCTCGCCGTCCAGAAATTCGAAAAGCGCTGCAAGGACGAATGGTCGACCCCCGAATTCGCGGAAGCTGCGTCGAAGATCTACGAGGCGCGATTGGCTCCCGACGGGGCTATGAAGCGGATCATCGTCGCTACCGTCAAAGGACACGCCAAAGCGCTTCTGTGCAGGGAGAAGAACGATGAGATCTCGAGCTTGGCCAACGTGCTCAAGATGACGGAAATAGGTGCTGACGTCTCGAGCGCCCTCATTGCCGATGATAAGAGTACGAAGACTTACAAGTGTCCGGGTTGCAACAAGATCTTTTCTGTGTCTATTCCGGATGGCTGCAAATTTAGTTGTCCAGGACTTTGCTACCACAACAATCGCGCAGGCTTTTGGAAGAGCCATGTTGTGGAGTAAGGCGAACTGGATGGACGGAGGCAACCACTGCGCAGCACACTGGCTTTCTCTCCAAGTCCTTAAATGAATTGTACACCGGATACAATGCTGTGTGCTTTGCCGGAAGACCTTGGTATCACTCTGGTCTATAGCAAGCAAGACAGTATACCGAAATGTGGCATCGAAACATACACATCCCAAACCCCTTCTTTCTCCCTCTCCATGTCCTCCTCAGGCAACACACATATGCATGCCACTTCACCTCTCCCCACCCAGCTTTCTTCTCCGCCGCTTCACGCTTCTCTCACAACATGTGTTAACCTCCGCGCTGACCTTCTTTCTTAGGCGGTACTTTTGCCGTCATTCGACATCGCCATTCATCTTCTGTCTTCTGTCTTCTCCAATACTTCGCATGGAAACCCACATCGTGAATCGAACCGCTCAGGTCCCCAGAAATGATTCACCACAACACCGACGAAACCGACCTCTTGGTTTGGTTTGAGACTCCGATGGATCCATCTCGAAAATTTGGCCGAAAGTGGTGTATCTGGATGCGTAATCAAGGAACCAAGCTCCCAAAGCGAGATTGAAAAGGGGCTTCCCCAGTCTTCTGCTTGGAAGGTCGTCAACAGTGAAAGTAGCGGTTTCCGATTTTGGGTCATACTGCCTAGCCATTGTCAAAATCATGTTTTGGAGAATGTAAAGCCTTCTTCGTCAAGAGCGCCTGTTATACGAAGCTACAGCTGTTGGAGACCTGATCCACAGCTTGCCACGTAGTTCAACGGATGGGCATTTTTAGTAAGACATACATTGTTCTCGTCTTGTCATCTATTCGCGTTGTATCTGGTACTTTTGCGAGCGAGCCCAATTTCTCCATAATCCGAGCACCCGATCAGGCTTGACACAAATGTCTCCCCGAACCAACAATAGGACCGCTTTCCTTAAGCCCACATCGCCTTGAACTTGATATTGAACTCCGCATGCAGCTTCTGGAATGCCTTCAAGACGTTCTTCAATCCCTCGCCGCCTTCGCCTTCCCAAGCGCTGAGCTCCTGCGCGAGCGCCTCTGCTTGTTCACCAAGTTCCCTCCTCGCGGTACTGTCGGCACCATCTGCATCGTCGTCATCATCGCCCGCAAGATCCTCCCAGCTCTCAGCATTCTTTGATTGCTTCTTCGTCGGGGCAGCAGCAGTCTTGGGTCTCTCAGGCATCATGCCGCTAATGCCCGAGTCGGCAATGCTCGGCCCTGAAGCCTCGCTCTGCTGCTCTTCCACCGCGGCGATCTTGTCATCTTCTTCCTCCTCGTGCGCGTCCATTCTGCCCATAATGTCGAGCATGTCCATGTCACTTCCTTCGGAAAGCTTCATGAAATTCATCAGCGAGGTCATGATGGTCGCCAAGACAAGCGAGAAGTCGTTCAGAAGGAACCAAATGTCTGCACGACGAACGCCGTTGGCACGCTCAATGGTCATGACATCGCCATGCTTGAAAAAGTCGAGCAGATACGCATTGAGCGGGACCTTCATTTCCTCCGGGTAGACGTCCATGTGTGGAATGACCGCTTCCTCGAGGAAGACGCCGTCCCGAGTGGTTTGGCACAGATCGTGAATACTCTCAAAGTCATCACCATGGCCAGAAAGCGCAACAAAAGACGAGCGTACTTGTGTTGGCGGCAGCGTCTGCAAATCGCTTGGAATGGTCCCACTCTCCGCACCGGCCTTCAAGCCGGACAATGGCAAAACGCGATCTTGATGCTTCACATGCTGATTCACGAATGTTTCAACGTATGCCTTGTAGACACGTAGAGTCTGTTGGTTGTGTTCAGTGAGGATCTTCGTGGCCTGCTTCGGCATTGGAGGCAAGAAAACAATTGAAGAGGACGGCTTCACGACCTTCTCGCGGTATTCCGAGTCCGCCTGTCGACATTCTCTCCGGTTGAAGAGATGAGACATGACCAACATTAGTGTTTCCAGAATTTCCTGTTCGTTCTTGGCAATGTTGGCACACAGCTCATGGAAATAGCCCTCCTTTAGCAGGGCGTGGAAAGCAAAAGACGAGTTCTCTGTGAAGTACAGATGGCTCACCAGACCAGCGAAGTTGAGCGGCGCGCCATCTGATCCCAGCAGCTGCTGCCGGCGGAGGTATTCGATAGAGAATCGCAAATGATGCATCACTTCGTCCTTGAACGATGGCCCGCCCATGTACAAACGAGGCTGTGAAAGCAGCGCGTTGATAGCACTCACAGCATACTTGGAGTTCTTCGACTCGTGCAAGAGTGTGAACAGGCGGAGAACCAGTGTAGTCGTGATTGGGAAGTGCCCGTTGAGATCGGGCAAGCGAGAGCTGATCAGCCTGCACACCTTCTGGCGCGACACTCCTTGGAACACAACGTTTCCGAGCAGATCAAAGCCACGACGACCCGCACGACCAGCACATTGCCGGTAATTGAGAGCAGTCAAGAAAACCGAGTCACCAGAGAAGACCACTGTCTTGCAAGGCATGTTGATACCGAGAGCCAGTGTACCGGTAGCGATGATGACGCGCAAGAACTGCTTGCGGAAGAGAATTTCGACAACTTGACGGTACTTCCTGTTCATGCCGGCGTGGTGGATGCCGACACCTCGAGAGAGCGCTTCAATGAGCCACGGCTGCACATCACGGCGTCGAAGTTGGCGAATGTAGCGCTCAAAATCCGATGTCTGGACCTTGGTGTGGTCGGCAAAGTGAAATCCCTCAAACGGCGCTTCTGGATCGAAGGATTCCCATTTCGTGTCCTCGCCGCCGGCAGCATCGCGCTGCGCATCCAGCTTCGAGCCCTTCTCGTCGTCAGCGTCATCGTCCTTGCTCTTCTTGCTGGTCTTCTTGTTTGCGGCTTTGGAAGTTCTTGACGCAGTCTTCTCCTTCAACTCTTTCCACTCCTCCCAGCGCTCGAGAGTTTTCTCCCACTTCGGGCCAGATTTCTTTTGCTTGAGCTCGGCTTGCGCAAGCTGTTCCACGACTGCTCGACATATCTTCTCACAATCATGACGATCATAGTTGAACAGAATAGCGGGCAGCGCATCCTGCTCCTGCAGTCGACACAACATTGGCAGTGTGGTTTTCTTCAGATCCTCGGGATCCAGCGAGCCCTTCGCTGCGGCGATACTGCCACTGCCTGTCGAGTAAGCATCGTCTCGATCCTCGTTCTGGAAACTATGCTCAAGCTCCTTCACCAAACGGTCGTATGGTGAAGTTGCATCACTAATCCAGTCTGCGAGGATCTGCTTGAGAGATTTCTCCCACTTCAGAATATCGACTTTGCGTGACACCTCGGGCAAAGCTTTGTCCGGATTAAGGCTAGCTGGAACTGGATGCTTCTCGTCTTGTAGCTTGTCCATAGCTCGCCACAAGATCAAGCAGTCTCGTGGCTCAAGCGCGAGATCCTCTGGAATCCCACGTGATTTGTCTACAAGTCCAGCCACCGGATGGATGAAATTGAAGCCTTTCAATCCTTCGAGACCAAGCGAACCGAATGCTGACTTGTCCGGGATGCCTTGAAACGTAAAACGTTTTGGCGGAACGTAGTAGTACTTCCTCAAATCAGAGTACCGGTATGGGTGCTTGACAGAAAGCAGTTCCTTGCCGATTGCTCGCTGCGTGGTCGCCAACCATCCACTGAATTCCTCAGGATTGCCAACCGTAGCTGACAGGGCGATGATAGGACAGGGGGCCATTAGCAGTAACTGCTCCCAAACGACACCATCTTCAGCTTGACCAATCGAGTGAATCTCATCAAAGATGATTCGTTTCACTCGACTCGACCAAGAGTTGGCGTTCGAGGGAGCCAGCAGCATGATCTGTAGGACATGCGGAACTGTGACCAGCACCTGACATCCGGTGGGATTATTGATTCTGTAGTCTCTGGTATGGATGGCCCAGACCGACTTCCCGCCGTACTTGAACTTCTTGGAGTATCGCGCCTGGATCTCAGCGGCAATTTGGTTGACCAAGGCCTTGGTCGGAGCCACGTATACCAGAACGCTCTCATCATCGGCCTCAAGAACCTTGCGCATGGCGTAGAAAGAGATGAACGTCTTTCCGGCGGATGTCGGAGCAACTACGAAGACGCTTTGATCCTTATCAATGCCGTCGAGCACGTTCCGCTGCCAGCCGTCGGGTTGAAAATCAACACGATGGTCTGGACGACTGTCGAAGCTGCGCTCCAAGTACGGTCCACACTGGACAAGCTGGAATTCTTTGGGCGACATGTTCACCTTCAAAGAATCGGCCTTCGTAGGCAGAACGAATGTGAAAGCCAGCTTCCTGTCGCCAGATTCGGTCGCTTTCGGAAGGGAAGGAAGTCCCAGGGTATCGACTGTCAATGTGAGACACTTGAGGATGGTCTTGGTCAACTGACCGCGCTGTGCGATGCTCCGAGCATGCGACCATGCAAGAGCTGCGACTTGAATTCTCCGAGGACCTTCCTTCTTGCGGCAAGCGTCAATCCAGAAGCAGACGAGGCAATTGAGCAAATACAGCTCGATCTCAGGACCAATCACCTCTCGCCAGGATGCCTGTAAGTTGATCAAGTACTCGCGCGCTCTTCTGTATCGAGAGCGAGGGTCGCTGTCGGCTTCGAAGCCCTTGCAAACGACCTGCCAAGAGCTCGCGATCTTGTCACCGGTGGATTCGTCTTTCTTGGCCTTTGCTGCGGCGATCTGGTTCAGCATGGCTTGCTTACCTGCGTTTTTTGCTGCAGTCTTTCCGCCGCCTTTCTTCTGACCGGGCTTCTTACTGCTCGTTGAAGTGCCAGAATCAGACGCATCCGAGTCTACTGGAGATTCAGCCCCGGCCTTCGGTTTTCGTACTGCTCCCACGATGATGGTCTCGGGCTCCAGTGTCTTGCCAATCGCATTGGTCAAGCTCGCAGCGTAGTCGCGCATTTCAGCCATGAACCATTGGTTTCGCCGGGCAGCGAAGAACTCCTGCTTGGCATCTGCAGCAGTTTTCACGGCTTTTGGTACAAGAGGACGCTTGTAGTTATGCCAGTGCGACACCTCCTGAAAGATTCTACGAGCAGCCAAGCTGCGCTCGCTCTCTGCAGCAGCATCCACCCGGATGCGTACAGGCTCCAGGTGTTTGTCGAAGACGTGATTAGAGAATGGCAGGACAGCAAGATCACGATCATGTGCGCCATTGGCACCGGGTTGTGCATTGGATGGCGATGAAGTGACGGTAACGTCTGCTTCAGGCAGATCGGCTTGCCTCAAGACCATCTCGACTGAGCGCAAGAGTTTATCAAAGGTGGCCTTTACTTCAGTGCTCACGGACGGTTGAGCCTCGCATACCAGAAGGAACAGTCTCCCGTCAATGGCGTCGGACACATCGCACGTGCTTTGCCCTGATGCTTTGTCCCAGGAATCTCCGCTGAGAATGGCTGCTGCCACTTTGCAAGCTGCTCGAAGCGTTGACTGTGCTTCATCGGACGCTGAAGTGGCCTCGGATCTGCGAGCGTTCAGAGGCATATGTGATAGCAAAGCTTGGTGTAGCAATAGAGCCGCACCCAGTCGAGCTTCCATTTTGGTTCCTTCTGCCCCCTCAAGTAATTCACTTACAGTGATAGCAAGTAGGCTCTGACGTGCTGTGAGACCCAAGTCCGAGGCGTCAAGCTTTGTCAGCTTCTCGGAGACGTCGAGGCCAGCAAGTCCATGTGCAGTCCCAGCGTCATGATTTTCTAACAGCGAGCGTTCAGTCTTGCGGCGTGGTTCGAGCACCATCGTCATGACCTTTGTATCCCGCCACTCAAGGCCATTGACCAGAGCTACGTTGAAACCACGAGCAATGAAGGAAAGGATCATCCGGCGTAGAGGCGCCCGCGACGCAGGCTGCTGCATGGTATCTGTGTCGTTCACGACATGCTTTGATCTGCGGTCGACGGGGAGAGCACCGTCGTGGGCCATGAGGAAGTATGGCGAGGTGGTGTGTAGATACTGCAAGAAGTCGGGCGAGCTCCATGAGGGAAATTGGCGGATGGCGATTTGAGGGTGCGCCTTGAGGTTGGATTGCAGATGGCGAATGAGCGCCGCTCGAGCAAGCAGATACTTACTGTCATTCGCCTTCTGCGCAGTGCTGGGGATGCATAGGTGGGCATTGGAGGTGAAGAAGACGAGACTGAAGTTGCACTTTCGCTGCACGAGGTTTGCCAGGAAATGCTCGACATTGTACACGGCGTGGAGCAGTTGGCAGCCGAGATCAAAGTCAAGCTTATCGTGACCAAAGCAGCGCAGCAGCAAGGAATCGCCCTCTATCAAGAACAGTTCGTCGCCGGCGTAGTCACCCACCAGATCCACTCGGCGTGAGAGCAGGTGGCGGTAAGCGGACAAGACTCTGGCGTCATCGTCATCTCCATCAGCGTCTTCGGAGATCAGGTCCGAGTCGTCTGAAGCGTCTGAATCTGCCGCCGAGTCGCTGATGTCGTCGACGGGCTTGCCGTTTGGGGCCTCATTGATGGCGCTGCCATTCCGAGGCGCTGGAGGAGCGCTCATCGATAGCGCTTGTTTGCTTGCGCGAGAGACACGTGTTGGCACCTCGGGCAGGACTGCTGGTATCTGTGGTCTTGATACAGCTGTACGCTGAGGAGAAAAGGTGCAGAGAATGTTGTGTGATGGAGTGTTGAAATTTCGTTTTCGTTCGCGTCAGCGTTCGCGTTGAGGGAAAGGTTGAAGTTGATGTCACTGGTAGACTGGTCCTTGCTTTCAGGCACCCAGGCATCAATAGTCGGCAAGGGAGCCGTGCGGGCCCGGAGATAGATGGGAATCGCGAGGTGAACGCGCTCGCGTCTTTCTCTCTCCGACTGTCACGAGACGGGAGCGATATCAGATGACCTGCCAACAGTTAGGCGACATCAGCCAGACAGCGACATCAGCCAGACGGCGGCGTGGATCGAGCAGGAGCAGCCAAGAGAAGCGGTTTGCCGCCTTACGTGGCGCTCCTTTGGAGTCTCCTGCAGGCAGCTTCACCGGCTCTCGTTTGCTCCATTGGACCACAGCACGCTGCAGACTGAACTGTACGATTCCTTCGCCACTGTCACATAGACCGATCCTGGTCTTATAAACGCTGGTTTGCTGAATCTCCTTCGTCCTTCCTTCCCACGTGCTCATATTCTCTTCTCAATCACATTCAACAGCATATCTCCACCAACAACAGCATTCAAGGCAGGTGTCATTCCAACTCAACCCCTACGAACACGTCATTCACGGCGGCGGATTTCCAAAATGGCAGACACAATGCAGTCGATGCAAGCTCACTTCCCCAATCTGCCAGCCCGGCATGATCAATTCCTTGAATATCTCGCAGGCAACAAGGACAAGCCGGTCCGTGAGCTGGTCGAGCCATACCGGCAGTACGACAGTGTAATGCGCAGAGTCTTCGCCCAGCATCCGGATCATCCAGCTATCCGCCAACCGAGCGTCATCGAAGTCTTCTCCGGCCATGAACATACCGTCAACATTCGGGCTCGAAATCCAAAGGCCGAGGCTGTGGCCGAGAGGGAGTCTTATATCATGCCATTGGACAGCGACCAGCGTCGGCCAGATGGCTCTCCTGCCATTGTGCAGTCCTTGAGAGACTTTCGAACCAATTTCAATGTCTTTTCCGAGTCGGCCTTGGTGGTAAGTCTGTAGGCTACGGCATTGTAGGAGCGCCGGCTGACCGATTCCACTCACCTCGCAGGATATCGACTGGTCCAACGTCGTTGTAGCAGGCTCAGCTGTTGTTACATCGTTGTTGTCAGTTCCAGAGAAGCATGCGGGCTCCAAGCGAGCTCTCAGAGAGTACTACCACGAGCAATTGGCGCCTGCATCTGACGTGGACCTCTTTCTGTATGGTCTGAGCGAAGAGCAAGCAGCCGCCAAGATCAAGCAAATTGAGCAGAGCATTCGCGATGCCATTCTTGTCGAGACGACGACCGTTCGCACGAAGAATGCCATCACCATTGCAAGCCAGTAAGTCACATTACTACTCACCCCATCCAGCATCGAATTGACAGTCCAGGTACCCTACTCGCCATGTTCAGATTGTTCTGCGTATCTACAAGTCCATCTCTGAGATCTTGACCGGGTTTGATGTCGATTGTAGCTGTGCCGCCTACGATGGCAGTCAGGTCTATGCAAGCCCCCGTGCCCTTGCTGCGTACATCACGCAAATCAACACCATCGATCTTACCAGGCGATCGGCTTCGTACGAAAACAGACTGTCAAAGTACGCCCATCGAGGTTTCGAAGTGTATTGGCCAAACTTGGATCGGTCTCGAATTGACCCTACTATTTTCGAGCGCAGCTTTGGACGTACAGAAGGCCTTGCCCGGCTGCTCATCTTGGAGAGGCTGCCTAAGTCAAGTGACAGGGACGCTTACCTTGACCAGAGACGAGCCGAGCGTGGACGACCTGCAGTCAACCGGTGGCGTATGAATCGTCGCATGATTCGTGGTATGTACAGTCAATTTGCCATGTGTCCAATTCAGAACGCTGATCCACGGAAGGGAACATCAAGAACGACCACGAAGACGAAGTGGCGGAATGGGTAGATGCGGAGGACGTCTCTGACTACCATACTTTCACCATTCCATACGGGCCCAAGTTTCATGCTCGCAAGATTGAGAAACTCTTATACACGAAAGACTTGCTCCTCAACGCCGAATGGAACAAGCCGAAGGATCGTGAAGTCCATCTTCACAGACATCCGGCTTTCTTTGGACGCACGGACGATGTTTTCTTCGACTGTTGTGGCTCCTGCCCAAAGCCCACTACTCCCGAAGAACAGGAGGTGGCCGAAGAGGAAAGCAAGGTCTACGTTTCTGGAAACATCGAATTCATCAAGGACGACCCAGGGAGACAGACGATCGGCTCCTTCAACCCGCTGGATGCCGATGATTGGACCGATATGGCCTACATTGGCAACACGGAGCTTCTTTGCAAGGCTATCGTGGACGGCGACTGTGAATACGTTCGTATTTGGTTGGGACAAGAAGGCAACGATCCCAACACTCGCGACTACACCGGGCGGACTCCCTTGCATCTTGCTGTCGTCAGCTCTACGCTTGAGATCGTGCAGCTCTTGATCGATCATGGCGCACGCCTCGTTGCGCGCCTGGTTGACGGCAAGACAGCTCTTCACCTCGCGGCTATGCAAGGAAGCGTCGACCTTGTGTCTGCCCTGCTGCGTAAGAGTGAAGCGAACGAGGCTGAAGAGCAAGAGAAGATCGACACCCGAAGAGCGGCACGTGCTGCTACAGACAATGGCGCATCTCTTGGCAGCGCAATGAAGGACGCAAAGCTCACAGAAGAGGAGGCATCCTCAGAGGCAGATGAAGAATCAGATGTCGATATGGTGGATGAACCTGAAGATGACGATGACATGGACGCTACAACAGAGAACTCCATCGTCAATGTCAAAACTCCACCGCCGGAAGCTGACGACAAGGCCCTTCAAGGCGACGAAGACCACGAGCCTGATGTATACGACGTCGATGTTGTTGCTTGGGATACTGCCGCATCTCCACTTCATCTTGCCATCATCAATGGCCACATTGGCGTTGTTGAGGCACTCGTTCAGGATTTTGGAGCAGACCTTCTGCTGCCGATCAAGCTGTTCAGTGACTATGACAAGTCTGCAAGAGCTGCCATTTTGACCTTGGTCCTGGCCTTACAGCTCCCGATGGACAAGGCCGAAGCCATGGCTCGCACTCTGATCAAGCTTGGTGCTTCTCTTGCTCAGGCGGATCTGGACCAAACCACAGCCTTCACCTACTGTGTGGCTGATCGGCCTGACTTGCTGGAGACACTCATCGTCACAGATAAGACCGGTACAAACAGAGCAATCAGTCATCTCTCAATGATTGGGTCTTCCAGGTATCGACCCAGAGTCATGAGTCCATTGATGTGCGCTATCAAGGCCCGAGATGCTACGACTGCCCTGCGTCTATTGGCGGAAGGCGCCAAGCCGCAGATCGATTTCAGTGCATATATGAAGGCATATGAAGCGAAGCATGATCCTCCAAAAGATTCCAAGAGAAACAGGCAGGAGTTCGAAAAGCACGCCGAGCAACCAATCATCACTGCCGTGAAGCTTGAGCTCCCAGATCTGGTGGGAGCACTCATCGAAACCCACCACATTGATCCGAACACACTCGCGAGCCCTGGCTGGACCGTTATCTACCGTCGACACGTCAAAGGTCATAGTCTACTCGACGAGGTGAGGTCCAAGCTGAAGGAACTCAAAGACTGGAAGACCAATAACGACCATCCGGAGCCACCAATTCCGCTCAAAGAAGACTCGGCATACGTCGCAGGACTTGAAGAAGGATCTTATTCATGGTGGTCGGCACGAAAACAACTTGATGACGCGAAAGAGCGTTATCGGGATGAAGTTGCATCGTTCGAAAAGAGACTCAAGGACTCAAAGACGGAGGTTGGGCTGCCGGAGAAGCAGGCCGCTTTGCGAGATATGGTGAAGCGTTTTGAGCAACTCGAAGGTATGCTCTTGGCTCGTGGCGCAAAGACTTTCGAAGAACTGTACCCCGACTTTGAGAAACCGGAAAATCGAGACTACAACTACCGTGGGTATACTTCTCCAAAACCCGAGCCTTTCAAGGTCGAATTCACCTTCCGGCTGGGCAACCTCACGGAAGAGGTGCAAGCACGATATCTCAAGCTGTTCGAGGCAGTCTGGAAAGCTGATTTGCAGACGGTGAAACAGCTCACGTTGGTTTCTTGGAAGAACTCCGAAGACGAGGAGCAGCCTCCCCTGATGGTGTCTGCTCGAGATCAGCATGCCCTTACACCGTTCTGTATTGCTGTCCTGCAAAGCCAATTTGAGCTTGCAACGGCGATTATGGAGATTGCGCGAGCACAATACGCACCGCCGGAAGAGCCCAAGCAGCAGCGTTTTGGGGTAGATGGCGGCAAGGCCGTCGAGGCCGATGACGAAGAAGATGGCGACGTGCAGCTCTATTCTGAAATCGTGGACGACCAATTCACTGTCGATACCATCGGCGAGGTCTCCACGCATGTCAAGAGTCGCGTCAAGCCTCTCGCTATGTTGGGGTACCTTTACCCCGTTGCTGATTTTATCGGTGGCCCCCTGCGCTCCTCACCATCAAGCAGTGGCTTCAGTTATTTTGGCCCTCGGCGCCAGCAAACGCACACAATGGCTGGCAAGCGAACGAACACCGGGTCATTGAAGGCTCTCAGCAACCATCTGTCTGACGAGAAGAGAAAAGACATTGGAAGGCCGAACACTCTCATCCAATTCGCTCTACACACCGACGACCAGGATCTTCTTCTGTATCTGCTGTCACTGGGGCAAGATCTAGTCAAAGCCGAGATGTCTCGTGATGACGAAGATGCCGTACGCTACTTCTCAGCCTCGCATGCTGATTATCTTGAGGCCATTAAGTTGGATCGTCCTCACCTACTCGCAGAACTCATGAAGCGCACTGGTGCTGGTCTACCACTCAACAGAATGATCAAGAAGTCTGGCATCGAAATTAAGGAGAAGCCAAAGTACTACCAAGGACTCTCTGTGTACGGGAAGAAGCGCCAAGACTGGGCCGATGCGGGACGCGGTGAAATAAGTGGCCCAGTTATTGAGAATCACCGTCCGGGTCTCCTCGAAGCAGCTCACAATCAATCGCTCGAGACAGTCGAGTGGTTCATGAGCGACGCTCCGATGAGATGCTACAAAGAATTTGCCAAGACTTACGAACAGGACAAGAGGATCAAGTCCCTTGCAGAAACCAAGGGTGGCTTTGAGGCTTCGGCGTCACAATTCCTCAATGCTCGATCACAGCTCGCCATTCATTGCAGTGTTATGGTAACTTTTGCCCCTTGAAATGAGCTTTTACTATACTAACACTGACGACCACAGGGCAAGCCATTCCCCGAGTCGATTCAACTCCTCCGCTTTCTCATCAAGAACGTGCCGGACTCTATCAATGCCAAGAGCAATCAAGGCAGGACTCCTCTTCAGATCGCTTTTTGGCATTACCGCGAGCCTCACGCCAAGCTCCTGATCGATGCAGGAGCTGACCAAACCGTGCGAGATAGGCAAGGCAACAACCTCGTCCACAGTCTCCTTCGCCGTCCAGCCAGCTCAAAGAAGAAGCTACAGACTCTACCTTGCATGCTGGACCTAATCGACAAGCGACTCCTTCCCTCTCTCTTCGCGGAGCGCTCGTCTGAACATCCAGGCTCCTTGACGCCACTTGCTCAATGGACCGGTAGGCTTGCACGGGATCAGGCATATTGTAGACACGGCATCAACGTATTCCAACAGATCCTTCAGTACAGCGGTGACCGAAAAGGCTTGGATGCAATCAACGGCGAAGGGCATACACCGCTGCATGTCGCCGTTCGTGAGTCCAACTATGAACTCACCAAAGCTCTCCTGGACCAAGATCCGGCCCTCCTGCTTCGCGAGAACGCCACAGGTCGGACCCCTTACGAGCTGGCGGAAGATAGCGCCGTCGCTGCCGTCTGCGCCGACCCGCCGCCATTGCCCGACGATGGACGTTTCGGCATACGTCGAGCCAACCGCTTCGGTCTTGTGCGGAACTGGAATGTGGATCTCGCCGACCGTGATGTGGAATCCTTCGCAGAGAAGAAGCCCATGCAAGATGGCAGGGACGACGCTGAGAAGATCTACGACCTCGTGAGGGGAGTCAGGGAGAGATTGGGAGCGCACGCAAAGAGGAAGTTGTGCTCTCTGAATGAGGCGAGCGAGGTTGCGAGACGGCTTGCCGCGAGGAAAAGTGGAAGAGGCTCGGCGGAGATGGGCGATGAGGAAGAAGAAGAAGAAGATCGGGAGGAGATTTCAGATGGCGCTGATGAGGTGGAAGTCTGGATGGGACAGGCGAGAAGCTACCTCGAAGACGATAAGGACGATGCTTCCGTGGGGTCGGCGCTGTTTGGGCGCTCTCCTGGTCGAGGCCGCTAGGTTGAAGGGGTTGAGTCGACGTGCCGGAGACTTACCTACACATTACGCCAATGGCGATTCCAGACGCCCTGTGATGATCAATTCTCAGAGCGCGTCCCATTCAATCCGTGCCGAGCTCACGGAAATGCAAAACCACGAAAGATGCACTCCAAGAAGAACAACACGACCCAATCGCATCGCAGAGCTCGAAAGCCCTTCGACAACGGACCTCTCCTCAGATCAGAAAAAAATCTTGCACCGTGATCTTGTGCTACAAGAAGCCGTGACCGCCGCTGCTCTGCAGGAAGACCTCGTGGATGACCTTGCCAGGATCCGGTGGTCGCATTTCGAGCGGAAATTTGCAGCATCGGGAAGCCGAGCAGCGCTACAAGAACGTGATCGAAGAAAACCATGACAGCTGCTCTCGCACGTGCGTCTTGTGGAGCACATTCGAAGACGGGAGATGCGAGAGATCGACTTCGTGAACGCGCTGCGATGCGGCGACGTTTGGAAGTGGAAGGAGAGAATGCCATGATGGAAAAGGGAGAGACGGTTTGCTGAGTTGAAAGCGAACTTGATTGTGCGTTCTTTCAATGGATCTGCACTTCTGCTGGGCGCCATGATATGGTATCCGCAGCTGTTGGAAAAAGGGATCCAAAAAATAGCAACATCTCCAACGGCCGGTCAGCTGATAGGTAGGGGTAATACAATTCCTGCTTCCAAATGGAAGAAAGTCCGCACGCAACGTTTCGAAGCCTGTTTCTTCCCAACCAATGCCGCCGCACCAGATGCCCTCGCCCTGCTACTCTGTGTACGATACGTGTCTCAAAGAATCCGCAGCAGCAAACATCTCACATCCCATTTCCCCTGTTTCCTCACGAGCTGGAAAATTTTCCCCCCTCCCCCTTTCCCTTTCCCTCCAACACATCACATCAAAAACCGAACGGACGAACATCATGCAACTGATCCTCATCATCATCATCATCGCCCTCAGTCTCCTCCACCACCACCACCACCTCCTCACCTTGGCCTCCAATTCCTATTCCTACGCCATGGATGTAGAAATCTACACGCACGCCAATTGCATCCCGATCAACAAACAAGGTCTTCCATCCCCTACCTTCCCTACCTTACCTTACCATACCTTTCACTTCTTCAAAACCATCAACCATCCCTCGGTTACTTCCATCCATCCATCCATCCCAAAACCCCCAAACAAACTAAAATCCTCCACTCCACCAGGCCCGAATGTATTCTATTCCTTCTCCGGCGACGTGCCAGACTGCCTACCAAGCCCCGCCCTGGCAGGGAGGAATCTGTCGCTGTGGCACGTGTATTGATGTCTCCGATGCCGGATCGTTAAAAAATTTTGAAGATTGAAGGGAATTGTAGTGTCGTGACTTTTCCGGTGGGCAACTGTGGAGGGGCGGTGCAGGAGACGCCGGAGGGAGGAGGGTGTGTGAGTAGACTTTTTGCGAGTTATTGGGCGGGTTGTGGGTGGGGTTGTGCTTGATGAGAGGGAGTCGTGTTCGGTACCATTTCGTTTTCCATGATATATTGGCAAGTCGTGGAGGTGAATGATAGGATAGGGTCAAGCGTCTGGTAATACATCACGTACTCACTCAAAAACAGCATTGCTGGGATATACTTTACACACATGACCATTCATTATCGCGTTCTTGGGCTCATAAGCATCATATCTCTGGGGCTTCCCAGCCATCTCTTCGGATCTTCATCAGATTGCTCTGTTTGTGCGGGAGCGCGACCTCACGTTCTTTGTAAAAGCCTGCTTGTTCGCAATAATTTCGTAGCCTGTACAAAACGGTCAGATTTGCTTCCATGGGGGCAGTGAATGCATGACTTACTTCACATTATCGACTCTTGGCTCCAACATGACAGCATTCGTCCGCGAGTCGGCCAGCAGGCAATAATGAACGAGCGCACTCATCCATACTTTAATGCGATGCGGACCTCTGAACTCCTGCTCACCAACGAGCACGTGCAATCCGCGATCCCAGTCGCCGACGTCACCTCCCATGTATTGAGCCAGCTTGTCTTCTTTCACCCAATAGATTTCGAAGAAGCCGAATGGCTTCCCATCAAAGCAGCCAATGACTGGTATCGAGTGGCGTGAGGTCAAACCGTGCTTGAGGAATTCTTCTTGGTGCGAGATAGGGCCATCTTCACCCCAGGCGAGAGCTACTCGCGGCTCGTTCATCCATTTATGTAGGAGCTCGAGATCGGTCATGCGGCTAGTGTCAGTTGCCTCGCTGCTGCTACTTGCATGATTAACTGTTGGAACTGTGGGATCTGAGTTGGCAGTAGTATTCCGAAGTATGTCTCGTCCAGAGCTCAGGGGGTCAGCGCCACCTGCGTGCTGCGAGAACGGGCCACTGTACACGATTGGCCTCTTACTCAAGGATGCTACTCTGAAGCTGAGGTACTGGCCCAGACTTGGTATGAAGCGAGTGTAAAGAGTCTCTCCTTGCCGAGGCGGCTTCGGCCGGAGGGGATGTCGGGTGTTATTGGAGAAGATGTACTGAGGAGGCGGAGGCGGATAATAGGTCGGCAAATGAGAAGACGAGTGGAATGGGCCCGCAGGCAGGCTTGATCGATTGCTGAATGCAGCTTGCTGTAGGCCCAACCCGGCGGCTTCATCTGGGGGTCTGTGGATACTACTGCCTCTGACAGGACTCGTCGGTCTGCTACCCGCCGGGCTAATGGATGGATAAGGCGAATTCGTCTGAAGCGGTGTCAGGGTGAACAGGTAGATACGCGGGTCCAGCTGCCAGAACGTGCGCCTGGACACAAACATCCGTGACCACCCCTCGACACTGTTTGCTCCATCTTCTGGATCAAGGCCGACGGAAGAGTCCTCGGACGCTATCAAGCCCATGCGTTCCAGCTTCGGTACGAGGTGCTTGCCTTTCAGGATGCCCTCTCTGTTGACGTTTATCCGCCAATCTCCTTTGGGTTTCCCCTCTTCTGGAGTTCTCTCCGAGGCAGATGTTGTCAGCTGCTGTGCCGGCTCTTGCTGGTGAAAGTACCAATACAGGGTTGCCCAGAGCATCATGGCGATTTGCCGGGTCGGGCTCGTCGGAGGGCGAAACTCATTGGAGGCAGGATTCGATATGGACGAGATGAAGAGGTGGTCGTTTCGCAAGGTCGGTCGTTTGAAACGGTGAACGTGCTTGCTCCTCTGCAGCGCAGCTTCTGCTCTGGCTGCTGGATCCGAAGCGGTCTCTGGCAAGGGCTTGTGGTCATCATCGTCGTCGTCTTCGGTGTGCAGGATGACGGTCCAGCCGGGAGGAAAGACATTGTGGTGGGTATTGAGGTCGCTGGACTTGAAGTACAGACCGCCGAAGACGGGGGTGACGTTCAAGGTCTGGCCATTGGGCAGGTGCACTGAGGACTGTGGCATTCTGTAGGTACCAAACTCAAACTGGACCTGTGCCTTTGCATACTACTCTGGCTGTTTCAGGTCGGCAGTGTCAAGGAGAAGAAGCACAGAAGCAGAGACGCTGGGGAGAGTGGGGCGATTTTTCATGTTTGCGTCTGCTCCACTGGAACGGCCTGCTAGCAGTGGAGAGCTAGGGGTGGATGACCATTACACGGCACGTGACTCGTCAATGGTGGACTCGACCCCTCAGGCAGGCTCGACTCACCATCCGTCAATTGCCAAGCCGCGGGCATGGGATTCAAGCATCGCACGTCAATGTTTATTAGATGCGTCCAAGGATGCTTTTCAAGGCTGCCTTGGAGTGCCTTGGAGTGCCTTGGAGTGAGGTGCCTTGGAGTGGAACGCGAGTGCAACCTAACATGGATGGAGCCGTCTGACAACGCTGCATCAGGCTATACGCGCAGCCGTGCATTGCACAAGTTCGCGACCGGCGGAAGCAGTGTGCAGCAGGCGCAGCGGCCGGAGAGCATGGCATAAGATATCGAAGTGAACTTGCAGACCTCATCAGTGAATCGTGGAATGGTTTCATCGCTGCCGCGGCGCGAGGATTATTACGCCATTACGCACCATTACGCCCCCTTTACGCACCACGGCTCCCCGTCGCTCTCCTCCGCCCGCCGCCCGCCGCATCCCAGCTGTGCGACGCCGAGGGAGGTGTGGCGCGCCGATAGGAAGCTGGCCCATCCCGCCGGAGCGTAGGGGACGGGAAATATGTTCAGCAGACGAGCGCCGCACCATACGCGCACGCGGTCCACCAGCAACTATTCCCCCAATGTCCCGCCCGCCGCCGCTCCGTCCTCCTCTTTCGCCCACGCCTACGGCCACGGCAACAGAGCGGCCAGCCAAAGTAGCGTCGAGCCGCCGCTGGTGAGCCCGCTCCAGATGACCTTCGACTTCGAGCTGGACGTCCCGCCGCCCAGCAGTCCCCAACGCTCCCTTCCCTCTCCTCCCTCTTCCTCCATCGCCGAATCGCCCGCGCGACCCAAGACCAGTCATGGAGTGCCATCGAGCGAATCGAATGCGAAATGGAGCAGTCTGCAGCCGCCAATGCTGCCCCCGATCCCTCGCGTGGCCAGCCAGAACAACAGCACTCGCAGCAGGTCCAATTCGGCCGGGTCAGAGGAGCAGGATGCAAAGCGCAAAGGCAAGGCGAGGGACGAGACCGACAACATATCCCTTTCAAGCAAGAAGAGCGCACTGAAGGCACGGCTAAGCTTCGAGCATCCACTGGAGCTCATGCCGCCGCTATCAAGACCGACCACCGCGGGAGGCTCTACAATATCAGACAGACCACAAACAGCTGGTCGGGCGGCATTCAGCAATCACAGTACCCCCAATATGGAGTCGTCGCTTTTCCCAAGCAAGAATAACACTCCAGTCTTGGGTCAGGTGCCGACTATGCCAGCGATGAGCAGGCAATTCATCGACAGCCGAGATAGGCCTTACAGCCAGCCCACGCAGAAGCCATTTGCAATGCAGCACAACCACAGCTCGCCAAACCTCCGAGGACCGCAATCTGGAGTAACGAATCCTTCGCCGATCGCCAGCGCTGCTAGGAATTGGACCAGGCCACAAGCCAGCATGCACAATCTTTCCCAGAAGAGCAACGGCACAACAGCGAGACCGAGCACTCAAGCCTCCGCGCTCGCAGAGAATTCATCGTCGCCCGCCATTACGATAGGTACGCCGTACAATGCTACAGCTGATTCATTTCCATTGCCGCAACTCGTGAAGACTCGGCCCAAGACGCAGGGTCAAACAGCTACGGTTGCAGGCGTGTCTGTTCCAACACATTACACCCATGGTGCCAAGAACGGCCAGAAGCCGAATGAGTCGAAGAGAAAGACAAGATTACTTAATCCTCTATCTTTGCTTCAACGACGACGGAGCAACCAGGACCCTGAACTCGCGGAAGTAGAGAGGTCTCAACGCCAGGCACAAGCTCAAGCCTTGGCACGGCAACGAGATGTGGTGACATCTGGGGTGTACAAGCCACCGCCCGACTTTGACCCACGTATCAAAGGCAACGTCGTGCATGATTTCAGCGCGCCGAGAGGGAAACGTAACACGTTCGATGAAAGGGACGTGTCGGTATCACCATATGGTGTACAGGGCTCAAGCGCAATCTCATCGCCTTCGACACCGGGGTATCCACCTCGCAACACTTCATTGCACAATCGAGATGAGGGAGCAGGAGGCAGTCAAAAGAGGAGCACCCACACTCCAGTCTTCATGGAACATCTGAGCGAGAACCCTGAAGCAGCTAGCCGCATTAGCTCGATTCATGCGGAGAATCTGGAGAACAAGGACTTCCTGCAAAGAGCATCCAAGAACTCGTCTGTGACCACATATTCTCAGGAAAGCGCGGTGCTACCTCCCTTCGCCCGGAGAAGCCAGAATCTGGACCCGATGCAGGCCAGCTTCTACAATGATGATGAGTCAAAATCGTCGAGTGATCCTCCGAGCGACAAAGAACGTCACTCGACTCTCAGCACTTCTGGTCAAGTCAGCCCCATTAATGGGAGAGGCAGCCGCCCTGATGTGGAAGCGCGAGCGACCTTCAGCCCTGTATCTCCAAATAGCGAAGGAAAGCTTGGAACCGATGCTGCGAAGACACGTTCCCAGTATCGTCCCCTTTCAGACGTCAGTGGAGTACCGTCGCAGGATGACAGCAATCGACCAATGTCGCAAGTCAGCAAAGTCTCCTCGCTGGACAAACAGAGCAAGCACCTCAGTGACGCGACGGCAAGACCTGAATCGGTGGTACTCGCGCCTCCAGCAATCGACACCATTGCAGAAGGGTCATCCGAAAATTCGCCCCTAGATGTTCCTTCGCGACAAGCCTCATCGCTGGAGCCACAAGTCCTCGCGCAAGCGGTCTCTTTCGGGAATCCAGGTACTCCAAGTCCCGTCCACAGCACCGGCCTGCAGCCGATTCAAGGACGGAGCGCAGAAACATCTCCAGCCACGCAGTCATTACTGGAGCGCACGGCAAACATGTCCACACCGGACCGCACTCCGGAGCCCGAGCTGGTTGAGTCAATCCAGTTCAGACCCTCCAAGGACCAACCAAAGCTGGTCGAGAAGCGTGCTTCGGCTGTTGGACATTCGAGAAAAGCCTCAAACGGACCGAAGCATCACGCAAGCAATGCCAGTAGGTTCTCGTTCCAATACGGCACAGAGAGCGCTGCGCAAGAGCAAGCATTGGAAGACAAGCATCGCAAAATGAGCAGTAGAGAGATTGCTCAAACGGCACCACGAGGCCGGAGTCCCGAGGAAGATGACGAAGACGACTACTTTGATGAGGATGCGATGGATGACATGGACGAAATGGAGATGCAAGCTTCACAACACCCTTCGACGTCTGGCGAGCATCTGAATCTTCCCATGCAGAGCTCAATGTACTTACAAAAAGCTCGACAAGCATTGCAGCTCCCTGACAGCGACGACGGCTCCGTTTACGACGAGGAAGTACCAAATGTGACCCGAGAAGAGGAATTGCCCTACCCTGATCACCCGGCCTGGCGGACACACTCTGCTCTCTGGAATGATTCGCGCCACAATTCGTACCAGACCGCGGATGGCTACTGGCGGGGAAGTACAATTGACCGTTACATGCGCGATTCGTACATGCCGGGCCATGCTGCGGGACTCGGTATTGATCCAACTCATCTATTCGCAAATAATGCGGGAGAGCACCAGAACGAGCATCTGTCACCCAACGATAAAGTTCCTGGCTCGAACAGGTCATCCGGTCCTCGATCCAACATCTACATGCAACCACAGGCAGCCCAGCAATCCACCACTATCCCCTCTAGCCGCGATGGGCCTCCTGTACCAGCTAGGGACAGTGGCAATAGTGAGAGAAATCGCGCTGCTAGCGGCATTAGCTTTGCCTCGGGTGCCTTAGCCGCAGCCACAGCCACAGCCACAGAGAAGCCCTCAGTCACCACAGACGAAGATCACGGGGCTTCAGACAGAGCGCGTCATCTTAGTGATATGAGTTACTCGACTGCAAGCGACGACGCCAGGTCTTCGCGCGCGGCGATTTCTTCGGCCAACGTGACAGTGAACGCCGTGGGCCGCGAGAGTGGAATGAGCCAGCGCAGTGGCGGCCTCGCCTCGCCTCTGTCCAGTCCTCAGTTTGAGGAAGATACTTTGGCCAGCCTCGAGGGCGATAAGACCCAACGTAACGACTCAGCCGATTCGTCTGCTGACGCCATCAGTCTGGCTTCGCCGAAGGAGGATACCCTCGTTGGTCGCAGCAATACGGCTCACAGCGAAGACGACGTTGACTCCAACGACGCCTTTAGCCTTGCATCCCCTGACAAGGCGAAAAGCACGCTTGCCCATCGATCTGTCGCTAGCGGCATGAGTTTGGAGAGCTTTGCGCGTGATGGCTCCTCCCGAGTTGGCATCCCAGCATCACAGACCGGAGTTCCCGGACAGCTTGGGACCACGGACGCTCTTTCTTCGGCGAGCAACAATCTGATAACATCTAATAGCTCTGGTCTGGGCACATTCTCGGGATTTGACTTTCAAAACAGCCCGCCCGCTGTGCGTGGCAGTGAACATTTCAGTCACGAAGGCGGCACATTAGGAAGTCCGCATGCACTGGGCAGCCTCAGAGCTGCGAAGAAGGCGCAAGAGTCGCTTGGCTCCCGTGGCCAGGGGAAACAATCGGACGCTCAAGAAATTGCCAGTGCGACCAGTGTGAGCAGCAGAAAACAGGAGGCCGGAAATCTTTCCAACACGTTTGGAGGATTTGTATTTGACGAGCAATCAGAATCACCGCCAGGCAGGTCTGGTAATGAAATTTACAACAGTATTGTAAGCCACAGCAGTCGCGCGAGCGCTGGAACCGAAGGGCAAATTCGAACAGGCAAGCACCACGAGCTGTCGCAGTTCTCCAGTGGCGATAGAGCAGTCTCACCCACTGGAGGTATCAACTCGTTTGGGGGATTCGACTTTGGCAACAAAGACCGAAACTTTACTGTCAATCCTTCACAGACTGGGGACCTCCAGAAGACATACGAGACGGGCAGCGATGACATGTACTTCGACGATGGTAACTTCGCAGAGGACATCAATGGCTCACATAGAGAGAGCATTGACGAAAATGCCTTTGACGATGATGCATTCTTGGCAAGGCCTGGCATGTTCAATGGTGGTGTAAATCACCGACGTGATCGCAGTAGTGCTGCGTTCACGGTCAATAGCCTTGGGAGTGAAGGGCCCTATCCCTCCTTTGCCATTCCCAATGCGGCCCGAGCTAGTGCGCGTTTATCTTCGATGATGTTGGAAGACTTGCCACTGCTAGATGCAGACACGGCAAAGTTCATTCCGCAGCGAAATCCTTCGGAAGACATGAAGCGACTTGGGATGAGCAAGAAAGTGCCACCTGTCCCTGTGCCGGAGTCGGACAAGGAAGCGTTCAACCGCATGCAGGCCAGTCTACAAAGCTATCACGCAACGCTTGCTGATGCCGCGAACCGAGCTGCCGCGGAAGGTCGCTTCTTGCGTGCGCCGAGCAATGCCACGAGTGGCTCTACCAGAGTCGTGGAAGACAACAAAAGCCAGTCTTTTCAAGATGACAGGAGCATCTACGATGACAAGAGCATCTATTCAAACGACGAAAGCTGTGGCAAAATTGCGATGCCTTACGCGAACGGCAACGAGGGGCTTGGTCGAAGCAACACGGCTTTTTCTCACCTTACGCATACGACGAATTACAGTCCGCCGAAGATGAGCTTCGATTTTGGATTCGACCAGCCGCTGGACGACGATTATGATGACGCGGGCAGTTTTGAAAATGACGAAGACCTGGTTGCAGCGGCAAACGCCGAGGTCCTCGCAAGCGACGACGAGGGGTTCTACGGACAGGAATTCGATTTCTACGGTAGACCACGCGCAAATTCTGGCGACCTTGCGGCCATCAACGGCGGTTTCTTTGGACAGGATGGTGATGATGGCTTGATTAGGAACAAGAGCTTAAAGGAACCCAATTTGACACCTATCACGGAGCGATCGGAGTTCAGTACTAGGAACAGCTTCATTGGTCTTGGCATGTCGGGTCCTTTCGGTCCTGCCAGCGCCAGTGCATATGGGCCGCACTCCCCAGCGCTGGCTCGGATGCCGATGATGCCGCTCTACGACACGGAAGTCACTTCGTTCGACGAGCTGCGGAAGCTCAAAGCGAATACTTTCAGCGGCGGCGGCGGCAGCAATAGCAGCCTCCACAGCCAAAGCAACCGCTCTAGCCAGCAGTCGCTCCAGGCGGCCTTCAGTCCCGTGATCAGCACCAAACCTCAAATGGCGTCGCCGCAAGGCTACTTTGGTGGCACACCCATGCAGTTCGGCTACAGCACTGATAGCAACGGCTCCAACAGCAACCCGAACAGCGCGCGGCCGATCTCGAATCAGAATTCCCAGGACAGTCCGCGTTCCACTGCCTCAAGCAACGGTCTTCCCTTTGCCATGGACGTTGATTCGACGCCGAAGCGCAACACTGGCTCCGCAGAGCCGCCTACAACCGCGCGTAAGGTTCCGCCGTCGCAGCACTCGCAAGGCCAGTCGAACGGCAATATCGAGACCCATTCACGAAACGGGAGCGGCGCCGATAGTGTGACGTACGTGAGAGAACCTGATCCGGAGAATAATGGCAGGCCCCGATGGGTACTGGAGAGACGACGAACGAGCGAGCAGGGGAATCTAGAACTGATCGGACGAGAACTTGTACAGGGAGGATGGATTTGATCGAAAGTCTCCGCCACGGTGCGGTAATAATGAATGCAAAGACGAATATTCGGCATGGCAATCAGTTGATTTGCGGTCGGACGAAACAAAAAGAAGAGTCTACAAAGGCTGATACAAATGAACCGAGCTGAGAAAACGGCCTCTGCTCTTGTGTGTGCTCTGCCATGGGACGGTCCCTTTGTGTGGCACATGACGGCTGTGTATTGATTTAGCGGCGGTGTTTTTTTGGGGGGGAGGGACATGTGCTTTTATTATGGGGGAAAGGATATACCAAATAGTGTCTTTGTTTGATGGATGAGATGGTGGAGATATGCAGATACCACTTTGCTACCTACTGCTGTGATGTGTATAGTTTGAGCGACAAGTGGGGACCTGAGGGGAATGGCAATGGGAGGGGGAATATCTGAAGGGATAAGGGGGGGGATTGTTGTCAGAATTAGTGGACTTTTTTTTTAATTCGGTGAATATATTGTCCTTTTTGATTGAGTGTGATTCATTTCATTTCATTTCATTTCGTTGAGTGTCGATAATGGGTCGCTGGGTAGGTCGGCTTTGGGGCCGTGCATGTGAAGATGACTTTTGTGCGCTGGTAGGTGGAGGGCACGTCTTGACAATGGATACCAAAGCTTAATGGGAGTGGGAGGCTGACACGGCTCATAGGATAGATACATGCACGTGTGAACTATTGATTGAGATTTCTTCTACATCCGCCATGCTTCCGTGTCCGGTTATTCAGCGTGCGCCCGAGTTATCCACCATCCCCGGCTGGATTTAATACCAAAAAAATCAGGCTGTCGAATGTTGGAATAGAAAAGAAGTTGGGTATCCTATGTTGCCTCATCACTGCCCATGTCTCACTCAAATCGGTGTGGCGAGGCGGCTAGAAATAGCAGGCGTGTGGAGAAGTTGATGTTTGAAATCCGGCCCCAAGGAGATCTGTAGAAGGCTCCTATTAGGTCCGGCACGTCACTTACGACCCCGCACGACACTTGCCGGAGGAGAAGATGCATCATCACGAAGGGGACGGCCTTTATCTTCTATCCTTTCTTGGCTCCCTGCGCGGTGCGCCGGCGCTCGCGCTCTTGGACTGTGACCGCCGCTTTTGTTCATCGTAGGCTTCCTTTGGATCTCTTGCGGTTTTCAGCTTCTTGCCAATGTTGACCGCGGCATAGACCGCGACCGCGGAGACGACGGCACCGATCCAGCCGGCTTCGGACTTGTCAAGTGGCATATCGACCACGTCGAATGGTGATATCGGGATGGACTGTTGGAAGCTGCGTTGATAGCGAAGGCATGAAGAATGCAAAGAATGAAGCGAGCAGCCTAGCAGACACTGATATGGTACGAGCAGCGCATCGTCATCAGCATCGAACAGAGAGAGGAGTCACGCGCTGGAATTGGCTTGCTCTTCGCGTATTGCAGAGCTCTATGGCCAGCATCGCCTGTCGACTTCAGGTTGCTGCGCCTTGCAACCGGAAAGCCATACCGTTCCTTGGAAATCTGCGTTGCTTTTGAGAGGTGTCAGAGCGTCCAGTACAGGGATATTGGCTGCTCCTGAAACGCAGGTGATCAAGGTCATCTGTCCCCGGTCTCTGGCGTTCCGCGCGGTACATGTAGATATGACAGCCTGGTGCTCGTCAACAGGTTCGGGCTGTGAGATTGGAGGCCCGCATGAGCGCTCAATCACGGGAGCTACGCGGGCACGCTCTCCGACAGCGTCAGTCACGTGCCATCGATAGTCTCTGAGAACTACTTTCAAGCACGGCTTTTTGGTCTCGTATGGAGCGAGGCCGCACAGCGGGAATCAGCGGGCGCAGAGTATTCGCTTACGCCGTTCTGTCAGCAGTGACTATCTAACTGCACTCCTTGGAATTTTTGATGAAGGTGCGGTTAGCGAAAAAGACTGCCGTGGTATTCACTCTGGGCACGTGTAAATGATCAGAAAGCTATGGTGCTAGTGAGCGCGACTGATGATAAGGAATTGTGCCATTTGTTGTAGAAAGAAAGGAAGAAAGAAGGCGAGGAGGTGAAGCTGGAAGTAGGTACAAAATTGACTCGCGGAACTTTCCGCTAGAAGGGCTTGGCACTGCCGCGGCGAACTTCTGCTTGGGGTTCCAGCATGGAGTTAGAGATGGGAATATCGAAAACGGATTCGTATCGACCTTCTGCTGACTTCGAGCGATGAATGCTGGGCAGAAGAGCGCAAGGCGAATAGCCGCCGCAAATGGTACCTTCAATTCATACTGATGGAAGAAAGGGTTAGCTGACATCGTGACCAGTTCTCTCACGCGACACGATCTGCAACTCGTGTCTACTGCGACTCTCTTCCCATACTTCGAGACGAAATGCATCGGCCGCAGCGGTAGCGGTAGCTGAAGAGTCGCCACGCACTCAGACAGAACTCCCCAATGCTCCCGTGAAAGCACAAGGACTGCAGAAGGCAATCAGGGTATCATGCAGTCCAGTCCTTTCGCGGCCTCCTTTAATCACGAGAGACTTGACTTCCTTCGAGAAGGCCTTCTACCTTTACCAGAAACGCTTAAATGAGCGATTGGTCTTGCCTTTCACGCGATACTTCTACATCAAGCGACGGACGCCGGCGGAGGTTGAATGGAAGAGAAAAGTGAAGGCGCGGAGAGGAACGGCTGCAAGAGATGTCGGGCTCTACAACGCGTATGATAAGGATGCTTGGAATGACGAAGCTCTCGTTGGCAGCAAGTTCTCTGAACCGGAAGACATCGTAGACAAGCTCATACGAGATGCCGAAGGAAAAGACATCATAGACGCCGAGCTTCAGGGCGATGCAGAGACTGGCGGAGAAGCTGTGGCCGGAGACGCAAAAGCGGGAGAGGGAATGCGAAAGCCCGTGAATGAAGTCGCTATTGAAAGGCCTCTGCCGCGGACCACGGAAGCCGATGAAACAGGAGATGTGCGAAGCTTGGCTCGGGCACTGGACAAGACCCTCTACTTGCTTGTGAAGAACCAGCAGGGCGAATGGCGCTTTCCAGAGGACAGAGTGCATGGAAGAGAAAACTTACATCAGGTAAAACAGGCTGACTCTTGTCCTCGTGCACGAAACTAACGTCGGTCTAGGCCGCTGAACGAATTCTGCTCCAAGTCGGCGGGATGAACATGAATACTTGGGTAGTCGGCAATCACCCAGTGGGACATTTCATCAGGAAATTCATGGAACCCATCACGGCCAAGATAACGCGAAACAGGCTGGTCAGCACTTCAAAAGACTTCGAGCAGGAGGAGTATGGTGAAAAGGTCTTCTTCATGAAGTCTCGGATAATGGCTGGGCAGGCAGACATGAGCCAGAACGAATTCGGCGATACCGATTTCCAATGGCTGACCAAAGAGGAGATTCAGCAAAAGGTGCACAAAGGCTACTGGGACTACATTAGAAACATGCTGCCCTCGCGGTAGGATGCCCGGTCTCGGACAATAACGTGATGGGACAAACTCAATGTATATTCTGTACAATACTGACAGCACAACATGTGTTCAAACCCTTGAGCGCGGTCCAATCTTGCAGCCGGAATTAGTAGCCCAATTCACACAGCAACCTCGACCCGGCCGATTGATGATAGCTCAATTGGACATCTCATTTCACCAGGACAAGCTCTCTTTGTCTATCCGATATCAGAATAGCGACAAGACCTCTATCGCAACTTCCACGTTGCTGGGACAAAGACTCTGTCTTTGTTACACACTGCCATGCCAGAGTCACCTTAACGACATCGATGCCTACGTTCACGATTCCTCCGAAAACCACGCTACGTATTTCCCCTTCTCTTTCCTCACCTTCCACTCCTGTGAGCACACTTTAAAGACTCAACTGGTTTGAGCATCACGAATCTCTTTGCAGTCGAAGCAATTCTCGTAGAACACAGCACACCGTGTCGACATTCTCTTATTGCACAAATCATAGGACCAACAGCATCTCGAAAGGACGCCGCAGTACCAAAGCCAGATCGACATGTCGTTCCGAACCCCATCTTCTCCACCACGGCTTCTCAAGATTATTCTCAACGATCCTGATTTTCGTAACGATCGAATTGGCCGCCGTCATCACCTTTTCCTTGATCGTGTTGATCAGCAAACGAAGGGCAAGCAAAATGCCCAGAATGGAAGGCGTCGTGAGTTGGAGCTTCTCCGCTTAGGATACGAGGTTGAGGATACCAAGTTGTCGAGACAGCAGCGCCAAGCGAAGGAGAGAAGCCTTGAGAGGCATTTGAGGTGGCGAGAGAAGACTGATCTGGGCAGTGGAGCTATCACTTGGTACTTGGAGCGGGATGAGAATGAGAGGTATTGGGCAAGCAGGCGGATCAGATCGTTTCCAAAGCGCAAGCACTCTGCAGCTCGGACGAAAGAGTTAAAGGGGCGCTACGAAGCCATCAAGCAGCGGAGAAAAAAGCAGGACCTTTATCTTACTCCCGGCGAGCTGAATATGCTCCAGCGTACGTTTGAGAAGCAAGGAACCAGCGAAAGCAGAGGCACTGCGAAGTTGACGCGGGACGAGAAGGTTGATAACATTCTCGCGCGTTTGAGGGCAGCAGATCCTGCTAAGGCGCCTGCTCCTGCCTTGACTCTTGAAGAGCCGCGTGCACTTCAGGCGGGTCACTGAGGGTTGGAAGGGGAGAAGCCGGCATGCTCAGCAGCACAATGCACAGCTATTCCGGGCCCTGAGGAAAGACGAGAACGGGGAGGGTGAGGAGGATCTTTGGCGGAAGCCCGGAGCGGACGTGTGGCTTATGCCATCAAAGGTAGTGAGCTGGCAGGTCTCACGACCAGGCAGACTTCTAACAAAGCCCGGGGATCCTATGCAAAGTAGAGTGTGTCTTCAAGATTAGACTGCCTGTTTTCAAGAGTTAGCCCCACCCACCACGTAATACCTCTCTACCAGCTGACAATCCAGAGTCAACACTTTCCGTCTGTGACCTCTCGGTTTCATTATGCTTTGACCGGCCATAATGACACTTCTGAAGACTTTGATGCCCGTACTTGCCCTCACCAGCTATGTCTTGGCTGGAACTAATGGTGTGCCAACAGCAAAGATCCGCAATGGCCTCGTGAAAGGCCTCCATCTCGAAACGTTCGACCAAGACATCTTTCTCGGCATTCCCTTCGCTGAAGCACCACGCCTGGACAATCCCCGCCCGATCAACATGACATGGAATGAAACGTTCGATGCAACGCACTTTGGCCCGGCTTGCTACGGCTTCGGCTCGAACATCGACCTCAACCTCACGCAAAGCGAAGATTGTCTGAATCTGAACATTGTGCGTCCGAGCGAATACTTTGAACGAGCGCTGCCAGTTCTGGTCTGGGTCTATGGCGGCGGTTTCACCCAGGGCTCGAACGCCGATCCCATGATGAATCTCTCTTATATCGTCCAGACCAGCGTGGAGAACCAGCAGCCGAGCATTGCTGTTAGTATCAACTACCGGTTGTCGTTCCTTGGCTTTCCAGGCGGGAATGTGTCCCTTGAAGCAGGCATCTCCAACCTAGGCCTCAAAGACCAGCAAATAGCCCTCCAGTGGATTCAACAGAACATACGGGCGTTTGGCGGCGATCCCAAGAGGGTGACGATCTGGGGAGAGAGTGCTGGTGGGGTCAGTGTCGGTTTGCATCTCATTTCTCGGGGAGGCAAGGGCAGTGAAGGGCTGTTCAGAGGAGCGATCATGTCCAGTGGCACGGTAGTAGGGGCCGGCAATCCAAAATCCCCGTATGCCCTAAATGGAGATTATGACCAGATTGTCGATCATGCTGGATGTGCGAACACTACCAACACACTGCAGTGCTTGCGAGCAGTGCCCATCGAAGCGATCTATCCCTTCGAAAGAATTGTGTCGTACTCCGGCCCTGTGATCGACGGTGACTTCATCCAACGAGAGCCACTGCTTGAGCTCAACGATGGAAATGTCCATCGAGTGCCGATCGTACTGGGTGCGAACTCGGACGAGGGTCTTTTTGTCGTCAATCTACTCGGCTCGCCAAACGATGAAGCAGCTCTTCGAAAACTTTGCCAAACGGCTTTACCGGGTCTGTCCAACTCAACCATCGGCGCCTTGCTCACTGCCTACCCTTCTGATGGTCCAGCGCCACCATACACCCTACGATCAGATTTCCCCTGGTGTACCGCGGTGCAAGCTGCCAACATATCAGACTGTACGCCCCTCTACCGTCGCACTGCAGCAATACTTGGCGACTTCTTTGCCGACCTGGGCCGTCGTATGGTCAGTCAAAGATGGCCAGAAGCGGTGTACAGCTATCGCTTCGTAGCTGATTCCACCAGCATACCGATAACATATTGGAAAGGCTTAGGACCTGGCTTTGCAAATCATGGAACCGACATTGCATACGGGTTCCGATTACCGGGAAATTTCACAACAAGTATACACTATTACCCGCCTGTGAAACCGACACCCGGCCATGAAGGACTGAGTAGAGTGATGGCGAGTAGGTACATCAGCTTTGTGCATGGGTTGGATCCAAATGCGGTTGCTTGTAAGTTGAATAAAATCTCGTGGTAGCATGATGCTTATCGGTGTTACAGTACCGAGTGTCGTCTCCTGGCCCAGATACAACGACAAACAAGTGAATTACGTCTTCAATGTCTCTCCAGAGGATCATATAGACATTCATCTTGAGCCGGATACCTATCGAGAACGAGGCATCGGCATCTGGATGACGCACGCTTTTGAAGCCTTCTATGGCGACCTTAGCGAGGGACGGGTTCGGGGTATGCGGTACAAATCCAGTACTTCCGCGGTAGAAAAGAATCCAAAGTACATGTTGTAATGCGAAGTAAGTGCCAACTTTCAGAACATGTCTTGAGTTTTCGTATGCAGTAGAGCGTGCTGTAGAGCGGTATAGAAGTGCCGCAGATATGCAGCATATAAGCGGTGTACGGCTCATCCCAACAAGGAAGACGTTTTGATGGGGCAGTCATATTGAGCGAGGACTCCATTGCAGTTCGTAGCGTCACCCACGTGCCTTGACTCGGCGACCTTGGCTTGCTTTCTTAACTTGTGCCAGAACCAATTCGATCACAGGCTCAACAAAAGTGTCTATCAGCATCTTCATTTCATCCCTGGATCGAGCGACGTATGATGCTGATATGCAGTCTCTGCAAGTACAGCATGCTCATGAGAAGGCCGACTTGAATCAAGCACATCGAGCAGGGGAGGAAGCCTCTGAAGGACGTTTGCAGTCTGTGCAACGGCAGCTTGTCCAAGATAAAGCCGAGGAGAGGAGAGACCACGAGATCCGAGAGGAACAATTCGGAATTCAAATAGAGGAGCTCAATACTGCTTTCCTAGCAAAGGACGACGACCAATGCGTGGCAAAGCTGGTCACCACATCAGCCCTTCCCCATAAATCAGACGGCGAGAGAGCGCTTTTCGGAGATGGCAAAGATTGTAGATGAGCTTGGAAGGTTGACCTGCAGAGGCGACCAGAATGTTTTCACGGAACAAGACCTGGAAAGAATGCGCGGACAGTGTAATCCTCGGTAGCTCAATAAGGCCATGTTACAAGATCTCGTCTGGTGCTATCTTTTCGATTCCGTGATTGCAATCATCCGACTCCTGGGTGAGGAGTGCCGGCAACTGGAAAAAGAATGGACGAGCTAGTACACTCAAGGTGACGCGTCGGAGCATGACGGCTACACCTGGCCAATACCAAGCACCAAAATCGAGCGATGACGCTACATGACCTTAGACAAACGTCGGGAGATTCTTGTAACGCCCAGGATCTTCGAATGGGCTGCCAGCGCGCGCATTAAGAGCGGCTGGGGCGAGACCCAAGACAAACTCATCAAAGGTTTGAAGTTGCTGATCTCTGAAATAGCGGAGACCACACCCGGCACGATGCAATTAGTCTAGAAACTCGCAAAGGGAGCTTCGAGACTATGGCTTGCATTCCCAATGCATTGTTGTCGTATAGTGGTTCAATTGACCGGCTCAGGCACCAGACAGTCTCCAAGTAGGCTTGCGGAGATACGCAATGGCCAGGTGAAACTAACGGCATCGCCGACTGTGGGGAGGTTTGGGAATATCCAAGGAGCGGACTTGGACACTTTCATGAGAATCGGTGGTCGCGAGGGAGAGTCATTGCGCGCATGAGGTACAAACTCCCATGCAGGCAATCACACACCAATGGGTACATCCATCGACATCAGCCTTGTGATCAACCCTCCAATCCTGGCGTGCGGGTGTAGATGGAATCTGTCATGCGGATCTGCATTCTCACGTGGCCAGAGGTATGGAGAAATCGCCTCGGAGACTCCGCCGATCGGTGAAATCGACTTTTGTGGAGATTGCCTTGCCGTAGTTGGTCTTTCCTTGCTGGAAATCCGTTCGCTCGGGTTGCTTTTAATGTCGTAGCGTGATGCATCGCTTTCTCCTGGGTATTCAAAACGGACAGTGTCCAATTGCTCCCGATAGCGAGCCGGTGGCTATTTCCCTGCTAGAGCTTTTGACGGAGAGAGGGTATTCTCTGTCGTCGGTTTCGTGCCTCATAACCGTAGCCATGCCAGTCCCGCGCTTGACTCCCTAATGCTGCGCTTCAGACTGCTGCACATCTCTGCGCGAGCATCTTCTTCTCCAACAAATTCCAGGTATTTCTCCAATTTCGCGAGCAATTCCATGCATTTCAAGCACTCTCCCTTCGCCTTGATGATCAAAGTCCGCATGTCCTGCTTCGCACCCGTTGTCTTGCAAGTCCAGTCCCAGGAGAAATACTCGCGCTCACAGAAATCAGCGAATCTTGTCGTCTTGCTGATTTCGCTTTCCATTCGAGAGATGACCCGTTCAACGTAGCAAGCCGCCAGATTCCTTGCTTCATTCGTCACTGTGCTCTCATGATCCGCGGGGCCTAGGATGACGATTGGTTCGGGCTCGTAACGGTCTTTGCCGTAGATCTCTACGTGATATCGAGGGAGGGTAGAGGTATTGTTACTCCATGTGCTTTTGTGAAGGTAGACATCTTCGTATGATGGAGGGTAGACGACTCGGTATCGGCGTTTCCGAAGCGGTTCTGTGTTTTCCGGGGTGATGACGTTGGACATTGCTGGTCCGGCCAGTAGCTCCCAGGGCGAAGGAGCGCTGTTCGAGCGGACGAGGTAGTTTGCTTTTGGCGGTAGGGTAAATTCTCGAAAGGACAATTGAAAGGCTTGGAGTGTTATTTCCGAAGCAGTCTTGTCGTCATCAATCGAGTCATAGCTAGGCGGCACGTCCTGGGGCTCGAAATCCATGGTGAAGTTGTTCCACAAGCCGAATTCTCGCTGCTTCTCTGTCGAGTCCGCCGGTTGAGGAAGAGAGGAAAGAGCGTCGACAGGAAGTGAAGATGTCATGTTGATGGCGTGAGACGTCTCGGGGGGTTTTAAAAGACATGGGCATGGGTGGTAAGGAGAGATACGAGTCCGACGGAATAGGACGAACATTAATGACAAGGACAATGGCAGGGAAGGGCACACGTCCACATACTCTGTGCCGCAAACAGGCCAGACGCTGTCTGCCCTGCGACGCGTGACGACTGCTCTCTGGCTTGCCCATTTCACTTTGTCTCGATGTGGATTGCAAAACACATGTGCGGAGTGGCATCCTCAGTGTTGCAACCGGCGAGCTCCGCGTGCAGTGTTCAGCGCCCAGCACCAGGGAATGGTGCGCAATCCGCATTCCAGCCCGAATTAGCTTCCACGCTGTCTCACCAAGCGGCCTGCTTCCCGGTCGGCTTGGCGGGTAGCAGGAAAGATGGAAACATTTGACAGTCGATGTCGCGAGGTTATTTCATGTGGCGGCAATGAGGTTGATGAAGTGAAGTCGAGTTTCTCCCCCATTAGCCTCCGTGCGACCGCTTTAGCGGCCTGTCAAAAACCGAATTTGGAGTTACATATTTAGTAGCGTGAAAAGCAGACTGTTGGGAACGGCCAAAGCCAGTCGATTCGGCCCGGCCTGCACCTCCGGGCTGCAGCTTCGGGAAAGTGAGCTTTCGGACCTCAAAGAAATCGCTGTCGGCCTTCACCAACATCTCCTGCACCACAACACCCTTCAAACCCACTGTCTTCCTCCTCTCTTTCCTCTATATCCTCGCAAGGCGTCGCGAAGATGCTGTCCAGATTTGCGCCTCGCGCATTCGCTGCGCCAGTGAGGTACAATGCCGCCCGATTCACTCCGGCGCTGAGGACGGTCACCACCGATGCCGCCAGCAGCCATGTCGACAAGAGCGACGTTCCGAGTGTGCGGATATCACTTCATAGGCTGCACTTGATACGGAGCTAATGATCTTACAGGAAGACGACAAGCCCTTCTCCGTCCGCCTTAACGACGAGGCCTTCGAGACCTACGAGCTGGACCCGCCCCCATACACCCTCGAGACCACCAAGAAGGAGCTGAAGCAGATGTACTACGACATGGTCGCTGTGCGGTATGTCAGGGAGAGACGCAAATGACAAAGATCGTGATGACGGACGCTGATCCCACGTTATAGCCGAATGGAAATGGCCGCCGATCGTCTGTACAAGGAGAAGAAGATCCGGGGTTTCTGCCATTTGTCCACAGGCCAGGAGGCCGTCGCTGTCGGCATCGAGCACGCAATCACGAAGCAGGACCACTTGATCACCGCCTACCGATGCCACGGTTTCGCGATGATGCGCGGCGGAACTGTCCGCTCAATCATTGGTGAGCTGCTCGGCCGGAGAGAGGGTATTGCGTACGGAAAGGGTGGTTCCATGCACATGTTCTCCACTGGATTCTACGGAGGCAACGGCATTGTTGGTGCGCAGGTTCCCGTTGGTGCTGGCGTTGCGTTTGCGAACAAGTATGAAGGCAAGGCCAACGTGACACTTGCTCTCTACGGGGACGGAGCCAGCAACCAGGGACAAGTATTCGAGGCGTTCAACATGGCCAAGCTCTGGGATCTTCCAGTGATCTTCGGCTGCGAGAGTGAGATGCATACCTTGGAAGTTGTGGTGCAAATGTACTGACATTCTGCTCAGACAACAAGTACGGTATGGGTACAGCCGCCAACCGCGCTGCTGCTCTCACCGACTACTACAAGCGTGGTCAGTACATTCCCGGTCTCAAGATCAACGGAATGGACGTCCTCGCCGTGAAGGCCGCCGTCCAATACGGAAAGCAGTGGTGCGCCGAGGGCAAGGGTCCGCTCGTCTACGAATACGTCACCTACCGATACGGAGGACACTCCATGTCCGACCCTGGTACCACTTACAGAACCCGTGAGGAGATTCAGCGCATGCGGTCGACCAACGACCCAATCGCCGGCTTGAAGCAGAAGCTGATTGACTGGGAGGTCACGTCTGAAGAGGAGCTGAAGGGTATCGACAAGGAGGCGCGCAGCCACGTGGACGAGGAGGTTGCTGCCGCCGAGGCCATGCCGCCACCTGAGCCAACTCCAGAGGTCCTTTACGAGGACATCTACGTGCGTGGATCGGAGCCACAATTCCTGCGTGGCAGAATACCAGAAGAGAACTTCTACTACCCACAGCGTCCCGTTCAGGTTCCAGAGAGCCCAGCAAGGACATAAGTAGAGACTTGCTACGAAGGTCTGTTAGATGAGGAAACATGGAGGGAGTCCCGGACTTTGCTTGCGAATGGCGAAGGCGCTGGAAATTGTGGCTACTGGCTACGGTTTGGACTTGTATATTGCGGAAGCAGCCAAATGGGCCTGAGCGTTCTCATATGTATTCGGACAGCATTCAAGACCATTGACGCGTGCGACGCGTGCTATTCAGCGTCATATCTCACATACAAAGGGTTCGACATGGCCCGAGCCTGGTCGAAGTCAATGCCACGCCCGCTGAGGGGGACTGCAAGCAAGCTTTCGGCTCGTCGGCCGTATAGAGCTTAGGTTGGTGTGCACGGACGCGCTGATGTAATTGGCCAAGCTCGGAAGTGACGTCGCTACACGACGGCACGCGATACCGGGTACAATGCGAAGATCCGACAATGTGCAGCGGATGAGGGCGGAACTGCAATAAAGCAACGGGCTCAATGGCGCTCTAATCGGCCTCTTGTCTCATAACTTGACGCCGACCGAAGCCGATCTACTCTGCTGGGAGAGTATATCACTCCTCCCGCTCCGTCCCGTCTCCCAACCACCCTTTTGACCTGCTTGTTTGTCTTGCTGGAGTTCGCATTGCGCCTCAGCCCTCCTCTCACACCTCTCCTCTCCACTCGAGCTACGAAACGACAGAGACTGAGCTCAAGAACAGCGAGCTCCAGGACCAGAAACCAAACAACCGCCAACCCCAGCTACAATGTCGAACACCAAGAACATCCCAGGCGTTCCCCAACCAAAAAAGAAAATCGAGCTCTTCTCCTCCACCTACTTCGGCGCCTGTACCATCGGCGGCATCATTGCCTGCGGCCCCACTCACACAGCCGTCACACCTCTCGATCTCGTAAAATGCCGCCGTCAAGTCGACCCCAAGATCTACTCTAGCAATTTCCAAGCCTGGGGCAAGATCTTCCGCGCGGAAGGCGTACGCGGAGTCTTCTTCGGATGGGCACCGACCTTCATAGGATACAGTTTTCAAGGAGCTGGGAAGTATGGAGCATACGAGGTATTCAAGTACTACTATGGAGAGAAACTGTTCCCGAATACACCGAAGACGATTGTCTATCTGGGTGCTAGTGCGACGGCTGAGTTCATTGCCGATATGTTCTTGTGTCCGTTTGAGGCTATCAAGGTTCGAATGCAGACGACCCTGCCTCCGTACGCGAACAATTTGAGGGAAGGATGGAGTAAGATTGTGCAGAACGAGGGATTCGGAGGGCTATACAAGGGACTGTATCCACTGTGGGCGCGACAGATTCCTTACACGATGGTCAAGTTTGCGACGTTTGAGTCTGCCGTTGCGCAGATCTATCAGACCCTGGGCAAACCGAAGGAGAGCTACAACATTCTGCAACAGACCGGCGTCTCGTTCCTGGGAGGCTACATTGCAGGAATTGGATGTGCCGTGGTGTCGCATCCGGCAGACGTGATGGTCAGCAAGCTCAATGCAGATCGCAAACCAGGTGAGGGAGCTGTTACTGCCATTGGAAGGATATACAAGAACATCGGCTTTTCGGGACTCTGGAATGGTCTGCCAGTGAGAATCGTCATGATCGGAACACTCACTGCCTTCCAATGGCTCATCTACGACAGTTTCAAGGTGTATCTGGGCTTGCCGACCACTGGTGGACATTAGAGCAAGGTATTCGGGTTCCAGTTCCCCTTTTGGATTGAGAAGCATGGTGTTCTTGGGCGACGGCGAGAGTCATGATGGGTTGCGTCAGTGCAAGAATGATGATGGATGTACATGTCAGGCCAGTCATAATACCAGTATGATTCAAACTGAGGCGTTCGCACTTTCAAGATGCATCTCGCTCGCCTACCAAAAAATGATCACCAGGAGGAACCCTCCAACCAGCACGAGGCAGCTCCCAGCGAAGAACATAACCCATGCCCTCAACTCGTGGTTTTGACGCAGAGCTGTCCCCAATCTAGAGACGACCGCCTTCTTTTCGACTATGAGGTCCTGTCGGCGTTCGATCTCCTTGTGCAAACCACGTCGTTGTTCTTGATAGAGGGACTTCCGAAGTTTTTCTTCCTTTATGGCATCGTCTTCCAATGCCAACCTCCCATACTCGGCGCACTCGAATTCTCCTTGAGTCGTCTTGAGTTCCTCTTCCAACTTTCTAATTCTGTTCTTCTGCTCTGCGGAAATATCCTCCAGGTGATGAAATCGCTGTATCAGAGAATGATACTCAGTTTGCAGATTTGTTCGTTCGATTTCGAGGTCTTCTAGTGTTGCATGTTCTTCTCTCCATTGCTCTCGTCTTAGCTTTGCGAGACGAAGGCTGAAACCGCTTGCTTTTCTAGCGTGCCATGTCTGGGTCTGTGAGTCTTTGAGTTGATCGCACTTGTGGTGTTTTGATCTTCGTAAACGGTTGACTTCGTGGTGGAGGCGGGCGAGTTCGAAGTCTAGGTCGTTGCGGTCCAACATGTTGGTGCTAGTCCTTACTAGAGAGTTGAGTGGTGTCGACTGTGAGAGATATAGTGTTCTGCGCCTCTCTTTCGGTCTGGAGGATGTGTTTATAAGTAAGAACGCGAATGGTAGATCGTAAACCAGATACAAGACGTCTTCGTCCAAGACATGAAGCATTCTAGAGTGACAGAGAAACAGGTACTGCGCTGATAGCTTGCAAGACATTAGTCTGAAGTCGCTTTCTGAGTCTGACTGGCGGAGCAATGTCAGATGTCTTGACTGCAATAGTTTCTTTCAAGAAGGAGAGTGAATTCTATGCCAGTGATTAGTCTAGACGTTGAGGTAAGACGGTGTCTTTTTGATGTCGCTCTCCTCATTCAAACCTCTGGCCACACCTGGTGAAATGGAACTAGAAGAGTAGGACGCTTTTGGGAGCTGCAAATGCTCAGCGTTAGCTTTCTCGTGCTTGCTGAAGCTGAGAGTAGTCCGGGGCCTGGATTAATGCATCGGGAAGTATAGAACAGCGCAGCTAGTACGATAACATTCTCCTCCGATACAAGAATACGAGTGCGAACTTGTCATCCGGGCATCTTCTCTCCGATCACATGTAAGGGATAGGGCTCTTCTAAACTTTTATCCGCCTGGGTTTTTGATGCGAAGCGGCTTCTTCGGAACACCTCCCGAGATTTGCCGAGGCTTCTAGTAACGCGAAGGGCTCCTCACGACATGTCCCGTGGCACGACATGTCCATCAGGAGACTCGTCAACAACATCCAATTTGACGGAAGGGCTTGGGCAATTTGATGGGTCGTAGGCGCGATGCCGGCTGATCGCCTTCTTGGGACGCTCTTGAGGGCGCTCCAGACATACACCGACCAACAGGACACGCCAAGGTGAAACAGCCTCCACCCTACAATAACGTGATCAAAGCTGACTGAGGAAAGGCTCTTTGGGACTGCGTCGTCCTTACTGACAACCTTGAACAATCCACTTAACGTCACGCTTTTGACGAGCCAGCTACTGGCCGCTCCTGCGATATGGGTCCAACCGGAAGGCTTGAGGACATGCATGCGATGCTTGAGTGTCTTTCACTCTGCAGCACAGGCTCTTGTGAAACACGATGATGCTCTGCGAGACAAGGCTCCAGACGAAGATTTCGCAAAACTCCAACTAGAGCGGACATTGCCCAGAGACGACTGGATCAAGGCGATTATTAGCGGGGCCGATGAGCACTCGCCACGATGGCGGCATCTACTGGCGATTGCAGGTCTTCTGCTCGGATTTGGCCCCGCGGAAGACGAGCGGCTCTCCAGGAGTATGAGGAGCACAATCGAAAGTGCTTTGGTTACCGCGGCCAATTTGGCTCTCGAGGAGACTATTGACGATGATGATCTGGGTCTTGCTACGATTACGCTGGTCCTGAACCATTGTTTTCCCCATCTATCGGATCACGAACGGTCGAAGTTGGACTATGACCTTCTACTACCGGTGTTGATGCGGTCGACACTGCACTCGCGGGAGGGCCTTCAATCTGCGTATTTCTTGGGTACCCTCGATCGAGATATCCAGCCGTTGGCAGCAGGCCGACTGCAGTGGAGTGAAAGATCCCCCTCGTATCAGCAAATCCAACAAATGCTGCAGAGTCCGCTGGTAAGCTCTTTGGGACCTTTATCACGGCTTATTGGACATGCCATAGAGCAAGTCAAAGAGTCGCGGCTCGTCACTGCTGCCTTAGACGACCTGGAGCTGTTCGCAAGGACCCTTCAGCTTCAATGGCGACAGAACAAGCTTTCCGAGGTTGAACATTCTGAGCAGCAAGAGCGGCTTGACGAGAGCACATTCAAAATCACAGCACCTCTTTTATGGAAGCTCCTCCAGCCTGTCCTGTTCGCAGGCGTCATCATAATGAGGAGCGCGCTAGGTCGGCTTCTGGGCGACAGTAGCCTGGCCAGCGACTCTGTCGCGTCGAACATTGCGAAGCAATCGTTGCGGATACTGCGCAGCCTATACTTTATCACGACACGACAAGGGTCCGCCACCTTCTCTCCATACAACTTCGTGTACTACACGGCCATGGACATTTTGGGTGTCTATCCTCTCCAAGTCCAGTCACTACTCCGTGACATGAAGCCTTCACAGCTAGGGACAGTCGCGAAGCATCCTCTCGACAGGACGTCGGATCTCTTCTTCCTCAACACTGCCGAGCACTTTACACTGATCCTTCCACCGGAAGTCAGTGACGAACTACTGCTTCCAGCGGTGACCTCCTATCTTGCCGCTGGCGGCCAAGGTCCGTTGCTTCCCATCTTTGAAGCAGCACATAGCGTCACGCTTGCTTTGTTCTCTGCGCCGCAGAATGCCGAGGCCACCCTAAGGAACCTCGAATTCTACGTTCAACAGCTGTTCAGGGTCTTTCCGAGCAATCTGTCGGCGCGACAGTTCCGGCTGGCTTTCAAGACGCTCCTGAAGCTTGTCTCTCCACCAGCGCCGCTGTCTCTGGCAGAACCAATGATGCCTGCCACGCTCCTTGAACTATTGCATGAGCGCGCTCATCATGCTGCGACTACGCCAATACCCATTCATCCGGGCTCTCCAGAAGCTGCAGTCGAGACGCCATTCCCGCTTTCGGAGCAGGCTGTCATTACTCTCACTGTGTTGGACGGTCTCTCACAGATCCCACTAGATCTCCTGGACGAATGGCTGCCGATCGCTGCAGATATGATACACGATGTCCAAGACGCTCGAATGCGTGAACACTGTAAAGAGCACTTCTGGCATGTACTCACTGGTGGTGAACTGGACCCAGAGCGCTCAAGAGTATGTCATGCTTGGTGGTCGACTGACGGAGGGAAAGAATGGGTGCTGTATGGGAGAGAGAAAGCAGCATTGATGAGCGGTGGACTGCCCGTCGAGAAGGAGAGCAGGCTGTAAGAGCTTAAGCAGCTCATATCATAATTAATCGCTATTCACTTTTCCCGGTACGAGTGTCTAAACTTTTAGTAAAGAACCGAGGGGCGCACGTGTCATGGCTATCTTTATTGGTAGCCAGGGTTTCTGCTTCTCTACATAGTACCTCCACTCCCGTCCGCCCATTGCAGTTACAGGACGTGCTTTGCGCGTGCACATTTCATCAGATCGATGGCATTGTAGCAAGTGTACAACGCTAGCGGCCACAGAGATGACTGGCCATCGCGGAGAGAGTGAGTGACGACGAGCTGACGAGGCTTCAAATTGCTCAGCCCACCTAGTTGAGGTTGGCCTGGGTGTCCATACGAACCTACACCAATACAACCCTCCACGCTGCCGCATACCTGCACGTCTGTTTCAGACCACCGCCTCTTGTACTTCCTCTCTTTACTCTTGTTGTACAGAAAGCCCTCCAAGCCCTCTTGGTATTTGCTCTTCAGGATCGCTTTGCCCGCTCTGCGTTACAGCAAGCACCCCCCGCCGCAGGCCAACTTTCAGGGCCATTGGACACGACAAATTCTTCGACTCGACAAGACCGCAGCAGTATCGCCAAGATGAAGTCAATGCAGCGCATGGGCGGCAAGATGATGAAGCGGTCGGCGGACCAACAGGACGTCGGGGCTGTGATCGCGTCGTTCAAGGCGACAGACAATATGCTGGACATGGTGAGTTCTATAAAGACTGGCAGGCACGCGTGCCCCTACAATAGCTAATAATCGCTTCCTGCAGCTGATGAGAGATCTCAAATCCTGGCGCGACGGCTGGGACGACATCCTACGACTGCAGTACAACGCCTCCGAAGCATTCGCGAACCTCTACAAACCCATCGAAGGCCTTGGCAACAACCCAAACGAACAGCGCCACCAGCCGGAGCAGACGCCCCACTCGACTATGCAGAAATGTCTTGCGCTTCAGAAGATGTATGCAGAGATGAGGGCGGACTTGCAGCAAGAGCTCACAATGATCACCAACAAGATCATGCGACCGGTGGAGGAGTCGAAGAGATGTATGAAGAGCTTGCACACGACCCTCAAGCATCGTGAGAACACGAAGCTCGATTACGAGCGATACATGAGCCGAGCAGAGCATGCGCGGAAGAAGCACACAAAGACCGTGAAGGACGAGACCGCTCTGGCAAAACACGAGAACGATCTCCAGCAGGCCCAGATAAATTATAACACGGCGGATGACCAGGTGAAGCAGACTTTCCCACCCGTTGTTGAAGCAGTCATAAGCTTGCTGCCGTTGTTGCTGGCGCATCAGGTCATGATCCAAACGACAATCGTGGGCCAGATATACACAACTCTCGATCAATACTGTAAGAGTCAGGGGCTCCCGAGTCCTGCTCCAAGCGATGGAGAGATCGTGAGTGTATGGGATCAGCATTTCACTGGCTTCAGGAAAGAGCTGGAGAGTGGTTTGCAATTGATAGCTAGTGGCAAGGCGGTGCACCAGAACATGAACATCCCCGATAAGGATGGCAGCACAGTCACGGGGTTGGGGATTCGCAACAAGACCTCGCATCTGGTTCACCGCACGAAGAGTAATCAGAGCTTGCCACAGAAGCCGTCTTTCTTTGGTCGCTCGGACAGTGCTGGACCATGTGCCACGTACGAGGAGGAAGAGGCTCCACCAGCGAAGCCTCCCAGGCCAGGCACCCTGGGTACTCCGGGTATGGCTTCTCCCGCTGTATCGCCTGGCATGGCAATGTCCAACAAGCCTCGAATGCCATCTTATGGCTCTCACAATGCACCGTACGACCAGAAGCCAACCAATGTCATGCCAACGCCCGGCTTCCCAAGTTTTAACCCACCGCCTTACTCAGAAGCTGACTCGGCAGCATCATCGCGCTATCTAACGCCCACAAGTGGCCTCTCACCCAAGCCTTCCTCCATCTCTCAAGGCGGCAGCGATTACTTTGGTAACGGCCAAGACGCACGGCGAACTTCGGCAGCCTCTTTTGCTTCTAGCGCCGCAAATGCCGTAGCTGCAAAGAAGAAACCTCCACCTCCTGTTCCTGTCAAGAGGCTGCCGAGTCAGCAGGCACAGTTCGTGACTGCACTGTACGATTTCGAAGGGCAGAGTGCAGGCGATTTGGCGTTCAAAGAGGGAGATCGCATACGGGTGGTGAAGAAAACAGAAAGCACGGACGACTGGTGGGATGGAGAGTTGAATGGGCGAAGAGGTGCCTTTCCCGCCAACTACGTGCAATTGTGAAGAGGGAAGAGGGAAGAGGGAAGAGGGAAGAGGATACTTGGATCCGGAGAAGTTCCCTCTGCCATTGGAAGGCCAGGGCCCTTTCTTGCATGCAGCTGGATATGGAAAAGAGGTCATAGGAGGCAGTAGCTGTTTCCCAGGTCATGCTAGGTAGAAGAAAGAGACTCGAGGCGCGAAGAAGATACCTGTGTTGAGGGCATCTCGCTCGATGTTCCAACTCTCTCACGCCTATACTAAGTAGCTACGGTATGTGAGAGCCAGGCTCAAAATAGTCACTACTCCAGTGCTATGCGGCTATATGCCTATTATCGCCGTGGTCAATACGTGCGATGTGAATGTCGCTTGAATTTGCGTATTGAAAGCTGCCCGAAGGATTCCGTCATAGCGCAAAGACATCCAGGGCAGATCGACCAGGCTAAGACCTGTCAACCAAGCTCCATCTGCAGTGCAACCACAGCAACAGCGTACAACACAAACACCTCCCGACGACTACCCGTGATCGTGCCCAAATTTGAGGATGAGAGCGAGTTGATGAGAGTTGCACACGCGAGGCCGGACCTATCCCTACACCACATACCACCACGCATCTACCTCGCCCTCCGATAATCCCTCAGACACCTTCCGGGGCCTCGTCTGTGTTACAATGGCTTCATCTACGAGCAATCCTCCGGCTTCAGAAGCATCGCCTCTCCTCATAAACGCCTCTGGCAGTGCGCCGCGACCTACACCTTCACCTAAACCGACTCGCAATGTCACCTTCAACCCGCAGATCTCCACCTCGAGCCCGCCGAAACGGCGACCTGTACTTCCCTCTTCGTCATCCCAAGGCACCTCCGTCGCCACGACAGCGCGCGATACGAGCAGCGCAGGGCCTTTGTCCGCGTTGAACAGCAAGCTTAGGAGACGAAACAGTTCCGGCGCGGCCTTACAATTGCCTCCTCAGCTTCCCGCGTCGAAGATTGGACCCATGCGGACTTCACGTACCGCGCAAAAGCTGAAACTGCTCCCGAATCCAGATGTGGCGGATGATGGACTGGACGACGAGAGCGGACGGGATGTCTACTCCCAGTTCACGCGGATAAAAGACCCCACAGCTCGTCGGGATGCAGCGAGACTGGGTAAAGAGGATCGCCAGAGATTACCTCGGGTGACGGCTCATTGCACAGCGGGCGGATATCGAATCGAGGAAGTGATGAGGTTCCTAAAGGGAAGAATGAAGACGAAAGGCACGAACCCGAAGCTTTTCGATGAGTGTCTGTATTCGCCCTACGCGTATCGGAAAGAGGGAGGAGCTGCGCGGAAAAGAAGAGAGAGTGGAGATCTGGACGAGGGGCCCGCAGATCCAAAGCAGGTGCACAGCCAGCCACTGAGACGGTTCTCGGATAGCGCTCTAGCAGTCGATGAGAATGCGGAGCGGAGAAGAGAAGACTTGATCGATCTGAATCAAGCGGAGGCGACAAATGAGAGCGCGATCGATGCAGGCGAGTCAAGTAGTCACCATGCGGAAGCAATATCAATGGACGACACTGCGCTTGAGACTCGACCACTAACACCAGATCTTGACACGACTGTACACACCCCGGAAGTCTTCCTCTTCGAATACGGCGTAGCAGTCCTGTGGGGCATGACCGTTAAGGAGGAACAACGATTCTTGAAGGAGATATCCAAGTTTGAGCAAGAAAAACTGGGCAAAGATGATGTGCAGACGGAGGAGTTCAATTTCTACTACACAAGGGAGTATCAGGCGAGAATCTACAACGATTTCATCTCGTTGAGGGACAAGAAGAATTACATGACCAAGCTGGCCATCAGTCATGCTTTGGCACAGTCGACAAAGGTGAGTCAGAGCTTCCGCTGTTACTGAAGCGATTTACTAACATGCGTGTGCCACAGACGTCCCTGTTTGAAGATCTCGTCGACGCTACCATCAGCACCACACAAGGAATCCCATCTCAGATCGCTACGACGGGACGCATCAATCTCACTCGAAAGGAGATCAATATGCAAATCGGCGAGCTCTTCATTCTACGGATCAACATTCACCTGCAAGGATCGGTACTGGATGCTCCGGAATTGATGTGGGCAGAACCACAACTGGAACCAGTATACCAGGCCGTGAGGAGTTATCTGGAAATGGACCAGAGAGTTGCGCTGTTGCAGGAGCGAGTGAGCGTCATTGCGGATTTGCTTGCTGTTCTGAAGGATCAGCTGAGTCACACACATGGTAAGCGAAGGCCTTAGAGGAGGAAGAAGTAAGATGCCGAGTGCTAACATGAGTTCCTAGGCGAGTATCTGGAGTGGATCGTCATTGTGTTGATTGCCGCGGAGATTCTGGTCGCGGCCATCAACATCGTCGTTGACTTGTACGCGGGTGTGGATTAGGACCGCGAGAGAAGGGTAAATGTAAGCGAGTCTTCCATCGAGCGAGGAAGGGCGTGGATATGCTAGCGTTTGGCATTGGGAGAGACGGGAGTAAATGCTCTCAATTGCGCGCGAGTGTTGTGTGAGTAGCTGTGGAATATGTCTTCAGTGTGCAAACAACGGGATGAAGAGACGTCTTCAGCAGCAAGATGGTCTTCGTACCAATGTAGGAGATTTCCGTCCATATTGACGATGCGAAAAACAGATGTAGCTTTATGTTGACCTCGACGGTACCTGTGTCGCGTTCTCTCGAGCTTTTGAATGCTTTGACTGACAGAGTCGAGACTGAATTGCCAGAGTCAGTGAGTGCTGTCACATGTTATTCCGGGTGATCAGCCAATGGAACAAAGCGGGACGTGGCCGAGATTTTAGTGGGATGCTGCTGCATCGGAGCCTGCCGAAATTGCCCTTGCCCTCAGATCTTGACCTCACGTCTCCCTTCGATGCCATCACAATCGTTCTCAGATTGAATCTTCCATTTAACACGTTCAACGCGAAGTCATACAAGTACCGCATTTTGACGGAACAGACATTGGCCTCTTTGAACGCCGCGACGCAGCTCTGATCCGACCTTCACCGATTCAGCATCAGAACACATCAACCACCGCCATTTGCATCTCAGAATGAGGTATCCTGTCCCGGTCATCTCGAAGGCCTCGAAAATGACCGCCATGTACTAACTCCATCCCTCCGTCCAGCCACGAGCCCCGCTTCCTCAAACTCCGCGTCAACCCCAAACCCCTCAGCTACGAGACTCCTCCCTTCCCGTCTCTCTACTGGCCCTTCCCCGTCGACGGACCACAATGTACTTACCTCTACGATGCCCGTCCCATGTGGCGATTCACCCTCTACTGGACTCTCATCTTCGTCGGCGGCGTCCATCTCTTCGCTGCGGCGTATGCGTGTGTTGCGCAGTGGAGGAATTGGAGATGGATCTGGTTGAGTCTGTTGGGGTTTGCGTTTATCGGGACGTGTGAGGCGCTTATTGCCGGGAACATTGTGGGAGGGCTGTGAGTTGTTTTTTGTTTCGTTCTTTTTGATGGCATTGATGATGATGATGGGTTGATGCTAATGTGGCGTTGCGTAGGGTCGGAGCGATTTACACGACAGGTTTCTTCCGCATGTCGACTTGGATTCCTCTCACCTGGGGCATCATTAATGCTTTGGTCTTGATTTTGTCTTCTTTTGCGATCCAAGGCGGGCTTTGATGGGAATGGTACAAGATGGGATGCGTCTGACACGAAGCAATGAAACACGACAGGACCAGAACGGCAGGTACCGGGCGCAATCCGCCGAACGAGACAGCACTGCACGACAGGCCATTAACAGGAAGCATCACGCAAGAATCACAGTACAAGAAGAAATGAGCACAAGAAGATTGTGTTGAAGCCAGTTTTGATTTCCTGGCTGTTTGCATTGCGAACCCTTATTAACTCCTTGTCCTTTTTCAGCTTTTTGGACACACTTGCTTCCCATGAATGAATGAATGACCCTGCGCTTATCCACTTCTTTCGTGGACGCGCATCGCAACAAAAACTCCGCGCAATGCAAAAAGACGGACAAACCCCGCCGAAATAGTCAAAAGAGAGGCCACAATTTTGTGGTTTTCCTCTCATCAAGGATTTCCGCCCCGTGCTTCTTGTTCGCACCGGCGGATCCATTCCTCCATCCGGCCCCTTTGGCCTTGACACCATTCCTTGTGAGCCCTCGCCATTCGCCTCTGGTGGCTTGACATGGCATTGAAGGCTCTTTCCTCCGCCAGCTCTGCGTTCCAAATGAGGTCATGGTTCGTGAGTGGGCGGGGTGGGCCCATCACTGGCAGAGCTGGCGAGCTTCTCTGGGTGGCCTCAGCAGGTCGTTTGGACCTGATTGAGGAATTCTTGAACACTCGGTGCGCGGCTTCTTGGCGATGAAGCTCGGCGCGGCTCTTGTGGTTGGCGGACTTCGCGAGGGAGCGAAGTCGCCTGAGGCTTGAGGACTCGCTGGGGGGCTCTGAGGAGCCACCCAGGTAGAGGTTCGCATCCCTGCGGCGGGCAGGGGCTGCGGGGGGTTGGAGAGGAGACACGAGTCCGCGAGGGGCGGCTCGGTCTGTTTTCCATGGAGGCGACGGCGCGTCGATCTCCATGGCGGCGTCGTCGCCGTTGTCTTGTGGTTCGGAGCGCGAGGCCTGGAACGCTGGCGAGTAGCCGCGATCCTTGCGTCGGACCCCCTTCGTCGGGGTGGTGACCGCGACGGTGTCGTCTTGGTCGAGATGCTTGGGAGGAGTTTGAGCAACTTGGACTTTGGCTTGGGAGGATGCCAAGTTGCTGTCGACGGCCGCCGGAGGGGCGACGCCGTCGTTGTCACTGGATGGGCTCATGTCGAGCTCGTCCATCCAGGACACAAGAAGGTTGTCGACCATGTCGGTCTTCATGACTACTTCTTGCAAATGCTTGTTGCTTGAGAGAGGTTGTGATCGCTTGGAAGTACCCGAGGAGAGTACTAAAGCGCTGGACGTGCTGAGCTACCTTTGTGAAATTTTCTCGCGAGGATGCAGATGATCGAGAAAAATCAAGGCGAGCTGAGCGTAGCTTGCTTGAGAGAGAGATTTGATCGCTTGGAAGTAACCCGAGGAGAGTACTTAAGCGCTTGACGTTGGCTCAACGGCCCTGGAAAGAAATTCTCGCGAGGATGCAGATGATCGAGAAACTTACAGAGCAGGCTGAGCAGAAGAGTGTCACTGAGTGGAAGGGGACGTCTTTCAAAAAATTCCCGCGAGGAAGCAGTGTGTCAAGAATTCTTTGAAAGCAGTGGTACGTGGAGAAGAAGAGAAAGGGATTCCAAGGGAAGAGGAGACATATTTATTGGGGGCGATGACTGGATGACTGGTTGGGGACGGTGGTGAACTACTCATCGCTTTCAGAAAATCCGCAGCTGGTAAAGAGCTCCTTAGTGAGGTGGTGGGCCATAGCAGCTCGCAGACACAGGCTTATGAGCTGCGTTGAGACTGGAGCCAAAGGTTAATCGACGAGGGTGTGCTGCGAACTCCGGGAGGAAAATCAATCGGCAAGCATCGCACAACCAAGCGGAAAATTGTCATCACTGGCTACTTGAAATTCCCTCCGACGGCTGGACTCTTGCCGTCCTCGACAAGGTGCCTTTTCCTGATGAACTCCGACATCAACCTCCCACTTCGGCGAGAGAGGGAGGGAGAAAAAAAATCTCAAAGCCGAGGCCTCGCGCTCATACCATCTCCTCGTTCCATGGAACCGCCGGGGCTGTGCTGAGGATAATACCCACAGTGCAGAGGCAAGAGCAGAGCTGACTCCGACTCCATCCCAATCAAGAGCACCGCGCCCAGCAGCTGGCCATGTAAATCCGCGTGCTTTGGATTCGTAGCAGTCAGCCCAACGTCTTTACAGAATGACGCCAATGCAATGCGACCAGGTGCATGTGCACGGCCTCTTGAAGCCAGCCTAGGGAGAGACGATGATGGGGGGGGGCACACAAAAAGAAGAAAGTCGTGCTATTCCCTCGAAAAGCTTAGAAGAAGAAGATTTTCTAATTCTAGCTCCTTCCGCATGGCACATGGACACTGCATGCGCACGCTACATGTACCGGAGTTGGCGAAACCCTCCTCCCCTCGAGACGCCCACATGGGAGGCACGCGTGTGAGAGCCATGCTTTCCTTCTTCCTCGAGATGAGACTTTGCTGGGAAATCCGCACCCCGGATTCTGGAGCAGGAAGCAGGAACGTTGGGAGAGGGGAGAGAGCTTATTCCACCTCCTTCTTACCTATCCTACCTTATGGATGGATGGCAGAATGGAAAGAAAGGGCACGCACGCTAGTGGGAGTGCGACGGGAGTGGCGAATTGCGCTCTCCATTCGTTGACCGTGGGCGTAGGCGTCTGTGAGCGACTGGAGCTATGCCTTCCCGGATTCCAGCTTCACGAAGTACCTACATGGTGTGTGTGTGTGGGAATTCGCACCTGCTAAGTGAACATGGCTAAGGGAAAGAAGCATGGGCGGGAGGAGGGAGACGAGCGGCGGACACCGTTATGAGCGGGAATGGATGTTCATGCTTGCGTCGTCTTCGAATCTCTGGCTCGTGATACTAGCTCGTCATACAAGAAGCCATAGAAATGAGAAACTTCCCGTGTGTGTGTATGATTAATTAGATACTTGCGGGAATTCTCCCATACGGTACGGTACCTTAGGCTCTGCCTGATGCTTAGTCATTTTTGGAGAGAGGGGAAAGGGGTTAGCTGGTTCTTTTTGGGGGGGATTTCTTGTAGGTAGAGCTGCGAGAGGAAGGGACGGGACCTCGGAGGAGGAGGAGGAGGAGGAGGGACTCGGCGAGCGAGATCATTCATTCATTCATTCATTCATTCTTGGCCTTGGAAGGCCTTTTTTTTTGCCTCTGCTCTCGGAGAAGTCTTGTAAGTATGCTCGTGGCACAGTGAGGGGTTTTGGGAGTAGTGGCGATTGATCGCTGTTCTTCTCAAGGCAGTCGTGTCGTCCTCAGCTCGTTCCGTCAAGATTTCTGCAGAGAGGGACAGGGGATGCTGTGCTGTGCTGTGCTGTGCTGTGCTGTCCTATCCTATGCTATCGCAGACCCGAAGAGAGATTGGACACGAGCGGGAAAGACACAATATATTGGAAATCATCATCATCAGTCGTTTGTGGGAATGGGAATGGGAATGTACGCGATGATCCCATCGACTATATACAGTCAAAATATTTCTCAAGGAGAAGCTCCCTCTAAACAATCACGGCGGGATTCTCCAACTGCCTCCTCGCAGTGCCCAGCCCATCATTCCCGCCTTCCTGGTTCTCGCCCAGCCACGGCTTCTTCGCCTCCCCGAGAACGCCCTCGGTGCCGTAGTAGACGAAATGCCCGCCGATGATGAGCACAAACGCAATCGGGTACATCCAATGGATAGTGTAGTGGAAGACCTTGATCCCGATGACGACGCCCCAGAAATTGCCCGTCAGGAGGCCGATGTTGAGGAAGGCGGCGGAGGACATGCGGAGCAGGACGGGCACGGCGGAGTAGAACCACGTGAGCAGGAGGGTGTAGCCGGTCAGGTAGCCGGCGACTTTGGAATTCCACACGGCGGATTGGAAGGCGGCGCGGTCGAAGATGCCGGCCTGCACGCCGTTGATGAACATGCCCCACCAGGCGAGTTGGCCGATGACTTCGTAGAGGGGCCGCTTGCTCGCGAGGAATTCCTCGGCGACGTTGGAGAGGCCGTAGAAGGTGGCGCCGAGCAGGCAGAAGAGATCGCCCTTGACGGCGTCCGTGGCGGGGCCGCTGTTGGCGCCGGTGATGTGGTCGGAGGCGACCAGCATGCCGAGGCCGCCGCAGGCGATGAGGATCCCGGCGTACTGGAAGATGTGGTAGCGGACGCGGAGGAAGATGAGGGAGATGATGACGACGACGGCAATGGCCCAGAAATTGATGAGTTGGGCGGAGAGGATGGTGGTGTAGCGGTAGGCGAGGACGGTGAAGTAGTTTCCCTCGACATCGCAGAAGGCCAGGATGAAATACCGCCATCCGTCGCGGTACAGGAGTCGGAGCCAGCCCTTGAAGCCATATTTGTGGATGGTGAAGGAGGTGTAGATGAGATTGAGGAGGATGTAGTTGAACAGGGACTGGAAAGCGGGGATGGAGGTGCCCTCGTCGCTGAGGAAAGTGGTCAGAGTGCTGGTGCCCGTGTTGGTGATGGCGAGTGCCTGGGAGAGCAAGAGGACGATCCAGAACTGAGGGCGCTTGAGATAGCGGAACCGGGATTTCTTCTCTTGTTCCAATTCCGCAACGGTGGTCTGGAGAGGCGGCTGTTCGGATACATCGGCTCCGACCATCTCGACGGGTCCGTGGGCGAGTCCATTGTCATGGCCTCTCGAAGACGGCGTGCTGGGCGCATCGGCCGAACCTTTCGGCTGGACCGTGATGCGCTCCAGCTGCGGCGCCTGGTTCACTTGGTTCTCGTCTCCCGAAGCAACCGCCCGGGTGGTGTTGTTGTTGTCATCGCTTTCGTGGTCGTGGTCGTGGTCGTTGTTCGACGCCATGGCCCGGCCGAAGAAGAAAAAGTAGATCCGATCAGGATGAGCATCCGGTCAAGATAGATAGGTATCCGATCAAGATAAGGATAGAGTTCCAGTCACAACGGTGAGCGCAGAACTCAAAGACGTCGTCGCCCACGGCGGCAACGGCAGGGTGGTGGTGGTAGTGATTGTGATGGCTGTAGAGATACAGAGAAAAAGGAACCAGAGCAGATACTTGCTACGATTATTGAACGATTAGACCCACGCTGTTGAATCGGCCTTGCCCTTTCGGGAGGACTAGCCGACGTTCTGGACTGTAGGCGTGTGGGGAGAGCAAGGTAGCTGGAGCTACTCCCTGGACTCCAAAATATTGCTGTGTTTTTGGGGGATTGATGGAGGATGGAGGAGAGTGGAGAGAGCAGGAGTTCGACGAGACATGATGACTTTCCCTAATAAGCAAACCAAACAACCCGTATGCGCCGACCGTCCTCCTTCCCGCCTGCACGAGGCTCTATCGGTAGCGACAGTACTCAAAACACAATACCTCCGACGATTCGCTCGAACGCTCTTCACTTGTTGTTTCACATATGAAATCCGGAAAAGGAGAACGGGAGCCTTCGTCACTTTGCGGCAGTCTTTCTGCCAAACCCAAGGCTCATGCGACTCTTCTTCTTTTCCACCTTCTGATCTTCCACCACAGCCGGCTTCGGCGCCGCTTCAGCCGCGGCCGGCGTTACGGGCACCGCGTTGGCATCCATCGTGATCTTGCCGCCGTGTGTGAAGTACGTTCGCGGTTTGGTAGGCATCGACGTGCCCGCCGACTGGAACGATGTACTTCGGAAGTGGCCGGGTCTGAATTGCCCGCCGTCTTCCGAGACTCGCTCTCTACCACCGGAGTCACTTCTCCCAGGGCTGCTTTCTGTCGCAATGTTAGTCGGTGACATCACATGTTGGCAGGCATGCATGCATGAGGTGCTTACCGTGGCTGCCGGTGACCTGTGTGGTGGCACGGCGGGCCTTCATGCTCATGCGAGGGTTCTGAGTAATCAGCGCGCTATGCGGTTGACCGAGAGCCAGGGCTGCCTTGGGGTTAATGGCAACATTTGGCGACCTGGAGCGTGCTTCCCTCTGCGGACGGTCATCGACGGGAATCTCGCCTCTGAAGGCGAAAGCATGCCCTTCCGCGGGCATGATGACATCTTCGGCGATGTTGTCCTCTGGCACCGAGCTCATTGCTGGACGAGCGTACGTCTTGCCGAGCTCCGAGAGGCTACGCTCGCTGGCGCTTCGTGCCGGACGCTTGGGTGACTCCGACGGACCTGCAAAGTCTTTGCTTGCGGCCTCGATGCTTGCACTTGGCACCTGCACTTCCTGCCTTGGAGGTGCTTGAGGCTGAGTCTCTTCTCTCTTCTCTTCCTGTGTTTCGGCGTCACGTCGAGCTTTTGTCCTGCCCATCAAGTTGGCCGATTCGCTCTGAGGCTCGGCTTCGGGCTCACACAGCTGAATGATGGGCGTTATGGGTTCATGGGGAGTAGGTAGGACGAGGGATGGTGCTTCGCGCTCCACTGCGACGACCGGCGAAACGGGAGCAGCGATCTGAGTCTCCTCTTCTTGGCGATGCGCAGGATGCAAGGCTTGGGGTTGAGCGTGTCGCAGGGGCTGTGCGACCATCTTGAGAGACGCTGAAGTCGGTGCGGTCCTCGTCTGAAGTGACAGGGCTGGGCGGTTGAGCTCCTGTCCGGTTGATCGAGACCTCTCTGGAGTGTATTGCTCCTGTTCGACCGGCGAGCTGACGCCTGGAAGAAGTGCCTCCGAGGCTTGTGAGACGTTTGGAATGGTCCTCACAACACCCACGACGCGTCCGTACTCGTCCAAGACTTCTCCACTGGCATTGGCCCTCTGACGGACGCAGTCCAACAAATCGCCTTCGACCAGCTCTCCGATGGGCTCTCCTTCCTCGTCGAGGATCCTGCCCCTCTTGTTGACCTTCAGTCCATCAAGCATCGAGAGCGGTGGCAGGCTGTATCTCCTCGCGCTGCGACTCTGAGATACACGCTGGTGACTTCTCAACAACCCAAGTGAAGGCATTGGCTCTGGTGGACCCCTGGTCTTCTTGTGTGCGGATGCAGAAGACGTGACAGACTTCGCCTCTTCGTCAGCATCAACCGGCGAGACATTCCCATCGTTGGCTAGTATGCCTTCGCCGAGCCCAAGCTCTGGTATGTAGGGAGCGCTTGTCTGATGGTTGTAGTACCTGTAATCTTCGGGGAAGTACTTCTCGCTGGGGGCACGAGAATTGATCGCAGAGCCCGAGTCGTAACCGGAGTCAGCGTAGTGGGGTGTCGCGTAGCTGTGTTCACGTTGGTAGCCTGTTGGTGGCGTGAGGCCTTGGTGGGACATGTAATGCGGCTCGGGGACAGGAAGGATGCTTGGTTCCGTGAAGATCTCGCTGCGGTTCGTTCGGTATTGACTGATCTGCTTTGCGTTCTGAGTGCCGCCGTTCCTAGGTCCTACGGAAGCCGAACGAGCGTGAGATGCGATTGCTTTGGTTTCTGTCTTCGGACGCGTGTCGGTAGGCTCAGTCTTCTCTTGCTTGCTCGCAGCCTTTGCGGCGCTGCTCTTCCTTGAGAAGATAGCCATGTCGACAACTCGGCAAAGCTGTTGAACCACAGATGATGTCTCGAGATAAAGATCAATAAGAATTCAAGCGTCGAGTATACGGCGTAGAGTCAGGAACAAAGGACCGAAACAGCTTTGGGAGCTCCTGAGGAAGGAAATGAAGGCAACACCAACAGCTCTGAAGGGACACCGAGATACTTGACGAAGTGGGCGACCGTCCCCGATAGCTCCCACGCGATAGATACGCAGCTAGACCCCCTCATGCATAGTGATGGGTTCCGGTCTGAGACCCGGCCAACTTAACGTTGCCCCGTCGGTATACCGCAGATGGCGGACTGAGGTCGAAAGTTTGACAGGCCGTACGGATGACGATGGCGTCTTAAGCTCGAAGCTTCCCGCGCCGAAACGCAGTCGCGGATGCTTTCGGCACACCAAGCTGCCTACTTGCACCACCTTGCGCATCAAACCTTTCTCCTCTTGACTTGGAGGACACGGCTTCAGTGAAGGGCATGAGAGCTGAGGAAGATGTCAGCGCTGGTGGGGTATGCTTGCGGACCATCTTGTCACTCTGCCTTACCTGCAGACGGCGCCAACGCAACACTGTTCAGCATCCAGCAGCTGGCGTCACGGCCATACATGTTAATAGTCTAGTCTCAGAGTTGCCGCATTGGGTGGAGGCCTCCCAAAAGAGCAGCTGGCCGCAGTGCCCCCATCCTTCACAGCACACAGCCCCAAAGGAACCAGGCCGAGCGGCTCTCACCCCCCTGCATCAGCAGAGTTCGACGGTTCCAAACTCCCGCGTCCAAGCGGCAGACATCAGTCGAAGCTAACCGGGAAATTTTCCAATCGGTACCGTCATTCTTCTAAAACTGGTCGCCGCGGCCCTTGGCGCAGGTGTCTCCGCGATTTGTTATGCCGTTCGACACCCCGTGCCCACGTATATGGAAACTGCGAAGGGGGAAGGACGAAGAGACTTGCGGTGGAATCGCGTACCTGTTCACGCTCCGATTGTCTCGTATTCGCGCGTCGTTGCACACGCCTGCGGTATCTTTGATTCGGAGCGGGTTGGTTTTGGTACATTGTACATATGTCGACGATATGAGCTCGGCCAGCCAAGTCGGACGAACACCCCCATGCAGACTATGTATCACGGTTGTCCAGGACACTGTCTCATTGCACGGCAGGATCCATCGGAGCTCATACAATCATACAACCTGGGAGTCTGATCTCGGTCGGATCCCTGCCGGTCGATCTCCACGTGTTTGAAACCATCCACACATCTTTGAAGTGCGATCGACCTTACCGTATACAGTATTGATTGTCGCTTGCCTGCGGTTAGAAAGTACGCTGTGATGAGTATGCATGGATGATGGTGGACTTGTGCCGTGTTGAGTTGGCATCGCTGAGGTGTGTTGTCTTGTCGGTTGACCTATGGCACTACTACTAGCCTTGCGAGCCACATCGGTCTTCGTCGGGCCGCCGTCGTGAACCGCATTCGCAAGTCGCGTGACACCATTCTCCTGCCGTTTCGGGCCTGTCTAGGAGCACCAGGGGCAGGCTGACGCCAAGCAAGGCGTTTTGCATCAAATCAAATCTGTAGATACCGACTTCTTGGCATCGATTTTCACTCAAAGCTTGCGAGGCTCCGGTTGGAAGTGAAGTGATAAGGTGCGTGGGTAGACAAGCTCTGGACCCGAGCTTGTTGGCGAAGCTGGTCAACATGTGTCGACGCCTGGGTGCTCACGCAATACCCTCGGAGATTATCTACGTCCTGGGGGTTCTGCAGACTTGACTCGGTCAGTGGGTATCTGCAGTGGGATGGCAAAGATCCGACAAGTTGGTGTGGCCGAGGAAAGAGTACCATGGGAGGGAGACTGCCGGTTCCGAATTGCAGGCACGGCAGGGCAGGATTAGTGTACCGCCGAGAGATGATGCGGTGCCTTCCTTTCGGTGTTGCGACCGAGAAACAACTCGCGATGCTGAAGACGGTGCTGGTTTGCTTGTGACGGCCAGAGTGGTGTGAGGAGAATCATGCCGCCCGCCATGTCTCAGGGCGACGTGCCATGCAGGATAGAGCTTCGCACGTACCGTACCGGACGGTGCAGGAGTTACGCGTAGCTTGCTTGGCGATAGACAGCATAAGGTGATGATGGCAAATCCCTCACGGCGCTGCGCTACAGGCTGACATATTGCTCGATGGATGACGCGTGCAAGTGAATGAAGGAACGACATTCGAAGAAAGGGAAGGAAATACACTCCAGGCGAAATGTGCACACGTTCTTTCTATAATAATAATAATCGCTACCTGACTCAGCCCAAATACCCGTACGTACCCCGGCTTGGGGCAATAATAATGCACGGCTTTGCTTCTCGTCTCCGTCTCCATCACATCGCCTTTCTACAATGTCTACTTCAGAAAGCATCAACGTCAAGAGTGATATCTCGCGAAAAATGATAAGTATGGACCCGTTCGGATCGAGCTCGACCGATAACGCAGGTACACTACTGTGCGGGGCATCGACGAGGTGATGATTCGCCACCGAGCTATCCTATCCTACCCGTGCCGTTCAACATCCATCCTCTCCTGGTCGTCTTGACTACCGGCCATTCACGCACCGAATCTCCACCACAGGCCTCTCAAGCAGGGGAACAAGGAAGTCATTGTTAACAAAAATGGCTCCCGTGGCAACCACGCTCGTCTCCGAGAGCACAGGCAACGCCAATGTTGGCGCTCTCGGCAAGACCAAGGACGGCCGACCATTAAAGGTCAGGTCATACCCGAACTTCGACTCTTTGGAAGAGGAGAGGCAGTATCGAAAGCAGCATCTCGCCGCTGCGTTCCGTATCTTCGCCGAACGCGGTTCGTCTGACCGGCCTTGGGACCACTCCAGCACGCTAACACCGAAAATCCAAGGCTTCGACGAGGGAGTGGCTGGTCATTTGTCCCTACGAGACCCCATCTTGACCGACCACTTCTGGCTGAACCGTAAGTGTCGGCATGGAACGTGGCCGCAGTGGCGGACAAACACCCTAAGTCCTCTCCAGCACTCTCGATGCATTTCTCGCAAATCTCAGTCTCGCACTTGGTCTTGGTCGACGAGGATGGCGCCGTGGTCATTGGCGATCAACCCATCAATGCTGCGGCATTCGCGATCCATTCCGAAATCCACAAGGCGAGGCCAGACGTCCACGCTGCCTGTGAGTCCTGTCTTGCCCGACACTGGCCGCGATGTGCGAATCTCTGATCATCAATCTAGGCCACGCTCACAGCGTCTACGGCAAAGCCTTCTCAGTCTTCGGTCGCGAGCTCGACATGATTACCCAGGACAGCCTGCGTTTCTACAAGGACCATGCCGTGTACCCGCAATTTGGAGGTGTGGTGCTTGACCGTGAAGAGGGCAAGCGTATTGCTTCCCACCTCGGGAACGGCAAAGCCATTATTCTCCAGAATCATGGCTTGCTCACTGTGCGATATTCCTGAACATTTTCAACGACACGCGACTAACGCGTTCAGGTCGGAGAGACCATCGATGCCGCGGCCTTCTGGTTCCTGTCCCTTGACAAGACATGCCATGCGCAGTTGCTCGTCGACGCGGCATCACAAGGCAGTGGCCACCCGAAGACTTTCATCGGCGACGAAGAGGCCCAGTACAGCTTCTCGCAAGTTGGGTAAGTCAAACACATGCCTCTTGGCGCGGGAGACCTCCATCCCATTTCCTGGTTACTAGCGGCGCCTACGCGATTGAGTTCCTCGGAGACGAACATGTCGACGCGTCAAGACGCTGCAATCTGATCCAGAAAGCCAGAGAAGCTGACATAGAGGTTCTTTCCAGAGCTCCTGAGAAGGGCTGGCTCGCGTTCCAGGTACGTTCTGTCTCCCTCGTTATTCCTCCTTTCCACTGACCTTGAATTCTCAAAGCCATACTACGACGATATCCTGGCAAAGACCAATGGTAGCTTCCTCAAATAAGATGAGTTGACGATTCACCCGAAAGCGCTTCCTTCGTCGCGCGTTGCGCCCACAAAGTCGGTTCTTGCGTCTCAATGTTTGATGTATGACAAGGCCACTACAGATTCCGCCTGACGTCCGTCTCGGAGGGACGACGATGTCTGCATCCTTTCACTTTCCAGGCGATCAGCCGAAGCCACATCTTGCCGTGCGATAGCGCATTCCAAGCGCTGTCTTGCAGCCTTCTATCAATCTGTACAATGGGGGCGCTATCCTGCGTTTCAAGATAAGAGTGCGGCCACGCATAGATTTGAGAATGTCACATGTATGCCGGTGAAACTTTATACATTCGTAATGATATGAGGGAGGAACGGTCGAAGATAGATACTCATGTGCAACGCTAAAGCAATCGGTCTGTCTGCATCACAAGTTACAACACAAGAGTATCACCAAAAGTCAAGTAGCTATATAGAATCTCACAACTTCGACCCTCTCCCCTCCCACCTCCGCACCCTCCCCACCGCCTCCTCCCTCTCCCTCCCCCTCTTCTCCCTCTCCCCCTCCCCCCTCACCGCCTCCTCCGCCCACCCCTCCGAATCAATCATCCCCACCGTCTCCCTCCACATCTCCCGCTTCAACTCCCCATACACACACCTCCCGCTCGCGCCCACCCGCGCCTTCCCCACCAGCTGCAGCTCTTCCACAAACCCCAACGTCGCTTCCAGCCCGCCCAGCCCGTCGACGAGTTCCGCTTGCAGCGCGTCGAGCGCTTTGTAGCGGTGCGCTTCGAGGATGAGCTTGCGCAGCGTTTTCGGGGATAATTTCATGCGGAAGAGGGCCGTCATGGGCGCGCGGAGCGGCATGCCGAGTTCGAGCTCGTTGAGGGATATGTAGCCTTTTTGGGGGTTCATGATGCGGTACTGTTGAATGAGGGAAGGGTTGTTAGCACGAATACCCCCTTCTCCACAGTGAAGTCATAGCATGCATGTTATATGAATGATGATGAGGAGGAGGAGGAGGAGGAGGAGGAGGAGGAGGGACTTCACATACATCATGAGCCATCGCCACCATCAACCCCCCAGCAAACGCATGCCCATTGATCAGCGCAACGGTAGGCATATTATACGTCAACAACCGCCTCCACAACGCATACAGACTGCCCGGCATGTAACCGCCAGAAATCTGCGCATGTTCCACATCCATCCCGTTGGAGTAGAATTTCGGCACGCCGCTGGTGGTGATCACCACTCCGTCCCCATGCTTGTGCTCTAGGATGTCCAGCGCGAGGATCAGCGCTTGACATAGTCCCGTGACGAGTCGGTTGTCCGGTGGGGAGGAGAAGGTCAGGAGGTAGATTTTTGGTTTTGGTTGCGTGCAGATGAGAGTGCCGATTTGTTTGGTGCCGTGTGGTGTGGTGGTGATGGGCAGGGTGAAGAGGGGGTTTGGGTCTGGGGAGGGGGAGGAAGACATTGTTGTTGAGTTGAGTTGCGGGTTTGGAGGAGGGAGGGAGAGGTCTGTTCCTCGGAATGGTCGGTCGATTCTTGCAAGTTCTTTCTCTTCTTCGATATTTTCTTCTCCTTCTTCGATATCACCAAGTCGCGATGGTGGGATAGATGGAATGGTCCTCTCTTTGGTCCTGGTCCGGAACCACGCGTGCAATGGCGATGTTCTTTAATCTGGGGGTTGACTATAAATGCCACAGTTCCAGCAGTCCCAGTGAGTCTGAACTCGTCGATGGTTAACGTCGCAGTCGGTTATCATTAACAACGTCACAAGACAACCTCGGTCCGGGCAACCTGGAGGCTACTTTCGCCGAGGATGAACCTTCAAATCTCCTTACACACAAACATACACACACACACACCCACTCACCCACAACCGCCTCACCAAAACACATTGAAGCCTGGACAATCCTTTGAGCGAAATTCCACGTCTCGAGGACTAGAGTGCTTCAATATCTCTGTATTGCAAAGTCACTTCGCTTTGCTCGATGTGGGTAGCGTGCAACGTACAAATGGGACCGAGCCTGGTCCTCTCTCCCTCCCTGAAGCCGTAGCCGACTTTCCGATAAAACGCCTTCGCTCTTCGTGATATGTACACGTTTCGTGCCTTTCTTCTGAGAAGGCTGAGACATGACCGAATCATTCTCTAGACGTCGTGAGTTTTTCAAGGGGTCTCAACACTCCAATTGCCAACCCACTCCAAATCCTGATCGCCTGCCGCGAAGTCCCATCCGACAATCACCTTGTTCTGACTGCACGCAATGATACGACGCGCATCGAATTGTAGCTTGAAGACGCGATTCGATTCCCTCTGTGGAGGATTCTGCTGATTGTGATGATGATGGTGATGTTGGTGGTGATGGTGCGCTTGAGCCTGACCTTGGACGGCATTCCCACCTTGTCCACCTTGAGCCTGCGGTTGCGGTTGCGGTTGCGCGGTGGCCTGAGTTGGCTGAGCCTGATGCTGCTGATTGTTGACTTGTTGCGGTGCGTGTCCTGGTGCGTTCTGGTTACCAAGGGCAGCGTGAAGCACGGCCGGACCTTGCGGAGTATTGGCTGCGCCATGTGTGATCGCGTGCTGGTGTTGCTGGCTTGCAAGAGCTTGGATCTGAGCATTGAGACTCTGCTGGGCGTGATTGACGGCCGTCAGCTGCTGTTGCGGTAGAGCCTGTGCTTGTCCAGGTGGAGGTTGTCGCAGAATGGTGTTGACCTGTTGCAATGAGTTTTGAGCTTGTTGAAGCAGCTGTTGGGCCTGCTGCTGGTTGACTTGAATCTGGATACCGTTAGGGCCAGCCTGCACATTGATGTTATTGAGGTTGACAGGCTGTGGAAGCGCAGTCGGTCGAATGCGGTTCGAGGTGCTGGGATGATTGAGCAGCATGCCCTGATGAAGGCGCTGATTAGGTCTCCACTTGCCATCTTTGCCTCGCTTCCAGATGATGACGGTCTCATCATAGGACCCCGAGACAATCTTAGCCCACTTACTGCCTCCGCCGCCCGGAGGTACTTTGGTGCCAAAGCTCAACATGTCCTCGGGGCGACTAGATCCCGCGTTGCGGGGCTGACGACGGCGCGAGACATCAGCTGGTTTCATTCCCTTCTCCAATGCCTGCAAAAAGTTGAAGTCGGCTTGCTTCGACTCTTCAAGGAGTTCCTCGTCGGTGATGGTCTGGAGATCGCCGAAGCGGGCCTGAACTGTTCGAACAAGGTTGTTGTGGCCATCCAGACAGGCAACCTCTGCTGTCGTATCGTAGTCGAAGATCCGCACCGAATTGTCAGACGAGCCACTCACGATGCGACGTCCATCAAATTGCACGCACGCGATGCCCTTGGTATGTCCAGAATACGACTTGACAAAGTTGCCTGTGTGAATGTCCCAGGACTTGATGCTGCGGTCGCCAGACGCCGAGACGAGGGTGTCACCACTGATCTGAACGGCATTGACAGCAGCTTGATGGCCTGTTAGAACCGTCAACTCCGTAAAAGCGGGCAGCGTTAAACCTCTGTCGACCTCCTCGTTGAAGAAATTCAAAACGTGATGGGGAATAATCGGGCTGTCGCGCGCGATTTCGTGCCGATTCCAAATCTTGATCGTCTTGTCCTTGGAACAGGTGACCAAGTAGCGATCGTCAAAGCGAAGATTGAGGACGCTTTCGGCGTGCGCGTTCTTCAACACCCTCAATTGTTCGCCTGTCGAGAATCTCCATACAATGACATAATGATCACTCCCGCCGCTTACGATGATGTCGTGATCGTTGCCCGGCTTGTCATCGAATTGCAGACACAGGACACTCGCAGCATGGCCCCTCAGAGGCTCGCCTCTGAGCCGATACCTGTCCAAATCCCAGATACGAATGGTCTTGTCGCGCGAGCCGGAGACGAGCCATTTCGCGTGATGTTGAATGGTGTAGACGCATTCCTGATGTCCCTCCTCTTCGTGATTGGGATCGGGAAGACGGAACATGGTGTATTTCCCCGTTTCCCAGTTCTTCTCCAATCGCCGACGGTGCTTGTAGAGATAAGGCCAGCTGACCCGAGGCATGTCTATTCTGTCTGTGAACAGAGACGGTTGCAATTTGATGTCATCTGGTCGCGGTGCAGGCAGAGCATTCAGCGCTGGTGCGGGAGCCGACACATTGGGTTCACTGCCGAAGTCCATCGGGGCGTCTTGCGGAGTCGTGCGACTGTCGAGCAAGACGTATTGTGAAGCAGAAGCCTCAACACCCTCCATGCTCTCCGTGCTGTCGCTCAAGTCGGCTTCCACTTCTGGTCGTGAGCTGCCTGGGTTGACGGCGGTGCTCTCGTTCTCACTATTAAAGGCTTCATCTCGCGGCCTCTTACGGCTGTTCTTCCGACTGAGGGTCTCGGGTCTATCTGTGCGCATTTTGCGCTCAGCGACCCGAGTTCCTTGCGCCTTTGCCTGTGTCTCGACGACGCCCATGGCGTCTCTGTCTAGGACCCATCCCTCGCGACCAAAACAGTCATGCCAGAGTTTCTCATCCTGCGTTCTCTCGCGCCACGGCCGGGAAACAAGGGAAGCGGTGAGAAGATCTTTGGGTGAGAGGTATGAGAAGATGACGAGGATGAGTTCGTTGGGTAAGTAGCGCACGGGATCGAAGTATACCATGGATCCGATCTCGTTGTGAAGGTCGTAGAGGATTGAGGTGGAGAAGGAAGGGCAGATCTCCTTGATGAGGCCTGCAGAATCGGTCAGTATCAGCTATCGTGGAATTCTAGATGCAAGGTCGGACTCACAAAGGCGCTGTTCGAGCGGGAGAGAGAGGATGCTATCTCTCAGCTCATGTATCTTGGTGTCGACGGACATGTCGTCGGCGCCGTTGTCCGATCCCGTGTAGCCCTCGTCGAAGGCATGGAGGGCCTTGGAGGTGGCCATGCTGGTAGTCGCAATGACGGGCGTGGCGGTGATGATGGATGATAATTACGATAGCGCAAGAGGTGAGGCTTCGGGATTAGAGCAGCAGGCTCGCCTCGCACAGCGAGGTGTGGGTGGAGGGGTTCGGGAGAGGATCGGAGGGGTAGAGGTCGCGGAGAGAGTGCGCAGTGGTATGGATGTGTTCGGCAGAGCGCATGAAGACTGGCGACAACAGCGACTGCAGACGGTGGAGGTGCGTGGCATGTGATTGCCGGTGATGATGAAGGCGGCCAGGGCAACGCCGGAACAG